CGTATCACCAAATTCTCTTTGCAAAAATACCCATAGATTCATAGCAACGCTAACACATACATACTACTTACAGTTTGACTTGGTTCCAGTCATCACTCAACTAAACCCACACTTCTCGAAGAAGCTTGTATCTTGCATTTGAAGTCTCTGAACCAGTGAAGTCACTCGCTTTGTCGACAATGGATGTAAGAGGAGAGTCCAGTTCCTCAAGCTCCTCGTCGCTTGTGTACCCTTTTCTCTGTATCATAGACACATTCCTTGACAATTTTCCTGCAGCCTCTGCAACTTTTTCTGCTATATCCATGGTCGATGGAGGCATGTAAGAAACCGAGGAAGCTGCATAAGGGAAGCTTGCTTCTGATAACTTCCTATCACCAATGATCTGAAAATATAACAACAAATGATGATTACAATTTTGCTTTTGGGATTATAAGAACAAAAACAATCCAAACTTTGAATTATTTGTACCTCAGCAGCATTGAGCTCTTCTAGGACAGCTCCAGGTACATGATCTGGACAGAACTCATCAGGAGTGAAGTTGCAGAGTATTCTTTTGATGAGTGGAAGAGTAATTGATGGGCATATCTGTTCGTAAAACCAATAAATCAAATACAAAGCTAAATGAAGCTCGTGAATACGATGGATTTAACCGATAAACAAAGGGTAACTGAGATATGTATCTCAACACACACCTCTTCTCTAATGGATATTTCCATCAGCATATCTTTTGGGAGCATAAGAAGATCACTAAGTTCATTTAGCAAAACAAAGGCTTTACTTTCTACATGATCATCTTCGATGTTTCGTTTTTCTTTCGCTGAAGAATCATCAGAGTTCATGCCAAACATTTCTGTGAGGCATCTAGACCAATTGCCAATCTGCAAGGGAAATATTACGTCATTACTAACTTTCTAATGGCTATGAAAATATGAACTTTGTTTAATGTTGGTTACCGCATTTTTTAGTTGTGCCCCTGATCCAAAGCTTAAGTTTCCAGCAGGAATAGGCAGAACTTTGGAATCAAGAATAGGATCAGAGACGGGATCAGTTGGAATCTGATGTTCTGACTCGCGGAGAATAGCATTGAACATGGCTACATCGAATCTACCGATACACTTGTCCATAACCTGTTTAAAGATGATATAAGAATATGATTATTATGTCTTGGCTTGAATTAAAACTAATGGATAATCTGATTACCATTCTAGCCAATACAGGTAAGCAACCGCATTCATGTCCCGCGCCTCGCATCGGACAAAGCCGTTGCAGAGCATCTCGGAAAGCATTTTTCCATAGGCTAATCGAAAAGGTTCCTTGGTTCTGATCACCCAAGGAAGGTCCCATCAGTTTCCCATTTGATTTACTGGCTGATGAGTCGTTTTCAGGGGATTGCATATGAGGAGTAAAGACCTTAAAGATAGGAGAAGAAGAAGAACATAAGTGAGATGCTTCATCAACTAACTAAGAAGCTCATTTTTAGTTAGGACATTTGGTATATATATATATACCTGCCACCAAACAGACTCCACGATTCTAGAGAATACCCAAAATTCGATTTTCTCAAGTGCAGTAGTAAATGTTTCAGTTTCTTGCCAATCCTCCAAAAGCTGTTGGAAACCATTCTTCCATCTCAGGTTTGTTTTCTTGCCTGAATCACCATTTCCACTCTCATTTGGTTCAGAGATCTGTGTGATGCGAGACCTACCAAAGGCTTGCGAAATTATCTGCCGCAAAGCTATGATGTTTGATAACCAGAAGGTCAACCTGGGAACCAAGAGAAAGCAAAAAACATTTGTTTAGATCACAACTTGGAAGAATCAAGATCCTGAAGTTTCACTCACATGTCAAATATAATATGTGTACCTCGAAACATCATTCCCACAAGATTTGGCAACCAAAACAAGACCAGAAACAGAGTTTCTAGCGATCGTAGCACGCTTCCCCTGAGTAAAATGCTTACAGGCATGGATGTAGATTCTAGAAATACGCCGAGCAGGCGTATGAAGCTTGTGAGCAGAGCTACAATGGTCCGGCACAACAGAATAGAGCGAAATCTCGAGTGCAGCAACTTCTCTAAGCTCCTCTTCTAGTTTCTCGATTCTCGTCTCTAGACGCTCAATCTTCTCTTCAGAAGATCCATCCTCAAAGTTCCCACCATTATTCTCTGTTACATCAGCTGCCTCATTCTCACTTCCAGCACTAAGAGCACCATTCGAAGCATCTTCCCAAACATCGGCATTGATACCTTCACGAGCATCTGTATCAATGTTAGCAACTTTACATTCTTTTTCATCAACATCTTTCTCCAAATCACAAAGGGATCCACTTAAATTATGCTCCTTCTCCGTTTTGTCCACAACTCTGCTAGAATCTGATCCTTGATCATCATCCAAGTAACGAACATCTACCGTCTCGTAAACCTCAGAGGGATCTGATTGTGTGGTAGAATCACTTGCTACTGTAGAGATATTACTAGACTCTTCCTTAGCATCCAATTCCTTTTGCTTCTCTTGTTCTGTTTTCTTCTGGCTATTCGTCTTCTGCAGCTTTTGATCTTTTCTTACACTCTTAGTAGATCTCTTCGACTGAACATTGTTAGTTGTTCTTGCCTTCATCATGATTCTCTATCAATGCAGCCAAAGAAACAGTTATTTTCAACTCCCGAGTGAGAAAACAATCCAAGCAGATTTGTGTAACCCTACAGACAATAAAGAAAGGGAAAACAAGTCTGATAAATCCTCAAGAAGTAAAGAGTTTTAGATTTGGATTTGCAAGATGAGCAAAAAGATAAAAACACAGCTAAGATATATTCTTGTTCCTGAAAACGACAGCAAATAATGGAGGAGGATAATGACATAATTGGCACTTGCTATGTTTTGTCTGATTCTACAGTAGCAGTTGAGGTCCCAGCATTTTGTTCATAGTTGCTAAAATAGAAAAATGGGTGCCATTCACATAGGGATTTTACAAGAACGATTTAATTAACCAGATTTGATAAAACAAAAAAAATTCAGGAATTGCATTTTCTAAAGTATCCAACGATATATCAATTTCAAAGAGAAGAAACAGAGCATGAAACAACCATGAGGACTAGAGAAGAAAAGAAGATTTACCAGTGACTGAAATCTCCAAAAGAAACAGAGGAACAAGAGGAGAAGAAGACTTTGAGAAAGTGGTTGTGAACTTTCACGTCTAAATCATCACGAAACCCACTTGGTTGTCTTCCTTCCTCTTCAAGACGGTTACACTTTAATCTACTCAGAGTGAAGTCTACTCTCAGATTTGCGTCACTGATATTACCTGTCTTTATCTTTGCGTCACTGAAATTACCTGTCTTTTATCTGTAACCATAGTAAAGCTACTTACTTCTCTCTCTCTCTCTCTTTGCTATGGGAGATCCGAATGCGGGAAGTTATGGTGCGTTTAAATAAAAAAACATGGATCGTGTACGGTACGGACTGCAATCGTGGTCGTGACCCATGGAAGTTTGTGTCGGTGGCTCGAGTGTTTACCGGGAATAACCGGTCATATTACCAGAAAAAGTTGCTTCTCTTTTAAATGACCGTAATTGTCCTTTTACACTTTCGTCCTAAACATTTGGCTCCCCCAACTCCACCGACCGACACCGACTTCATTTACGAGTGTTTATTTTTCTTTCTTTAATTGAAATTTATGGAAGAAAACATCTGATTGATGTACAGAGGAAATGGATAGAGGACAAATGTTCTTCACATGGCTTTACACTGGACTCTTGGGTCTCCAGAAGCATGTGAAGAGTGAAGTGATAATGTCTTCTTAGATTTACCTAGCCTAATCGTTTCGGTGTCACAGAATCGTACTCTCGGGAAACACAACTACACAGAGATAAGGAATTACCACAATATCCCTCTCTATGTGAATTTGAGGTCACGAGATTGCTCAACTAAGGCATACAACAAATCAAGCTAGTTACTTACCCGGAAAAAACAACCACGAAGAGAGTATTGGAATCCTTTAATCTTTTCAGTCTCTTTCAATGTTTAATCATCATGTATGAAACTAGAGGATGAGATGAACATCACAGCTTGCTAAAAAGCCAACACCAGCATAAAGTTCTTGTACTGAAAAGAGAAGAATATGAAGCCACACTAATCAAAGGATTTGGGAAACTATGAGCAATAGTACTCAAAGGCAGTATAGTATTCATTGACCAAAACCAGTGGAGATAGAGGTAAGCTGTCATGATTTCTACAACATTATCTACCCAAATCCAGTGGAGTTATTCAACTCCACACTTATCAAAGTATAATTCAACAAGCTCCTCGATTGAACCAGAGATCAAAATCAACATTCTCATATGCTATTCTCAGCTAAGTAGAAACCTAATAAACACCACAATCAAAGAAACTGAAATCTACTATGTCAAATCTACCAATGGATGACAAGTGACACCATGAGAACTCCAAAGTCCAAACTCCAGCCTAATAAATACAGCAAATGACAAACTGAAATCTAGAGTGTTGCATCTAACAATGGCGGATGCCATTCCAACCACTTGAAAGCCTACAAAACTTAATGTGCTCACTGCAATAAGCTATAATCACATACAACGACGAATTCTATACTAAATAAACCTTCTTGAAGCATGAACATGTCTACAAAACAGAGGAACAATCCATCCCCTAGTTAGAGCTATACTATCAGCTTATCACTACTACTACAACAAATGACAAGTATAAAGATGATCTAAAGAGATTCAGAATCGACTAACATAAAGTAGTCATGAATTTAACCAGTATGCACTCATCGAGTGAAATAAGCAAACCAAAATTCACAGAGAACATGAACAAGCCATGAACAAAGGAAGAGAATCACACAATATCAGCATAAAATTCCCGTGTAATCTCTTTCTCCAACTAGTAATGAAGCAATCATTAATCGAATCGAATCATTTGAGCAAATCAAGAGTGACCAAATTTGTGAAATGTAACAAGTAGAGAGTGAGGGCAAGTGCGTCTAAACAGTTAAAAGAACACTTATTTCATAAACATCATCATTATCGACAAAACAAAGGAGATTTGAAACACAGTTCAAGGGCCAAACGAAACCCTAACTCTCCAGTCTTCGTGATCATCATCATAAAACGGGAAAAAAAACTCCTCAACTGCCGGAAAATAAGACATACCAAATCAAGCATCCGGAGATCCAACGGTGATGCTTAATCGGACGAATCTCCAGCGGTTGCGAGCTTCTCCATCTCAAGACGCTCTAAAGCTTTCTGATGAGCCCAAGTCTCGATTGAAAGATCAGGTTTGGCATTGAGTCCGACGCCGAGGATAACAATTGTGAGGAAGCTAGTGATGTAACAAGGAAGCTCCCAATCTTCCCATTTTCGCGACTGTCCTGGTGCCGGAGGAGTCCGGTTCATAAAGTAACCCTTAGGCCGCTCCTCGTGACCTGGCGTCGCCCACCGACTCGGACCGGCGGATGTAGATCCAGACCTGGAGAAGATCCGATTTCGTAGCGTCTTCGCTGCGACGGTCAAGGACTGCGTCGACGGCATCGCTTTTGGTTCCGATATTTCTGCTGTAAGCAAAAGGAAATTGCTCAGATTTGTTAGTGTGGAACTATATACGTCCACGACCTACAAAAGGTTTAATTCGTACCGAAACGGGAAATTGAATTTGGTTTATTGATATTGTCGGTTAATTGGAATTACATTTTGGTTTCAGCTTAGAATCCGGTCTAACAGATTTATAAACCAAATTGAACCTCTCTCTTTATGTTCGGTATGATTTGGTATTCTCAGTTCTCATTTTGTTTTTACGGTTTGACTAATTTTGTAGTTCCAAATCGGTTCTACCAGTTCGGATATAATTTAGTTAAACCAAATTGAATTTGGTCACACTAGTCGGTTAAGCAGTATTGGATAATAATATTCGTGTACGACGTCGTATGCTCAGTAACATATTAAATCTTCATATACTTCCTCTTTAAGGGAAACAGACACAATTGAGACATTCTGAATTCTACATTGAGGAATCTAGTAAATATAGAAAGGCCATGAACAAAGACCTGAAACAATCATAACCATTTTCTACCTCTAATTCAACAATCGGAACTTTAGCAGATATATAAAGCAGATATATAACTCTTATATATATACATAAGCATGTCAAACTGTTTCCAACTTAGAGCTCCATTTTCACCTGATTTGGGTGTAAAGTAGCTGAACCCATTGAGAAATTGGCTTGATGATGATCTTCTTCTCTTCCCCATTCCGGCTGGTGGTAGCCGTCGAAAGGCCATTGTTGCAGCTGATGATAAGACTCTCCATTGAAGCTACCATCCATAAGAGAGCCGTTCTGCAGAAGACAATTGGACCTCATTATTAACTCAATTCGTACCTATCAAGCTTCTCTTAGAGATGATTGTTTCAACATCCTAGAATCTCAATCTAGTCAACAAGCCAGCTCTATTTTACTGTAATTCATCTTAAAAGAACAAGGTTTTTAATGAGTGGGGTCTGGTTCTTAAATGGAGCACAAGCTGTAAAAGAAGAAGGTCATTTAATAAGAAAGTTATTTGCAGAGAAACAAAAGTTGATTATTAGATTAGATAGGTGAAACTTGAAGCAACAATAACTTAAGACTGAGACCCACAGAAAAATAATTGTGCAAGGATAAAAAAAAAAGACAGCATCATAGACCGTAAAACAAAGGTGGTCCGTGTTTCTGACCACTTTCTTCTCACTGTATGATATAATTGAGAGGACTAATGAGTCCTTTCAAAAGATTTTTTGGAGTCCTTGATCTCACTGTTTGTACTGCATTTTTGTAAGGTCTAAGTATTTAATTCCCCCACGTTGTTCTTCTTCTTTAAGCCTAGTCTAGAATAGGGTCGATTAATGTTGGATCAATAAATATCCAAAAGTTTCTCTTTTTGTGATACCACTAAAAAGGTTACTCAAAGAAACATAATCCCTATGGTTACTTAAACGAGCAACATGGTCAAAGGGAGGTTTTTTCTAGTGAACATTAAATTTAAGGGTTTTTATTGTAAAAGAAGATCACATGCAACCTTAATTCTCCTATGTAATTAGTTCATACTTACTTCTGAAGCCAGTATGCTGTCTAGATTGAAGTCGACTCTGGGGTTTACTGCAGCAAGTCTCATAGATAGCATCTGAAAAGAAGAAGAACGGTTATGTCACATTGTGGCACCCAATTTCATCACACATTGTGTAGCTTACTGTTTCAGTTTAGGTAAAGAACAGCAAAAAATAGTACAAGAAGTCTACCTCCACTTGACGCTGTAAAGACTGCACATGGTTAATGATTTCATCCAGAATCAATGCTGTGCCCTGAATCTGCAGGCCAAAGCTTTCTGGTCAGTCAGACATAAAGAAGAACAAGCCACAATTTTTAGAAACAAAAGAGTTCCTTAGCAGCTATCTCTTGATTAGAGTATCTGTTAGTTATGAGATTACTATACGCATATCTATAACTAATCGACGATTACAAAACTTAAACAAGTTTTAAAACTATTGTGGTTAACGAAGCAGCGAGAAAATGAGCCTTAATCCTAGGTAGCATGTATAACGGCTTCTATAATCTCAATAACTCTACTCTTTTCAACATAATATTGCCAGAAAAAGCGAATCCGAGTAACATCTCTCGTTTTTAAACATGAATTCAGGATTTCTCAAGATTTCATGAAACAAACAATCAAGTCCCTAGAACCCCACAAATTTGACAAACTCTTAAAGAGTTGTCACTTATCATCATCTCCTTCCACCAATAATTGCTGCTAAACTCCAAGATATCTATGGATTAGTTAGCTGTCTGCAGGAGTGTCACATCATGTTTCCAACCAATTAGGTATTGTGGGACTCAAGCATATAACAATATTAGTGACGATACTACACTCCTCACCCTCTTTCTACTTGATAGATACCAAACTTATTAGAGACGATACTACACTCCTCACCTTCCATAGAAAGCCTGCAACTTTTGCCACTTATTATCAAAAGATGGACCCCAAAACACAGTCTGACCTTGATCTATCCACCAAAATCTGTCCCCTCTACCCAAAACCTTAAGGGAACACTCCAGCTAGCATTCCCACATCATATATCCATTATCGGCATTTATGGAGTAAGCTTCTAGCTCAAATGAATACACTTTGGGAAGACGAAACAAGAATCTATTGAGCAATGTCACATCACTTCCGTATTACTACTAGTTTACCTAAATGGTTGTGACCCGTGAGATATTCTTCCCCACACGAAAATAAAGTTTAGACCTTCAAGCCAGCGAAATTACCAAACTAGTGGTTTTGTTCTTTGGCACACCACAAAACCTTTTTTCATATAAGAGGAATTTAGCACTACACTTTTTTCATGTAAAAAGAAAGTGTGAAGGATTAAGACCCTTATCAAACCACATCATCAAATTATAGGAAAAATAACACTTTTTGGGGGTTGGTCTAATAAAGAAAGATTCTGTCTTTAAGCACGAATGAAGATCTAATTATTGATTAGCTTTTTGATTAAAAGGTCAATTATCTAAAGACAAACCTTATCACAGCCTGGGACCAGTTCCTGTAGCAGCTTCATTCGTGCGTTTATCTTCTCTCTTCTTGCCTATAATCAAGAGATAATGATATAATTAGCATATTGCCACTAATTAACTAATATAAACCATGTTTGTGAGATTGTGTATTACTCTCTCTGCTAAGCTATGGTTATCTGTAGCTTGACCACGACGAGCTCTGACATGAACATATGGCAACTTGTCTGACTCTGCGGAGCTCTTGGTCTTCTTCGTCGAGCTTTTGACCTAGAAATTAAAGAGTAAAGAATTAGAGACTAATCTCTCTTGTTTATTGGATCAAAGAGTTTGATTGTGTGAACAATTGGAATCACCTTCTTCTCGCGATCTTTCCTCTTTCCAGAAGAGTAGTTCTGGTTCTGATTCTCCACCATTGAATCAGTCTCAGCAGGCTCAGCCTTGACTCTGTCCAGATTGGCGCCGGAATTGGAAGGTAAAGAGTTCGCAGTCTCGCCGGAGATATTACCGTTTTGCTCCGTAGCAATCACCGAGAAACGAGCGGCGCGGTCCAAGAGAAGCGAGTTAGAAGGAAAAGTCAAAGCCCCGAAAGGGTGAAGAGTAGTAGGAGCAATATCTCCGGTAACGGTTCTCGCCTGAGAAGACGATGAATCAGTGAAATGGAGAAGCTCCATGGCTTGAGTCACAGGCATCTCGAGCAAAGCCGTGAAAGAGCCGCCAGTATTCTCCGGAGGCATCGTCGCCACTAAGTGCCGAAATTCGTCGCTGAAATTGAGAGATTCAAGTCCGGTCACCGGCCCAACAACGCCGGATCTAGCTCCGAAGCCTTGGGTCAGATCCATAAGCCGGGAAAATCACACTTAAACCGGAATAAACCGAGTTGAAATTCAGAGAAACCCAGAACCGACCGAGTTGATCAACTGGTTCGAGTTAAGCTTCTTTATATTCGTTGGAGTCGGATCTCTCTATAATGAAGAAAATTCGGAAATCGAGAGAGGAGAAGGAATTTAATGTTTGTCAGTTGGAGAGTATTTTGACAGGTAAAGCGAAGGAGGTTGCATCAATGGCGGAATTTAAAGCGAGTAGCGACTGAAATAATTCTCTCTATCTGTGTGTTTCTCAGAGCTTGTACAGGGAAAAAAAAAGTCTTCGTCTTCGTAAGAGTTTATGTTCTGAGAGGAAAAGATTACACAAGAGCCACCATTTGGAGTGGGAAGAAAGCAACGTTAGCTTTGGAGTGCGTCTGTTAATAAAGCCAAATTTTTAGAGAGAGAATATATCCAATTATGGGGTTTGAGACGATGATAGAGAGACACACTTGGACTGGATCTCAATGGTTAAGTTGGGCCTTTTGGGCTTTGTTACTATAGGTTTTAGTGGTCACTATAGTTGGACTTGGTGCCATAAATAAGGTCATTTGACTATTGATTCATTCAGTTTTTTTTTAACTCTTTAGTAAGTGAATTTTCAAGTTTTTGACTGGTCATTGTTCACCCTGTTTTTTTTTTTTGGTCAAGGTCGTTGTGCACCCTCCAAATTACTCTTTTTTGTAGACTTAAACGATTTTCAGATGAATCCATAGAGTGAAATGGGGAAGAAAAACAAATGTAAGCTTCACTATTGTGACAAAAAAAAAAGGAAAAAAAAAAACTTGAGATGAATCAGAGTGCCACACTCGAATTCTGAAAACGACAAGACCTGCCGTCCCCACCAATCATTTAAGTTACATGGATCTAAAAATTCGGCCGTTTTAGTGATTTATTGGGCCACATGGACCGTTGATTGAGATTACCAAAACTGGCCCATCTTACTCACTGTATTGGAGTTCTAGTGTTTGTACCAAAAACGGCAAGATGTTTGCGTACATTGACCGCAATTTGCAGCGCTCACAGTTCTTGTTGCACGACAAGGTTTTGTAGGATTCGAAGATACTACTATTTCTTCTTGAAAGTTCTTTAACTGAGAAAGTAATTTTTATGAACAAAAGTTGGATGTTATGATTCATATTTCAGTTGATGTTGTAATAAGTTGAATTTGGGCCGTGACATGGTGCTTGAATTAAACCCAACAATGGGACTTGTGACTCCTTGTGTATATTTACGGAATTACCCTTAGGACTAGGATTAGAGCCAAAAGTGGCATATTTTCAAATTGCATCTTTGTGTGGTTACTTTGTCGGTTGGTTAAATGATTTTTCTCTGACACAATCTACTCTCCATCGTCTCTTCCCTCCTTTAATTTGAATAATTATGACATCCCTCAGTTGAATTCAAATTCATATGCGTATGTATATCCACCTTCGTAATAGGTAGAGTTCGATTATTTTCAATTATTCCTAAACATATTGTAACTTTTTTTTTTTTTTTTTTTTTTTTTTTTTTTTTTTAAAGTTATATATTATCATCCTAAACGGGCTTTAGGCCCAAGGGCAATAGGCAAGGCCTTACAACGATAACACGGATACAAAAAAGAAAGAAACGGCTGACAATTCCGGTGACACGAGATCGGACCCGGAGGTTGATCGGAAAACAAGGAAACACATCCATTAATACCAGCGATTACGAGAAGCACTGCTTCGCGGCTACGACGGCGAAAACGAACTCATTGGCAGAAGTAATCGGTTCCCGTCGCAAAGCCGATCCGACGACAAACCTGAACCTGCAACGCTTCTCCCGGCATGAACCGATTCCCAGAAGATCCGTAACCCAATCTCTCTAATCCTCTACCTAGCGAAAAGAGAGAACCTAAAAATCTAACACCCAATCTCCGGCGCTGACAAGCAAACAAGACCTTCACGAGCAAAGCCAACCTCAGATCCGGTCAGACGAAAACAAAATCTAGGAAGCTGAGAGGTTAAGTGGCTCAAACCAAGCCTCAACAGCCAAGATCCGAGATTAGCCGTATCAGATCCAGATAGATCTGTCGTTAATTGCCTCAACAAACAGCCGAACCCACCAGTCCGCCTTCATGACTTCCGCCGCAACCCGCAGCACCCACCGCGAGCAGACGAGCCGCGAGAAATCTCCACCACCATGCCTCCAGCGTCCTCAACCAGAAGATTTAGCATCGGGAGATTTCTCAAAACTGCCGAGGAAGAAGCCACAGATGCATCACGAACCGGAAACTCCACACCGCAGCTGTCGGAGAGGAAAGCTCGCTCACCACCGCATCATTGAAGAAGAACCAGACCTGCAATGACGATCTAAAAGCAAAAAAAGAAAAACTTAAAGTAGATCTGCTTTTTTTCTCTTGAAGAGAGAGAAGAGAGAGACGCGGAACGATTGTCCTGCCTTTTTTTTTCCCGGTTTCTACTCTTGTTTGTAACATTTTTTTTATTACTGCTGAATCTTGTACAAGCAAAACAATTATAGACCCAGTAGGACTGTACAGTTTTTTCATGGCTCAAGATGTCCCTATACGACTTAAGATTCTAATAAGATAACACTTTGTTAATTTTTGTATCCCAAATTTGCTGTAACTTTTTTTTTTTTTTTGTACCTATATATAGTTTCAATCCTATAAAAATCCAATGACCCTAGATATCACCAACGCATACACACAAATTAAAAATGTAACAACAACCCACCTGCATCAATCAATAACTTAACTTTAAAAAGTTTCAAACATAACTAATAACCACAAAATGTCAAAAACCCAAAACGCAAATCCCAATATATCACATTTTTAATTAGAACTATAGTAGTATATTATTATAATTTCAAACCATTTTCCTGTGGACAAGAATTCAAAAAATTGATCATGACTTCATAACTCCACGTTGCTAACATGAAACCATAAAAGAATCAAACCTCGGTCAAATCTCCCATTATTCTTCTCCTTCGTCTTCACTGTTTATCGTTTTTCCTCTGCAACTTCTCGTTGCTTCACTATATGAATCATTTGTAATTTGTAGCTTCTTTAACAAACAAAAGGTTTCAAGATCCTAAACAAAAGATGAAGTTACTTTGGATTCTTTCACTTCTTGTTTCTTCCATCTTTCTCTGCATGAGCTTTTGCTCCTCTCTCAATTCCGACGGTTTATCTCTACTAGCTCTAAAATCCGCCGTCGATAACGACCCGACCCGTGTGATGACCCACTGGTCTGAATCCGACCCGACTCCTTGTCATTGGTCCGGAATCGTCTGCACAAACGGCCGAGTCATTTCACTTGTACTCTTCGGAAAAAGTCTCTCCGGTTACATTCCATCAGAACTCGGTTTACTCAACTCACTTAACCGGCTTGATCTAGCTCACAACAATTTCTCCAAAACCGTACCGGTTCGTCTCTTCGAAGCAACCAAGCTCCGGTACATCGATCTCTCTCACAACTCACTCTCCGGCCCAATTCCGGCCCAAATCAAGTCCATGAAATCACTCAACCACCTTGATATCTCCTCCAATCATCTCAACGGGTCACTCCCTGAGTCACTCACTGAACTCGAAAGCCTCGTCGGAACCTTAAATCTCTCTTTTAACCAATTCACCGGCGAGATTCCACCGTCGTACGGTCGATTTCCGGTTCACGTCAGTTTAGATTTCAGTCACAACAATCTTACCGGGAAAGTACCTCAGGTGGGATCTCTGTTGAACCAAGGACCAAACGCATTCGCCGGAAACTCTCATCTCTGTGGCTTTCCATTGCAAACACCGTGTGAAGAAATCGAAACCCCTAATTTCGTCACTGCAAAGCCGGAAGGAACTCAAGAACTCCAGAAACCAAACCCTAGTGTAATCAGCAATGACGACGCAAAGCAGAAGAAGCAGCAGATCACCGGATCAGTAACAGTTTCTCTGATTTCTGGAGTTTCGGTTGTAATCGGAGCTGTTTCTGTCTCGGTATGGCTGATCCGGAGAAAACGAAGCTCCAACGGGTACAAAACGGAGACGAAGACGACGACGGTGAGCTCAGAGTTTGACGAAGAAGGGCAAGAAGGTAAATTCGTAGCGTTTGATGAAGGATTCGAGCTCGAGCTTGAGGATTTGCTGAGGGCATCGGCTTACGTGATAGGCAAGAGCAGAAGTGGGATTGTGTACAGAGTAGTGGCGGCGGAATCGTCCTCCACCGTTGTCGCCGTTAGAAGGCTCAACGACGGCAATGCCACGTGGCGTTTTAAGGATTTTGTTAATGAAGTTGAGAGCATTGGTAGGATCAATCACCCTAACATCGTACGGCTAAGAGCTTACTATTATGCAGAGGACGAGAAGCTTCTCATCACTGATTTCATTAGCAATGGCAGCTTGTACTCTGCCTTACATGGTAAAACACTAATCTTTTTCTTTGTTTTCCAGTTTTAGTGCTAAATCTGCATTTATTAATCTCTTTATTAATAGGTTTATGTGTACTTGCTCTGTAGATAGACTATAAAGTGCAGAGCTTTGCTTTGTCTTTGTCTGATTGTGTAGTATTGACTAACTTGTTGGCTTCTTCTCCTTGTTTTCTTGTTCAAAGCTTTACTGTGTTTACATGTGTTGAAACTTGATACAGTAGAGCTAGTGGACAAACAAACAGATTTGCTTCTATATAGCACTATAGTGTGGGCTCCTGTTATTTTCATGGGAAAATTTAACTCGAGTATGAGTTAATGGTAGTTTAGAGAGTGTTTAATATGACATAAAGAAGATTTCTTTTTGGTGCTTAGACAGAGATTTAGATTATGGTCCGAGAGATGTGTGTGTTTAGTCATTAACCTCTGCTTTATCTGCGTTGGGAAGTTAGTACTCGTGATATGTTTGATTCTGTAGTTAGATGTATTTAGGGAACAAAGTTGAAATTTTTCTACTTTGCTGAGATATGTTGTGCTTTGAGGCATTGTGAATCACTGGTTTCTGAAACGGCATTTGATTTTTTTGTAGGTGGACCTTTGAATACTCGTCCTACACTCTCTTGGGCTGAGAGGTTATGTATAGCTCAAGGGACTGCTCGAGGTTTGATGTATATACATGAATACAGTTCGAGAAAGTATATACACGGCAACCTAAAATCAAGCAAAATCCTGTTAGATAATGAGCTGCATCCTCACATCTCAGGATTTGGTCTCACACATCTGGTTTCCGGTTATCCCAAAGTTGATGATCATTCACTATCAACCAAAACGCAAAGCAAAGACCAAGCATTTGCCACAAGGCTCTCAGTCTCAGCTCCTGCAGCTGCTTACCTTGCACCCGAAGCCCGAGTTTCATCTGGTTGCAAATCATCTCAGAAATGCGATGTTTATTCATTTGGGGTGATTCTATTCGAGTTGTTGACTGGTCGATTACCTAATGGTTCCTCTGAAAACGAAGGAGAAGAACTCGTGAATGTTTTGAGGAAGTGGCACAAGGAAGAGAGATCTTTGGCTGAGATCTTAGACCCAAAGCTTCTGAAACACGATTTTGCGGATAAGCAGGTTACTGCAACCATTCATGTCGCTTTGAACTGCACGGAAATGGATCCAGATATGCGTCCTAGGATGAGATCTGTGTCTGAAATTCTAGGTCGGATCAAATAGGAATAAACCTCTTCTTAAAGAGCCGGGAATAATTAGTTGTGTATCAATGTATGTGTTAGTCTCAGGCTAAGTGGAGTTTTGTAGTTTCTATGGCGAGTTTAAATGAATGGTTTAGGGTTTATTTCCGGATCAAGTGTCTGTCTCTGTTTATTATCATCACATGTTCCTTGTATCGTAAGGAAGAGAGTTTGGTTGTGCTCAAGGGCTCCTTCTGTCTCGTCTTCTAGAATCTTATACAGATAATATTAATAAGGAAATTATGATAAAGATCTGTTTCAAACCTTATCCGACTTTTAAGTATAGATTGTCCTTGCAATTTGCAATTTTGCATGATATATAGATCCTCTCTTTCCAAAAAAAAATATAAGAAATATATAACCAAGTGGGATTATATACATGTATTTTTAATTGTTTGTTTTCATTGGTCAAAACTTATATTCGATTTGATTAGATGCATAGATTTTTTGAAGATCATGATTAACAAAAAATGACTCAATTGCTCTTTAGTGAGCATGTTTTAATTAAATATAGTTTATACAAAAAAAAAAAAAAAAAACAACTCAAACGCATGATTGCGTCTCTCTTGCGCATGGGAGGTGTGAGAGATGAAATTTGAACCGATCGTTAGCAATAACATAAGATATGAGAAAGAAAGGCAAAATCAAATCTATGTCGAATATAATTTTTGTCAGAAACATCAAACATGATCACATCCCACCGTTGGTCCTTTGTTCAAATTTACAACAGAAAGTATGACTTTTATAAACCAAAAAGAGAGAGATCTTCTTCATGGCAAAACATATCTTGCCCCCATCACGATTGATTACTTCCAAATTTAGCAGCCCACTCGAGAAAATTAAATAAAAAGGAGAGAAACACTTGCTTAATATAGAAGTTTCTTACGGAAGAAAATAAAATAGTGAAGCCCCCTTTTTGAGCTTGTTGACATTATAAAAGCCAAAGCTGGACCACGATTCCCCACTTCTATCAATGTAATCTTTTTTTTTTAATAAGAACATAAATATTTTAAATAAATTGATAGGGAATCGTTTTGTTTTTATATTATTAAAATTCAAATACTATCAAACAGTAGGAAAAACAAAATGTACACAACAACATTGAGAAACTAATGGGGTCTCACGTGTTCATGTTCCCATCCACAAAGCCACGGACGGGATTTGCTTTTATAATTTTCCATAATTTCTAAGGCCAAACCTTTTTAAATTGCACTTAATACGTCCTATTTTGCTTCTTTAATTTCCATCTCTTTTTCTTTTTTTCTTCTTTCTTTTATGTTGGGTGTTTTTCCCGTGGTATCCATTGCATTTTGAAGAAAAATGTTGAGACCACTGATTTTTTTCGAAAATAACTTCAACAATGAAGAGTTTGTTTTATGCACGTCTTTACAAAAAAAAAAAAAAAAACTAAAAGATTATGACCTGCGTTGAAGTGAGAGCATTTTTTTTTTTTTTGGTAAAAGATGAAATTTTATACCATTTTTGATTTTTGACAGAATTACAGGGAAAACTTGAAAAAGATTAAAACAATCTACAGAAAATTTAAAAACAACATTACAACTCTAATTGCAAAGGATTGCTGCTTAGCAGTCATGGCCAAGTGCTTAGGAGTCACTTGAGAACATTTGTGTGTGATGATTTGGAAAACTAATAAGTGTTATAGATTACAAATCATATATTGGCCATGGATTCCTTTGAGGAAATAATGGTTTGATTTGAAGAAATAAATTTTGTTATATATGAATGTATGATTAAGTATGATTAAACATACTTTTCATTGCACGGTGATATGAAATTTTGATTTAGCGCTTAACTAGATCAATGTAGTTTTGAGTTATGTCTTTTTCTTCTGTCATACATTAGTGATTTAAAACTAAGTATCATCAGTATAGCTAGTTTCGAGATAGTGTATACAACTTTTAAATAATTACTTATGCTTAAATAGTAGTATTATATGTATGTGCATGTGCTTGTACATACAATTTTGTCTTCTTGTTGATTAATTATTAAACAGCTCGAAGTTTTAAAACTGTGTAGCTTAGTCTATGTCAATGTCATCAATATATATGCAATCTATATAGAGCCTTAGGCACATAAACCGTAGTCCCCATATAAAAAAGGAATGAAACAGCTAATAACTCCATAGAGAATAAATTCACATTCAAAGCAATTCACCACCCCAATCCTCTCAATATGGTCCGGTTCATTCTTACTTTCTTAGTAAAGTTCGGTTTATCTTTTTCAATTCTTACAATGTACTAAAAGGTATAATTCAGATTGATACGATACGAATATGGTTTTTGCAAACATAAACCACAAGTTTGAAGAGGAGGACTTATAAACTAATCAATTTCCATTAAAGGGCTGAAATGAAAATTTGGTAAGAGAAATAAGTCGCTTTATTGGATTTAAATTTTAGAAAGACGGCGCTCGTGAATTATTAAAGTTAAAATAAGATAAGATTTAAAGAGATTTAGAGGAGGCGTGATCTGGTGTGTATCGTTTCACATAGAGTCACGTCGCTGTATCATCCCTAGACCAATGAGGTTTTAGAATTTAGGTTTCAATCATACTTTTTCAGGCAGGTGTACCGTATGTCACATACACTATAGTCGCCAGTCGACGCTAACTTACGTTCCTAATGCGTGTTAACGGCGTCAACGTCCTCCGTCACGATCGTGTCGTAAGCTTTACTGTATAGGTTCCGTGAACCTTAAATCGGATTTGGAAAGCTACGTACGTAAATTTTGTTAAAAAGTTAACAGTTTCGATCTCTCTTATTACACAAACTGTACTTCCGACAATTTTCTTTCTTTCTATTTAAAGTATGTTTTTGTGTCTAACTATATTAACATCTAGCTTCCGACTTTTATACTATGATGGGACAATCTGAAATTCTTAAATTGTACAATGCGAATGAATATTAATTAGATTTTGTCTGTACAATTGCTGAATATGTATGTAGTCTATTATTATTGGTTCCTGAATAATGAGTACTTAAAGTCTTAAACAAAAAAAAAGTAAGGTAACCAAGACATATTAGAAATTATATCCATGTCCCTAAAACGTATTAAATTGTTGATGTTTGGTATATCGAATCCGTGACCATGAAAACTCTCTCATTTTAGATTGTAAACATTGGGTAAACTACCGACCCAAGATAAAAAAAAAAAAAATTTGATTTGATGCATCTTGTTATAATTGTATGGCCTACAAGCGATTTCATTGTCCCCAACACAGATATTTTTGTCCGTGTGTTATAAATTAGGGTCGAAATATCACATATTTTCTATTTAAAGAACCTAAAGTCATATCTTATTATATAAAGTATGGTTTTCAAAGTTAATAACTCAAGAGATCGTGACACGTGTCAAATATTTCGATCTCAGATTTTGCCATGTGTCAAATAAATTTTCCTTTTTAATAAAAAAGTAAAAAGATAATTATAAGAAAACTATAAATATAAACAATTTGAAAATGTAAAAAGCTAATAATAAGGAAATTGTACCTAACTACCTATAGGCATGATTGGTTGGGCTGTAGGAGATTTATAAAGTCACAAAAAAAGCTACAGCCCAAAAATTAAAACAATCATGCTTTAGCTTTCCTATTTTTTCTCACAGCCCAAACAATATTTTTTTAATTATTTTGGCTGTAACTATAAGTTTTTCTAAAGCACAACTTTTTGGTCTTTAGAAGGGTTGTACCTTTTTTTTTCAACTTTCTACTTTATTTTCTTCTTTTCTTTAAAAACATTATTATTTAATCCATAAATATACAGCTACAGACGAACCAATCACCCACATATTTCCATAAGAGATTTTGCCATCAAGCAACCAAAATTTTTGTTTTTAACAACTTAAAATTTTTAAAAGATAATTATATATAACAAAATTATAAATTTAAATAGTTAGATCATAGTAAGAAAATTATATGTATATATAAAAAAATTATATGTATATTTTCCATAAAAAGCAAAATTATAAAATTATGCTAAACATTTTATTTATAAGTTAGTAATTGTACAAGAAAAAAAAAATAGAAAAAGGATTAAGGAAATTATACAATCAATTATTATTCCTATAAGAAAAAAGATTGTAAATCACCTTTATATAAATAATAATAAGTTGTCTCATATTTTCTCACCAAACAAACTAATTTCTTCACACACCACCGTTGTTTTAACTTCATTCTATTGGTAAAACTTTTTTTTTTTTGGTTATAAAATATTTTTAGGATAATATAAGTAACTAACATTTGACTCAAAAATAATTAAAAAAATAGCCATGAGTTACAAAAGTGTAGAAAACTAATGTTTTTTAGATATGTGAAAATTCAAAATGGCTCTCAAACAAAAGACAAACATGAAACTGTGTATTCTAATTTGGAGGAAAAAAACATGAAATAAATACTAATAACACGAAAAATCAGAAGGAAAAAAAAATCAATATTAAAATTCTGACGATGAAATAAAGACATCCAACAATGTCATTTAATAAAATAGAATATTATACTGGAATAAAAAATAGGAGTAGCATGTAATTGTTATGGAGGTGATGATGGTGGTGGTTGATGGTTACGGAGGTGGTGATTGGGTGATTTTAAAAAATAACATGATCATGTAAAAATTACATGCATTTATCATTTGTTGTAAATATATCATATCTATTATAAAAACAAACACTGTGAATCACGATGGTTTTCTAAAAATACCATATGATATTCAGATCCAAGGAATATATGGCAATGTAGGCAAATTAAGAATTATGAACGGCGATAGACATAGATTAGAGTTGTTATCGGAAAGGATTGGCCTCATGTCGGAGAAGATAAAGAAAGTGGAGTAATAAGAGAAGTTGGAAAAAGAGGAGAAGAAGCGATAACAATGGTGTTGGTGTTGATGACGATGGTTCAAGCTAGGTGGTGGTGGCGGCGATAAATGTTGATGAAGGTGGTGGATCGAAATTAGCGAGATTCGGTATTGATAGTGGTGGTGATTGTGATTGTAGTGAGATTCATTTGTGGTGGTGGGTTAGAATAGTGAGACTCGGTGGTAATGTCCGATGAAGGGAAGAAATGGAGATAGGGGAAAAAAGAGGGAGGGAAGGAGAAAAAAAAAAGAGTTCAAGCAAAAATAAGAGAAAACTAATGAGAAAAATAGAGAGATTTGAGAATTTATCGCCGGCGAACGGAAGGAATAAAGATAAAACAAAAATTGATAATGCCAAATAACTATATAAATTCATCTTTTCTTATTGTCATAGTTTAGTTTCATCTTGCCCACATTGAAATTATAAGATACACTCTTCCGATGGATGTAAATAACTTATTAAAAGTCAATAATACAACCTATGAACATTTATGACTTCATAACTTATAACTAGCAAAAAAAAATATAATTTTATAAATAGGCCAATATTTTTATTAGATGATTTAATAATTAGTATAACATAACTACAAATAGTATTTTATACTGCACAATATGCATTATAAATCTAATAAAAATAATTAAAATGCTGCATTATTTAAAATATATATGTTTATATAATTTTAGTTATGCTTACAAAAATAAAATTAAAAGTTAAAAAAAGATAATTTCGACCGGCAACCCGTGCAACGCACGGGTCCATATCTAGTAGATGATAAAGTAAAAGACAAAAATAAATGAATAATGGTATAAAAAATGATATTATGGATACTTGTAGGTTACGGGTCCATCAATATATGTACTCGCTAAAATTGATTAGGTAGGTAATTTACTTCACATGCTCTTTCTTTATTACGAGTATAAAGTATGTATTTCATCTAAAATCTACACTCTATTCTCTCATTTACATTTTCTATAAATAAAATTTCATATTCTTAAAATAAAAACATAGTAAATTAAAAATAAAATAGAAAATGAAAAGGCATTTCCGTGACTCAGCCTCACAGGCGGCTTAAACGACGTCTTCCTCTGTTACTTTTTTCTTCTTATTTTCAATTTAATTAAATTATAATAATTTTGGTAAAAAATGCTTTTGGATCCGCCGCTATCTTCAGCAATTAAAGTTGGACGCAGAAACTCAGAAGCAAAAAGACGATAAATATTCATCATCACCTTCTCTCTTCACCGTTCTCTCTTTCTCTCTCACCTCTTCTTCTTCTTCTTCACACGAAACCTCCTCTTTGTTTCCTCTTCAAGGTTTTATCTTCTCCAACTTCAAGCTTACTACATCTCAACCTCAAGTTATATTTCCCGGAAAAGTGACACAAACAAGAACTTGCCAAGGGAGAAACAAAAAGGAAAGCTTATATTCAGATATCAACCAGTTGACGTTCGAAAGCTTATTAAGATTCGGTTTTCTACATATTTCTTCTTCCTGAAACGTCACGAAACAGAGCACAGAAAGAGAAACAGGGGAATTTTCGTCCCATTTTTTTAATGGATTCAAATAATCATCTCTACGACCCGAATCACACCGGGTCGGGTCTTCTTCGTTTTAGATCAGCTCCCAGCTCTGTTCTCGCCGCTTTTGTTGACGACGACAAGTTTGGATTCGACTCCGATAGGTTGCTTTCAAGATTCGTTAGCTCTAATGGCGTAAACGACGATCTGGGTTCATCTAAATTCGTCGATAAGTCTCCGGTTTCGTTAACGAACACCTCTGTTTCATACGCCGCCGCCACTCTGCCGCCGCCGCAGCTTGAGCCGTCGAGTTTTCTGGGTTTGCCGCCGCATTACCCGAGGCAGAGTAAAGGGATGATGAACTCGGTTGGTTTGGATCAGTTTCTGGGTATCAATAATCATCACACGAAACCAGTTGAATCCAATCTTCTCCGGCAAAGCAGCTCACCTGCCGGAATGTTCACTAACCTCTCTGACCAAAACGGTACCGTTTCGTTCTCTGCAACAAAGTTTTTTCCTTTTTGTTGTCTGAAATAATTTTTTAATAAATGTCTTAATACTGGATTCAAGATTTTTGAATGTTTTAAGACAAGATCTGATTTTGTCAACCATGAAGTTAAACACTTTGGACTCAACAAATTAATAAGTGTTTGATGGTTTCTACTATTTTACTTACCAATTTGCAGGTTATGGTTCAATGAGAAATATGATGAATTACGAAGAAGATGAAGAGAGTCCATCTAATTCCAACGGATTAAGACGCCATTGCAGCCTCTCTTCAAGACCACCCTCTTCACTTGGAATGCTCTCTCAAATACCTGAAATCGCACCCGAAACGAATTTTCAATATAGCCATTGGAATGATCCATCCACCTTCATCGATAACTTATCCTCCCTTAAAAGAGAAACAGAGGACGATGGAAAATTGTTTCTCGGAGCTCAGGTAACTCGGTTAGCCAACCGGTTTATTTTGGTTATTGGTCATTAGACATATATATACCTCAATAGCTGAGAGTTGAGTTGGTTTCTTGGACTGATTTCTAGAGAATTGAATGCTGTTTTTGGTGGTTTGTACAGAACGGAGAGTCCGGGAATCGTATGCAGTTACTGTCGCATCATTTGAGTCTACCGAAGTCATCATCAACAGCATCGGACATGGTTTCAGTGGATAAGTATCTTCAGTTGCAAGATTCTGTTCCTTGTAAAATTAGAGCCAAACGTGGTTGCGCTACACATCCTCGAAGCATCGCTGAACGGGTAACTTCAACTAGTTGAAAACCATCTTTACATATCAATAGAAGTAACATAATCTCTAGTTTGATTTTGAAAAGCCTAAAAAATCTTTTGTAAATTGTGTCAGGTAAGAAGAACGCGGATAAGCGAGCGAATGAGGAAATTACAAGAGCTTGTTCCTAACATGGACAAGGTACAGTTTTCTGGAACTTCCTTGTAATGAGTTCTGATCATAAACAATTTGTTTCCCCTGCATCGACTCGGTTCAATGATTTTGGTTTCTTTATGTTTTAACAGCAAACGAACACTTCGGATATGTTGGATTTAGCAGTGGATTACATCAAAGATTTACAAAGACAGTATAAGGTAAAGTTCATGATCATTGTGGAAAAACCAAAGGGCCGGTTTAAGTGTAATCCGATTGAATTGATTTAGACTTCTGTTGGTTTACCCAGATTTTAAACGAGAACAGAGCTAACTGCAAGTGTATGAACAAGGAGAAGAAGTCAATATAGGGAGCAACAAAGTGTGTAGATAGGACTAAAAAAAGCAGAGAGAAGGATAAGAAAGAAACAATGTCATGTCTGAATATTTTTTAGCCGAAACAGACCAAATTGTCTATGTAAGCTCTTGAGAAAAAGCATCTGCTTTCAACAAAATTCTAAGCAATAAATAGTACTCGATTTGTTCTTTCTTTCTTTTTGTTCCTTTTTCACATCCAGTTACAATGCAGATCTAGTAATCAAATGTTGTACTACAAAAGGTAAGATCAACTACAGTACCTAAATACGAAAATTATGACCAGAAGAACAAAGAAAGACGCCAAAACTAACCAGAAAACGTAAATCATTCTTCCATGTGATCTGCAGCATCACAATCTTCGACATCAACAGTGAAAGAGTGCTACTGGTCACAACCAAAGTAAGAATAGCACATGAAGTAGAGTGTATACGACTTCTCTCCTGGTTCAGTTGGAACAGCAAACTCCAGCTACGCTGCAGAATCTAGTAATCAAATGTTGTATTACAAAAGGTTAGATCAACCACAGTAGCTAAATGCGAAAATTATGACCAGAAAACAATGAAAGACGGAAAACTAACCAGAAAACATAAATCATTCTTCCATGTGATCTGCAGCATCACAATCTTTGACATCAACACTGAAAGAGTACTCCTGGTCACAACCCAAGTAAGAATCACACATGAAGTAGAGTGTATACGACCTCTCTCCTGGTTCAGTTGGTACTGCAAACTCCAGCTTCACCTTCACCTTCCGTTGCAGAGAGATTCTCTTGATGGCCATCAACTGGTTCGTCTTGGTTTCTCCAACGACTAGCCACCAACCTTCTTCTTTAGTCTTGGGATATCTTGGTGCGTCCACAGGACCCACCTCGGTCCTTCCCTCCATGTCTCTCTCCAGTATTACCTGCAATGTGATATCTTTTCCAGGGCTTACCTTGTTGCTGCCCACAATCTCATATGTGAGGTCAATGTTGGGAAAGCGGTTGCAGAATCTGGCAATGTCAAGAAGCTGAGCGTCTGAAATTTGGAGAAGCTCTTGGCGTTTGTCGTCTTCCATTTCCACAAGATCAAATATGGTTTCAATGTTATTCCCTGGATTCTCTTGGCACCTTATGGCTAATTCCTTTGTGAAGTGAGGAAGCTGCAGAAGCATGGAGTCTCGATCCCACATGCCTTGCGTCACCATCTGGCTTACTTCCATTGCTAAAAGAGCAAGATTCAGACTGCCATTGCTCGATATCACATCGACCATTGCTTGAAGAAGTCTTGTTGCAGATAAGAGGACCTCACGCTGATCCATTGCCAGGTTCCCGCTGATTTTTTGCCTTGAGAAATGCGCCTGAAGAAGCGCGTTTGTCTTCACACGAGGGTCTGTGCATTTTGGGTTTTCAAAAGAGAACCTCTGGTGATTGATGAGTCTCCGAACTGCGTCCTCTTCACCAGGACGTATAGGAATCAAGTCATACTCCGAAGCTGAAGTCAAGATCTCAAGAAGACCCTTCATCTTGGTCTTGGAAGCCAAGAGAGAACTGAATCGCTCAATGGTGGTGTAATTTATGTAATAATATGAAGCAATCATACCAAGATTGAGAGGAGAGAGATACAACTCATTCTCTATTTCAATGCATTTACTCACTTCAAGAACAGACAAAGTGTTTTCAACTAGCTCTGAGAGGTGATCAGATAAATGTCTGTGGCTCACTCCCAGGAGATTGTAGTAGTTAGGGTTCTGAGGAAGCCTCCTGTACATGAAGCTCCAGGTAAGATAATCAACAGCATCTTGCTTGTTCTCTATAACTCCAGCAATCACTTCCGCATTGAAATTATCATGCAAGAAATGTTGAAGATGACTCTCAACCGGAAAGGCTTCATACAAAAATTTCTTGTAATACTCTTTACGTGGTGCATGACAGAAGATCACACACTTCCCAGCGTCGTCAAGCAGAGGTCGGCTACCACGCCCCATCATCTGGAGCAGATCAGAGATGGGGTAATCCGAATGAGAATTTTCCCGTCCGTCATAGAATTGTGTTCCCATTACAACAACCAAATGCGCCTTCAATGGAGTACCCCAACACAATGAACTAGACATTACACATACCTGAATCCGGCCAGCTTCAAAAAGCTGAGTCACAATCTCCTGATCCAGATTGCTTAAACCCTCATGCAAGTAGCCAACGCCATGGCGTAAAGTCTCCTTCAGAGTTTCCTCACAAATTTGTTTAACAAAAGGCTCTAATTCTTCCAGATTCCCTAAAAGGAAATCAGGGCTCTGCATGTTGTCCATGTGCGAGTATGCTATGAGATCCACAGCAGTAAGGCGGATATGTTTACGGGTTGGGACAAAAACGATAGCCGGTTTCTTGTTCTTGGCATGCTGGACTATGGCAGTGTATGTTGGCTTAGTCATCGCCTGCATCCTGGCTTCAAAACTCAATACGTCCACCCCATGAATGTGGATCTCTAGTGGGACAGGACGAACATTAGGAGGGAAGTTGAAAAGGCCACATGAACTGGCCCCAATCCACTCCCCAAGATCTTTGGCATTTGCAAGGGAAGTCGATAATGCAACAATCCTGATTTTATTCCCGACCTGGCTTGAAATATATCTCATTCTAGAGACAATTACCTCCAATACTTGACCACCTTGACCCCCAATTAAATGAAGCTCATCAACAATAAACAAACTAACCTGCTGAATATTTCTTCTCTGTTTCCACCTGCGTGACAGAGCGTCCCATTTCTCAGGAGTACTTATGATTATCTGACCTTTCTCAAGCAGCTTAAGATCCAATGCAGTCTCCCCAGTTAACTCAACAACCCGTAAACCAAGCCCCTTTCCGAACTTTTTCTCCCAATCACAAAACTGCTTCTTGGCAATAGCCTCAAGAGGTGCTACATAGACAACACGCATTGTAGAATCAGGTCCTTCGAGATGATTCCTTAATATCGCAAACTCCGCACATATAGTCTTCCCACTTCCTGTGGGAGCAGCAACCAATACATTGTCACTTGTGTTATACAAAACAGTAAAGACCTGAGTCTGCACTGGATTAAAATGCTTGAAATCCTGATACAGAGTTTCATAAGACGGATTCCTTAGGGCCATCACCGGGAGGGGCTGCAAATCCAGTAGTTCTGTGGGTGGTGGATATTTTTCTGGAAGAATAAGATGCCTGAAAGATACAGGTAACACAGTCGGCGAGTCAAGCCATTTGTCTGAAACCACTCGGATGAAATACTGTGGGGGAATTGGCTCAGAGATTGGCACAGTGAAGTTCAACGTGTGGTCCTCATCAATATACTGCTTTTTCAAAAGAAAGTACTCATGATGAAGGATCTTTTCACCATCATTGTCTTCCACAATGATCCAAAACGGTTCAACATATTTATGTGCTTTATCATCCCAGTGGAAATCAGGTGTCACAGTGAGCTCCACCTGCAGAACAGAACGAGAAATCGGCTGAACATGTGCTGCAAGATTCAGTTTTGGGAACTGGTGGATGTGCTTGTGAAGTGGTCTGCCCATCTTAGGATTACGAATAAGCTCTCCTAGCTGCTGAGAAGATAGATCATAATACCTCTCCCACACCAGATTGTTCTTCTCCAACTTCATCAGAATCTCCTTGGGAATTCCAGGAAACTGCCAGAGGGGTGTCTGAACACTCCACATCCTCTTCCCTACCATTTTAGACAAGTTGAGAGCTTTCTCAGACAGTTGAGCCCACCCCCTCTTCAACACAATCTCAAAAATAGCTCGTAGCAGACGTCCAGCACTCTGGGTAATATAAACCATGTCAGATGACAAAGAAAGACCCTCGAGCTTTAGCTTTGAAATATATACTTGCAGCAAAACGTTGATCTTTGCACTAGGATCTTCTAGTGTTTCCTTTACCGGAATCGGTACACGATCCAAAAGCTTAGCCAGTTCCATCTTCTCATCTTGTCGAACAGTGACATACTTGAACTCCTCACTCAGTGAGAACAGACGACAAAGCTCTATATCATTCATTGTTGGCTTCAAATTCTCATTGTATGCAGCTATTGTCCCATGGGTTATGTAGTAGTAGCTAGCAATGCGTCCCAAATCAGTAACCTGGAAGTGTCCACTTTTCCTGTCGTACTTAATCAGGTTGTTCTTGTCCAAGATAGTAGCAGCAGAATGTATCAGATCAGCTCTTCTCTCTTCTAATAGCAAGTCTTTTGCAAGGGCATCAGGCGGTACGCCATACAGTGTCGGATTACGAACCATGCGGACATATAAATATGTATAGCCAAGCCAGTGGCAAGCTTCTCTAGCATTCTGAATGGTTCCAAGCACAATTTCAGCATTGAGCTGATCGGCAAGTTTGGAAATAAACTGGCTTTCAATAGGTAGTTGCTCATTCATCAAACGAAGATAGTACTGTAGCTCGCTGTATCCAGTGATTATTATTCCCTCTCCTTGTTGGTCATACTGAGGTCTTCCGGCACGACCAATCATCTGCATAACATCTAAAGGACTCAGCTCCATCCACGCCCCTCTCTCAGGATTATATACTTGGGTTCCTTTGATAATGACAGTGTGTGCAGGCAAATTCACACCCCAGGCAAGAGTTGCCGTGGAAATCAACACTTGCAAATTCCCCAAGCGAAATTGATTCTCAACTATCTCACGATCAGTCCTTGTCAACCCAGCATGATGAATAGCAAAACCATAAGGCAGAAGCTCTTTCAGGTCACTATTCTTGAGAAGTTCAGTCAAACTTTGAAGAATTTCACGACTTTGACTATCTTCTTTCAAGAATCTGCTGAGGGTATCATTTGCCATTGCGGTGTCCCGAATTGCTCTTGCAGTTTTTGATGTTTCCTTCCTCGAATGGACAAAAATAAGGACCTGGTGTTTTCCAGCAACAGCCAATACTTTCTGATAACATATATCGTTCATCAACTGGAATCTCCGCAACGGCTTTTTCACATTAATTCCGATGTACTGCTGACCGAGAGGTACAGGTCTGTAGCTGCGGTCAAATTTAAACAACCCATTTTTAAGATCCACCCGCAAAAATAAAGCCACATCGTCACAATTAGGCAGTGTTGCAGATAAACCTACCAGACGAATATGCTCCTTTGTGGTTTCAATCTGCCTAAGAGTCCTAGCGACAATACTTTCAAGCACAGGCCCTCGATTATCATGAAGAAGATGAATTTCGTCGATTATAAGAAGCCTCACAAGCTGAGTATAAGTGCGATCTCCAGATTTCCTGGTGATGATATCCCACTTCTCTGGCGTTGTGACAATTATCTGCGTCTCTTTGATTTCTAGCCCAGTAAGGGACTGATCCCCGCTGAGTTCCTTCACAGTAACTCCATAATCCTTCAAACGTTTAGATAGACTATCCACGACCTCAGCAACAAGGGCTTTCATAGGTGCAACATAGACAATTTTGTAATTCCCATGATTAAATGTTCCATCTGGGTTCCTATTTAATCCAAGCTGGTGAAGTATGGTGAGCACAGCAACATTGGTCTTCCCCGCACCAGTTGGAGCACAAAGAAGAATGTTCTCTGCCTTAAAAAGAGCAGTGCCGTACACTTTGCTCTGAACCCTGTTCAACTGCTGCATTCCCTTAAAAGCTGGTTGGGCCCAATCTGGCAAATCGCTTATTTTCACAAGCTTTTCATTACTATCAAACTTTTTAGAAACCCACGGCACATGAACCTCATCAAATTCCTTGCCACGTATTCTGAAAGAGCGATCGGGAAGCTCACACTTGATATTCTCCCTCGTGAAACCACCTTGGTTAAAAGCAAGGCTCTCCAGATCCAACACCTGACGCTGACCCTTCAACCAACCATTCTCCAAATCTATATCATCAACATCTCTCATGCCTCTGTCTCCATCTACACCAGAATCATCAACCATTAGATGCCGGGCTTCTTCTTTGATATCTTTCTCCCGTTTCTCCTCCCTTTCTTTGGCTGTTGCTCTTTTTGCATGCAACGCCTTCACAATTGCTGCCAACTCTGGGCCCAACCCCGTCATCTCCTCCTCAATTTGATTCCTGTCTTCCTGGTCTCTTGCCCTAGCCAAACGGGTGCACCACACAACTTTAAGGCGATTTTGCAACAGAAATTTAACAAGGCTGAACTTTTCAAACTGAAGGTGCTCAAGCAGCTTGATCTCAGCATCCCTATCACTACCCTCAGCAAGTATCTTAAGCAGCTCTTCTGCGAGTTCCTGGCACTCTTGTGCATCAATCTTCTGCTCATATTCTTGAGATATCTTTCTCTGAAGCCAATAAGCATCAATATCCTGAACATTAAGACTCGTATCCTCCTTTGCATGTCTTGCATCCTCACCGTTTATCGCCATACCCACCTGGACACCTCTGGTTTTGTTAGGCTCAACAGCGTCTTCATCCTCCTCATCTTTTTCATCCTGGACCATATCAAGATCACTCTCCTCATCATCCTCTTCAAATTCAAGTGCCACACCAACATCATAATCAAGTCCTTCATCCTCACAAGCTTGACCACTTAAAGAATCACCACCCTCCTCTTGATAGTCTGTAATCAGTTTTCCAATGGTAACAAACTGATTGAAAACCTTATCAGGAATAACGTTTAGTAGTTTCACAATCTCTACCTTCTTTTCATGGTTTTTGACGGATTCGTTCTTGAGAACAGCCAAAATCTCATCAGCCGCACCACAAACAATATTCGAAGGCTGCCCACCCAATTGCTGTTGAATAAGACCAAGCATAGTCTCAAAAGCAGCCCTTGTTTCCTTACTCTTGGGCTGATAGACACCATCATCCGTATCAGTAAGCACACTCACCTCCCTGAAACGAGGTCTTTTACTCTCCCGAGCAGACACCAAATCATCATCACGCTCCTTCTTCTTCGATTTATTCAGCCTCTCATCTATCTCATGAGGCCTCCCCTTAACAACACGATCTCCAAAGGATTTCGGATCAATTCTGCCCCTGAGACTCTCCGGTTCACCAGAAGATTCATGCCTATCACGACGATGATCATCACTGTTAAGAACCAGACTGGAATTGGCTTTGTACCCATACTGCTTCAACCTAGCTTGCTCCTCCGCACCACCGCCACCCAAATTCGACATCACCAAATCGGAAAAAGAAACCCCAAATTCCAAAATTAAATCAATGAAACAAAACAAAAAGCGGAACGAAAAACTCTTCTATTACCTCTCCCGTTCTCCGCAATCGTCGTCTTTCGGATTTGATCGAGTCAATGAAAAAATAATTCAGAGGTACGATTTTCCCTTCTTATTTTTGTGCAACAGAGGCACGGTTTTAATCGGACAATATATATAACCCAACTAAACCGACTATACATTGTCGGTCACAAATTCCAAATCCAAAGGCCCATAGGTCTGTAACTAAATTGTGGATTTGTCCGTTTCAATCGGTTTAACCATAACTTGAAGAAACAATTAATTAGAATTGGTTCTTGGTTAGTGTTTTCGTATTATCGTCTTATTTAGACCGTACCAACTACCAACCAGCCAAGCCGGTTTTCTGGATCGAATCCTATGAAAATGAACGGTGAGGATTCGATCTAGAAGGCAATGCGTACGTAAACTTCAATGGTCTCTAGCGCACATGATTGATACACGAACGACCGTTAGTATTAGTAAATGGAATTGGGCCAAAAGCCCAGTCTTATTAAGAAGGGCAAAATTGTAATCTGACAAAGAATTTGACGAATTGTGTGCTGAAAAAACGAAAATTTTATCCCGCCTGAGATGAAAATTCAAAAAATTTCACACAGGTGAAACTCTCCGACACGTGCGAGCTCGAAAATTTTCATTTTCAATTATAAAACCCGCCTAGAAGATGGTCTTAATTTTTTTGCCAGATCGTCTCTCTCTCAAAAGCTTTTCTCTCTTTTTCTCCTTTGTCCCCTCCACTTTACCGTTCACGAAGCTTTCACGAAGGAATCTATTGAAGATTTATAGGTAAATCCATGGTTTGATTTGTTTAGAATTAGGTTCTTTGTGAAGTTTCGAGAAAATCTGATTGCAATGGAGAACAAGATTGAGTTCTTATTTGAATTTCTGGGGTTGTTAATTTCGTCAATGTTGTGATTTCAATATTGGGTGTGTTTTAATGGTTTCGTTATTCGATTTATGCAGTGTTGAATCACAATGCCAGAAGCAAGAGACAGAATAGAGAGACCAGTTGATTACCCAGCCGCATTTCTCAATAGACGCTCGCATGGTATTTTACTTGACGAACCAGCAACACAGCACACTTTGTTTGGGTCTCCGGTTCAGAGAGTGCCGTCCGAAGCTACCGGAATTGGGTCAGTTGGTCAAGGATCTATGACGGGAAGAGGTGGGCTTGTGAGGGGTAATTTCGGTATTCGGCGGACTGGTGGTGGTAGAAGAGGTCAAATTCAATTTAGATCGCCACAGGGACGAGAGAACATGAGCTTGGGTGTTACAAGACGTGGAAGGGCTCGTGCTTCAAATTCTGTGTTACCTTCTTGGTATCCAAGAACGCCCCTCCGTGATGTTTCTGCTGTTGTTAGGGTTAGTTGACTAAACCTAGTCTGATTTTGATTTTGCCTTCTTATTCTTGGATTTAATTGGAGTTTTTTTCATTGATATATAGCCAATTTGTGATCTGTTTATATCTGGTTTGTGATTTGTATCTTGGTTCTAGGATTTATGTCGACTGTTTAACATTGGTATATACCAATGTTCTGATCTGAAAAAGTTAATGTAATTACCCTTATACCCATATTTGTTTGGAGTTTGCACATAGATAATTGTTTTGCTGCATCTTGATTACCTCACTAGTTTTTTTCCAGCTGAATTGGAACCTGATGCTTATAAGCTGGATTAGTCTTCTGTAACAGGCTTGCTTAGCCTCGTTGTTTAACTATATCATAACCTGTTGCCAAAAGGCTTGCTTAGCCTGGCTATTTATTCTATTTACAAATTCGTATATGCAGGCTATTGAGAGAAGGAGAGCTCGTATGGGAGAAGGCGTTGGCCGAGATATTGAGACCCCAACTCCACAACAGCTTGGGGTTCTTGATTCTCTAGTACCACTTTCAGGTGCTCAGCTCGAGCATGATTACTCTATGGTTACTCCTGGTCCATCTGTTGGATTCAAGCGTCCCTGGCCACCCTCAACTGCTAAAGTCCATCAGATTCTGCTCGACATCACAAGAGAAAATACAGGGGAAGAAGATGCCCTCACTCCACAGAAGAAGCTCCTCAACTCTATTGACAAAGTGGAGAAGGTTGTGATGGAAGAGATTCAGAAAATGAAAAGCACTCCTAGTGCAAAGAGAGCAGAAAGGGAGAAAAGGGTTCGGACGTTAATGTCAATGCGATGATATCCACTTTTCATACTCAGAAAAGAAAAAAAAATGAAGTGACATTAGGAGGAGACCATAGGATTCAGGGAATAATGGTGTGCCTGCACAGTGAGTACATCATCTTCTTATGATATCTAAGAGAGGTGGATCATCTACTGGTGATATTTCATGAGCGTGTGGATCTGTTGAGGCTTTTGGGTATCATTCTCTGATGATTTACTAGAAAGGGGTCAATCATCTCTCTGATGATATATAGTAGGAAGATTCTATCATGTTTCTGATGATAAAAACATAGTAAGAGATTCATCTTCTGATGATATATCGTAGGGGTGATAACTGTTAGATAGTTCACGGGTTTATGTTGGAAACCTTTTTTAGGCTTTTTGTATGATGATGTCTTCTTGATTCAGGATATTGTAGTTAAACAGATTGTACAGAAGTTTTGTTTGTTGGTGGAAATTGCAGATGTTCTTTTAGCCTGAGATTTCTTGTGTATCTGTAATTGTCACAATCGGGGAAATGCCTTCTATTAAAAAAAACTATAATGAAACAATTTTCTTGAATTAAACAATTTTCATATATGTTACGTCACACATATTTGATATTGAGTAAAAGATTACACCTCTGTTTGTTTTCTTTACAATGAGCATCTAATAAACAAGATTCGTCTGTCTGGGTATAAATACAATCACACCTCAAAATGTCCAATAAACCTGCAATGGATCTAGAACTAAACACTAACCTTAATATTCTCATCACATCCTTCGTTTCTGCTTTCATGCTTTATGCTCTCTTCAAATGGTTCTTGAGGGAGCAGGGTTCAATGGCTGCTACGAAGCTGCCACAGAGCCCTCCAGCTTTACCATTCATTGGCCACCTTCATTTGATAGGCAAAGTATTGCCCGTCTCATTCCAGGGTCTAGCTCACAAGTATGGCCCACTCATGGAGATACGTCTCGGTGCTTCTAAGTGCGTTTTAGTCTCAAGCTCTTCGGTGGCGAGAGAGATTTTCAAGGAGCAAGAGCTTAATTTCTCCTCGAGACCTGAGTTTGGATCTGCTGAGTATTTCAAGTATAGAGGGTCCAGGTTTGTCCTGGCGCAGTATGGAGATTACTGGAGGTTCATGAAGAAGCTGTGCATGACTAAGCTTCTTGCTGTTCCACAGCTGGAGAAATTTGCTGACATCCGTGAGGAGGAGAAACTGAAGCTGGTCGAGTCTGTGGCTAAGTGTTGCAGAGAAGGGTTGCCTTGTGACTTGAGTAGCCAGTTCATAAAATACACCAACAATGTAATCTGCAGGATGGCGATGAGCACGAGGTGTTCAGGTACTGATAATGAAGCAGAAGAGATAAGGAAGCTGGTGAAGACAAATTTGGAGCTTGCGGGGAAGATCAGTGTAGGAGATGTGTTGGGGCCATTGAAAGTACTGGATTTTTCTGGGAACGGGAAGAAATTAGAGGCTGTAATGGAGAAATATGACCTGCTTGTAGAGAGGATTATGAAGGAACGTGAGGCAGAGGCGAAGAAGAAAGATGGTACCAGAAAGGATATTTTGGATATACTGTTGGAAACTTACAGTGATCCCACTGCTGAAATGAAGATAACGAGGAATGACATGAAATCTTTCCTGCTGGTATGTATCCTCTCACCTGCGATTAGTATCCAATTTTCAATTTGATTATTCAATTTGACTATTCTGATATGATAAAACTGTGTGCTGCGTGAAACTTCCCTAGGATGTTTTCATGGCGGGAACAGATACATCAGCAGCAGCAATGCAGTGGGCAATGGGGCAATTAATAAATCATCCACAAGCGTTCAACAAGTTAAGAGAAGAGATCAATACCGTAGTTGGAAGTAAAAGACTGGTCAAAGAATCAGACGTTCCTAACCTACCTTACCTCCGAGCCGTCCTAAGGGAAACTCTGAGGCTCCACCCTTCAGCTCCTCTGATCATAAGAGAATGCGCAGAAGACTGCCAGGTGAATGGGTGCCTTGTCAAGTCAAAAACCCGTGTACTCGTAAATGTCTATGCAATCATGCGAGATTCAGAACTATGGACGGATGCAGACAGATTCATCCCCGAGAGATTTCTAGAGAGCTCTGAAGAGAAGATAGGTGAACACCAGATGGAGTTCAAGGGGCAGAATTTCCGCTACCTTCCATTTGGGAGTGGAAGAAGAGGATGTCCAGGAGCATCCCTTGCCATGAATGTGATGCATATAGGTGTGGGTTCATTGGTGCAGCGCTTCGACTGGAAGAGTGTTGATGGACAGAAGGTCGATCTGAGCCAAGGTTCTGGTTTTTCTGCTGAGATGGCTCGTCCACTTGTGTGCAACCCTGTTGATCACTTTAAAACCTTCTAAGTGCTTATGTATACCGCTAGATGTTACCTGTTTCTATAAGATTTCCCAAGAAGTATATGTATAAAGGAACCATGGTTCTGTATAATTTCAAGACTCTTACATAAAACTTGCTCTCCAAATATGATCCCTTAAATCAATATGATAAATAATACATCTGTGTACTGTGACTATACATGCATATAGCAAAGTTCAGTACCTATGCCGTTTTGGCATGACATTTCTACTTTATCATTACTAATCAGAGCTTAATCAATTTTAACCCTAATTAATCTTCTTACGCATTCCCATCCGTGATCTAGCATATCTGATATTGCTTGTTAAGTCAGTTCTTGGGAAAGCGGTAAACTCCCACGAGTAAACACAAAGAAATAAAATGGGTATAGAAGTGAAGGATACTGCAGCCTCAAACCTTCCCCAGTGAGGGATGAGTAAAGCACTGTCCCTTGAAGAGTATGTAGTGCTTCACTTGAGCAGCTGACATCCTGCAGAGCCACATATCGAAGTAAACATGTCAGAGTCAATTCACTCTTTAAACAAAATAGGATCTCTCTCGATTTCATTAGAAAAAGATATGGCAAGAGCTGTACCTGGAAATCAACAAATGCAACAGGAGTCCCATATGTACCCTGAATCTTCAGCTTCAAGAATCCACGACATCTGAGAGGAAATAGAGTGAAAACTATCTCTAGTGGTTACAGTTTTGCGTAGAGAATAGAGTATTCTAACCTCGAGAAAACTTGAATTAGCTCAGCTTCGGTGCAATTTGGTCCCATATTCGCTATGAAAAGTGTTGGACAAGGATCTGCCGCCTTACTCTGTCAAAAGAACAAAGATTCTTATGTACACTGGTAAGGATAGTTTACCTCACTGTTTTTCGTCCAGACAGAAACAATATTCATATGAAAGTATAAAATAGGCAGAAGCTTACAGATTTTCCAGTAGTCGGTGCCCTCCGAGCAACATTAGCAATTCCTTGACTGAACGAGCAAAAAGAATATAATGAAACCCTGAGTTTCTTGAGAATAGCTAAGACAGAACGAGCTAATAGCTAGAAAAGAACAAGCTCTCTCGTAACCAGTATCTAGGGCATGGGAGCTAGAACTAGTTCAGCTAAGCCTTAAGTAGGTCAGATTTCAGGGCAGAGATACAAGAAAAGTGTGTGCAACAAAGACACAGAATCTAAGCATTCAAGTAGTGCAGATGACCTTTGTGCAGGTGAATAACCAATTGTGTTGTAAGCAGAACTACTCATTCCAGGAGTGTGAAAGCTGCCAAAACCTGCTAGTGCCCAAACGTGCAAGAATGTGCAGTGTGAGCTTTCAGAAACGTGAAACCATGTTGACGGCACTTAAAGCCCAAGTGTGAAATCTTAAACCAAAAAGAGCTAACATGCATGAGCTTGAGGATCGTGAAGATTGGAAGTTTGTAACGATAAATACTATACAAATATTCAGATACAAGAAACATAAAATACAAAAGGTCACAAGAAGCCCCAAGATGAAAACGTGTGGCAATGATCTTACCAGATTCAGTAGTGGTGCTCCAAGGCTTGGGTTTCTTCAAGCTTTCCCAACCATCATCTACCACATCACAAAATAAAAATTAACACAATAGCAAAGATCAAACTTTTATTGAGCTACCGAACCGAAAGAATCCTACTACTTGCCTGTTCTTGAACGCTTAGATTTGGGATTTGATTTGGCAAGGTCAATGTGAAGAGTAGAATGCTTTTCAAGATCAAACACCATTCCCTGAAAGGTAAAAAAATAAACAAAGATAACTTAATGCTCTTCATAAATAAATTCAGAAAATTTCTTAATCCAGGCTAAGGTAAATGAACAAAGCTTATTCATTTACGCAGACAAAACCCAACCAAACGATTTCAAGTTACTTAGATTGAATAAGAACAACCATAAAGACACCAAATTTACTTAATACTACTACTTTGTAAGTAGAAACATCGGCGAGAAATTTCAAGAGCAAGTTCGAAGAAATTTGTACTCACATTGAGAGCATGCATCACCGCTACAGCTGATTGCAGATCCGAGAACACAGCAAATGCAAAGGGCTACCAAAAAAATAAGTAATTTCTTCGCCGGAAAACATCACTACCCAAATCACAAATCCGGAGTGATAGAAAATGATTACCTTAGCTCCATCTGAGCTCCGGAGATGTGAAGTCTCATATCCTGGGAACTCACGAAAGAGATTATAGATCTCCCGAGGCTTGACATCTTCAGGAAGTCCGGCGACGAAAAGCGTCCGAACCTCATCGCGAGCACCGATTGAGACATGTGTAGGCAAATAGACGGAATGAGCTGAAGTAACTGGAATCGGAGCCAGTCCCGGCGGCGTAGGAGGAACAATCGCCGGTAAATTATAGTTAGAGTAGTAAGCTGCCAAATCATCCATTGACGACGACTTAATTTCGTCGCCGGTAAAAAACTGAGTCGCAGTTTTACAACGGAGAAGAAACTAATTTATCAAAGTGTTCCTTAATGGGCCGTAAGCCCATTTAAATATCGGCCTTTTTGACCCATTATTGATCACGAGGCGTAGGATAATAGCATGTGGTTGCACACACAGTAACATAACACTCTCTCTCTTCTCTTCTTCTTCTCGATGACAATTGTTCAAAGATCTGCAACTTCATAACTGCTCTCTCATTCTCTTTCTCTGGTTTTGAGGCATAATGACGGAAGAACTCATCGACCAATCACCACCTCCTGACCCAGACCCGATTCAAACTCCGAACCCGATTCAAAATTCGAATTTAATAATCCACCCGAGACGTGTTCCTTTCGAGCACGGCCTTCTTCCGATCCAGAAGCTTGTTTTTACCGACCCGATTCAAACTCTAGCTCCGATCAAGCAAAAGCTAGCTGCTTCCGCAACGAATAACCGCGTCGGATCTGCTGCCATTTCCGATGCACTCTCGATCTCCGATGACCATGCGCGCCTCGTTCTTGAAACTCTCGGTTCGGTGCTCCATTGTGAGACTGACCCATTGGTTTTGGCCAAACCTGAGGAAGTTGATTCCGTCGGAGCTGATTGGAGGGATCTGATATTGTTTCTCTACATTCAATCGTATAAGAAATTGTTGCCTAGGACGCATAAGGACTCTGCTTCTGTGGCTGATGTTTGGCCATCGACTTCTGCTTTTGATGGATACTTGTCGGCATTATCTCCAATTCAGGCAAGTTTTTCTACGTTTTACATTCTCCTAGTTATGTAATGTGGCTCAAAATGTTATCTTGTGATCTATTTGGTAGGGAAATGATACTTAACGTTAACGTTAGCATTAAGCAATATATGACAAGGCTTGTCTGAAATTTGAAATATTTTTGTGATAATTGTTCTCATTACTGTTTGTATCATATGGGCCGAGACAACCTTGTTGTTGTTGAGGTTTTAAGTTAAATTTCCTTTCATCATCTTGCAGCTTGTTCGTAGCAACAGCCGTCGGTTTATGCCATCACCGACAGATGAAGAAGCTCATCAATTATCGTATCTGCAAAAGCACATAGCAAATATTGTTTCTCTCCTTGCAGAGCCTGTGGAGGGAGAAGAAGATGAATCTTTGGTATGTGCTAACCCTTTTTTTATCTCATTTGGGATGGAAGAACTGTTTGTATTAGATGGATAGAAAAACTTATGTCGTAATACAAATATTATGGGAAATGGAAAAGAACGAATATCTCATGCTAGATGGTCCAAATCTCCTCCTCAGGTCCTGTCTATGGGGAGTTTGGAGCATATTGGGTTTCTTGTTCATTATGGTGATAAGGGATTTGATGTACCTTCTTTAAGCCAAGCTAGTCCTTTTTTTGCGAATTCTGATCCCAATATGCCCGCTGTCCCCGTTCCTGCTTCCCAAGTGAATGATTGGCTTCTCAAAGACATAGCTTCCGCCTTAGAAAGCATTTCTGACAGAATTTCTGGGAAAGAAAATGGGGCATCTAATGCCTCTGATCAAGATGCTGCAATGGCAAATTCTTTTGGAGCTCTTAATAAAGTTTCATCTAACGACAGAGGTCCGTGTATTATTGAGGGAGTCTCTAAGACCTCACTTTTTAAGCAGGCTTCTGATCTTAAGGGTAGATCAGTGAAGGTCCGTATTAAACAACTAATTTGCATTGGAATCAGCTATCTTTCACATTTTGTAGTTGTAAAATTCCTCATTTAGTTTCTTTCGCTCATATATGCATGTCACTTGCATATTTTGTGTATTCTGCAGGTTGCCAATTGCCATGATTCTGTTATTTATCTGTTAGCGCCATTGAGATATGCAACTGTGTATGGATGTTCTGATTCTACTATCGTTCTGGGAGCTGCTGGCAAGGTACGTCATATATACTACTTCCTGCTTTAGTCTTTGTTAGAAGATGCAGTGAGAATATTTTATATTCTCTGCAGGCAGTAAGAGTTGAGCATTGTGAGAGAGTTCATGTGATTGTAGCTACCAAACGAATCTGCATCGCCAATTGCCGTGAATGTGTGTTCTTTTTGGGAGTCAATCAGCGACCTCTTATTGTTGGTGACAACCACAAACTACAGGTGATGTGTCTCCCTAAGATTGAGGGTTTAATTTACAAGTTTTATATCGGGCTGCATGTACAACTCTTCTCCCGCTCTGATATTCAGCTGAAATTAGTAAATAGAACACAGTTTTTTGTAACTTTAGATTATATTTTTTCTGTGTTAAAGCCTGGTATACTCATGATCATATAAATGGTTCATGGTGTTTGGACAGTTGAACATGCTGTTAGAGTCACTTCTTCAGTTGAGTTAAGTGGAAACATCTTCTGATGTGTTGTCTATAACTGATGGCATCAATGTGACTGTGATCTGTTCCAGGTTGCTCCATATAATACATTTTACTCACACTTGGAGGAGCACATAACCGAGGTAGGAATTCAGCCAACTATCAACAAATGGAATGAATCCTTGGCACTGGGAGCAGTTGATCCGCATGACTCACTATCACATCCGACTGGTGCCTCTGATAAACAATCTGAACCGGCTTCTTGTGTGGACCCTGACCAGTTCACTACCTTTTTGGTTAGATTCCCCTTTTTGTTATTTTAATTTTCCTCTATTAACTAGTGATGTTGGTTACTAAGATTACGATCATGGATTAAGATCTCACATCAATGTCACTGGTTCAGATCCCAAACTGGTTTGAGGGTGAAGCGCTTGGTTCCACGAAAGACAATCCATTTCCATTGCCAGATGCATATAAGGCAGTGCAGCAGACAAACGTATGGTTTTTTTTTTTTTGCTTTTCTGCATAAAATTGCTCGTTTGTTTTTCATCCATATCCCAGCATCTGATCCCTAAACTGCGTTTTGGTTTTGAGCAGCTTAAGAACTTAGAAGAAACAAGACAATCACTAAGAGAAACATCTCTTGAAGAAAACCGAAAACGAGAACTTACTACAGCGTTCCACATGCATTTCAAAGACTGGCTCTACGGTAATCAAATCAAATCCACATTCTAGTTCATTTACTTCATTGGTCATGCAATGATCTATATGTATCTATTTCTTTGGTGACAGCAACTGGAAATATTCGGCAACTTTACTGCCTACAAGGCGACTAAAGACCAATAGCGATGGAAAATGTCAGAGTCACTGTAGAGTTCTCTTGATCCGTTGTTACTCAGAGATTGCTAGCACGTTTGACATCAGAACTTAAATGCACAGCACTCTCTCTAACTCCTAAAGCTCTGTTTGTGTAGGTTTCTCTCTGCTTTGATCATATTTATTAGTTTTAACTATCCACGTTTTTGTCCTTGAAAAACATGATGCAATCTTGTCTTTTTAAGTGTTGATTTCTTTCAATTGCTATAAGCAGATATCAACTTTGCTCAATACCATATATATAAATCTTTTTCAATCTTTTCTCTTAAGCATCTCTACACATTCAAAACAGGTGAAAACTGTGAAAACTTCTCTGGATCAATTGTTGTTTTGTCTTGTCTTAGCTTGTTGGAGGAAAGAGCTTCTCTGCTTGGTCCGGGAAGAACTGTATGAACAAATAAGCACCTGCAAGTTCAACAAAGTCTTCTTCATAACCAAAAGAAAAGATCAAACAACATTATGTATACTCTTCAACTCTATGGTAAATTATACTTACACACGAGCACTGTTCCTAAGACTGCTGAGATCTTGCCTTGAATTGTGATAAGCCCTGCTTTGCCTGCATTCTGCAACTCGGTGGAACCAACCGATTCAAATGTCCCTAAAGACGCAACAACCAGTGAATCCGATTCATCATCTTTCTCAAATCCAAACTATCTCCAAAACCCATCAAGAAATCATCTTAGATGAAACCAAATGGAATCAAACCTGGTTTTACAGATTGTAGCCCTGATGTTACACAAGCGATGTTTTCGTAACCTGCTTCCTCCAATCTGCTAGCTGCAGCTGCAGATCTTTTCAAGATCGAACAAAGAAACTTAAAATTCTCTTCATACTACATTCGGTGATACAATGTCTCAGTGAAATCCAGAGTTTGTTCTACTCACCTGAGACCTTCTTGGCAAACAAGTAAAAGTTTGCGGTCTTGTGAAAACTCGTTTCTAACGGATTTAAGGAAGTCCGGATTCACTTTCGTGAAAGGTAAACCAAAGAAGAGCCCTGAGAAATTGTTGTGCACTGTCCTCTTTATGATCGTGCCTGCAATTTTGTTCAGACAAAACCACTTAGAATTATAATAATGCCTACTGTTTGTTCAAGTTAAGGCTATAGTTCTTACCAATATCGTTGTCTTCGTTGTAAATGAAGAGAGGGATATGGGAGCAAGATTTTATATGAGCTCTCTCGAACTGAGTCTTGTCTCTCACATCCACCACCGAGTAACCTTCTTCAGCTATTAACTGCTTTGCTTCTTCTGCATTCACGAATTTCACTTCCGCCGCAATCCTCAAGCTTCTCCGGCGGATAACGTTCCTGGAGACACTCTGTCCCGCCCAGCCCACCGCTTTCAGTCGCCTCCCGCCGACATTACTGTATCAGAATTCGAAACTGTTAACTTTGTCTGACTGATTCTTGTTTTGGATGAGAACTAGCCAAGATTAAAGCACTTAGGCGAATTATCAAAAGGAGTCAGCTTTCAGTTGATGGAACTCGTATTACCTGGTGAAATAAAGAGCCGTAGGGCTAGGGCTTATGATCCCCGCCATTGCTGCAGAGGTCTCTGGAAAAAGAACTCGTCACTCACTGTGATGCGATAGTTACTTGGACAAGAACCACAAGATTAGCCATACCACAAGGAAATTTAAGATAGCCAATGAATTATTGCCACGTATTCAACTCTGCTTTTACATGTAGATCTCCAAATCCATATCATCTGATTGTTTTACGTTTCATGTTTGTTTCCTTATGCTTGTCATGTTCAAATCTATTATAAATTCAGATAAAAAAAACTAGCTTGAGATTTAACAGAAGCAAGCAAATGACTGATTAGTGATTACTGAAAGCTGAAACAATTGCAGACAAAGTTGATTTTTATTGTAGGAAACATTCAGACAAAAGATGTGAGAAAGTCGCTCTCCAGCAAACAGGAGGAAACAAGAGCAAAGAGTTTCATGATTTCACATATCGATCCAGATACAATAAACAAAAAAAGAGAGGACATGGCAGAGAGATTATCTCAAAAGCCCGGGATCAGCAAATGCACATCTTATTAATTCCAGGCACTAAAGGAGAAATCAGGAATCGGCTTCAGCTCTTTTCTCGACGGTGTAAGGATAGTATTCCCTGCCAGTGTCTACTCTTGTGGTCTGACCTCCAGAATCAATCAAAGCAGAGGTAACAGCTAGTGTTGCACCTGCAGCTATCGCTGTCGGGATGCTCCTTGCTGTAAACCAAGGAAAACAAATTATCACCAAATAAACCAAATACAATGAAGTATAGCATTAAAAGAATGCACAAATCTATAGCATCATGTCTCTCAAAGCTTATGTACTTTCGATCTTTACTATATGAGAATTTGGGAGTTTCTTGTACATACTCAATAGTCAATATCAAAGTCTTGATCCACTTGTGGTATCATATAGATATGCTACACTAGGCACCAAATAACATTAACCTGAGGTAAGGAAGAATCAATTTCTTCCCATCACAATTCGTTTAGTTACTACCACTCGAAATCGTTGTTTGTCCATCAAAAACTACTAAGCTCCTAAAACACGTGAAGTGAACTACATACTGCTAGTTCCAGCAACTTCAAATGGTCTTCCCCAAAACCATATCAGTTCCTAACTACTTAACCATCGATACAGTAACGAACCATGAGTGAAGAAGAAAAAGCATTACCTCTATAGCCAAGCACAGAAGCTCCAGCCACAAAACCACCAATAGCACCATTGTAAAAATCTCTCTTGGATCTGAAATTCTGAACCAGCTGTTCAACACCGATGTAAACGCCTCCGATGGCAGCGAAAGTCAGCCCGTGGGTTCCCATCATCTTCAGTGTTCTAATAAGTCCTGGAAGAGCCACATTTCTCTCCACCCTTGGAACATCTTTCCATATTGCCAAAATGGTTCCGTAAATCGTCCCAGCACCAAAACCAGTGATACTACCTTTGATTGTCTTCATCAACGGACCATCTTCTTCTTCCAAATATCTCATTTCAGCTGGATCCATGATTTCTTCTACGGTTCTACCTAACGCACACAAGTAAAACATAGAGAACACGATCAAACAACAACATAAACATAAAAATGTGAAATTTTCAATGCGGAGTGTATCAAAAGACGTGGGTTTGAAGGAATTTCATCAAATTGAAGTTTTAAAGTCGCGATTTTTACAAATTTATGAACCCATTTCCAGATCGTCAATATAATCTGGTTTAAGACCCAAAGATTATGTAGAGAGACATTAGATTGGAACAGAAAAATCCGAGATTTGATTAAAAGCAAAAGCAGAACCCTAGTTTTTGAAAAGCTCATTAAGCTCATCAAAGTTGTAATACAAGAAGAAATGGAATCCATCACTAACTACGACAAGAAATTCTACAGAACAAAACGAAGAGGGATCATTGAAGAATTCAGAAAAGTCTAACCTTTGGAATTCGAAGAAGCGAAGGATGAGCGATTCAGTGGCGGAGCTCAATGAAAGATGTTTTGTTGTTGTTCTTCAGGAGACGAGACGGTAGAGCCAGAGAAAGCCCAATTAGAAGAATCTAACGGAAGTTCATGTGGGCCTCTTAGGCCCATTATTAAGCCCATTTATGATATTCTCTTTACGTCAGCGAAGCTCTGATGACCATGGAAGATGATGAGATCTTTCTCTTTCTTTTTTTTTTGATGAATGATGATGAGATCTTTAGGAAGAAAGGTCACTATCATCGTCTTTACTTTTTACTGTTTCTGACGAGACCTTTTTATAAATATAAGAATCATAACTTTAATTTCATGGCGATAAAACAACAACTCGCATAACAAAAAAAAAAAAATCAAAAGCCATTCTCTGGCAACAATTGTCTGGTTTATTAATGTAGCAGATAACAGAACAAAAAAAGAAACAAAAGATAAGATATTGCAGAATCGCTCATTGTAAGAAGATTCTCTCAGAGAGACCAGTTGGTATGGTGAGAGGAAGAGTCATAAGCCCTTGTGTTCTCATCTTCCATGTACTGTCTCCTACTTTGATGATGGTGATCAGATAACTCGAACTCACTCATTGTTGTGCCACTGCTTATCTGACAATTATCTGGCTCGGTGTACCGACCCAAATTCAAAACAGGAGACATATCATTATTATCGTCCTTGAATACCCAAGGCGGGTTCAGATACTGATGCTGGCTAGGTGCAGGTGGTGGCTGAGCCATTGTAACCGTCATCGGGCCAAAACCTGAAGAAGCTCGCCATGTGTTATTGTTGTTGTTGTCCTGTGGTTGATGTGGATTTGACAGAAGAGAGAGAGCACAGTTTGAGTCGCCAATTCCCTTGTAGCTCTCTAGTTTAGTGTCCATAATCTCTGGAGATGAGAAGCTTGTCCCTCCTCCACCAACTGAACCTTGACTAAATACATTCATTGGATTGATCTGCCACGACGGTGATGACACGGGCCGTCTCATCACTCTCGTATCCAACGTTCTTTCACTAGGCCATCCCATCCCTTGGCTCCCAAGAAAGCTTCCATTCATTCCAGCATCAGCGTTTCCTGTTATAAGCATATAAACATCTATCTTTTAAGGATAAATTAAGCACACAAATTGGTCTTCTATGTCGAGCTTTAGGATCTAACCGTAAAGTGATGGTGCGATCCTCCCATAACGAGAAGATAACACAGAGAGAGAGGCAGGCTGTGGCTTCCTCCGTCGCTCATTATGACCAGCGAGTCTCCTACGGCAACTCCTTTTCTCTAGGTCAAACTCCGGAAGCTGATGAAACCTATGTGATTCATTCAGATTGAGTTAACTTCAAAGAAAAGCAACATAACAGAACATTCCAAACAGAGGACCTCTCCAAGTTAACCACCGTTTCTATACATACTATAAGTCATTATAAGCTTTCGTCATCAGTTTTGAATTAGAATCTAAAACCACACACTTGTGATGTAACAGAGTTCCTCAATGATCACGTCAGTGATGCTATGGTACACGTGTTTTGTCCCCCTCAATAATGATATGACCTAAAGAAGCAAAAATGAGGGCAATGGCTTTCTTCTTGTCCATTCATTTCATATCTCCTTGGATTATAGATATTTAGAAAGACAAAATCAAAAATAAATAAAAGAGAAGCATCTACAAGTACACGTAAACATATTCCCAAAAATAAGCCCAACGAGTCCAACAAACATAAGACCAGGTTGCAAAACTAAGCTGTAAAGTTTTTAAAATGAAAATAAAAAGACGTTAAAGCCAAAAAAGCATACGACACTGACAATCACAAAAAGCTAAAGCCTTTAGATTTGATTCACAACAGTGGAACAAGGACAGCCTTGGCCGGACTCGAATATCTCCGGCAATGGCAAAACATGTAAATAAACAATATAACTAAAGGGTAGAACTGGGAAGAATAAAAGAACCTGCTGCACTGTTGACAAAACCTCTGTTCGATACCAGAAACAATGACTTTAGGTGTTTTAGAGTGCACTCCACAAACTCTGTGCCTCGAGTAATAACCTTTTGCATTGGTTAGATCCATTCCACAGCCTTCCACTTGGCACCTTGGTATCTGACCCGACTGACCCGACCCGCTTCCACGGACACGTCTGTTTGAACCACCAGAGGAAGACGACCCGGATCCACCACCACCGTCCTCGAAGTAGATCTTCTGGCCAAACATGAGCCCTCCACTGAAAGAGGATGACTCAGTGGAGGAACCACCAGACTCTGCCTGACCCGGACCATGACCCGGACCCGAGTTGGAACCCATCTCCATTTTGGTTTCCTCTTACTCAGACAAAAAGGGTTTTTCTTATCATTCTCTCTCTCACAAACCTAACTGTCTCGGGTTTAAAGAAAGGACCAAAGGAGAAGAAAGCAAAGAAAATTTTGGCTTCCCTGATTTTGACTGTTTTGGGTTTAAAGAAAGGAGAGAGAGAGAAACACAACAGAAGGGAAAAAGAAAGAGACGAGAGTGGTAATAGACAAAGACAGTGAGAGAGTAAGTAAAACGGTACGGACAAACAAAAACCGTTGTCTGTTGTTAATTACCACATAGCAAAACGAGAGAGATATAGAGAGAGACGTAGCAGTTTCTAATCTTGGAGAAACTGGAGCAAGTGAACATTGGAGAGGTCTTTCATGTACACATACTTCTTTTCTTTCTTTCTTTTTTTTTTTTTTTACTTTATACTGTTCACATTTTCTACCTTTCTATAGAGTTTTTCTTTGCAATTATTTGGCAAGTTAAATGCATTTTTTCTCTTATGTCTAGAGAATAAATAAATGCATGTTTTTCCTTTTGGTCCACCATTGGCATTATGAGGTTGGCAATAAATGGAGATGATATTTTGTGTTTGTCCATAGCCATTCTACCATAAATTTGACTTGGTTTTGAACTGAATGCAAACCGATATATATCAAACTGTTTTCAAACCGAATAAAACTTATAGGCTATCAATAGTAAACATAGTTAATATGATAACTTGGATTAAGTAGGTCAGCACGTTTTCGACACGTTAAGTATACATAATTGAAGAAAAATCACTGAATATACTCTTCTTGGAAATTAAACCTGAGAGATTGATTATATTTCAAAATATGAATTGTTTATTTTTATGATTTCAAGTTGTATTTGTTTCATAGTTTTGTCATGTGAAAACTATATATTCTTAACCCTTTTATTATTTTCGTTTATCATAAGGAAATAGCTTAAACATCAGTTTATAGTTGTAAGGAGTAAGAAAAACAGTTTAAGTTCTAAAATAGCTTAAACATTAGTTTTTATAGTTGTAAACATGATTGGTCCGGACTCCGGAGCATGTGCAAACGAACCATGATTTCACACCTCAAATTTTCAAAGCTAATTTTTTGTCGACTTTTTAACTTTTTTTTTTTCAAAACATTAACAAAAGAAACACAATTTTAATTTACGTGGACTTCCAATAACTTTATACTGGTCGTCGTTGTGAGTAGAGAATCAACAACAAGTCTATGGTTTCTGTCGTTGAACTTTCTGGAACTTATTTAGATGGAATTAGAACTTCTGGACATATTTGTAAATCCCGTTAAACACGTTTGCATGGTTTGTTATTTTCTTCGTAAACACTTTTGTACCGGTTTGGGTAAACATTAATCCGTGACTCCGTGACGAATAGAAATCTCTCTTGCATTTGTTGGGAAAAAATTTATTGATCTTGTCCAGGGATTTTAGGTGTAGATTTTGGAATTTATGTGTTTTTTATGAGTCCTAGTGTTGGGTGGTACTCTTTAATGTTGGATATCCATAATTAACCGTGATGGTGATAGGTCATGTGGGATGTAAGTTTAAATTTAAGTAGTATTAAATTCTGAAAGCATCTATCTGAGAGACCCAGGGAGCAATATTCAGACTCCCCCATAGGACATCCAACTTTACAAATTTTGATAATCTGATATTGTTTTGTACTTAAAATAATAGTAACATTCGAATTTTAAAACTACTATTTTCTTCCATAGATTCTATATACTCAGCATTGGTAACCAATAGGAAACTGCCGAGGAGATCAGAGTTCTATAAATAGATAGTTTCTTCTATACTGTAGTTAGTTAAAGAGTAACGAATATGATAAGAAATTTTCTTTTATACTGATCGTGGAAAGGTTAAAATATTAAAGAGTACTGAAATATGAGCAGTACAGTTATTGGAACACAACAAAAGATGTGACACTTCAAGGGAACTAGTTGGTGTCGGCAGATGTGCAAGCAACCCTATTAATGAATTTCAGTACTCTTATTTTTATTTGCTTAACCTCTTTCTCATGTCTAATTATAACCAAATTATGTGACAAAATGTTTGTTTTTTGTTAATTATTTTCTTGGTTTTCACTTTGTTTGTCTGTTTTTGCTAATTAAAGCCACATTAATTTGTTTTATTTTGGACTTCTTTTTCGATAATTTCTTGTACTTACAATATCCAAAGAAAGATCTTTCTTGATTTTCGTTATAATAAAAAGTATGGAAAGTTAAATTGAAGTCATAGACATCAGAGTCTGTGTAAACTGTAGTATAGTATTATTTTATTAGGTTTAGGTTTGTTTTGTTCTTTTTGTTTAGCTTTATTTAGTGAAAGTGGTTTCCACTTGTTTGGCTGCATCGGTTAAACCCTGAAACTTAAGACCTGATCTCATAAGCCCTGACTAGTTTTCCAACTACGTCACAAATACGTCTACGTTCTGAAATAGCTAGACATTTTGAGAAATTATGATTTATGCTGATGTTTAATACTGACGAATACTTGCAAAATTTCTTGTTATTATCATTATCTTTTTTGGATCCTGGGTTTATGTTTCTTTAGAAATGTATATTTATTTGACATTTTTTCAATGAAAAATATCTTAATTTTAATATTGGTTGCCAAATTTTAAATTTGTTAACTTTTCAATTTAGACCAATCTCTAAAGTCTAATCACTTCTTAGCTCTCTTCCTTTAAGGGCTTTGGTGTTATATTTTGCCTAACCTCCACAATTTGCAATGATAGAATCTCCAGAATCATTTGACATTTGGAGATAGAGAGGATCTCACATCTCGCTCATAGTGCCAACCACATTCTCCCAATTTCTGTTTCATATTCATGTGTTGCAGGGACCATCTTTCGACGTTAAAATGTCAGAAACCAAACATATGAGACACAAGAATGAAAGAGAACAAAGCTTGATTCATGAATCACCAAAAGAGATCCTAAGTTGTCAACTTCAAAAACTTGTAAGAAAAGCAAAAAAACAAGAAGGAAAAGAAGAAGCCTCAGGTCAATTTGTCATCCTGTTTCTTGAAGTTCTTCACCGGGAGGTTTCTCAAACTCCGTTACATTCCACAACAGCTTCAGCAGCTCGTCTCGGCTTGCTTTTCCTCCTGCTTCCATTTGGTCTAAACCCAATAGACGTCGACCTTGTGGAATCATCGGTGCATGATTTCGATCCTAACCCATTCTCTTCTTCATTTAGATCCATATTGATATTGCATCCATTAGACATCTTCCTCTTTTTCTCCTTCTTCAAATCTTTACTTGTTACAGAACCATCATCAATTTCTTCATCCTCTTCTTCTATTTTCTCTACCATCTCTTCATCTTCCTCTTCTTCCTCTTCGAAATCATCTTTCATCGGCTTCTGTGGCCTCCCTCTTCTCCTGTAAGCAGGAATCTTTTCTTCATCACCGCTTCCACGATCTTCCCGAGTAGATGCACTCTGCTTCTTCCCTTTCCCTCTACCTCTTCTCATACTCTATAAATCCCAAACACTAGCACAAAATTTGGAAACCTGCAAGTTAAAAACACATTATTACATTATAAAAACAGCTCATTAGAACACAATCTTTGTCATTCCTCGAACAATAATCAAATAACCAATCAGGTAACATTACTCCATTTCACATTGTTGATCTAATTAGTTAACAACAGTGGAAAGCACAAACAAAATCTAAAAAAATGAAAACAAGATTCCTTGTCTCCTTCAACATATAACATTTGCATTTCTTATGCCAAACTGTTCCAAACCTAAACCACCAATAAACTAAACAAGAAGAAAAGCTTAATTTTTTAGTTTCATTTCAATTTCATACGGAAAAAAAGTTAGATTAACATCCATGAAATTACATTGCATGAGCAAACAGATGTAATAAAAAGACTGATCTTAATTTGTTTCCAATCTCCCTAAGCTTCTCCAGAACAACTAAACAAGTACAATGATTCAAAACTGTTTAAATAATACTCACCTATGTGTAGCTAATACCAATCATCAGAATCTCCGACACATGAACCAATCACTCAGAAGAACCAAACAGTTCTTGGGTACTTAGAAAAAGGAACTCTTTTTGTGTTCTTGGGTTTTCCAATCGATCTACTCAAAACACAGAGTATCTGTTTTACAAACACTCAGTAGGAAACAGAGGAAAAACAACACAGATCAGAGGAGAAACGTTGAGACTCTGAATCAAGTGATCATAATAGAGAGAGAGAGAGAGATCTAAGAAAGAGGAAAAGGAGAGGAGTTTGCTAATAAGTAGAGTAGCATACACTTACCACCACCATCCCCTATAGACCAAGTCCATTGGCCGATGGATCTTTCTTTTGCCCCGTTGAAGATGCGATACGGATTTTCTCATCCTAACTAATCACACGCTCTCTATCCGCGCGTGTTTCTCACTCCACGCATGATCTTCTTACTGTTAGGACTTACGACGATTTAGGTGGTGCTCTCGATCTGTTGTAGTCTCTGTGGATAAGACTCATGACAGCTCAACAGCATTGTCTCTCATAAAGGGCTTTGCTCTCTTCATTTTATGGGCCGAACCTAAAGCCCATAAGGCTTTCTACTGTTCTCGAGTATATGCAAAATGAACCTGTTTTACAGTTTTTGCTTCAATTATGCACACTTGGCTTTCAAGAACCTGAGAACAGATAATCTAGGTTTTTTTTTTTTTTTGTATCAATACGCTTCATAATTGTTTTGCAAGCAATGACTTATTATTTATTTGATTTTACACACTATATGTAAATATTTTTCAGTACCTAATTCAAAATAATGGATTGCAATGCAAAAAGAGCTTCTTTAATTTCTTACAACAAATTGCACTCTCTATATATCGTTAACTAAGTGATTAATTGCAATCTAGTGATGATTTCGTTCTATTTCTAAAACTCATAAACATTTATTTATTTGTGCATGTCATATTTCATACTACGTCTATATGTTAGAAATTACTGGAAAATGTTGTATTGAGCTACCCCAACGCTTTAACAGCACATCATTGGTGATGGACGCATGCCAAATGATTGAAGTTTGAAATAAGCGGTGATGTAGTTAAATGATTCTATACTTTGAATCTATCAAAATGCTTCTCTCTTAACTCTTTTTAGCCAAGAAATGTTCATTTTGTTTACGTTATATAGGATATGCCAAACCTACACACGTAAACAACAGCTTGTGATTTACGTTTCATTTTTCTGGCTGTTACCTTAAGATCCTAAACTACATTTTTTAAAAGTGTAACTACGTCACTTTTTATATAATTATTTTGTAGCAATCTTGGTTTTTCTTACATGTAAAGAAAAATCAATAGCTTAAAGTTAAAGGGAGTATAATATGGTGGTTTCGCTCTATTACCTAATGTCAAGAAATCACACATATTTTTATCATTACAAACTTTTCATAGCGACAAATTTGCAGTATGCAAATTGTTGGGGAAAAAATTAAGACCTAACATAACTGAGACGAATAATTAGGGAGGGGGCAGTTGCAAGTTGTTTAAAATTTGAAACCAACTCTGTATCACGATTGTGTCATCTCTAGATTCTCCTCACGCGTACCTTGTTCAACTTTGAAAGGAATTGTAAGACACAAACTACAGTATTATGTCGTATTTAGGCCTGGGCGTTCGGGTTCGGATTCGGGTACGGATCGGGTTAATCGGATTTCGGGTTAATCGGATAGGGTTGTTTAGTATCCGAACAGTACCCGAGTAGTATTCGGATCGGATTCGGATCGGGTTCGTTCGGGTTCGGATCGGTTATGTAAAATTATTTGTTATCCGAGACATAACCGAAAATGTTAATTATCGGATCCGGTTCGGATTACTAACCCGAATAAACCGGAAAATCCGAAAAATCCGAAAAATCACAAAAACCAAAAAAAAACAACAACTTCAAAGTTCAAACTTGCAAATTTCAAAGTCTAATATCCAAAAATCCAAACTTGAAACACAGAATCCATAATGAAAAACAACATTGTCTAAAAACCAAAGGTTCAACTTCAAACTCCAAAGTGAACGTTACAAAAACTTGCAACACAGAATCCAAAGTCCTAGCCTGCCACACATGGAACCTGACTTCTGAGCATTCAACATTCACCAAGTCCTAGCCACCTACAAAAAGAGTCGATTAGTAAGAGTAGAGACATTAAAGAACTGAAATAACATAGATGAAAAGAAGGAAGCAAATACCTTTAACAAAGCCGAATAGCCGATAAGCAATCAAGATTTAGTAGTCTTCTAAGTTTCTTGGAGCATCATACTCTAAATATAATTAAAGCACAGAAAGTTAGAGCTAGACAATGCAACCAACAGAAGACAATAGAAAAAGAGCAAGGAAAACAAAAGAAGTACCTTTCTGAAGATCATCTTGCAGCTCAAGATCCGCGAGCATCTGTTGACAGGTAACAACACCTCTTTCATTGATGCGAATCTCACACTTGAGCCATTGTTCAGTGCACATTAAGACTTCAACCATGTAGTGTGTTAGACAACTCCTAAATGGATCAAGGATACGGTTACTTGTAGAGAAAGCAGACTCGGAAGCAACAGAAGACACTTGCATTGCAAGTAGATCCTTAGCTAATGTGGATAAAACAGGATACTTTGCACTGTTGATCCTCCACCATCCTAACACATCAAATTGTATTCCAAGAGGATTAGCCTTTGGGATTTCGATTTTCTCCTTCAAATACAACTCTAGCTCAGTACTTGAATCCTGAAATCCTGTTTCCTTCACCATCTCTGAGTATGCCATATCCATTCTTTCATATCCATCAACATCAAAATCCATCTTGTCCGTATCTTGTGAGTTGTTGCGGCTGTGATTCTGAGACTGAGATGACTGTGATGATGACGCAGTCCCAGTCCTTGTCACAGCTCTGTTGTACTCATCAAACAGATCCTTCAACACATTATACACTGATTCATAAACCTCTTTTGATTCCGGACTGTCTTTCCCATACAACATATCAAAACAATATCCTGCAAACTTCATCTTGTTCCTTGGATCAAAAACACTAGCTATGATCAACAATTTGTTTATTTTCTTCAAGCCTCCCCAATACTTATCAAACTTGTCTTTCATAGCTTCAGCCTTTACCTTCAATTCTTTATCAGGATTCTCTTTCAATGAAATGAGATTCTTCTGGATAGTCACTATCTCATTGTAACACTTGTAAGAGTTGACCGTAGAAGATGCCGAGACAACCAAAGTAGAATTGTAGAAGATAACCAGAAACTTAACTAACCTTTCTACTTCATCCCAATCATTGACACTAGGCGGCCCAATTCTGGTTTTTCCTTCACTGACTTCTACATTAAAGTAATCATTGTAGAGCTTATCCTCATTCTCCATTCTGTCAAAAGCAGATCTGAACTTGAGAGCTCTTGTCAGCATCAGGTAGGTAGAGTTCCATCTGGTTTTACAGTCCAAAGACAAGCTTCCCCTAGTCATCTTCCCTGAGTCCACTTTGTGTTCGAATGACTCCAATCGTCTACTTGAACTTCTCACATATTGAACAGCATTCCGAATTGCAGAGACACTATTTTCCACCTCTCCTAGCCCATCTTTAACTACTAAGTTAAGGATATGAGCACAACAACGCAAATGCAGAAGCTCACCTCCTAGAACTAATGCATCAATTCCTTGTAAGCAAAAAGCCTCCACAAACTTCTCCATTGCATTAGTGTTGGCAGTTGCATTGTCAACAGTGATGGTAAATACCTTCCTTATTCCCCATTCAGCCAAACATTCAAGAAGGACACAACAAATTGTTGTACCTGTGTGATCTGAGATGTGCTTAAAACCAATGGTGAGCTTCCTCAGCTGCCAACTTGCATCAATGAAGTGTGCTGTGATAACCATGTAGCTAGCTCCTGTTGTGGGAGCAACCCAAATATCAGTTGTTAGTGAAACCCTCTGCTTGTTAGACTTAAGAAGCTTCATCATAGCTTCTTTCTTTCTGACATACATCTCCACAATGTCTCTAGTTGCTGTTCTCCGAGAGTGAGGCTTGTATAGCTTAACTTTGCTGCAGAAATGCTTCCACGCCAAACTCTCTATGAATGAAAGAGGCAGTTCCCCTAAGACCAGCATCTCATTTGAAGCTTCCCTGAAAACAGACTCAGAACACTTTGACAACTTCAACTTACTAGACTCATCATCACCTTCGCCTTCACGATGTAGAACATGTTGTTGACCCTGATTGCTCTCAATCCAAGCTTGGTACTCCTTGCAGATTTCCAAATGATTCTTGAGACAAGTTGTGCCATTTGCAGTAGCACATGCCATAGATCTACCACAGTAGTGACATCTACATATGTTCCTATTATCTGGCTCTCTTGTGTAATGCTCCCAGACCCAAGACCTTGTACTTGGATTCTTCTTCTTTGCCCTACTACCTCGGACAGAACTGTCTGCACTCTTAGGAACCTCTTTCCTTTTGCTTGCATTTTCAGGAGAACCACCATCTTCAGTTTCTATTCCCTCATCGTAGGCTTCCTCATTACCATATTCTTCATTCTGGTTTGGAAACTCCATCTACAAACTTGGACAAACAAGCTTAGTTAAATAACAGAGATTTGAGTTAAAAATCAAACAAAACAGAAAATGAAACCAAAACTCTAACAAAAATCAAACCACATCGAGTTAAAACAAACAAACAAGATGAAACTGAAACTAAAACTCAACAATAATCAAACAAACACACAAGATGAAACTGAAACTAAAACTCAACAAAAGCCAAACTATAACTCAACAAAAACCAAACCAAACCAGAAGACTAACCCAACAACTCAACAAATATCAAACTAAAACTCAACAAAACTCAAACTAATATCAAACGGAGTCGCCTTTGTCTAGTTTCAACAAAAACCAAACTAAAACTCAACAAAAACCAAACCTAACAAACTTGGACAAACAAGCTCAGTTAAAAACCCTAACAAACAAGCTCAGTTAAAAACTCTAACAAACTCCATCTAAATAACAGAGATATTAAACCAAACTCAAACAAAACAGAAGATGAAACCAAACCTCTAACAAAAATCAAACCACATCGAGTTAAAAATCAAACAAAACAGAATATGAAACCAGAACTCAACATAAATCAAACGATAACTCAACAATAATCAAACGAAAACACAAGATGAAACCAAAACTCAACAAATATCAAACCAAAACTCAACAACAATCAAACCAAATCAGAGACTAACCCTAGAAACTACCTTTGAATGATTTCTCGGAGCTAAACGGAGTCGCCGGAGTCTGAAAGCGTCGTCGAGACTCGAGAGAACTTGTGTTGCGCCGTCGAGACTCGAGAGAAATGAGAGAGTGAGTGAACATTAGGTTTCTTTAGGTATTTATATACTGGTTTTTTTAGGGTTACGGGAATTATTTCGGTTTTCTTCGGTTATCCGAATTAATTTCGGTTCGGGTATAAACCGATCCGAAACCGAAAATAAAATCAGATACAAACCGATCGGATATTAGAGCATAACCGAATCCGATCCCAATCGGGTTTTTCGGATCGGGTTCGGGTCGGATTTCGGTTTTCGGATTTAAAGCCCAGGCCTAGTCGTATTCATATAATTAGTAAATAACAGGGACTTGTAGGGCTATAAACGTCAACAAAGTCTCTTATAAATAGTCGAGATTGTCGATTAAAGCACATAAAAGAAGAGTGTGAGATAGCCTCTAGAGTTGTCCTTGAGTCATGCAGCTCAAAAGGTCATCAGCTTCTTCCCACTCCATGAATCTCAAAACCCTATTCCTAAATCTCATCACACACTCTCTTTACCGTCTTTTACGGTCTCTCTCAAGAGCCAAATCCGTTCTTATAGAGATTTCTAAACACAACAAGAAGAGGTTATTCATGATGATGTTTTACACAACAAAGTCATCCATGAACCAACACAACATCTTCTTTGGATCCTCCCATGTCGTCGTTCCCGTCACCAAAACTTTCCCTTTCTCCGTTCATGGTCATGAAGATGAGGATAATCTTGAGTCTCAATACCTCGAGTGGCTAGAAGAGAAAGTTGATGAGAATAATAACATTAATGATGATCATCAGAGTGTTGGTGATGAAGATATTGATCGCTTGGCAGATATATTCATCGCGAGGTGTCATGAGAAGTTCTTGCTGGAGAAGGTTGAATCTTACAGGAGATTCCAAGATATGTTGGCGAGGAGTTTGTGAGAATTGAGAATGATGAGGGAGACGACAAAAAAGTTTGTAAGTTAATTCTTGTTTGATGGATGTCTTAATTAATCAATAAAATCGAGAAAAAAAAATGTTTACTTGAATATTTTTGTGGGATTTAATGCGAGAGAATGTAATCTATACATACGTATATCATAGATCAGTTACGTCGTGGGGATGTTGTAAAATTCAAGACTCATTACATTTTGAGTTAGTTGAAATCTGGAAAACAAAAGGAAACAATTTTTTTTTTTTTTTTTTTTTTTTTTTTTTTTTTTTTTTGATAACTCGGGTGTCCGGCCCCACCGAGGTGGAACCGACTAGCATGGGACCCACATGCGTCATCTGCCCTAGGGTACCCCACATCCCGGGGAGCTGGCGATTCCCTCATGTAAATCCGCCAGTGGCCGTGCCTCGAACCCTGGTGGCGGAAGTCACAGCCGTAACCCCTTTACCACTAGGCCACAAGGCCCGGTTCAGGAAACAAAATTGAAAGTGTTCTTGCATTCAACATCAAATTTCCACTAGATAGATTTTCGAGGATTTAAATTAAGATAAAACTTTTCATTATTATCCAAGATAAAACATAACTAGATAACAGCCCGCACTATGTGCGGGATAAAGTGATTTAAGTAAAATTATTATGATTAAAATTATTATCTGGAATCCAAAATCCATTTGTGTAAAATGAAACATGGAATAATTTTTTTATTTTTTTATAATTCAAATTTGGGACTATTTCGTATAAGAATACGTTTCACCCGTGAAATATTTAAACCTGGAATAAAGCTTCAACGTGGTAAAGAAAGTATTGACGAAGATTTATATAAACTTATATAAAGAAAAATATAAATATAAAGATTTATTAATATAAGATAAACAAAAAGTGTATGTTTTTAATTATTAAAGAAAAATATAAATATAAAGATTTATTAATAAATCATTAATATAAATAAAAAAAGCTCTCGTGATTTCTTATTAAATATAGATATGAAGATTAGTTGCCTAATTATTTGCTTTTTAGTTATAATTTTGTTTTTTATTTGTGTGATATATATGTATTAAGACTAATGGCAAAATCTGTAAATAGTCTAGTAAAATTTGGGTAATAATTTAAATGGGTGGAAAATCACTCTCAAAACGACACGTCAGCATGGCAGTTTAGTTAATAACACGTTAAAGTAAGGTTTATTTTTTAGAGTGCTTCTCTATTAATATATAAGGGATCTGACGACCATCAAGAGTAAACAAAAATTAACGAACGATTAAACCGAATATGTTGGGCCGAAACTTATCGGACCAATGACACTACTTAAGGCCCATAAAGAAGATCAAAACCCAAAATCAGAAGAACGAATCCGAAAATCACAAGAAGAAGAAGCATCGTCTCTTTGCTTCCCTCTGTGAGGAGCTTTCGTCGTCGTCGAGCTCTTTCCCGCTTCTGGCGATGTTCATCCTCAGAGTTCATTCCGTTGACTCCGAGCTACCAGTATCAATTGAAGAAGAAGAATCAGGTTTCACCTACGCATCGAAGAGAACTCAACCTCCTCTTAAGCTCATTCAACCATCTCTCAAACTCACCGAACGCAAAGGCTTGATCCATCTCTACCGCAACTCTTCACATAGCTCGCTCCCTAACCCTAGCTCCCGATCCACCACTCTCTTCATCGTCGCTGTTCCCAATTACATGTCCTCTCTCGATTTTATCCGTTTCTGTGATTCCCGCATCTCCCAAGTCTCCGATATCCTCTTCATCAGGTTCGTCGAAATTTCCGTTTATTGTCTGTTCGGTGATCAAATTCAAGAATTCATTGTTGTTGATTACTTGATTTGACTAGAATGATTATGTTGATTTGGTTCTTCTTGAAAATGATTAGGAACGATGGAATGGAAGATAGATATAGTGTTCTTATCACACTCTCTGATCAATCCGAAGCAGATGGTTTCTACAATAACTTGAATGGGAAAAAATTTGCACCATCTGAGGTTATAATTTGGAAACGAGCTCTTCTTTTATTATGTTTTTGTGTTCATTTGATTGCATGAAATTGACTTTCTCTTGGGTTTTAGGCTGAGGTTTGTCATATTCTCTATGTAATGTCGGTGGAACACACGGAATTTGATGAGGTTGCTGCAGAAGCACCTACTGGATTTACCGAGTTACCTACTTGTCCAATATGTCTTGGTGAGTTGTGCTAAAGAAGAAAATTTCTATGTTATTATTGCTTTGGATTATTTAAGTATCAGAAATATCAATATTTGGTATTTGACTCATGTAGAGAGATTAGATCCTGACACCAGCGGTATCGTCAGCACTCTTTGTGATCACTCGTTTCAGTGTTCTTGTACTTCAAAATGGACTTATCTGTCCTGTCAGGTGAGTGGTTCTCCTTCATTCCTTTCATTGCATTTTCACTTTATATGTTGGGTTGGTGTTGCATCTTCGGTGTTCATTTATTGGCAGTGTTCCCTGAGCTTGTACATTTTGGTCCTTACTTTGCAGCTTTAATGCTTGCATGTTTCTTACGTAAAATGAATCTGATTCATCCATTGCTTAACAAATATCTCGCACTTGTTTCACAACATAATGCTCATTTCGTTTGTAGGTTTGTCGATTGTGTCAACAACAAGATGAGATATTAAGCTGTTCGGTTTGTGGAAAAACAGAGAATGTTTGGGCATGTCTTGTCTGTGGCTTCTTAGGTTGTGGAAGGTAATGCTTGGTTTGCGTTTCTACTGTAATAAGATTTAGTTAACCTGAATTTATATCCACATCTATATCTTCCATAGAGGTGGAAGTTTCATTCACAGTGGACTCTGTTTTCCAATTGTAGATACAAGGAAGGGCATTCTATCAGGCACTGGAAAGAAACGCATCACTGCTATTCTTTTGATTTGCGAACACAACAAATCTGGGATTATGTTGGTGACAGCTATGTTCATCGGTTAAACCATTCAAAAATTGATGGAAAGTCAGTAGAGATGAACACCCGTTGTCTGTCACACGAAGGGGACTGTGGTCTCTGTGAGTGTAGTGAGGATACAGGAATTAGCGGAGCCATCTTTAACAGCAAAGTTGATTCAGTATGATATTATTCAACCACCCTTAGTCATTTTTTTCCCTGCATAAAGCATATGAATCTTAGGTCTTCAGTTTGCCTCAGCAGTGTTATGATTTTAGAGTTGACTAAGTTTTTGTGGAACAGATTGTAATCGAGTATAATGACCTTCTTGCAAGTCAACTAAAGGGACAGCGACAGGCAAGTGGTTCTTCTGATGCTTGTTTCTTTCTCTTCTTATTTATATATGAACAGACTTAATTGAAAGTGAAGTTGTAGCCACATAATGGTATAATGATTCAAGAGATCTCAATTACTTGCGATTGTAATGTCTTTCAGTACTATGAATCTCTCATTGTTGAGGCGAGAAGCAAGCAGGAAACTTGTATCGCCGAAGCAGTTGAGCAAATTGTTGTTAACAAAATGCAGGAGCTTCAGAATGAGATTGAAAAATGTGAAGAGGAAAAAAGTGGTATCACTGAAGTAAGAGTATCTCTGCCTTGTTCTATTTTGATCATTGTTCTATTCTTGAAAGGTTTCCTGATGCAATATTGGGGTATCAGGTGAATAGAAAACTTATAAAAGAGCAGGAAACATGGCGGAAGAAGGCCAAAGAAATAGAAGAGAGGTGCAAGATGTTTTGCTCTTCTTTCTTGATTTTACGTAAACAATCATCAACCATAGTAGAGGATTGATTTTTTTTGGTGTTTATCTAGGGAAGCTGCATTGTTAGGATCAAAAGACGAGATGATAGCTGATCTTCAAGAACAGGTAAGTTTCTAATACTTATTGAGTGAGGTCTGCTATTAACATTTTAACGAGTGAGAGTATGACCTGGTGGTAAAAAAATGGATTGTACAGATAAGAGATATTACGGTCTTCATTGAAGCGAAGAAAACCTTAAAGAAGATGTCATCAGATTCGGATGGTATACGCGAAGGAACCGTCTTACCAGTGCCTATCAACGCCGAGCCAGTTTCCTCAGTTAGAAGGCAGAAGAAGCCAAACAGGAGAAAGTAAATAGCAAATTTGTGATGCTTGTAGAGATTTACTTAGGTTTGATGTATATTCAGTACTACTACATTGATCTATATTGGATTTTTTTTTTTTTTTTTCTATCAACAGATCTATATAGGATTAAGGGCTATTCATTTGAGTGTCCATGCATCACATGTTCTATAGCCCCATAACTCGTGTTTCACCCATTATTATTATAAAAGGGGCCTAAGAACATATCTTTTTACCCAAAATATATAAAAAATCACTAACGTCGCCGCTTCATTCATGCCAACTCTCTCTCACTGCACTTCTCTAGCGATCTAGCTATCTAGCTATCTTCTCCGCTCGTGTTCACCGTCTAACCTGATAATGTCGATCTCCGCTCAAAATCCGGCTATTTCCGGCGATATACAATCCGGTCAAGATGATTGTACTCAGGAAGGTTCTATTTTCTCTCCATGTTTTTTTTTGTCTATTTTGAGTTCGAGCTGCTAGGGATTTTTTTTTCTCTTCCTTTGGCGACTTCTGGTGCATTAACTCGGATTTTGATAACTTTACATGCAGTGATGTCTTGCCAAGATGTTTCAAATATTGCTAAGACCTCACTCGGTCCCGTTGGACTCGACCAGGTATGCCTTATTCCAATGCTTTGCGACTCTTTTGGAATTTATTGGTTTCTGATTTGCATCTCAAGTTAAGTTATATACAGATCTGTTCTTTTAGAGCTAAATGTTACCAGTTTTATTCTAAACAGCTACATATTTATTTTTCGTCCAATCGTGTTTCATTTTCAGATGGGTGCGGATGATATTGGTGACGTGACCATTGAAACTGACGGTGCTACTATTCTTAGGATGTTGGAGGTCGACCAGCCAGCTGCCAGTGTATTTGATAGAATAAGAGATCAAGCGACAGCTTGGCATGCTGCTGCTTCAAAAAATTTTAAGACCTCACTTGGTCCCGTCGGACTCGATCGGGTATATGCCCTATTCGAATGCCTTGTTGACTCTTTTGGAATTTATTGGTTTGCATCTCAAGTCCAAGTTATATATTCTGCTAGCATTTGGTTCTTATAGAGCTAAACGTTTCGAGTTTTACTCTAAATCTGCTAGATATTTATTTTTCGTCCAATCGTGTTTCATTTTCAGATGTGTGCGGATGATATTGGTGACATGACCGTTGAAACTGACAGTGCTACTATTCTTAGGATGTTGGAGGTCGAACAGCCAGCTGCCAGTGTATTTGATAGAATAAGAGATCAAGCGACAGCTTGGCATGCTGCTGCTTCAAAAAATTTTAAGACCTCACTTGGTCCCGTCGGACTCGATCGGGTATATGCCCTATTCGAATGCCTTGTTGACTCTTTTGGAATTTATTGGTTTGCATCTCAAGTCCAAGTTATATATTCTGCTAGCATTTGGTTCTTATAGAGCTAAACGTTTCGAGTTTTACTCTAAATCTGCTAGATATTTATTTTTCGTCCAATCGTGTTTCATTTTCAGATGTGTGCGGATGATATTGGTGACATGACCGTTGAAACTGACAGTGCTACTATTCTTAGGATGTTGGAGGTCGAACAGCCAGCTGCCAGTGTATTTGATAGAATAAGAGATCAAGCGACAGCTTGGCATGCTGCTGCTTCAAAAAATTTTAAGACCTCACTTGGTCCCTTCGGACTCGATCGGGTATATGCCCTATTCGAATGCCTTGTTGACTCTTTTGGAATTTATTGGTTTGCATCTCAAGTCCAAGTTATATATTCTGCTAGCATTTGGTTCTTATAGAGCTAAACGTTTCGAGTTTTACTCTAAATCTGCTAGATATTTATTTTTCGTCCAATCGTGTTTCATTTTCAGATGTGTGCGGATGATATTGGTGACATGACCGTTGAAACTGACAGTGCTACTATTCTTAGGATGTTGGAGGTCGAACAGCCAGCTGCCAGTGTATTTGATAGAATAAGAGATCAAGCGACAGCTTGGCATGCTGCTGCTTCAAAAAATTTTAAGACCTCACTTGGTCCCTTCGGACTCGATCGGGTATATGCCCTATTCGAATGCCTTGTTGACTCTTTTGGAATTTATTGGTTTGCATCTCAAGTCCAAGTTATATATTCTGCTAGCATTTGGTTCTTTTAGAGCTAAACGTTTCGAGTTTTATTCTAAATCTGCTAGATATTTATTTCCATAGCAAGTTCGTCCAATCGTGTTTCATTTTCAGATGCGTGCGGATGATATTGGTGACATGACCATGGAAACTGACGCTGCTGCTATTCTTAGGTTGTTGGAGGTCGAACTCCCAACTGCCAAGGTATTTGATACATTCGTGATGGTTATAATACATATATTTGTGCAAAGATTTGTGTTGATTTTGGGTTGTGGTTTCTGCAGATGCTTTATGACCTACAGATTCGCCAGGCAGAACTTTTTAAATCTAATGACTGAGATGCTTTATTCTATACTCATTTGATTTTGAGTGTTTGCATTTTTAACATTTAACGAGTCGTAGTATGACCTGATGATATTTAGTTATTTATAGCTAATTGAGTAGCAAAAAAAGCTATCTTCTTCAGAAGATATATATATATATATATATATAGCTAATGTAGTGGTGTAGTACAATAACTAAATCACCTCCTTGCACGTTTCTTCAAGCGTGGTGAAGAAGAAGACGCAGCCTCTTTTTCACCAGCTTCTCTTTCTGAGGCTCGACCATTGTTTCTCTTCACAGGACTTGCTTTCTCATTTGTTTGATTTATCCTTGGTATTGGTCTTTTCTTAGCATCAGCTTTGCTGCTGTTATTCTTCCTCTGTTCTGCTCGTCCTTTTACAATAGTAGAAGAATCAGCCGCAGAGCTAGGCTTCAATGTCTCATCCGAAGAACCCACTTTCATTCTCTTGAGAAAACTCGCAGCCCTTCTCTTTTTTGAGCTTCCTTTCTTGTCTTGATCAGTTTTCTTAACCTTGCCTTTGCTATCATCAACATTCAAACTGGATTCACCGTTCTTGACGTTCGTGTTTGCTAACTTTTTCGTTGAGGAGGTTCTTCCTCTAGTCATTGTCTTCATAATCAGAGAGTCACCATCGTATTTTCCAGAGGCTTCATCATCCTTGTCATCATCAACCACAACATGGTCTGTTTTCTTGGTTTTCTTGTCTGGTCCAGGAGGCACTAATAGCAAAGCTTTAGCAGCCAGGGAACTACGTTTCCGACAAGCTATATGATATTAGGAACAGACATTCTTGGTTTTGAAGAAACCGGCTTTGATGAAGAGATTGCAACAACTTCTTCCTTTGGTGCTCTTGAGAGTAGTCATCTGTTTCTTGACGAGTTGCTCTGCAGATTTAAAGTCAGAAGAGCCCTTGTGATAAAACACTCTTGCATTGTTTACAAGTAGCAGCAAATCACGAAAGAAGTTGATCCTGAAACTTTTGAACTAGGATAACAAACTGAAAATTTGTTTAGAAGACTTAGCAACTGGATCAAAAATAACATGCATGTCTGAATTAAATTTTGAACATATCAAAAATTTATTAAGATTTCAACAACACTACATCGATTTATTCAAATAGTAGAAAGTAGAGCAGAGTACCAAAATCGAGGGATTTAACAAATATGTACAAGCCCTTGCTGATAATTAGCACAATCCAGAATCTTTAAATTATATAGCTCGTGAACCAACTTTACAACAAGTGAGAGATTCAAAAAAGCTTATTATAGCTCAGATCATGGCGAGTATCATCGAGCCTTTTAAGCTTTCTTCAGCTCCTCCGCGCGTCCTCTCAACGGCAAACACGTCCTCGCCGAACAATCAACGCCGGAGATCAATCCAGCGATATCTCCAGCACACGCAGAAGGCAAAACCGTAACTCTTTTAAATGCTCCGGCGTAGCCATTAACCACCGGAACATCCACCACTTCAATAGACGAATCCTCCTCCGATACAGATCCGTTCATCGATTTGAACGCAGAGGAAGAAGAGTGTGATTTTCGTTAACGAGACGATGACGGGGTTAACTTTTCGTTAGAAATCTTCGTTGAATCGAAACGACGTCGTTTTAAAAACAACAAAACAATTTCGTTTTAAATCTATTTCCAGTGAAACAACACCGTTTTGTTGTTTTCAAAACGACGTCGTTTCGATTCAACGAAGATTTCTAACGAAAAGTTAACCCCGTCAACGTCTCGTTAACGGAAATTTAACGACATGCCCGAAATGGCCAGGTCAACGAAAACTTAACCATTTAATCAAAAGTCAAACTAAACTTTATGATTTAAATGACATTTCGAAAGTTCATGCTTTTTTTGTCCCAAATTTGAAAGTTCGCGCATTTTCTGACATTTTTCCCAATTTTAAATTCAGTTTGTCCAAAAAAAAAAAACATAATTTTAAATTCAGTTTGTACATTTTTTCGAGAATTGAAATCCTAGGCTAAGACTTGAGACGAATGTATTAAGTTATATCTCCATATAGGCCCACGATAACATTATTAGTCACGAGGCCCTAAACCACCACTCGTGACTCTCTCTAGCAGCGTTATTCCATTCGCTAACTCACGTGCTAAAACGATATTAGACCCAACTGATCATTTAGTCATTTGTAGTTTTGATGCTAAGCCTAAGGTTCTTTTTTTTTTTTTTTTTTTTTTTGATATACCCTATCGGCTATCCGATCGGCCCCGGTAGGAACGCACCGAGGTGCTACATAGTGGACTTGTCCACCGTGTTAACGGCTAGGCCCTTCGGGCTACCACTCTGCCTATCCCGAGTTTGGTGTGCCTTCCGACTAAGTGCCAGGGGGTAGTCAGGCCGCCTGCATTTCTGACTATCAGATAAACCAATTGGGCTAAAGCCCAACTGACAGACTTCCCACGTAATGTTGATAACAGCAAGAGGAGGAATCGAAACAGGAGGGGAGGGACTTTCACCCAAACACCCCTGGCCCACCAACCACCCACCCACCACCACATGGGTAGCCTAAGGTTCTTGGTTTGCTTCTTTGCCTCTTTGCCTCTTTGGTCACTCACATTAAGTTATATATGTAAGCTTAAAGATATGAAAAATCGCAATAGAGAGTTAACGATCGATGTACACGGGTTAAGCTCTTATCCCGGAGAAATATAATGTTTGAGTGAACATGTCAAACTCAATCATATCTATTACAAAAAAAAAAGTTTTTGTTTAGTACCACACAAAAAAGAGGTTTTAATCAACAATCATCATGAGAAACATAATTTTATAAAAGGTTTCCCAATGTGAATAATTTTTCACCTAATGCAGCACGTACAAGTGTTGAAATAGCATAAATGATATTATTATTTAGATAACTTTTATTTTATTTTTGTTATTTATTATGTAGATTCAATAAGTGTCAAGGACTAACAATACAGCAATATATCATAATTATGAAATATAGAAATACAGTTTTCCTGGTAGTAATCAAGGGTGTATTTAGAAAAAAATGATTCTTTAGGGAAAATGATTCTATGAATGATGAGTAATCAAGGTTGGTAGGTGAGTGAGAATATGCTTCTAATTCTCCAATGATTTTGATTTCCTTCTTCCCCGGCAGGGAACAATACGTGTTAACATGTGGGATTCAATCATATCCGAATTAATCTGTTCATATATATATAACAACATAAATGATAATTTGGTTTTGCAACACTAACAAAAAAAAGTTTTAATTAATCAACAATAATAGGTTTCCCAGTGTGAATAAGTTTTCACCTAATGCAGCACGAGTGTTGAATTAGCATTGTGCAAATTGGAGAACTTTGACAATTATAATAATTAAATCGAATTAAATTTTCGAAAAATAAAGGAAGTGCCAGCCAAAGAGGATACACCACAAGTTTGAAACTGGGAACCACGTCAAGTAAAGAGATCGTGGGGCCCATAACCCATACGGCTCTAGCAGCCACGTTTTTGACAACATTGCTTCTTTAGCCGATGCGCTCGTGTGGTCCGAATCCAAAAGGGAGAGCACGAGACTCGTGTTTCGCCTCTAACGCACACAAACCAAATCCTTTCATTGGAGTTTCACTTCTTTTTACTTTTCTAGCCGTTGGATTTCTTTCATATCTTATAGGTACATGACTACATGCATGTACATGTACATCCGACGGCTATTATCACAAAATATAGTATCATAAAATATATTCCTTATTCTAGTTAAAATGTTCAATTGTTCGTACGACGATGTCTATACCACACATATATAAGGGTTAAAAAAGTTTTGGCTTATACAAAAACATCTCTTGTTTAGTAAGAATGATACATGTATGCCCTCCTCTAACATTTTCTTGTTCAAGTTTTTCAACTAGTGTGTGTATATTTATATTTTCTATATTATATAGGACGTCGTTATTTGACTCAAAACAGAGGTATTATTATCTCTATGTTTGTGATTGTTTTGTTTTGTTTAAGACAATGTATCGCTTGTCCAAGATATTATATAGTGTGTGGATGTGATAGGTATTGTATCGATTTCAAGATATTGTTACTTATATCCAACAGGTGTTAGAAAATCTAACAAGCATAGACATAACTAAGATATATAACACTACACATTATAATTCAAATGAGTTGGCCAATATAATACAAAAACTCTTAGGAATGAATTTGTTGAACTTAGATCGAATTGGGTGCACAAAAAAAAAAGAAAGAAAAAAAAAAAAAACTTAGATCGAATTGATTCACATGGTAAAAAGAAAAGAGAGAAAACTATAAAAGTAAGCAAAGTAAAATGGAGAAATTAGTCGTCAGGAAGTGCAACTGCCTCGTGCACCCGAGGGTCATGCCATTTCCATGTCCTTATATCATTACGTCCGATTTCGTACAATCTTATCTTCTTTTTTTGTGACCAAAGTGTACATTCTTATCTTCCTAACACTAATAATTATTATCTTTTTATGTCTTGTTAGTTATATCATAAGTTCGTAAATGGTTCTTAAAACTCTTATGAACATTTCACACACATATATATGTATTTAAATGTATACCAACCAGTAGCTGTGACATTTGTGGTCCTTTATTATCAAGACATGTCTATATGTTAATTTTACACCTTCCATATATATTTTCTTTCACATTAATGTCATCCAATTAATTTAATTAACATGTATCTGAGATTCTCGTTGTTAAGGCTGTAATCATAGATTAGAAAAAGTTTTGGTAGTGGTCCACACAAATTGTATTTTTATGTTGTACTTTAGAGATCGCAAATGATAAGGTGGTTGAGTTTGTGTACATTACATGGGGACAAGTTTCTGAAATCCTATAGGCATTTATTTAATTGAAGCCACCTGGATTTATGCGTAATACCTAAACTAAACACACATTGCCAAATATACTAATGACTACTTTTACTTTAATTCGACTATGTTGAAATAAAAAATACATTTCAATTGGAAATATTGTATGTGTCACCTTCATGAATTATATAAACTCCAACTTTAATATTGATCGTTTTTACACTATGTGTACACATTTAGTCGTATGAATGCAAAAACGATTACAAATTACATGAAATATCGTACGTACACAAAAATTAATATCATTAATAAACTAACAATATGCTAACAAATATAATGAAATAATGTCTTAAGACATTCCAAAACGATGATTTTTGTTATATATATAGTTGGAGGGGTCCGTGGACTTCCTTTGGATTTATCAATCTCATGTCTTCGGAGACAGCCTGACACATCTCTTTCATAATATCAATATAAATGTAATCTCATATTATATGTTAATTATTGTAACTATAGTTTATGTATTGAATCTCAACAAGACATCAATCAATATTATTTGCCTTTATTAATAATATATAGAGGATCTTACGTTCTGCTACATATAAACTAGAAATACGAGTTGACGAAAAGAAACAAAAGGACTAACTAAACATATATTAGTTGTCACTAAAACTTGTAACTCTAAAATAGGTTTATTTTTCTTGATCATTTCCTTCTCTCTCTCTTCTCCTTATCTCCTATAAAATCTTAACCTTATCACATTCCACTTACCATAAAAATTCACCAACTATCTCTCTTCTAATCACATAAACCTAATTTTCTTGTTTTTACAAAACTATGGAAATTGAAGCTACTACTGTTCAGAAAAGAAGAAGCATACCAACAATAGCCATGCACAAACAGTCAAGAACACTCACCAAATCGAAACCTAAGATCCGCATCATCCACATATTTGCACCGGAGATCATTAAGACCGACGTCTCTAACTTCCGGGAAACCGTCCAGAATCTCACCGGAAAACAAGATCATCACCACGACCTCCCCCACCAAAAGGGTCTCAAAAGAAACCCTAGATCTAGAGGAAGTAATGATCATTATGATCATCAACAAGTCCATCACATGAACAAAAGATTCTGCATAAACTCAGAAGTAGAAGACGAAGAAGAAGAAGGGATGGTGTCGATGACGTGGAACGGAAATGGCGGTGAGAGCTCCGGTGGGTTCTTGAACGGGTTAGGGGATTTCGACGGCTTCATTCAGGAGCTAGGTGAACTCCCTTATTTACCCTTCACCATTGATCCTGTTGTTGCTTCTTCTGCCCACTTACATGGCAACGTTTTCGCAGAACCTCACCATTATACCTAAATCGTCTCAAGCGGAAACATTTTTTAAAATTTTATTTTCTTAAATAGGTGAAAACTTTTAATAAATTTTTGTTTTCTTCTTTTATATAGGAGCTAGAAGTTAAATTTTGTTTTTTCGATAATTAAAAGGTTTGACTTTTTAGACAATATTTTTGTGGAATCGTGGGAGGTTTGGGTTTATGATTATTACGAGTTCTATTTCTTAATCATTTTCCCCTCTATTTTTGTATTTGTTATGTGATTACACTATGATCTAGTAAGTAGATATGTAAAAATATATAAAGATTCTGAAAATCTATTAACAAAATAACATAGGGATTGGCTACAACGTAATTAACTAACAGAATGCACGTTTAGAAAATTTAAAACTCTTCTTTTACTCCGAAAATCTTTATATTTTTTTCTCACTTTTGAAATGTTTTCTTCGCTTATCCAAATAGACTGAGAAATAGACGTATTGATTGATTGACTGAAACTTAACATAAGATAAGTACAAATGGGGCCATAATTAATTTAAAGATAGCAAATATAATATATGAAAACTACAAATATGAGCCGACAAGTAACCACACAATTACAAACGTGTATATATGCTGATGTTGCATGATGATGATGATGATGGAACCACACATGACACATCAAGAGATAACCCTCATAATATCTTTGATCAAGTTGGCATTATAAATCAACTAAGAAAATGTTAAATCTGAGCTCTCTCTTATAGAGAAAGAGTTTATGAATATCAAAACAGAGAATCTGCAAGTACATGGAAAAGTTGAGAAGATTGCCGAACGAACACAAGAGAAGGAAGAGGTTTTAATGTATGGTTAAAGTTATTAACTTCAAACATTTACAGACACCAACTTGGTGGTTGGTTCTTGTATTAACGCAGAAAGAACATAGGAACAAGAACAATGGCTAGTAACATCTAACTATCGTATTCAAGAGTTTCTACAACGGTAGATGATGGTGTTTCAATCCTCGTTAGAACTTCAGGCACTCCTTCAGTATCTCTAACTATCTGCGAGAAAAACAAAACAACCAAAAGCGGATAAAACTCGGTTAGTGCAACTGTGCAAGGATCTCAGCCTGTCTCACCATTCTTTTCAAATATTCGCTTCCGAGCATGGGCTTATAGAAAATATATTCAATAAACTTACAAGAATCTCTTCGTCTAGATAAGATATCATGAAGAATCTTTCAAAGGAACCACCTGAAGCAAATAACACTAGTTGGTTCAGTGAACATTTGAGCGGAAAATGTTTACTGTATAAATAATGAATAAAGTAGCTTACTTAGGGGAATTCTCAGACCACTGGCTAGAGTATCCTTGATAAGAGCAGGAAGCTGCTGCAACGTTGTGGCGGCTTGACCCAATGCACCTTTTAGCTGTTCAGGAACTGCTTCTTCAATGACTGTTGGGGATTCGAGCATACCTTCAACATATTCTTCTTTCAATCTCAAAGGTCCCTCGACAGTCAATTTTGATGACAGAATGATTTTGCTTTCTATCTGCACATTTTTGCCACTATGAGAAACCAGAAACCTCCTCTGTGATTCCATGTAAATACATAATCAAACTTTGAAAATTGTTTCAGTGTGTTACCGAGTTCAAAAGTTTGATATTTGCCGTCGCCTTTGCGTTAGCATCCTTGATCAGTATCTCCATTCTTGATAAATTCGCCAATGTTGAAGGAAATCTCCTGAAACAATACCATCAGATAGCAAAATATTCAAAAACTTAGAATAAAAATGGTGAGGTTTAAGATGAGAAAATGATAAGTAGGTAAGTACTGACTCGAATATAACTCGAGCAGCGAGTAAACCAGGACTTCCAGATCCAAACCACTCAAAATTCCATCTGCCTTCGAAACAAGGAGACCTGGAAAAAGCTATAGGAACCAGTGAAAAGACAAATTCTCCTAACACCGAAGCAAAAACAATAACCAAAAGTGTAAAGAAGCACCTACGTGGTTGGTCTAGGAGTCGGGTTAAGCCGCTCTAGACTAGTAATTCTCTCATTCACATCGATCCTTTGCATATTAGTTGTTTTCCCTGTAACTAAAGCCTCAAAGCCTCCAGCATCCTTCAACTGTACATAGATTGGTTTCAGGGCAACAAAAACAGAGAGTTCAAAACACAGAGCTGTTCCTACTTCCTATATTCAAGAAACCCCAATTTAGCTGAAACATGGTCATTCATTTCTGGACTTGAGAAAATTTTCCTCTTTTGTTATCTGCAATATCTTGATTACAGCTGACAAATACACAATTCACCTAAAATTTTCCCATTTGTCCTCAGCATAAGACAGAGATGATAACAGAGACCCAATTTCAAAATCAGAGTGAAATTGAAGATCTAAACAAATCATATTTCACATATGAACCAAGTAATTCAAAGTTTATAAAAGTGAGAGAAGTTTTACAGCGAGAACTAGCGATTCCTTAGCAGAAAGGCGCTCCATTTCTCTGGCGTAAACCGAAGGAGATCCTAAAACTGTTTCCTGCACCATTGCTCTTAAAACTCTTCTCCGGCACGAATTCTTCCAACCCTTCACCACCGGAACAACGAGAGAAACTCTCGACGGTGACGCTGAGGTTGAAAAGCCCAATCGAACCGCAGACGTGCCCGAAATCGAACCATGTAACAACGCCATTGAAGAAGAAGAAGGTGAAAGAGACATAAAATCCAAAACAAACGAAAGATTGAGAATTTTTTCTTTGAACAACCAAACTAGGCCTGGGCTTTAAATCCGAAAACCGAAATCCGACCCGAACCCGATCCGAAAAACCCGATTGGGATCGGATTCGGTTATGCTCTAATATCCGATCGGTTTGTATCTGATTTTATTTTCGGTTTCGGATCGGTTTATACCCGAACCGAAATTAATTCGGATAACCGAAGAAAACCGAAATAATTCCCGTAACCCTAAAAAAACCAGTATATAAATACCTAAAGAAACCTAATGTTCACTCACTCTCTCATTTCTCTCGAGTCTCGACGGCGCAACACAAGTTCTCTCGAGTCTCGACGACGCTTTCAGACTCCGGCGACTCCGTTTAGCTCCGAGAAATCATTCAAAGGTAGTTTCTAGGGTTAGTCTCTGATTTGGTTTGATTGTTGTTGAGTTTTGGTTTGATATTTGTTGAGTTTTGGTTTCATCTTGTGTTTTCGTTTGATTATTGTTGAGTTATCGTTTGATTTATGTTGAGTTCTGGTTTCATATTCTGTTTTGTTTGATTTTTAACTCGATGTGGTTTGATTTTTGTTAGAGGTTTGGTTTCATCTTCTGTTTTGTTTGAGTTTGGTTTAATATCTCTGTTATTTAGATGGAGTTTGTTAGAGTTTTTAACTGAGCTTGTTTGTTAGGGTTTTTAACTGAGCTTGTTTGTCCAAGTTTGTTAGGTTTGGTTTTTGTTGAGTTTTAGTTTGGTTTTTGTTGAAACTAGACAAAGGCGACTCCGTTTGATATTAGTTTGAGTTTTGTTGAGTTTTAGTTTGATATTTGTTGAGTTGTTGGGTTAGTCTTCTGGTTTGGTTTGGTTTTTGTTGAGTTATAGTTTGGCTTTTGTTGAGTTTTAGTTTCAGTTTCATCTTGTGTGTTTGTTTGATTATTGTTGAGTTTTAGTTTCAGTTTCATCTTGTTTGTTTGTTTTAACTCGATGTGGTTTGATTTTTGTTAGAGTTTTGGTTTCATTTTCTGTTTTGTTTGATTTTTAACTCAAATCTCTGTTATTTAACTAAGCTTGTTTGTCCAAGTTTGTAGATGGAGTTTCCAAACCAGAATGAAGAATATGGTAATGAGGAAGCCTACGATGAGGGAATAGAAACTGAAGATGGTGGTTCTCCTGAAAATGCAAGCAAAAGGAAAGAGGTTCCTAAGAGTGCAGACAGTTCTGTCCGAGGTAGTAGGGCAAAGAAGAAGAATCCAAGTACAAGGTCTTGGGTCTGGGAGCATTACACAAGAGAGCCAGATAATAGGAACATATGTAGATGTCACTACTGTGGTAGATCTATGGCATGTGCTACTGCAAATGGCACAACTTGTCTCAAGAATCATTTGGAAATCTGCAAGGAGTACCAAGCTTGGATTGAGAGCAATCAGGGTCAACAACATGTTCTACATCGTGAAGGCGAAGGTGATGATGAGTCTAGTAAGTTGAAGTTGTCAAAGTGTTCTGAGTCTGTTTTCAGGGAAGCTTCAAATGAGATGCTGGTCTTAGGGGAACTGCCTCTTTCATTCATAGAGAGTTTGGCGTGGAAGCATTTCTGCAGCAAAGTTAAGCTATACAAGCCTCACTCTCGGAGAACAGCAACTAGAGACATTGTGGAGATGTATGTCAGAAAGAAAGAAGCTATGATGAAGCTTCTTAAGTCTAACAAGCAGAGGGTTTCACTAACAACTGATATTTGGGTTGCTCCCACAACAGGAGCTAGCTACATGGTTATCACAGCACACTTCATTGATGCAAGTTGGCAGCTGAGGAAGCTCACCATTGGTTTTAAGCACATCTCAGATCACACAGGTACAACAATTTGTTGTGTCCTTCTTGAATGTTTGGCTGAATGGGGAATAAGGAAGGTATTTACCATCACTGTTGACAATGCAACTGCCAACACTAATGCAATGGAGAAGTTTGTGGAGGCTTTTTGCTTACAAGGAATTGATGCATTAGTTCTAGGAGGTGAGCTTCTGCATTTGCGTTGTTGTGCTCATATCCTTAACTTAGTAGTTAAAGATGGGCTAGGAGAGGTGGAAAATAGTGTCTCTGCAATTCGGAATGCTGTTCAATATGTGAGAAGTTCAAGTAGACGATTGGAGTCATTCGAACACAAAGTGGACTCAGGGAAGATGACTAGGGGAAGCTTGTCTTTGGACTGTAAAACCAGATGGAACTCTACCTACCTGATGCTGACAAGAGCTCTCAAGTTCAGATCTGCTTTTGACAGAATGGAGAATGAGGATAAGCTCTACAATGATTACTTTAATGTAGAAGTCAGTGAAGGAAAAACCAGAATTGGGCCGCCTAGTGTCAATGATTGGGATGAAGTAGAAAGGTTAGTTAAGTTTCTGGTTATCTTCTACAATTCTACTTTGGTTGTCTCGGCATCTTCTACGGTCAACTCTTACAAGTGTTACAATGAGATAGTGACTATCCAGAAGAATCTCATTTCATTGAAAGAGAATCCTGATAAAGAATTGAAGGTAAAGGCTGAAGCTATGAAAGACAAGTTTGATAAGTATTGGGGAGGCTTGAAGAAAATAAACAAATTGTTGATCATAGCTAGTGTTTTTGATCCAAGGAACAAGATGAAGTTTGCAGGATATTGTTTTGATATGTTGTATGGGAAAGACAGTCCGGAATCAAAAGAGGTTTATGAATCAGTGTATAATGTGTTGAAGGATCTGTTTGATGAGTACAACAGAGCTGTGACAAGGACTGGGACTGCGTCATCATCACAGTCATCTCAGTCTCAGAATCACAGCCGCAACAACTCACAAGATACGGACAAGATGGATTTTGATGTTGATGGATATGAAAGAATGGATATGGCATACTCAGAGATGGTGAAGGAAACAGGATTTCAGGATTCAAGTACTGAGCTAGAGTTGTATTTGAAGGAGAAAATCGAAATCCCAAAGGCTAATCCTCTTGGAATACAATTTGATGTGTTAGGATGGTGGAGGATCAACAGTGCAAAGTATCCTGTTTTATCCACATTAGCTAAGGATCTACTTGCAATGCAAGTGTCTTCTGTTGCTTCCGAGTCTGCTTTCTCTACAAGTAACCGTATCCTTGATCCATTTAGGAGTTGTCTAACACACTACATGGTTGAAGTCTTAATGTGCACTGAACAATGGCTCAAGTGTGAGATTCGCATCAATGAAAGAGGTGTTGTTACCTGTCAACAGATGCTCGCGGATCTTGAGCTGCAAGATGATCTTCAGAAAGGTACTTCTTTTGTTTTCCTTGCTCTTTTTCTATTGTCTTCTGTTGGTTGCATTGTCTAGCTCTAACTTTCTGTGCTTTAATTATATTTAGAGTATGATGCTCCAAGAAACTTAGAAGACTACTAAATCTTGATTGCTTATCGGCTATTCGGCTTTGTTAAAGGTATTTGCTTCCTTCTTTTCATCTATGTTATTTCAGTTCTTTAATGTCTCTACTCTTACTAATCGACTCTTTTTGTAGGTGGCTAGGACTTGGTGAATGTTGAATGCTCAGAAGTCAGGTTCCATGTGTGGCAGGCTAGGACTTTGGATTCTGTGTTGCAAGTTTTTGTAACGTTCACTTTGGAGTTTGAAGTTGAACCTTTGGTTTTTAGACAATGTTGTTTTTCATTATGGATTCTGTGTTTCAAGTTTGGATTTTTGGATATTAGACTTTGAAATTTGCAAGTTTGAACTTTGAAGTTGTTGTTTTTTTTTGGTTTTTGTGATTTTTCGGATTTTTCGGATTTTCCGGTTTATTCGGGTTAGTAATCCGAACCGGATCCGATAATTAACATTTTCGGTTATGTCTCGGATAACAAATAATTTTACATAACCGATCCGAACCCGAACGAACCCGATCCGAATCCGATCCGAATACTACTCGGGTACTGTTCGGATACTAAACAACCCTATCCGATTAACCCGAAATCCGATTAACCCGATCCGTACCCGAATCCGAACCCGAACGCCCAGGCCTAAACCAAACCTCAGGAAAAAGAGTTAAGGTAGGAGTTTCTCTGGTTCGACCGGTTGGTTTCCGGTTCAAATTAAACTCCTTTCCGGTTAACCGGGGTTTGGTTTGATTGTTCATAAAAGAAAGAAGACTCCTTGTCGTCGGTAAGTGCCAAAGTTGAAACCTTTTTCCTGAATTTTCTGCTCTCAGTTGTGAGATTTTTTCCCGCCATGGAAGCCATGGAAATCGACTCCGAGAAGATTCACGAACGGAAGCATTCCGATTACAATTCACTGGTACGAAACCTATTACTGTATTTACTTGTAGCTAGAGCCGATAGAATCTTTTGTGGTGGTCACTGTTTCTACTTATAAGTGTACGGGCTAGGGTTTGCAATCTGATTCTGAGTTTTTGCAATTGAAGCAGGATGAGAGATTCGAGATACAGAAGGAGATGTACAGAGGTCAGCAATACAGTCAGATTTACTTTGCTCGTCTTCATCTCATGAGAACACTTCTCTACTCTCTTGCCCCTACTTGGAAACCTCATTTGCCTGGTCAGTGCTTTTGTTTCTCTCATTTTTATTTCATTTTTTGAGAAATTTGGTAAAAATATCAGTAATTTTTAGGGATTTTTGCTATCTTTTGGATTACAGCTGAGAAAGATTGCTAGTATTAGTTTTTAGGTGTGGTTAAATGATAGATCTGAATGTGAATTTCATGTTTGCAGTTTGTAAGGTTTTGGGACTTGAAAAAGGCAAAGAATGCATAATTGTAGGAACCTTGTTCAAACACATGAAGCTTAAACCTTGTGTTCTCGATGAATATTCTAAAGAGGTTGGTTTTCTATACAGCTTCTACTGGGTTTATTTTCGACCTATGTATTGGTTGAAATTAATCTGAGAGTATATTAAACTTAATGCAGAGGTCAGTTACTCCGCTTGTTAAACCACATAACTTTATGCATCCTGATGATAATCTGATCCTCGAAGACGAGAGTGGGAGAGTTAAGCTTGCTGGTTCTGCACTTTCACCTGCTATATATGTGACAGGTATGCTAATGGATTGTTACTGTGTATTATTTTTGCGTTTGTTACAATGTAGCAAATGTTAGAGATTTTGATCAAGTTTAGCTCTCTTAAAAGATGGGTTCTTTTAGAAAATTAACGTTGAAGCCTCCGTGGATTGTAGGTGTTGTTGTTGCATTGCATGGGAAGGAAACTAATGCTGGTGAGTTTTTTGTTGAGTATGTATTAGAAGCTGGTTTACCGCCTCAGATAGAGCGGCCTATCGATCTACGTAAGCCTAGCTATCTTCTCTTCCTTTTGCTAACCTCATGGCTCAATCATATCTATAAGCATTCTCTCATGATACATATTGCTCTGCAGAGGATGATAAATATGTTGTGTTATTGTCGGGACTTTGCATTGGAAGCAAATCGGCTAATCCCCTGCAATTTCAGCTTCTTGTTGACCATATAACTGGGCATCTCGGAGATGAGGAGGTTCAAATCTCTGAACTTTCAGGTTCTTCAACATTTTTCTTTCCTTAATTTATAATTTATGGTTTGAACAGGAACAAGGCCTTGCAGCACAGATAGTTCATGTAGTAATTGCTGGAAACTCTGTTGAATTTCCCCGCAAACTCATTAATGGCCAGGTACCTATAACTTTTGTTGCTGATATTTTCTCAGATACAGTTCCAATAATTATCCGCCCAGTTATGTCTTATGATCTTTATTGGTTGATATTTGCAGAACTTGGCCTCGAAAGATCAATCAACACTGTATGAGCCCATCAAAGAGCTTGATATCATGTTAAACCAGGTCAGTTAACTAGACCCACCTGTGTGTTATCGATTATATTGAGATGAAAATTCAAATTCCTTTTTTTTTTTTTGTGGATTGTTTTTAGATAGCTGCAGGAGTTTCAGTAGATATCATGCCAGGCACGAATGATCCAGCTAACTTCGCATTGCCTCAGCAGGTTTGCAAATACATGAAAAAACATTCAAAACCCTGCATTTTGTATCGATAAATCTGATTCATAGGCCCTTCTCTTTTGTTCAGCCTCTGAATAGATGTCTTTTCCCTGGATCTTCACCTTATAACACCTTCAGATCATGTACAAATCCTCACTCATTTGATCTCGATAATATAAGGTATGGTTATCATTAATAATGGATACAATCTCTGTGATTTTACAAGGATAAAGTTCTTGGGTTTATCTGATTGAAAATCTCATTTGGGGACATTTTGCAGATTTCTGGGAACTTCTGGTCAGAACATCGATGACCTTGACAAGTACTCAGAGGCTAAAAGCAAACTTGATTTTGTGGAAAGAACGCTGAGGTGGAGACATCTTGCCCCCACTGCACCTAATACACTTGGTAAGAATTTTCCTTCCCCTGCAAATTTACTGTTTTTGAACTAAGCCCGTATGAAAAAGATTATTTGAGTCTTTTGGTTTGATTCATTTGCGTACAGGTTGTTATCCTTTCACCGATAGAGACCCTTTCTTAATTGAAACTTGCCCTCATGTCTACTTCGTTGGGAATCAAGAGAAATATGACAACCGTTTGTTAAAGGGTATAACCTCCTTACACAGGGATTATAAATAACATAATAGTTTCTCTTTGTTGAACACTGCTTTAAGTTTTGTTTTGGGAAATATGAATGCTGCAGGGTCAGAAGGGCAACTTGTTCGGTTGATCTGCATTCCTAAGTTCTGTGAGACCGGTATTGCTGTTGCGGTGAGTTGAAAATATTGAGCAGAATTTGACTCCATTTTCTCTCATAGCATAGATTGCAGATTCTATATCTTAAAATCACGATGTTTATTTGCAGGTAAACCTAAGAAATCTGGAATGTCATACTCTAAGCTTTAGCACTCAGATAAACCAATCATAACATTGAGTTGCTACTTTGGTAGATTCCTCCTGTGTTGAAGATGTAATGTCTAGCTTTTTCACTAACACTCCTATGTTCTAACAAATGTTATTTCTTGTTGTGTTAAAAATCCTTTTTCTTTAGTGGAACTTCCAAATCTTTGGATGTATTGGTAATGCTCATTATTTTCTCCTAATTTTCTTTTGTGCTTTTTAACTTGCAAATCTCGACACGAGTTCTTAGGTGTCACATAAAGGACAAAAGGGGCCGACCAGATAGTGTCGTGGTCGTTGGTAAGAAGAACGTGAAAAGACTGTAAAAATAATCTTAAAAAAAGTACTTAAGTGCACAGAATCTCATGCAAATGTCTCTCTCTTCTCAACGGCTATATCCCATCCACACTTATTGCATTAATAAAATTAAATAAATGTAATAATGAAACGCATTATATTCTCCATTATTCCCCAACGGTCCATTTTCCCGCATTTCTTCAACCTTTCCTTTATAACCCAAACAGTTTCTTCTTCTACACTTTAATCCCCTCAATTTCTCTCTCACTACTTCTCTCTCTTACATTACCGAGAATCCGAGATGGATCTTGTTGTTGTCACAGAGACTAGTATTCCGACAAAAATCACTCACGTGAACAAGAAATCCTCCGACGAATTGCTCCGTAAGTTCGCCGATCCCGACGACGTCGACGAGTCAAAGTCGTCAACGAAACGCCGGAAGAAATCAGCTAAGAATTCTTCTCGAGAGAACGGCGTTGACATCGAAAGTAACAGTATTGGTTTGGTGGAGAGGAAACGGCTCTTGCTTGCTCCGGCGAGTAAACGGCGATCTCTGTTTCTCCGGCAGCTTGCTTCTGGAAAATCACATCTCAGGAACAAGTCTCTCGTCAGAACTATCGGCAAGGTATAATTTAATCCAATTTTCTATAATTAAAATTGGTAAACTTTTTTATTTAACCATTTTAATTAATCCTCTACTCTGCTCTAATCGGTCAGACATGGCGTAAAACAATGGAAGGAGCTTCAAGAGTTTTCATCGAGAAGCATTATAACAGACACAAGCGTCTCATCAACGACGTCGTTTAGGCTTTTCTTCAACCTTTTTTTTTGTGCCACTATTTTATATTCGTTTGTATTATCCTCACGTTTAGTATTTACTTCTTTCTCGTCTTATTTAAGTCAAATCACTTCATTGTAATTTTTTTTGTTGACGTATATTCATGGTTAACAAATTTATCATGGTGGTTGGAGCCTGTGTATTTGTTTTGTAAAGATTAATTCTACCCAAATTTAAGTTTTATGGTTGTATTTTATAATGGCAGAAACAAATAAAGTACTCTAACCAATAATCAACACGCACAATCTTTAGAAGCATAAAACATGGAGGACAAAAAGGTTAATTTGTTCAAAGTTCAAACCTATAGAGAGGTTCAGTGTAAATTGTATACTATCAATTGACGTGATGCCAATGAAGATCAGTGATTTTGTTTAACACATTTTCTTATTCGTCCATAAAGATTATATAACTCTAATAAATTATATATCAACACACATAATCGCAAGAAGAGTTATAAAAATCTTTATAAAAAAAAGGAATAGTCTTCTTCTATCGGCAAGAAAAGCAACAACACCGACAACAAACGAAATCTTTTGCTCTTTGACCAATTTAAAAATATTTTAAAAAGAAAGAAATCAGATATAAGAAATCATCCCTCATAACAATTTTTCACCGAAACAAAGCATTAGGAAAAGAACGCTCATCACCAATACACAAACTTAAAAGCATTTCCTGTGAACAATCGACGGTCCATTTTCATCATAATCAGCTTTAGTTATCCACATCTGCATACATACATCACAACTTTACATTAATTACAACACCCCAAAAAAATTTACTAACGTTAATCAACTTGAAAAACAATTATTATTATCTTATATATTTACCTGTGCAAAGCTGCTTAGAGAAGCCAAAATGGAGCCTCCCACCCAAACACTATATTTCCTCTCCGGGGGAGCCACAATTTTAATCTTCATACTAGGCGGTGCAAGCGCATTGATCTCTTTGTTCATCCTATCTGCGATCCCAGGGAACATGGTCGTGCCACCACTCAACACAATGTTTCCATACAAATCCTTCCTTATATCAACATCACACTTCATGATCGAATTGTAAGTCGTCTCATGAATACCACAAGTTTCCATTCCAATCAAAGACGGCTGGAAAAGAACCTCCGGGCACCTGAATCTCTCAGCTCCTATCGTGATCACTTGACCATCGGGAAGCTCGTATTCTTTATCAATTGTCGAGCTCGTTGTAGCCTTCAACATTTCTTGCTCGTTGTCGACAGCTATGTAACAAAGCTTCTCTTTGATGTCTCGGACTATCTCACGCTCGGCCGATGTGGTGTATGTGTAGCCACGTTCCATCATGATTTTCGTGAGATACTCGGTTAGGTCACGGCCTGCTAGATCTAGACGCAAGATCGCATGTGGGAGTGCATAACCTTCGTAGATTGGAACTGTGTGGCTCACACCATCTCCTGAATCCAACACAATACCTAACCACGCAGACATTAAATGGACAGATTAAAGACCATTGTTTCAAACATAACAAAAAAATCACGTTTTCATAAAAATCACATTTATAATAAAAAAAACAACAATATTTAAAGATTTTGCATGTGAACGTATCTTGAATTGTGAAGCAGTTATACATACCTGTGGTGCGACCACTGGAATAGAGAGAGAGAACGGCCTGAATACCAATATACATACTAGGAAAAGCAAAAGTCTCAAACATGATCTGAGTCATCTTTTCACGATTGGCCTTTGGGTTAAGAGGAGCTTCAGTGAGAAGAATAGGGTGTTCTTCAGGATCCAAACGCAGCTCATTGTAAAAAGTATGGTGCCAAATCTTCTCCATGTCATCCCAATTGCTAACAACACCGTGCTCGATTGGGTATTTAAGTGTAAGAATACCTCTCCTGGCTTGAGCTTCGTCTCCCACAAAGGAATCCTTCTCATCCATTCCAACCATCACTCCCTTGTGTCGTGGACGACCCACAACGCTTGGAAACACAGCTCTTGGTGCATCGTCTCCAGCGAATCCCGCCTTCAAAATTTTAAATGTAAACGTAATGCAAATGCGTAAATAGTATTTGAAACAAACCAAGCATTATAGATTTTTTATCAAAAACAAAAAAAAAAGCATTACAGATTAATAAATAGTGTTTTTAGTTTCTCCTTACCTTGACCATTCCAGTTCCATTGTCACACACGATAGGCACGAATTCGTCTTCTAGATCCGCCATTATCTAGAGTATACATATCATGCATGTTTCAAAAATTTATTTTTCAAAATTAATATCATTACTAAGAAGTTACGTTCTAGCACAGAATTAATTAACATAGCAGAAACTTCAAAAAACAACACTAAATAACAAACACTTTCGGAAAAAAAAAAAGCAGAGATCGTATACAGAGATCATGTTAATTCTTTGTTTTAAGGTCACGAGAGTCGAAACCATTATATCAAGTTATTACATTAAAAAATCTACAGAAATTCATCAGTTATCCTTAAATCAGTCATACAAATTAATAAATTAACTCGAAACCATACGACCATACCTAATTACTACAAGAGGGAAAGAAAATAAGAAATGAATGAGAGAAATTTAAAACCAAGATCTAAAAGTTGGAGTGAAAGAAGAGGTTAAAATGTATCAACTCGTGGATGGTGTTAGATCAAAAGAACCCTAGTTATTACAATTAAAAACATTGCTGAAGTAACAACAAACACAAATCATATGAGGAACATTCGTTCTCTTACGTTCAAATGTTATGTTGTCCTTCTTCTTCCTTGTCTCGTCTCGGCAACAAGAATGTTTTTGACAAAAATCATATCGCTTTGTTTCGTTTATAAAGAGCATGGAGATATACATGGGGCCCACACTAGTAGGAGTCATTTTTCCCCTTCCAAAGTGAATCCTCTAATTTGCATTTTACTTTTATCCAAATAAGTGCAAATCTTTCCTAATCTTTTATTTTTTTTAAATCATAAATTATATATGTAAAAAAAAAAATCTAACAAAATTGAAATGAGAATGAATGTGCCAACTCAGCGCTAATACTTGCATGTTTTGGCTAGATTAACCTATACTATATATGTCATAAAATGTATCATTTAATTTATCTTTATGAAAACTAGATTAGCTTTAATTTATTGAGTTTGAACAAAAAAACAAAAGCTTTAATTTATTGGAAATAAGAAAATGTTACCATTTTAACTCAAAACAATTTATACTAGATGAATAAGACATACTTTTTTTGAATATTAATGAATAACAATGCCACATGTGTAACTAGAAAACCATCAAAACTATGTATACTGTAATAATTTAATTAGATTCTAATTTCATATAATTTAATTTATCTAGGATTTGAATTTCAATAGTTTCTTATTTCATATATATAATTCTTTATTTATTACTTCAAATTTAGTTAAGGTTAATTAATTGGTGACTCATATTTAATAATACTACTTACAAAGTAATTTCTAACTTATAGAGCTACAATAACTATTATGATTGAATCAAACCAATATAATTATATTAATAAAATCTATGTTAAGATATTAAGAATTAAAAATGGTGCTATATGTAACCATATAATGTGGAGAAGATCTTTTTATTTCTACAGTATTTCATATTTTAATTTTCCAAACTCTGTACAGTTCATGTTTTTAAAAATTGGTTTAATATTATGCTTTATAATGTTTTCCACATTTACATCCAAGTTTACGCAATCATTTACAACAATTATTTAAAAAAACTAAGAGAATAATCTTCTTAAAAATGTTACAAAGTTTATTATCGATGAAAGGAGCACAAAATGCCCTGTCTTCTGAAAATGCTAGTATGTAGCAAGTCTCATAGCTTGACCCGTAGAATATAGTGCAGTTTGGAGCCAAGTTTTTGAATCATTTTTTCAGAATACATATTAAGGATTTGGTAAAGTTGTAGGTATAATAGGCCAAAAACAGAGGATAAATAAAACATAGCTGCTCCTGAACCCTTTAATCTTTCGCGTCAAAGAAAGCCAATGCATAATCAGATCACCATACTTTGATCTGGATATATAGCCAAGAGAGACAGTTGTGGATAAACCTGACAATGGTCTGAGAGATATGAAATGTTGTGTGATGCCCACGAAGATGCTATACGGCCATTTATTTCTCGCAATAAATGGTTAGGCTTTGGAGCGTATTAGGAGTTATGCGATTACGGAGAAATTAAAAGGCTCATTGATTTGCATCCAATTCGGCAACCGAACCACAACTTCATAGTATATTCATAGCGATGTTATCATCGCCGCTACGCAAACACTTTCTTCCAACTAACAAGACACCAAATCAGAGTGAGACCAAACCCACCAATGCGTCGTTTCATTATCGCATAATTTTTTTTTTTGGTGTCGTTTTTGTAATTAATTAATTTTTAAAGACTAATTTTGTTCAAATGTTTTAGAAGATTTAAAAAACTATTTTCAACCTCTTTTCACGTTCAATTTCGTTGGTTTTCCTCAAGTAACAAAATAATCAACACATATAATCGCAAGAATAGTTTTGGAAATTTTCTTCTTTTATCAGCAACAATAAGTCAATAACGACAACAAACCAAGTCCATTGACACTTTGACCACTGTCCCAACACCACCAACATAAAGTTATAAAAACAAAGAAATCAGAGTCTTATAAATTAAATCCCTCAAACAATTTATTTAACCAACAAAACCCTTAAAAAGAAAGCATAAAGAACGCTAATACAAGCATTTCTTGTGAACAATCGCCGCTCCACTTTCTTCATACTCAGCCTTAGTTATCCACTTCTGCAATATAGACATCACAACTTTACATTATAAACCACCCAAAAAAACTCACATTAACTTTAAAAATATATTTTATATATCTTACTTGTTCAAAGGAACTTAGAGAAGCCAAAATGGAGCCTCCAATCCAAGCACTATACTTTCTCTCCGGAGGAATCACAACTTTAATCTTCATATTAGCGGGTACAAGCGCACTGATCTCTTTGCACATCCTCTGCGCGATCCCAGGGAACATCGTTGTGCCACCACTCATGACAATGTTTCCATACAAATCTTTCCTTATATCAACATCACACTTCATTATCGACTTGTAAGTCATCTCATGAATACCAGAAGATTCCATCCCGACCAAAGACGGCTGGAAAAGAACCTCAGGGCACCTGATCCTCTCGGCACCTAGTGTGATCACTTGACCATCGGGAAGCTCGTAGGTTTTATATGTTGTAGCGTTCTCCAGTTCTTGCTCGTAGTCGTGAGCTACATAACATAGTTTCTCTTTGATGTCTCGGACGATCTCCCGCTCCGCTGATGTGGTATATGTGTAGCCACGTTCCATCATGATATTCATGAGGTAGTCGGTTAGGTCACGGCCTGCTAAGTCTAGACGCATAATCGCGTGTGGGAGTGTGTAACCATGGTAGATTGGAACTATGTGGCTCACACCATCTCCTGAATCTAACACAATACCTTATTACACCAAAAAAATTAACAGAGTATGTCATGGATTGTTCCAAGTGTATTTTATGCATTTGCATTTCTTTGTTAACAATTCATCAAAAATAAATCACATTTAAGAATATAAAAACATTTAATTTTTTTCATTCTGTACGATATTTCGCGTTTGATTATTTGCATTTGATGTTCTCATAACATTTTTAGCTTTTCTTTACTATATATATTTTGAATTTTGATACTTGAATTGAAGTTACTGACCTGAGGTACGACCACTAGCATAGAGAGCGAGAACGGCCTGAACGGCCACATACGTAGCAGGAGTATTAAAGGTCTCAAACATGATCTGAGCCATCTTCTCACGATTGGCCTTAGGGTTTAGAGGAGAGTCAGTGAGAAGCACAGGGTGTTCTTGAGGAGCCACACGTAGCTCGTTGTAGAAAGTATGATGCCAAATCTTCTCCATGTCATCCCAATTGTTAACGATACCATGCTCCATTGGGTATTTAAGTGTAAGAATGCCTCTCTTGGCTTGAGCTTCGTCTCCCACATAAAATTCCTTCTGATCTATTCCAAGCATCACCCCCTGGTGTCTTGGACGACCCATGATGCTTGGAAATACAGCCTTTGGTGCATCATCTCCAGCTAATCCCGCCTTCAAAATAATTCCCTAATTATTAGATTTCCTATATATATTATATATATATATATATATATATATATATATATATATATATATATATATATATATATATATATATATATGACAAAGATTTCCTATATTGTTTTATAGTCTCAGTTGTCTATGTAGTTACGTTTATGTTGAAGTAATTTTAAGAATAATATTTTATTACTAATTATATAAATGTAAACGGCAAAGGCCAAAGTTGTTCCGTTTGCATTCTTACTTTCCAAAGATTTTTGTGAATAAAACTGAAAATATCTATGTTTTCAAAATTATGATTTGCATATATTGTGTTTGAAACAATGGATTAATAAAGAGTGTTTTTATTAATTTATCCTTACCTTGATCATTCCAGTTCCGTTGTCACACACGATAGGCTCCGACATTATCTACAGTAGACATATCATGTTTCAACAAAAAGTTTTTAAAATATAATCGCTAAGAAGTTCTAACACAACAATAACATAGTAGAACTGTAAAACCAAATTTAAATCAACACGTGGGAAATAAGCAGAGACACGGCCGTATACAAATATATTATGCTGATTCCTATAGCAATTAACACCTTATTGAATCTTAATTATGTTAAGCTCATGAGAGATCATTAGGTATAACATCGGAAATCAATAGAAGCGGAAGGGACCATCAAATCAGAGAGTAATGATCATTCTCTTACTTGAGATTGTGTCTGTCTCAGTTTTCGTTGTTGTTCTTCGTCTCGGCAACAAGATTGCTTTTGAGTTTTGACAAAAAATCCTACCGCCTTGTATCCTTTATAAAGGGCATGGAAAGAGAGACGTGGGTTCCAAATTATTATGTGTTCTCATTTATTTTCCTACAAAAGAGAATCCTCAATTAGATTTTTTGAGACTTAAAATCTTTCCTAATTTTTTACTTTTTTTTCTTCATTTTAGATTCTATATAAAAAAAATTTAGCTTTAATTAATTAAAGAGTAAAGGTTACTTATTAAACCAAAAAAAAGACTTATGCAAGAGGAATAAGATATACATTTGAATATTAATGTATAATTATGCGACACATACAACTTTGAAATCATCAAAACCATTTGTAATGTAATGAATTTGATTTATATATTTATTAATTAATGATATGATTTAAATTATTTTCTAATTTTATATATAAAATATTAAGTGAAAGAGTTAATTAAATTTATTAACTAATGATTTAAAATTTAATTTATATATAGTCAAATAACTAAAGATTTCATAGTTTTAATTACAACTAAAGATTTATGTAAATTCTAACTTAAAACTTACAATAAGTATTATGCTTGTACCAAACCAATATATAAGACATTTTGTATTAATAAAAATATATGATAAAACATTTAGAATTGAAATACTATAAATTACCATATACTATTCATCATATTTTTTTAAAAAATTTGTATATTAAGTTTTTTTTTAAAACCCTTTTTTAGATTAAGTTATACAAATCTTTCTCCATAAAATTCATAGACAATGTTTTTCAGTCCTAAAAGATTACGAATTTAAGCTCAAGTAGTGTATGAAACACTTGAGAATTAAATGTTTTGTTAGCTCAGTTTTCTTAAACTTATTATTTGTTTTATCGGTGTGATTTTCTTGTAATTTTTTAAAATTGGTATTGGAGTAATACATTTCGATGGAAAGATTAGTTTTGTAATTTTAAAAGAAGTTTTTAATAATGTCCATGATGTTTTTTTCCAAAAAATAAACTTATATATATATTTATTTTTCAGATAAGAATTAAGATAACATTAACAATAATCAACACACATAGTCACAAGAATAGTTACGTTTAAGTCATTGGAAATGTTCTTTTCTAAGCAAGAAAACAACAATACATGTTCTTCTTTTATCAGCAATAAAAACAACAACATGATTCCAACACTAACATAATTAAGTTATGAAAACAAAATAACAATTTATTTAACCAAAACAAGACTCTAAATTAAGAAGAAAGCACAAAGAGCACTCATCACCAGGACGAATCTCGATATATATGCTAACAAACTTAGAAGCATTTAGTGTGAACAATCGCCGCTCCATGTTCTTCATATTCATCCTTAGTTATCCACATCTACGTACAATATAGACATCACAAATTTTTACATTATAACAACCCCAAAAAATTACAATAATTAACTTAAAAACCATATTTAATATCATCTTATTTACCTGATGAAAGGTGCTTAAAGAAGCCAAAACGGAGCCTCCATTCCAAACACTACACTTACTCTCCAGAGGAACATCAACTTTAACTTTCATACTTGACGGTACAAGTGCAGTGATCTCTTTGGTCATCCTTTCTTTAATCCCATGGAACATCGTTGAGCCACCAGTCATCAAAATGTTACCATACAGATCCCTCCTCGTATCAACTGGACACTTCAAGATCGAATTGCGAGTCGCCGCGTGAATACCACAAGATTCCTTTCCGAGCAAAGACGGCTGGAAAAGAACCTCAGGGCACATGATCAATCTCTTGGCTTCTATCGTAATCACTTGACCATCGGGAAGCTCGTAGGTTTTATCGATTGCCCAGCCCTTTGTTGCCTTCTCCATTTCTTGCTCGTAGTCGAGAGCTATGTAACAAAGCTTCTCTTTGATGTCTCGGACTATCTCACGCTCAGCGGATGTGGTGTATGTGTAGCCACGTTCGGTCATGATTTCTATGAGGTAGTCAGTTAGGTCACGGCCTCCTAGGTCTAGACGCAGTATACCGTGTGGGAGTGCGTAACCTTCGTATACTGGAACTGTGTGGCTCACTCTGTCTCCTAAATCCAACACAACACCTAAACACGCATAAACTTAACAGAGTAAGTCTGGATTGTTTCACACGCAATTTATGCACTTGCGTGTAGTGACCAAAAAGTCCAACAGCAAATATTCAAGCTTATTATAAACTAATAGAATATTAATTTCTCTTAATTAATTTTATGATATTTTGGATTTTGGTTGCTTACCTGTGGTACGACCACTGGAATAGAGATAAAGAACAGATTGAATGGACACGTACATGGCAGGAACATCAAAGCTCTCAAACATGATCTGAGTCATTTTCTCACGATTGGCTTTAGGGTTAAAAGGAGCTTCAGTGAGAAGCACAGGGTGTTCTTTAGGATCCACACGTAGCTCGTTGTAGAAAGTATGGTACCAAATCTTCTCCATGTCATCCCAATTTTTAACGATACCATGCTCCATTGGGTATGTAAGAATATCTCTCTTGGCTTGAGCTTCGTTTCCCACATAAGATTCGTTCGGATTCATTCCATCTTTTGGACGACCCACGACGCATGGAAACACAACCTTTGGTGCTTCGTCTCCTGCAAATCCCGCCTTCAAAATGTTTCACCAATTAATTGGCACTTAACAAAACATTTTACGAGAAATACTTCAGAGTATATGTCAAAATGTTGTTTATTATAATATAAACGCAATGCGAACGCATAAATTGTGTTTAATAAAAACAATCGAAGCCTTATAGCGATTTAAAAAAAAAAAAAGTGTGTTTATTTTTTTCGTACCTGGACCATTCCATGTCCCTTGTCACACACGATAGGCTTCATATCCTCTGATGCCGAAGAACTGTATGTAAGAACCAAAATCAAATCACAAACACTTGGGAAATAAGAAAAAGATTCAATTTGTATCTTTAACTTGTTTCTTTGGGCTTGTAATCCATTATTGATTGAAAACTTTATCCACTTTTAGTTTAACAAGAAAAAAAATAGCAAAAGGTAAATCAACTTGGAGAGAGATCAAAGGGGAACAATCGTTCTGATGATCTTACTTTCAAATTAAGATGGTGTCTCTCTCTGTCTTCTTCTTCTTCTTCCTTCTCTCGTCTCGCCAACAAGAATGTGTTTCAAGATCCTAGTACGGCCTTGGTTCTCTTATAAAGGGCATGGAAAGAGAGGCATGTGTCCTACACTAAGTAGGACTCTCTTTTTTTTTTTCCTACAAAAAGTAAATTTGCATTATTTTTACTTTTTAGTCTTCCAAATAATGCAATTCTTTCCTAATCTTTGATTTTTCTTTTTCTTTTCTGATTGATAAAAAATAAAACAATCTAGCTAAATTGAAAGACTAACATAAAAACTAAATTTGCTTCAGTTTATTGAAAATTTGAAAGTTACTCATTCAACCCAACAAAAATTATACTAGATGAATAAGACATATCTTGTTTTGAAATCCCTTAATTAATTATTTGATTTTAATTATCTTCAAATTTCACATATATATATATATATACAATATTATGTGAAAGATTTAATTAAAATGATTTATTGATTAATGAACTGAGATATTACTAATCTAAAAATTTTAATTTAGTTTTTATAAAATAAAAGATAGTTGTTATAAAATAAATTAAACTAAAAACACGTATTGGAGGGAGGGTGACTCAAATTGAATGTTTCTCATTAGAACTAAAATTATACATTCGAATTAGCCGATTAAATCAATTAATTTATAACCTTTCTAGTCTATTAAAAATCATTCTAATTTCCAAGTGGTTTCACTCAGTTTGCGGTGATATTAACATATTCGTGAGGCAGAGAAAATAAACAAAAGTAAATAGAGAAAAAGTAAATTTTTGTTACCGGCGGTAAATATTAAAATGCCCTTTTACGGGTCAGATCGACTGAGTCAAGCCCGAGTCACGTTACCCACATCGGCTTTTGGTTCCTTCCTTTGCCAAACGGCGAAAGACGCAATCTTTTATCCTCCGATCTCACAGAGATGAACGCCGCCATTAGAGCAGCGATTCTCCGACCACAAAGCTATTCTTCTCAGCTCAAAATCGCGTTTTTTCATTCCACTCCTGTCTTAGAACGCAAACGTCGCACTTCCTGGGAATCGGTCAGTACTTTCCGTAAATTTTGATTCTTTTGTTGATTCGTCAGCTAAATTTTCGTGCTTTGGCAATTCATTGGATTTTTATATGTCATTTTGTGTTGTTCCTTAAGCGGATTTATCGAAATAAATTGAAATGGATCGATGACTATGTTTTTGGCATCTCCGTTGAGCTTTCGTAGACAAAATGTTGGGACTTTAAAGGTTTTCTTGTCTAAATTGCGACCCTTTTACTAGTTTGGAGACTTAGAGTTTGAACTGGTGGATTGATATGTCTTCTGATTTTGGGTTTCGTTTATCTGCAGAAATCAAATGTTCACAAGAAGAGGTTCAGAAGAATGAGGGAAAAGCAAGAGTTATTGCGTAATGTCAATGCTTTTGCTGCAAATATGTTTACGGTATTTATTTCATCTATGCTTATCACCTTTTCTGCTGGCCTCAGCTGTTGTTTCTCTCCGCTTTGGACATTTTGCTAATATGGTTTACATGGAAACACAACACTTTATGTGCTCTTAAGTAACATTTTAGCTAGTTGATGCTGAAAATGTTATGGTTCAGAAGTGGAAGGATCTGGGGTTATCGAAAGGGAAATGCAAGTGTTATGTCTCTGTTTTAGTTTCTTGTGCATGACTTAGAGTGTCTTATTGCGCTTTCTAGGTGCATTCGTTTATCCCATTTTTGATTTTCATTTGTAAAACTCTCAAAGCTGCGGTTGTATTTTTTGATTCCAGAACTGGCATGATGAGTTTGATGATGATGGTCCCTCCTCCCGGAAGCAAAGCTCGTGGTTCAAAAAACAGTACTCCAAGGAACCCAAAGGAAACCAGAATAACAAACACGGCCCTTACAGTTGGGGTAAAAGTAAGTGAATGTCTTTGCTCTGTTTCTCTTTAACGGCTACACTATGTAGGAAAATCTCTTGGCATGTAAATTACTCACTGCTTCTACAATCAAAGATTTTGTGTCCTCTTTAGATTTTTAGCCATTAATGCTATTGTTATAGGATTTGTGTTATTAGTGGACTTCAATCTAGTTTTGTTGAGCAACTCCCTGTTTTTCCTTAACTCAGACTCATCCCCTGAAAGAAAGACCTTGTGCTTCCAGTACTAGCTTACATAATTATCGAAATTCCTGGCTCATTATGGACTCAGTTCTTTGACTTGTGTCTTGTTCCTATATTAGCTTTCATAATCATTAAGTGCTTGGCGTTTGAAATTGTATTATTGTCATTTTGTATAATCAACAGGTGCAATTTTGTTTGGCTACATACTCATATCAATCCATTTGGTTTGGCTACTTACTCATATCAATCCATTTTGTTTGGCTACATACTCATATCAATCCATTTGTTCTGTTGTGTAGGGAATTTCGATTTTTGCGAAGTTGATGAGGACTTTGAAGTGGACTATGTATTCCGAACTGCTTTTGGTGGATCCCGAGGTTTCTCTTTTTCATTCACCCATGAAGAGGATGAACCTCGATGGCGGCATCACTCTTCAAGGTTTTCCAACAACTCTAACAGGTCTTGGAGATCAAAATATCGGTTAGATGAAGATGAAGAAGAAGATGACTATACTTCAGACTCCAGCGACTCTGAGTCTGAGCCAAACCAAGTTTCTCATAGACAAGCACTTGGCCTGAGTCCTTCAGGTCCCTTAAACCTTAAAGATGTCAAACATGCGTAAGTAGTTCACTTAATGTCAACACACAAAACCTAACATATACATTTCATCTTCTCACCACTTTACATCAAATCTCTTTTATTTTGTATATCAGGTATCGAACTTGTGCATTAAAATGGCATCCAGATCGTCATCAAGGCTCTACCAAGGTAACAAATAAGATCTCCTCCTCTCTGTTCAATCTCCATGTAAGTTTTTTTCTTCCGATTCTCATGTTAATGAATATGTGATTATATGAAAACAGGAGGCGGCTGAAGCAAAGTTCAAGCTCTGTAGTGTGGCTTATCAATCTTTATGCGAAAAGCTGTCGGTGAACTAAGATAAAGAGTTAGATAGATCTTGATTACTTAGAGATACCCCATTGCAATAATTTCCAAATTGTTTCATTTTAAAGCTTAGCACAAAGCAAAACACTAGAGGATCCAAGCAAAATTGCCTTTGTTCTGTCATTTTTTATTTCTTTGAAAACTACTACTGATGTGTATTTATTATATCTCTCATCCCTTTGAACCAGTTAAAATTATTATCAGAGTGAATCACACAACATTACAAATATGAAATCAAAACATGACTGAAACAAACCCAATTACTAATGGCCCAACCAGGAAGGCCCAACTACGTAGGTCCAACACGTGAAGAGACGAAGCTAGGTTCTTTGTTTTTGTAATAATCTCGTTCATTTATGAATAAGGACAGTCCTTGGAGATCAAGCAAAAACGATTGTGTAAATATTCCATCCTCTGTTTTTTTTTTCTTTTTACAAAAAAGAAAATCTTCTATTTTTTTTCTCCTCTCTTCTCTAATTTTTTTTTTTATTCTTATGAGTCAAGCTCGAGTCACATTGGTTTAAGACGCAATGCTGTGTATTCTCCGACAGAGATGAACACTACCGCAATAAAAGCAGCGATTTGCAGACCGCAAAGCTATTGTTCTCTCCTGAAAACTGCGTTTTTCCATTCTACTCCTGTCTTAGAACGCAAACGCCGTTCCTCTTCTTCGTCGGACGGTCTCTTCACTACATGTGTGGGTTTACCTAGATAATTGATTTAGCTCAATTTACTAATCTCTAGATTTTGAAGACAGATGATTGAAAAGTTTCTATAGAGTTTGAATAGGTGTGAATACTTGTTCTGATTTTCTAGGGTTTTGAATATTTGGCAGAAATCAAATGCTCAGAAAAAGAAGAGAAGCAAGAAATTTTTGAGGGAACATCAAGAAGCAGTGCGTCGTGCTGTTGAACAGCTTAAACAAGAAAGAGAAGAGGTACATGAGTGAGATTATGATGCAAAACACATGTTTAAGCCCTATCTTTATCTCTTTTTTTGGCTGGCCTCTAACTGTTTGTTTCTTGCATTACCTCATTGCGTTTTGAGGACGTGTCTTTTAATTAAAGTTTGAAACTTGTTGAGGTTAAAGCACAAAACCCTTTATGTGCTCATGGATCATGAAACTTAGTGTATCTCATTGCTCTTGGTGTAATTAACATTAGGCCGCTAAAAAAGCCAAAGAAGCTAAAGAAGAAGAGAATAGCAAACACGGCCCCTACAGGTCGGAACAAAAAAGTAAGTGTTGTTTACCGTTGAAAATGTCTAGTTAAGGTGCAATTTTGTTTGGATACATATATATACTCTTATTAAAAAAATCATGTGTTCCATTTTGCAGGGCATTCCAGTTACTGCGATAACGACTTTGAATTTATATTCCAAAATTTATTTAAAGAATCTCGAGATTCCTATTATTCGACCCATAGAGAGAAGGAACATAATTGGTGGTATCACTCTTCATGGTCTTCTAATTACTCTAGCAACTCTTGGAGATCGAAATATAAATTCTATGAAGGAGGAGAAGAAAAAGATGAGAAAGAAGAAGAAGAAGACGAAGATGGCTATGGTTCAAGAAGATCCAGAGGCTCAGTGTCTGACTCAATTGAATACCAAGCCTCTCATAGACAAACACTTGGTCTGAGTCCTTGGGGTCCCTTAAAACTCGAAGATGTCAAAAAAGCGTGAGTTACTTTTACACTTCCAAGTTCATACACGCGCATAGAGGCTTATACATACATTCTCATGACCAAACTTGTTGTTTGTTTTCAGATATCGAACTTGTGCATTAAAATGGCATCCAGATCGTCATGAGGAGTCTACCAAGGTAAACCAATAAGATGTTCTTCAAAATCTCCATTTAAGTGTTTTTCTCTTGTGTTAATCCTTGAATATATAAACTGACAGGAGGCAGCTGAAGAAAAGTTCAAGCTCTGCACTGTGGCTTATCAATCTTTAATCGAGAAGCTAGCAGTCAAATAATTTTTTTTGTTAGAGTTAGATAGGTTTTGATTACTTAGATTTCTTATAACAAATAATTTCCTAAAGAAACGTTTTTATTATGACCTCTGATCAAACAATAGACTACAAGATTTAAGCATTTGCTATATGTATTGTCAAATAATAGCTCTGCTTTTGTGTCTGAACCGGTTAATTTGGTCAAATTAAACCGGGTTTTGGCTTTTAACAAGTAAAACCAGTTATACCGGACCTTTGGCTAAGTTAAAGAGTCATTTCATTCATATCTGATAATCTCCTCAAATGTCAAATTTTTCGGACGAAATTGATTGGCCATCGAGAGAGAAGCTTCACTGTCAAAAGGAAGCCTATTGCCGGAACTGAAGAAATTCCGGTGACATTCCGGTGCGTATAATGCTCAAAGCCGTTCAGATCTTGGGTTGGTCATCAGGGTTAACCATCTCACAGAGATTGACCAAGACTCGCAAGTCCTCTAGCGTCTCTTTCATCTCTACATCTCTCAATCTCTCCACTTTCTCCTCTGTCACTTCGAGCTCTCCTCGAAAAATATTCTCTTTCAATCCAACCCGAATGTCTTCCTCACTTCCCGGGTCTGACCCAGTTGCAAATTCTCCGACTTTCGTCTCTGTTCAATCAGCTGTGAGTCTCTAATTTATCTCCTGGAAAGATCTTATCTTTAAGGTTTTTGGTTCCTTCAATGGTGTTTTTGGTTGTTATTGTAGGGAGATGTTCGTAAGATAAAGTTCTGTCAATGGTGTGGAGGACCAACGAAGCATGAGATACCTGACGGTGAAGAGAAATTGAGAGCTATTTGTACACATTGCGGCAAAATCGCATATCAGAATCCTAAGATGGTACTGTTTTTGATATCTCTACCAACAAGTTTTGTTTTTGTGTTAATCATGAATGTTTGATTAATGTGAAATTGTAGGTTGTAGGTTGCCTTATCGAGCATGAAGAAAAGGTTTTACTTTGCAAGCGTAACATTCAACCTTCACACGGTTTATGGTATATACAAATCAATAACATTTATCTATCTTTGTTGTGTGTGAAGTTATGTGAATGATAGATGGATCTTTGAGTACACAGGACTCTTCCTGCTGGTTATCTAGAAGTTGGAGAGTCAGCTGCACAAGGAGCAATGAGGGAAACTTGGGAAGAAGCAGGAGCCTCTGTGGAAGTCATTTCACCTTTTGCGCAACTCGATATTCCTCTTATTGGCCAAGTAAGTATACATACAAAACATCCCTAGTGTTCTTTCTTCATATTATTGATTCTTATGTGGCTCTGTTTGTTTTGGATCAGACGTATGTTATATTCTTAGCCAAACTGAAGAACCTGCATTTCGCGCCTGGTCCCGAATCATTGGAGTGTCGTCTTTTTGCACTAGATGAGATACCGTTTGATTCCTTGGCTTTTTCATCTATATATGTTACCTTAAATTTGGTATGAATATGGACAGAGAAGATTCTCATACCCTCCAGTCTCCATTCACTAGATTTCTAAAAAACCATATTTGCTTTTTTTGGTTTTGTATTTGCAGTACTTGGAAGACCTGAAAAAAGGGAAACTAAAGTTTCACTATGGTACGATTAATAAAAGGTGCGTTCCAATTGATATCTCCCCGCATGTAGAGTGATTGCTGAAATACATATTTATTTCACTTATGGTTTAATGTGACTAATTGTGTGCTTTGTTCTTTCTCAGGCCTGGAAGTAGTCCTTCAGATATTCGTGCCTTTAGTCTCGATTACCATCTGCAACCGTGACTCGAGGTTTGAAAATCTTTCCCCTCTACATAAATTTACTGGATTGTATGAGTCTAGTAAATTTCCTCAGATCATGAATCCTTTAGGAGAAAATGTTCTTTTTTGATTGGTTATCTTCATGGAGACTTTGCCCTTATGAAAGCTAATTTGAGAGCTTTTCTCCACAGTTTACAGAAGCAGCTTCTGTATTTGCTTTGTTCTTCCATGTTGAGTCTTGTCATTTCGCAACTCTTGTTACGAGAAGAAAAGGAAAGATGAAGTTGCTTATGTGAGAGATTCCTTGGACAGATGAGAAACAACGCCGAAGAAGATAATTTGGACAGAGCTTCGTTTTGTCTTTGTGGTGGAGAAATAGGTTTGGATGACTTTTAGGTAACTCATGTCAGATGTTATGGCTGAACAATGTGTATCTTATCGGTTTCTGGTTTCAGTTGCCTCAAATGTAAAATGAAAACTTCAGATGTGTAAATGCCTGAAAGACATTTTGATCAATCTTTGTGTAAAGGTCTTCAGTGAAAAAAAAGAGAAACCAAGAGAACTTTAGGGAACACAAGAACAGAGACAATTACAGGTCTTATTGGCACATGTAAATGCATCAATCAAACAAACTGAAATAGAAAAAGATAGCAGCAACACAAAGATACTTCAAACAAAAGAACTGAGATTGAAGGAACCAATCATGTTTGCGAGAGCAGAACTCATATCTAGCTCAAGCTGAAGCTTCTGAAGTTCAAGCTGTTGCCTCAAAGCTGGATCTTCCACTTGCTCTGTTGTTGCAGCTACTTGTTCCGTCTGCTCAGTCTCCAAACCCTGAACAGGAACAGATTCAGCGTGCGGTGTCTTTCCTTCATCACTCGTCCCACACTTCTCAGCAGAAGGAGCCACTGGCTTAGGCTTATTCACAGCACATGAAGCATGAATATGATAGTTACAAGCATAACAGTTATAGGACCAAAACCTACCATCCATAGCCATGTTACAAATATTGCAAACAAGCTGATTCCCGAAACCAAACTGAGTAAAAGACATAGCCGGAGTACTGTTGTAGACAAGAAGAAGACTATGGAGAGGATGAGACTCATGAACCGTGACCTGAGGCAGATGCGCGCATTGAACATGGAGGTCAAAGTCACACAAAGGACAACAGTAAGAGAACCCTTTACCTCCAATGGAGCCACAGGCTCTGCAGAGGAAGGTACCGGCACTGTAAGTTGTGTAAGGGACTAGAGTCAAGTGGTGGAGACCAGCGTGAGAAGGGTGTTGCATCCCACGCACCGCGTTACCACATTTCTCATGAAGATTGAAGTCACATGTTGAACAGATATATGCGGTTTCGGAATCAGAGATGGCTGATTCGCAACCTGAGCAGATTACTAAAGAATCTGAGCTTCCATGTGTCTGAATCTGTTGGAGTTTTAGAGTGTGAGGATGGCTGAAATGTTTGTACTCCATTGATCACACTACTTGGAGTTTGTCTCTTTTTGATTTAGCAATCTTGTGTGTTTAGGAGTTTGGATCATACTCTGCATATAAGGTTTCTCTGACTTTGAATTGTTCCAACTCTGAGTTGTTTTCATTGGTTTTCTTAATGGGAAATTAGTAGTTTTTGGAGAATGATAATTACATAAAAGTTGAAGGAAACAGCGTTGAACTTAAGAAAGTCAACTACTTAGACCTTTGACCAACGAAGTCGTCGTATCTATAACTCTTGTTTGATTATTTACACTCTTTTGTTTATTTCGTCATGTCTAAATTATTTGGTGTAATCATTACATGCCTACGAACCGCCAATAACATTTAATCAAACGCAACAACCGAAATTTAAAAAACTTTTAAATTTGATGGATTCACTAACATCATTTTTCTGTGTGAGCCTTTTTTCATTTACAAAAACAAATGCTTATTTAGTAGGAATCCTCTAACTAACAAACTTTACGTTAATAATATTTGGTGGTTTCAGCTAGCTAAATAGTCTAAATTAAAATTGATAATAGGACAAACCATACCTAATTAAACTAGTTTATCCCCACCATATATTTTAAAAACAAATCATCATCATACACCAAATTTATAGTTATACCCACACTCTAGCCGTCTTATTGTATATTTTTTATTTATTAAATTATTACGAGACATATAATATAAGCTCCAAAGAAAGTCGTCTTAAATGTTACATCGTTCTTGCCTTCTTGGTATATAGGATGATGTTATCGAGTAGTTAATTGAGATGACTTTAAAATCTAATGATTAAGCTTTATGGATTTTATTCAAATAAGCAAAGAAATGCTACATGAATGTGTGAATCAATTTCTCAAGGTCATTTTTGTTTTGATTCTTTCACTATTGGTACCAGCATGCATGGTTTGCTCCTTTCGTGAGGTAAGTTGTAATTTTATTTTATCTTTTATTATCATACATATAGAAAACTTGCAAAAGTGCATAGAACAAGGGAACAAAATCTCCAATCTCAACCAAGATCAGATGTTGAACATGACACCAAGACCAAATACGTAACAGTATATCTACATTATTGAAGGTCCTAATTTTTGGTTTTTTTTCTTCGGTATCTGAAAAAAACAACTCCTATACAGAATAGAAATCCAAATTTGATATGGCATATAGAAGTGAAAAAATAAAATTACGTGAATATTAATACATGAGAATATCAAATGACTCACTGTTACTATTTTTTATTTTTTATAGATGTCAAAAATTGGTTGTAGTAGAAATAGCGTATTAGACCAAGGTGTGCAACTAGGGTGTAAATAGTGTTCCAAATAGCGTAATGAATTATGGTTGGAAATTGAAATAAATTAGTCATCACATCGTTAGGTTTCATTTATTTTGAACCAGTTGCAGTGAACATCGTGGAGAAAAACAGTTCACATGATTTTGCTAAAAACGTTGAAACATCAATAAATTACTACTACTATTTTACAGTAACTAGTAACTAACTTACATTAATAATGATTGAATACAATTTTTAGTATTTATCTAAATTTATTCATCTAAAGTTCAAGTACTGTTTAAACCTTTGCCAAAACGAAATTGAAACTAGAAAAGATCCACCAATATATAAGATGCAAGAGCAAACGCCAATTAAGTCCTCGATCCATCTACACACACATGTTCGCACACCCAATACATAGAGCTATGTCCATAATTATCACTCATGTACATAAACATATACATATCCATATACATGCAAATGCTGATCAACAGACTTACTTATCACATGCAGCAAACTGATCAGCAGGTGCACTTATCTCACCCTCAACATCACCACTACCACCACTAGTGCTGGTTTGTCCAAGCAAACTACTTATCGAACGTGCCTTTACCATCCCAAGCTTCACTCTCTTCTTCTTCACTTCCACCACCACGGCCTTTTTCTCGCCGCCACGACCACCACCACTCTTGTTCATGCTCCTTACCCTTCCTTTACCGAGATGATGCTCACAAAGAGAATAACCAACAAGCGTTTGCTGACAACATCTCCATCCTCTACCGTTAACGCGGCTGCACCGTGATCCTTCCTCTAACGCACCACCATTCTTTTTCCCTTTCTTTTTCCCTTTATTACCACCTCCACCGCCACTAGCTTCTTCATCTTCCTCATCTTCGTAATCCTCAAAGTTTATAAAGCCTCTTCTCTTCCTCAAAGACGCAACCTTTTCATTCTTCTCGACAACTATCATATATATTTATCCAAAGGTGAATGGTGCAACCAAAACACAAAAGCTTAAGTTCACCAAATACATATATTGATCAAGCACACGATGCATACCTTGTGTTGAAGAGTCGGACTCTCCTCGGAGATTAACATTCTTGCTGCGATTGTTTGAAGCAAGAAGGACAAAGAATGTAATCAGATTTTTTATAAAGAGATGAAAGCGATCTATATTATGAGTGCAAGAAAAAATAACAATTAATCAATAATGATAATAATAGAGCACACACACAAGGTAAGGGTCGATATGGGACCATTCGTATAAGAGTATCCCATGCTAACGTGCACCGTCATGAGGTGTGCATGTTTAGAGATGAGTATTATTGTGTTACTCTTCCCTAACTACTCCATCTCCATGTATATATTCCCAAATGTTTACAGTGTGAGAAGAATAACGGTTACAAAACCATAAGAAAAGGATTAGATCCAACCTGATCATTCATCTTCAAAACATTATAATTCACATGTAAGGAAAAGCTTTATAGTTCTAAAAGAGTTTTGATTTTGATCCAGTTTCAGTGTTGGGTTTTCGAAGCTTGGATCTTAAATGATTAGTAATTACACCACGCAAAGTTATATATGAGAGAAGAGAAGGAAATTTTAAGAAGAAATCTTTATCGAATTCTCACATACCTGCCCGAAGCATCAGTACGACTCATCACGTCTACATCACCATCACCACCATTATCATCCTTTCAGAAAAACAAAACATAACAAAAGAGAACGAAATTGAACATTCCTTGTAATAAGATCTGCAACTGAGAACAGTTACTCTCCATGGTGTAAAATTGAACCAATTATTCGCCAAAAAGGTAGTTTAAAAAAAAAAAAGAGTCAAGTGCGGTCTTCAGACAAAACACAAACTTGCACCCAAAAATCCAATTTTTTATAATCTATCGATAAAAATGAATTAAATGTTTTAAATTGGTCTATACTAAAAGCTTACCAAAGCCTTGACCTCCTTCTTCTTCATCAAATCTCTTTGAATCAGCCGATCAGAAATCGGAGACGGCGGCGGAAGCGAAAGGTGAAGAGAACCAAAACCTTCACCTCCGTCTCTATAACCACCGCGAAAGTATCTCGCGGTGGCCGTCGGTGAGCGGTTAAAGTAGAGATCTGATAAAGGAACTGGTAATAGAGACGCAAGAGGAAGAGGCACTTGTCGTTTCCGGATCCTCATCGAGAGAGAGAGGGATAAAGATTCTTCTTTTTTCTGCTCTCTCTTTCCCTCTTCAAATCTTTTGATTTTGGTTTTTGGGATCTTTGCACCAAAGAAGGACTGTAGTATAAACCCAGATATTAAGAGAGTAATCTTTTTCTTTTTTTTTGGTTACACGGACTTGGGAAAAAAATAAAGGAGAAGGCTTTGTGGTGTTGTGTTCTTGTTGTGAGCTCTTTTTCTCTCTCTCTCTATCTCTAACTCTTTTTTTTTTTTTAGTTTTGTTGCACCCAAAAAGCAAGTTAGTAGTAAATTGAGAGAGGAAGAGCCCACGTAGGAATGACTGATATTTTTTCAATAAGTTATGAATCTGTTTATTGAAAGTAATTGATAACATGTGTCTGATTAGTAATACAAAACGATAAAATTATTTTAAGATTGATGTAAAACAGAATAGCTAAAAAAGATTTTTTTAGAAAATAACGATAAGAGGTCAAAGTAAAAGATAATATGTTTATGTATTAACTATATTGTTATTTAATTGTATTTCTTATAGTTGTTAACAATTAAAATGGTAAAAGATCATGCATATTTAAGTGGTCATCAAGATTGAGTTTTTGAAATTATTATGAGTCATATACTGTAATAACCATTTCTTGTCAAAATAGCCTCACGTATGAAAAGATTGGGGATATAATTTGGTATCGACACTCACTCCAGTTTTTGAACCATGTTACACATTTGTATAATGTGAGATGTAATAAATCTAATGAATTCATGTACACTTGTAGATATAAAACAGATTTGAAGATAAATAGTTAAAAACAATGTAGAGAGCTAGAAAGCAAAAGAAAAAATTTGGTAATTAACGTCCATGGTATATAAATTTCTTGAAATTGGTAAGAAAGTGAGGTGTGATTTGCGTTGAGTACTCTCTTATATTTTGAATGAAAAAAATTATAGGAGGGAGGCACGTGGAGAGTGGATGGCGCACGTGCGGGGAAACCGGGAGAGAAGGTAATCGGTGACTCTCATCGTTGCCAGCTTGGACGAAAGAGAGAGAGGGAGTGGGTGAGGGGAGAAGTTTTATCCGTAGGCTTTCATTTGTGGGTCCTTTTAACATCTCATCATTTCATAACGACCCCATTTCTTCCATTTCTTCCATTTTCACCCTCTTTTTTATTAATTCGTTTGTTCTAATTTCTAATACATTACAAATATTAGCATATATGATGTGTCTTTTTTGTCATGTGAAACCTGTTAACATGTGTTTATCAATGGAGATAAACAATTATCAAATTTTAAGTACCAACAATAATAATAAAGAATTTTACCAAAAAAAAAAAATAATAATAAAGAAAGAGAGGAACGACAATGTTGCACTTGCACTCTCCATTGAAATTGGTGGGAATGGGCTGGCATGTCACATTAAGCCAAAAACGGCTAATAGTTTTTTCTTCTTTTTGTTATCGCGTAGGTGTAGGATAGAAATAATCCAGCTTAATGTGTTAACCTGCACCTTGTTCAATCACATACTTTTCAATTTATTTCATGAATATGTTGTTGATAGAGTCGTTATTGTGAATTTTTGTGTTATAAATTATGAGTAATATTGTTGGTTGTGAAATCGTTATGGAACCGTTCGATATTCAAATATTGCAAAGAATTTTTGATTCGTTACTCATATATAAGAAAGTCATAATTTATGATATGTTAAGTGTATGATAGTTTATTAGTTAAAGCTATAAAAAATTAATACTATGTGTGAAGAGTGTAAACATCTAACAATATGAAACCGAAGGAAAAGTGGATAGATCGACACTTTCTTTATATTAATATTGTTTATCAAACTTCACATTCATAAAATGTTGTTATGCAAAACAATAACAATGGTACTATTTGTTATTTTTAGTCACATGAATAATTAGTTTATGTAAAGTTATAAATTTTGATAATTACATTTAATGAATTATCTCTATCTTTTTTTTTTGGGTCAAACAATGAATTATCTCTATCTTTATTCAAATTTAACCAAGAAATTAATTATATTTTCACCAAATCAATATAAATAGATGTGATTCATTAAAAAAATAAAAATAGGTAAGAAATAAACTAATATAAATAAAAAAAAAAAGCCAAAATTGTTTATGTATCTGGTCAACTAATCCTGGCCGTCCGGTCAGAAGAAAGGTTATCTTCGCCGTGGAATATCGTCATTAGTGTACACCGGAGCACAGAGGATCGCGCCCTCTCTCCCTCTCTGGTTAAAGTATAGAGCCCCCGATTGAAAATATTTGATCGGTGAAAATTTCCCTTTGACGAATCGGACTTCCAAAAGCTCGCTGACGAGTTCTCAACAGTAACATCGCCGGAGCTTATCGTCTTAAACCAATTCTTTTCTTTTTCCGTGGTCGTGATTGTTCAGCCTCTCTGTTCCAGACTTCTCTTACGCTTTCCTTGCAAATTCTGCCTCAATTTTGGATTGAAGGCAAGAGCTTGAGGGCTTTTCTCTAATCTTAATTGAGAATTTGGGGGTTTTTTTTCATACGGGGACTTTGCGATTTAGGGTTTCAGATTGGGGATTTTGTTACATCGAAAGGACTTTGGAGATTGAATAATGGAGAATTCATAAACCGGCTCTGGAAATTTTCTTTAGGTAATCTCTCGTTTTCTTCTGCTGAGTTTAAATTTTGTTCTTTTATATTATCCATTGACAGTGATTATTTAAATGGTTGAGTTTAATGGTATGTTTTAGTTTTGGTGTGTTCTTTATCCTTATGTTTATGGTTTTGTGTGTTAAACTTGTTTGGTTCTATGTCATGCTCATTCGTCTAATTTTTATATAAGATAAGGTTTGATTGTGTTTTCTTTTCAAGCAGGATAACAAAGGAGTCCATTTTTTTTGTTAATTGATGGGTGAGGAAATATCTAGCACAGTGAACCTGGATTTGAATCTGGGTCTTGGCCCTGAGTTATTTCTCGAGCCAGCAACGAATTATGCTCGGTCTGATTGGGGTAATGGACCTGCTAGGGAATCCGAATCTCTGAGAAGGTTTAGAAGTCGGCACCGATCACGTTTCAGACGGATTGATATGCTTCCTGTTCTTGCTGAGACACATAGCCCTGCGGTGGAATTGAGTCAGTTGTTGATCACTTCTGCAAATGTAGTTGCTTTGCCAGCTGGTGAGGGAAGCATAGGTGGAGATAGAGTCAGCGAGAACTCGAAAAAGTGCGAGAATGGGAGCAAAGTGATGGAAGAAGACAATGTAACAGAGGAGAAAAGAGATGTTGAGAAGAGCGTTGGCAGCGATGGGAGCTTTTTCGATTGTTATATATGTTTGGATTTGTCCAAGGATCCAGTTGTCACTAATTGTGGCCACCTTTACTGTTGGTCTTGCCTTTACCATTGGCTACAGGTTTCCGAGGCAAAGGAATGCCCGGTTTGCAAAGGGGAGATATCCGTGAAAACAGTGACTCCAATCTATGGGCGTGGGAAACATAAAAGAGAATCTGAAGAGGTTTCAAACACCAAGATCCCTTCGAGACCCCAAGCACGGCGCACGGAGAGTTTGAGGACTACACTTAACAGGTCAGGTTATATACCAACGGAAATGATTAGACATTTGCAGGATAGGCTTGAAAGGGAATCTAGTACAGGAGAAAGACAAGCCAGACCATTTCTTAACCGGTTTATGACTTCGAGGGGAGTTAGAGCAGAGCAGAACCAGTCTAGTGAAGCATTCGTTGCACCTTCAGATGAGATTAACGATATTGATCTGATCTTAAACGTTTCCCCTGAACATGAAGAGGAAAATGAAAACCTGAGGTCGTCACGTGCTTTGTCAATCCGGAGACAGTGGGCACAGAGACCTGGGAGGATGTCATCCTTTACTTTGAGCTCTGCTGAAAGATTAGTGGATGCTTATTTGATAACACATGCATTGGGGAGGAACCAAGAGCAAAACAACAATCCTCCCGTTGGTGTTGAAGACAGGGATTCGTTCTCAAGCATAGTAGGTGTAATAAACTCGGAGAGTCAAGTTGATACCGCAGCTGAGATTGATTCAATGTTGACAGTATCGACATCTTCATCAGTGAGAAGATATGAGAACAGTTCAAGGGTCTCTGATGTCGACAGTGCAGATTCTCGTCCACTGAGAAGGAGAAGAAGATTGGCTTAGAAGGTGCTGAAGGAGCAGAAAGAGTAAGCTAGAATAATCTGTAGTAGAAAGCAGCGATTTCTTTTGTTTCGTTTAGTTTTTTTTCCTTGGGATTTTGGATTTTGGATTTTCGTTGTTTCAGTTTTATGCTAAAGAATAAAGATTAATAAATATATCAATTAGTCCAAACTTTTTGATCTGGTGAATCGAACATGAGCTCTCTTGTTGGTTAGTCAGAGTTTTGACATATTTTAGAGTATATAAGTAATGTTGTTGCTAATTGGACAAAAACGTCGCTTTGGCCGAGTGGTTAAGGCGTTTGCCTGCTAAGTAAATGGGGTTTCCCCGCGAGAGTTCGAATCTCTCAGGCGACGAATTTTCTTTTTACAATTTTATCGACGCGGGGTGTGTAACCAATTTGTCTCGCGGTTCATGCAGGAGCTCGAGAGCCGATTAGGATAGAAGCAAAACGTAAATTTTTTTTATAAATAGATTGAAAAATCTGATCTAAAAAGTTTGTTAATTAAAATACTATCTGAAAACTAGTAAGAATATATTTGATGGTTGAATAAGGAAAAAAAGGTAACGAACTTGGTGAATCTATCTATCTAGAGCAAACGTCAATAACTTGTCGTACCTTCTTTAATTTCCTATCTTGGTAAATCCGCGTTTCTTTGATAAAGAAATCCGCGTTTCCTTTTTCTTCAATTTCTTCATTGATTCTTCTTCTTCGTCCTCTTCTGAAATCTGAAAGCAAAAACCTCCATAACTCCAATCACCACGCCTGCAAATTTCTTCCCAGGTAGATTCCTCCTTCTCTGGGTCTTAAATCAGGTTTGTTCTGAATCGAGAAAATACCACCAGCTAAGGAATTTGAGATATATTTGGTTTTGTGTTCTATTTCTTCGTTCCTGGGGGTTTGATCTAAATCGCAAGACGAATATTGTGACGATTTTTGATCTTGCTTTGCTTTGAATTTCTATGCAGAGGAATCAACTCTAGATCAGTAGCTTATATGCGTTACTGATAATGGATAATCACGGTCCACGGTATCCATACCCTTACGGTCAGTACCCGTACCCTTACCCATACCCAGCTCCTTATAGACCTCCTAGTTCAGAGCCATACCCACCACCCCCAACCAACCAATACAATGCCCCTTATTACCCTTACCCACCACAGCCATACGCAACACCACCACCACAACCACCATATGCATCACCACCGCCTCATCAACACACTTCGGGTTCGCATTCGGGCCCATTAGACTATAGCCACAACCCTCAACCATCATCTCACGCGGCTCCTCCAGAGTATCATCGACATTCTTTTGACTACCAACCTTCTCCTTACCCTTATTCTGGTCATCAACCACAAGGTAACTTCGGTGCTTATGGTCCGCCTCCTCACTATTCGTATCAAGAGCCAGCTCAATACCCCCCACCTGATACTAAACCGCAAGAGCCTCCTCCTCCTCCTCCTCCGCAAACTCAAGGTTATCCAGAATATCGTAGGCAAGATTGTCTCAGTTCCGGGGGAACAGGTCATGATAATGTAAGCAATTCTGGATCTTCTTATCCTCCTGTGGATGAACTTCTAGGTGGTCTGCACATTTCTACTAACCAACCAGGTCCCTCAGTTCCACAGTTATCTTCCCTCCCTTCGAACTCTTGGCAAAGCCGCCCTGGTGACTTGTATGGTTACCCTAACAGCTCGTTTCCAAGTAACTCTCATTTGCCACACTTAGGGAGAGTAGATTCGTCTAGCTCTTATACTCCTAGCTATGCATCTGCCGAATCGCCACATAGTGCGGATATGCAGATGACGCTGTTCGGTAAAGGGTCTTTGAAGGTCCTGTTGTTGCATGGGAATTTGGATATTTGGATATATCATGCAAAAAATCTCCCAAACATGGATATGTTCCATAAGACACTGGGTGATATGTTTGGAAGATTGCCAGGAAAAATTGAAGGGCAGCTTAGTAGTAAGATTACCAGTGATCCTTACGTTTCTGTATCAGTTGCTGGTGCTGTGATTGGAAGAACATATGTCATGAGTAACAGCGAAAATCCTGTTTGGATGCAACATTTTTATGTTCCTGTTGCTCATCATGCTGCAGAAGTTCATTTTGTTGTTAAAGACAGTGATGTTGTGGGTTCACAGCTTATTGGATTGGTTACAATCCCGGTGGAACAGATATACTCAGGTGCCAAAATTGAAGGAACTTATCCGATTCTAAACAGTAATGGGAAGCCTTGTAAACCAGGGGCAAATTTATCATTATCGATCCAGTATACTCCTATGGACAAACTCAGTGTTTATCATCATGGAGTTGGGGCAGGTCCTGATTACCAAGGGGTACCTGGAACATATTTTCCGCTTAGAAAAGGCGGAACTGTGAGATTGTATCAAGATGCACATGTCCCAGAAGGGATGCTCCCTGGTATAAGACTGGATAATGGAATGTCTTACGAACATGGGAAGTGTTGGCATGATATGTTTGATGCCATACGTCAGGCGAGGCGTTTAATTTATATCACAGGTTGGTCAGTGTGGCACAAAGTTAGGCTGGTTCGTGATAAATTAGGTCCGGCATCCGAATGTACTCTTGGGGAGCTCCTAAGATCAAAGTCCCAAGAAGGCGTGAGAGTCCTCCTTTTGATTTGGGATGACCCAACTTCACGTAGCATCTTAGGTTATAAAACAGTAAGTTACACACACCCTTGACTGCCTTTTCTTTTCGTTTGTGTTCTTTATTTTCTAATTAATATATCATATCTATTTCATGCTTAGTGTGTGGAAGTCAGAATATATTTAGATTTTCATTAATCGATAGCTTTGGTAATTCAGTATTACATCAGAAAAGCCTGATTCATGTAGTAACTACAACTTCAATTTGAAATATGTACTTATCTATTTGGTATGGCTTGTCAAATATCTGGTGTCTCATATTAATCTTAACTTTTGACTCAACTTGTTAACTTGAACAGGATGGGGTTATGGCAACCCATGATGAGGAGACACGCCGTTTTTTTAAGCACTCCTCAGTTCAAGTCCTGCTTTGCCCCCGAAATGCTGGAAAGCGACATAGTTGGGTCAAGCAGAGGGTAGAGTACCACTTTCTTTTTCCTTTTTCTATTTTCCAAACTAGGAATCGAGCTTCTAATATAATTTTTGTCTATCAGGAAGTTGGGACAATCTATACACATCATCAGAAAAACGTAATAGTAGATGCTGATGCTGGTGGTAACAGGAGGAAAATCGTAGCTTTTGTCGGTGGGCTTGATCTGTGTGATGGCCGATATGACACTCCTCAACATCCGTTGTTCAGGACACTACAGACAGTTCATAAAGATGATTTTCACAACCCCACTTTTACGGTACAGTTTCTTAATGTCAACTTTCTGTTTAGAATCTTGTGTAGCTTTCCTGGCAATTACTTAGCAAGCAATTACCTTGAACAGTAGCTAGGAGCCTATTTTTATGGAAATATGATATTTAACTTGTTCAAATGGTATTGTTTGACAGTTAGTTTTAGTCTTTGTTCTGGCTTCATTTGTTTTTTTTCAAAGAGTATGCAAAGCATTCGCTAATTTCTAATCAATTCAATAGAGGTGCTTTTCCTGTGCCATATAAAATCAGATAGCTGAATTTTGGTTGAGATCTTGTATTCCAAAGTTATGTCAGTTTTTTGTTTGTCTTTTCACAATCTTGCATAGCTCCCCTGGTGGATTTTGTATTTGTAAACATCAAGAATTGTTAAGCTCTTACATTAATAGCAATCTTGGTATCCAATCTTTTTATTCTGAATAGGATTGTGTACTTAACATGTTATCATTTCAACAGGGAAACCTTTCAGGATGTCCAAGAGAGCCGTGGCATGACTTACACAGTAAGATCGATGGCCCGGCTGCGTATGATGTGCTGACCAACTTCGAGGAGAGATGGTTGAAGGCTGCGAAGCCTAGCGGGATCAAGAAGTTTAAGACTTCCTATGACGATGCGTTGTTAAGGATTGATAGGATTCCAGATATATTAGGAGTTTCTGATACTCCTACTGTCAGTGAGAACGATCCTGAGGCTTGGCATGTTCAGGTATGAACATCAAAACTGTTACTGAATGAGAGGTTGAGTATTTTATGAAGCCATGATTTATCATGCGAATTTTGAAATTTGGTCCAAAAATATTTCATTATATTGGGAATATAATCGTGCAAGCTTAGCTGATGTTTTTCTGGTTTGATACAGATTTTCCGTTCAATTGATTCAAACTCTGTGAAAGGTTTCCCAAAGGATCCGAAAGATGCTACATGCAAGGTGACTTAAAAAATCAAAGGAATCTTTAGCTATCATTATGTTTAGGTGTCTAAAACATGTCAGAAAACTAATCCACGAAAAGGTTTTTGTTTTGTATAGAACTTGGTGTGTGGGAAGAACGTGCTGATTGATATGAGCATACACACAGCGTATGTGAAAGCCATTCGTGCAGCCCAACACTTCATCTATATTGAGAATCAGTATTTCATTGGGTCTTCCTACAACTGGAATGCGCATAAGGACATAGGTTTGGTCATATGTCCCTCCTTGTTAATTTCAAGAATTCAAGAAACTTATTTGTTCCTCGAGTTAAACTTAAGGATAAAGGCATCAGGCGGTTTTCTCTATATATCTTAAACTGTGCTACATGTTATGACATCTATGAAATTATTGTTGACCACGACCTCCTACTTCTTCACTTTATGCTAGCTTTAGGTTGTCAGTCTCCGATTTTTCTATTTGGCATTCGATTTGAGTTGCATTGGCTTTTAACATTGCTATAAAACGTTATGTCCACATTGTTCACAAACAATTCATTTTGACTTTGTTGGTGTGTAGGTGCGAATAATTTGATTCCTATGGAAATTGCGTTGAAGATAGCTGAAAAGATCAGGGCAAATGAACGGTTTGCTGCTTATATTGTCATTCCAATGTGGCCAGAAGGTGTTCCAACCGGCGCTGCTACACAGAGGATTCTATATTGGCAGGTATTTCTGAGTAAAACTTATGGCGTGGTTGTCTAAGCCAAAAACCTCCTTAAAATTCTCAAATCAGAAATCACAAAACTAAGTAGAGACTAGTAATATTGATATTATATGTTCTTTATACATGATGGATCCATACTTCATTAATATGATTGAACGATTTAGAAGTAAGATATATGCATGTAAGATTCATGTTTGTTACATGAGTTCTGTCTGGGTATTTGGAGATTATGAAACTGAATGTCAGTGTTATCATCGTTGCAGCACAAGACAATGCAGATGATGTATGAGACTATATACAAGGCGTTAGTGGAGACAGGGCTTGAAGGAGCATTCTCCCCACAAGATTACCTCAATTTCTTCTGTCTTGGGAACAGAGAAATGGTGGATGGAATCGATAACTCAGGAACAGGGAGTCCAAGCAATGCAAACACTCCTCAGGTAACTAAACGCCGAGAATGCCTGCTGCTTAAATTTCTCATGTTTTTGAAACGAGGAGTCCCGGTGGTGTTGCAGGCGTTGAGTCGGAAAAGCAGAAGATTTATGGTCTATGTTCACTCGAAAGGGATGGTAGTTGATGATGAATACGTATTGATTGGATCTGCAAACATAAACCAACGATCAATGGAAGGTACAAGAGACACAGAGATTGCAATGGGAGCTTACCAGCCTCAACATACATGGGCAAGGAAACATTCTGGTCCTCGGGGTCAGGTAAATCCCGCTAACCATGCAAAGATGAACCAAATACGAGTTCATATTTCAGTTCTAGAATTTGGATCATTGGCTTTCTCTTGTTCCTCTGCAGATCTATGGATACAGAATGTCGCTTTGGGCAGAGCATATGGCAACATTAGATGACTGTTTCACCCAACCGGAAAGTATAGAATGTGTAAGGAAAGTGAGAACAATGGGAGAGAGGAACTGGAAACAGTTTGCAGCTGAAGAAGTCTCAGACATGAGAGGACATTTGTTAAAGTATCCAGTAGAAGTTGATCGAAAAGGTAAAGTCCGACCACTTCCCGGGAGTGAGACTTTCCCAGACGTCGGAGGTAACATTGTCGGATCGTTCATAGCCATACAAGAGAATCTAACCATATGATAATAAGGAAGCAGTGGCGCACACTTTTGAGATTTTTTTGTGTGGATATAATATCTTGAGAGTTGAAAAATAACATGGAGGGAGATTTGATTAATTTGATAAACTTTGCACATTATTTATTGTGTATAAAGTGGTGCTTATAAAAATGAATAAAGTTGTTAATAGTTTGGCTGATATATGAATATTATTACTCTAAATCTATTTCTAAATTTTCCTACCATGTTTGTGTTCATCAACTATTCGTATAAACGCAACATGTACCTCGTAATGCATTCCACAATAGTCAGCCACAATCTCTATCTTTAATAGCAAAATTGATGGAAAAGTTTGGCCTTTTAATAGCATTCAAGGGATAATAGCGAGCAAATGCCGGTGGATCCTCCATCTTCACTTTGGTTATCTTAGATCTCCGATTGCATCGAATTTTTGAATCTCCAGAGCCCATCTCTAATCAGGTATAGAGATGGGTTTGGAGGAACAAGGAAGAGCGAGAGAAGACACACCTCTGCTTGGTAAAGGAAGACCACTGTCGAGCAAGTTCAAGACTTTCGCCAATGTTTTCATTGCTATCGTTGGTGCTGGGGTTCTTGGTCTTCCTTATGCCTTCAAACGAACCGGATGGCTCATGGGTTTGCTTACGCTCTTTTCCGTCGCCGCTTTGATCAACCATTGCATGATGCTTCTTGTTCATATTCGTCGTAAGCTTGGTGTCTCCAATATTGGCTCTTTTGGGGATCTTGGGTTTGCTGTTTGCGGCCACGTCGGGAGGTTTGTTGTCGACATTCTTATTATTCTGTCTCAGGCTGGGTTTTGTGTTGGATACCTTATCTTCATCGCTACTACTTTAGCTAATCTCTTTAACCCAACCACGACTACGACTTTGATGAGTCTGAGACATTTGATGGGTGTGTCTCCTAAGAGTCTCTACATATGGGGATGTTTTCCGTTTCAGCTGGGTTTGAATTCTATTAAGACACTCACTCACTTGGCCCCTTTGAGCATATTCGCTGATGTGGTTGATTTGGGTGCAATGGCGGTGGTGATTGTGGAGGATATCAAGATTACAGTGGTGCAAAGGCCTCAAGTTGTTGCCTTTGGTGGTATGTCTGTGTTCTTCTATGGGATGGGTGTTGCCGTTTACGCCTTTGAAGGGGTTGGAATGGTTTTGCCTCTTGAATCCGAGACCAAGGACAAGGAAAAGTTTGGCAAAGTGTTGGCACTCAGCATGTTGTTCATTGCCGTGATGTATGGATCTTTTGGTGTGTTGGGCTACATGGCTTTTGGGGATGATACAATGGACATAATCACAGCTAACTTGGGGGCAGGAGTGGTGAGCAGTCTTGTGCAGCTGGGGCTCTGCATCAACCTTTTCTTCACCTTTCCCTTGATGATGAACCCTGTGTTTGAGATCGTGGAGAGACGTTTTTGGAGTGGAATGTACTGCGTGTGGCTCAGATGGTTGCTCGTCTTGGCAGTGACGTTGGTGGCTCTCTTGGTGCCAAACTTTGCAGATTTTTTGTCATTGGTTGGTAGCAGCGTCTGCTGTGCGTTGGGTTTTGTGTTGCCTTCTTTGTTTCATCTGATGGTCTTCAAAGACGAAATGGGGTGGAAGCAACGAGCTTTAGACGTGGGGATCCTGCTACTGGGTGTCATTCTTGGTGTCTCAGGTACTTGGAGTTCCCTGAGTGAGATCTTCCAAGAGTAGGTAGGTGAAAGAAATTGGACACATTGTTTCTTTTGTTGGAATTTTTTCTACTTTCAATGAAAGCAAGTGTCAAAGTGTTGGAATGTATTTCTGTTGGAATGTTATTATGTTAAAAGTAATAACCATTGAGCATGTGTCAAGTGTTTTGATTCTGTGGGCTTGATAATATTTTTTAACTATAAACTCGTTTCAATTTTCATTTGGCCATAATATTGATAAACCAAACAACGACTCTTGGGATGATGTTGTTAGTTACGTAGCACGTTTGAATTCAGGATGCTTTGTCACGACTGAGGTTAGAGGAGAAGCTGCCACATGGTAAATATTACCACCACGTAACCTTTTGCACTGCTCAGTGTCTTTATATATATCTGAATGTGGAAGAGGAGCTTAAAAAAGAGTGAAAAAGGACATGGCAGACACAGGCAAAGGAAGCTCTGTTACTGTCTGCAACGATCGCTGCGGCTGCCCTTCTCCCTGTCCCGGTGGCAAATCTTGCAGGTAGGTCCTTTATATGCTCCAGGTTTTGATGTGTTGTGATCTTAAAACGTGGTTTCATTCCATGTAGGTGCGTGATGAGAGAAGCATCTGGTGGGGATCAAGGGCACATGTTGTGCCCGTGTGGGGAGCAATGTGGCTGCAACCCCTGCAACTGCCCCAAGACCCAAACCCAAACGCAAACCTCCGCCAAGGGCTGAACCTGTGGTGAGGGCTGCACCTGCGCCACTTAGACATCCCTTACTATGTCTATACCATACTTGTATAATAGGTACTAGCTAGTTGATCTGAAATAAATCTGTGTATTAGGTCCAGGTACAACGAAGTATCTGTTTCGTATGCTCTGCTTTTGTCTTATGACTCATAAAGTCTGAAGATCCTGAGGGTCTTGGACTAATACAATCCACTAACTAAGTCTCCTAAAACTCATAGTCAGTGAACATAAGGAGATAAATCTTTGAAAACTGAATGTGTAACAACATTGAGATGCCAGAGGCAAAGCCAGTGCCCCAGGCAGGCCAATTCGGATGGCTAACACTAAGACCAATTGTTTCCTGAGCTTCTCCCAGACCTTGAGAAGGTCTGTACATGGAAAATCTGGCTTGTTTAAGGAAACACCTCCAACGCTCTACCAGCTGAACACCAAAAGAGAACACTGAATGTGTCCATCACAGAAATCTCATCGTCTTTTCGCTTTACCGGACTTAAAAAGAAACGTTCAACAATTGCATAAAATGAAAGCAGAAGAAAGTCATTCATGGTTTCAAAAATCGTATACTGCAATGGGGACTATAAATTGCTTGCTATGTAACAGAGAACTCACCTCCTATTCTAAGTTGGGTAGTATGGCTTGCATCTGCAACAGGCTCCAACTATAGACTGGTAGGACAAGGCCTTTTGTCTGTGTGTAACTAATAGACTGGTAGAAAGTTCTTAATCACGATTTTAGATTTTAGATTATATTTGGTTTAAGGGACTTTGTTTTTCTAGTAATATATTGGCTCTTGAATGCAAATAAAGCGGTGTCACCTATATGTGATCACTTATTTGTCTGTGGCATTTAGCAATGTTGATGTTTTACTTGATGGATTAAAATATTTGATGGCAAAAGAACAATAACACACACACACAGGTGTAATCAGTGGTAATCTTTACATGAGCGGAGAAGAGAGATGGGTTTTGGGAGATGGTCGGCATTGAGAGTGAATGAGCAGATGATCCTTGTATAGAACTTGGAGGTGACGAGTCTTCCCAAAATGTAAGCTTTTGTATGGAGGACAAGAGTGAGATTAAGCGGGAGGGAGAGTGTGTCGAGATGGAAAGAGACACCACCGTAGAGAGGAACCTGATGGCCTTGCACCACCGTCATTACGTTCCTTTCGCCGTGTCTAGCAACTGTGAACTTGTTCATCTCACCGGAGGAGAGGAGGAGGTTGGAGTAGTGAAGGAGGAGAGGAGAAGCAGTGACGTGGACGGCGAAGAAAGTTGATGGGTTTCGATAGAAGATCCTGACCGTCGAATTAAGAGACAGCATGTCCGTTGGCACACCGCTAAGATCGTTCCCTGCCTGCACGTTCAAGTTCCTCACCAGCATCCCCTGCAGTGCAACAACAACAACACATTTAACTATTTTCAGTCTGACACCTAATCACATTCCAAACACATTTGTCTCAATAGATACTTTTGTCTTCTTCATTAGATAACAAATAATATTATTATATTCATAGCTGGTTTTTTCCAAAGTTGTTTCTTTTAAGGAAAAAACAGAACACTCGTCCACTAGACGAGTTAACTCAGCTCAATTCACCGGAGTTACCTTTACGACAACTTTAGGAGGGTAGTGTTTGCTAACACCCCACAGTATAAGAGAGAAGACTGTGAACAAGAAGACTACGGAGAGAAGCAACCAAGCGTAGAGACGCACATTCCGAAACGGGTCGTCATCTCCGCCGTCAGTTTTGTCGTCTCCGTCGTTGATGTATCGGCGGCGTTCACGGATGGATTTGTAAGAGAGGAGAGCACGGTCGGAGAAGCGAGAGGTGGATGATTCACGGGAGTGATGGATTGGTGAGCAATGGTAGTAATGTGGATGTGAAGGTGAACCCATTAGGCTACAGCCAGACCCGAATGACATCTTCTCCACGTCATGGTTGGATGGACTCTGTACGTAGTAAAGAGGTCTGATCGCTGAACGCGGTGGAGACAAAGCCGCCGCGTCTATGCTTGTTGCCTCCGAGTCTGTCTTGGCATGCATGTCTCTCTTTCTCCTTCTTTAAGACAGAGTTATGGAAGAGGCAAGTACTAAGCAGAGCAGCAATAAAACAGAGAAGCTAGTGGCGTGTTTGGTTCTTTTCTTTGTCCACCACCACCACGTATCTAAAGTTCTAAACACAAACGCTTCTTAAGATTTTTGGAGAGTGTGCAATAAAAGCGAAAACCCATAAATCTTTTTAAGCAAGTTGGTCCCATTGTTGGTGGCTCTTACTCACGCGGTTACACGCGTGGCTAAACACAAAGTTTAGAGATGGTTGAAGGTGAGTTTCACGGTCCGAACTCAGCGCGTGGGGATATGAGACAGTCAACTGTGCTGACAGAGTTACCCAGAATGTTTTGAAGATTTGAAAAACTCTTTCTTCAATAAATAGAAGGAATTAGATTACACGCATTTATTTTTCCTTTACTTGCTCAGTTTGGTTTGGTGGGTAACAAACTAACAACAAGCCCATTCACATTACCTCTTCCTTATGTAATCGATAGTGACCCAATTTACTTCCTCGTAAAGAATCGGGACAAAACTTGAGGACTTTAGTATAACATTTTCCGATTTTTACTATATGCAAAAGTTTCAGAACTTGAATTTTTCCAATTTTTAAAAATCTTTATTTTTTAAGGATGGATCTTCCATGAGGCTTTGTAGGCCATTGAAGGGTGAAAGAACTTTCTTCCCTATTAATTAATCATAATGATGTGTCTTTGTCCAATTGATAAGAAACTTTCAATGCTCAGATGATGATCTTATCTTTGAGCTCATTCACAAATCACAAACACTGCACAGGATACAATCGTACAAGACTCAGCTTGACTTCCACATGTGTCTGGCCCTGGATCAGCTGGACCAATTAATGGGCCTTCTATCTATGTTATTCGGAAGGTGGCAACTGGATCCAGTGTAAGCATATTTGCTGCTATCTAATCATTTGATATATAATAAGTAAGCTTGAACCAACGTTGTGTTGGCCCAGTGGTAAATCTCTCAGGTAGAGGTACTGGGTTCGACGCCCGTTGGGAGGGATCTCTTCTCCAAAGGAGATGAATTTAACCTGGTATGGGTTCCGCCTCTGGGAGATGTAGGGCATTCGGGCTTGAACTTCCAGATATTCAAAAAAAAAAAAAAAAAAAAAAAGTAAGCTTGACATATATAATTTGTGTGGATTATTATATCTTGAGAGTTGAGAATAAGATGGAGAGAGGTTTGATTAATTGATGAACTTTCCACATTATCTATAAGGTATGTAATATGTTATGATACATGATTTATTTTGTATAACTATAAAGTGGTGCTTATAAAAGGTGTTGATAGTTTGGCTGTTATATTTTACTCTAGCCTATAGTATCCAATTTTTTTTATATACAATGTTGAGTTATCAACATTCGAATAAAGAGATACATTTAAATCGTATAATGCAATTTTAATTCAATTTCAACTTGTAATCAATCAAAAAATGAAGACTTTTTGTTTTGTAAATTCGAATTGATCGACAATAATGAAACAGAGAAAAAAATTAACAACACATTTGAAAATTGTGAGACGAGGACACCTTTTTCGTTGTTTTGTTGGTCAGCCCACACCTACATTTATTTTGATGAATTGACCCCTAAAGAATAGTTTTGGACGAGATTGGTCAATTTAGGAAAAAAGGGACCAAAAAGTAAGAAACAACAAAATAGGGTGAATTTCAAATTGAAAAGCTGTAATAAAAACAGAGCAAAACCATTAATGGCTTTCATCGATACCAACAACAAGACACGACACAACTATCTCCTCCCTCTCCTGCCGTCTTAATTCGTTTCTTCATCTTCCTTATTCAAGTTTCTTTCTTTCATCGATTTCTTCTTCGTTGATTCATCGCCCTCATGTGAATCTGAAGCAAAACCTCCATAACTCGAACGCCACCGCCTGCAAATTTCTTCCGGGGTAAAATTTTCTCTCTTTATCATTCAAATTTGGGGTTTTTATTCTCTGGGTCTTAAATCAGAATCTAGAAAATATCACGAACTAGGGAATTGAGAACTAGGTTTTTGGTTCTGTGTTTTATTTTTCGTTCGAGGGTGCTTATTGTGACGAATCTGGCTAGTCTTTTTTGGGATGAGTTAATGTTCCTCTTGTCAATTGTCTTTGAATTGCTTAGTTTATGGATTCGTAAACTATTTCATGTAATGGGAAATTTACTTTTGTCACTGATGAGGAGATTTTGAATAATTTTGTGGGTACAAGTTTTTGAAAATCTCCATAGTTTGAACTTATCTGTTATTATTATTATACAGGTCAACAATACTCGTTCTGATTTATGTTCTACTTGTTGTGTTTTCATTTTGAATCACTTTCTCTTTTGTATAGTGAGATTGAAAAGTATGTCGCGCAAAATAAAAACAGCTTATTTCATTTGATAGCTCTAGTTTTGATGTTTGATTAGCCTGTGATTGTTATACTGTAGCAGTTTCAATATTGGAACTTGTATGCTTTTAGCATTGTTCATAGATGAACTTTTTCTCTTTGAGTTTTCTAAGAAGCAAAATATAACTAAAGCCTAACTTGTTACATTTATTCCGCTAGCGTTTCGAAAGGACTGTGAAGAATCGAGGGACCTGAGACGAAACAGGGTCGCGGAAAGAGAGATGTGTTGGCAAATTTCAGTTGATTGGGAATGAACTTAGTCACAATAGTTCACAAGGCTATCCTTCTTTCTGAACGAAGTCTCTGCTACGTTTTATATGCTTGGACTGCGACCGTATAAGACTGGATTTGCAGTATGGTGTACTGCTAAGATATTGTTGAACCCTTTTTCCTGAAATAAAGAATAGAACTTGATCAAGTGCACCACGTATCTACCTCCTAACCTACTTTGCTCTTTTAACTAACAGGTTACCTGCTTGCTTATGATAACATTTCCTTCAATTTTCCTCGGTGATGTATATATGCTTACATTGGGCCATCATTTATTTTTTCTTGCAGAAGAACGAAGATCCGAAGGAGTATATCATCTGCAACAAGAGAGGACAAGGGAATTTTACTTAATTGCTGTTAGAATTTAAAACAAGTTTTGGGTAGGTTTGGACTCTCCATGGCTCCTGGTGGCAGTGCGTTGAAAGAAGCCCTAGAATCTAACTCCACAGGCTTAGATTATGAGGTTAAGATGGCAAAGGTTGAGGCTAATAGCAAACCAACAAAATCAGGGAGTGGCTCCATTGGAAAATTCCATTCGAGCAATGGTGTTTATGAGCTCCTCGAATGTCTGGTTTGTACAAATCTAATGTATCCTCCAATTCATCAGGTTTGTCACTTTTCTTTCTTCGGTAATCACTTACATACGTCTTGATCTGTAAAATATGGTTCATTCTTCAGTTTTGTTCTTCGTTTATTGAATGTTGACATCTATGTTTGTTAATTTCCCATAGTGCCCGAACGGCCACACATTGTGTTCAAGCTGCAAACTGAGAGTGCAGAACACATGCCCTACATGCCGCTATGAGCTTGGTAACATAAGATGCTTGGCTCTTGAGAAGGTTGCAGAATCATTGGAAGTTCCATGCCGGTACCAAAATTTAGGGTGTCATGACATTTTTCCGTATTACAGCAAGCTCAAGCACGAGCAGCATTGCAGGTTTCGATCCTACAACTGTCCTTACGCTGGTTCTGAGTGTTCAGTGACGGGTGATATTCCAACACTTGTTGACCATCTCAAAGATGATCATAAAGTTGATATGCATGATGGATGCACTTTCAACCACCGTTATGTGAAGTCAAATCCGCACGAGGTCGAGAATGCTACATGGATGCTTACGGTAATTCTGATAGTTATGCATTCCCTTATAGCCATGTAGTCATTGTTAATATGTATTTGGTTTTACCCTTTCACTCAAAAGTCGTATCTCATCATGTTTTTGGAATTCATCGTCCATATCACATACTGTTTGCCATACCTTTATCTTGAATCATTATCAAAGATGAGGTTCATGGTTTCTTTTCAATTTTGCATCCATTTTTGATACTTCATAGGTCTTCATTATTTTGCTATAAAACACTTGAGCCCTGAATTGAATTGAATTGAACATTGAACCCTGAATTTGTATTGGACTGTTGATTTTTCTCTAGGGCATTTTATTCCATATATAAGAAAAGGAACTTGCAATTTCACTACTTGAATTGAATCTTATTTTCATCTGATCTTGTTTAGGTCTTCAACTGTTTTGGAAGACAGTTCTGCTTACACTTTGAGGCGTTTCAGCTCGGGATGGCACCAGTGTACATGGCGTTTCTACGGTTCATGGGAGATGAGAACGAGGCTAAGAAGTTCAGTTACAGCTTGGAAGTTGGAGCTCACAGCCGTAAACTGACATGGCAAGGGATTCCCAGAAGCATCAGAGACAGTCACAGGAAAGTCCGAGATAGTCAAGACGGACTCATAATCCCTAGAAACTTGGCTTTGTACTTCTCTGGCAGTGACAAAGAAGAGCTCAAGTTGCGAGTCACTGGACGGATTTGGAAAGAAGAATAAGCTAATGATGACTTATGATGCAAAGCAAAATGGGAAATAAGAAGAGAAGAAAGAAAAATAAGAGTTGATTGAATCTAAACGGATGATGTACATAACAGCCTTGAGAGAGCTTCCTGATCATATGGAAGGAGTTGAAAATTCGAAATTTGTTCTTTCAACTCTCTTTTTTCAGTAACTATGAGATAAAAATTATCCCATGATCGGTTGAAATATTTTGTGGTTTGCAATATTACAATCTCTGTCTTGTAATCTTGGTTTTATTGGAAAAAAATAAAGACGATCTTTTTGTTCTATTCTTCGATCAAATGGTTTCTTTTTGTTTCCTTACGTTCAGATTCATATATAAGAATGAATACGTATATATGTGAACATATACAATACAGAATGATTCATCATGCATTATCCTGAACAATGATTTTCAATTGTCAATCTTATTTCTCTACGTACCAAACTGATAAATTATGAATTTAACCAAATGATGAGACAGAATTTAGAAATATAGTATGAATGATTACAAAGATAAATTAGAAGAGGACGTGCAAGACGTGGAGACATGTTAACATTTCCTACGTTGGTTATATTAAAATAACAAAATTATAAACGAATGTGTTTTTTGTCATCCGACTTTCTCGCGGAACAGAGAAACAGAGAGACTTACAATAATTCTGAGAAAACACAAATAAGAAAAATAATTTTCTTTTTTTCTCAAACTCTCTTTTCCAGATTTCTAAAAATTTTCAGGCTCGTTGATATTTTTCCCGACATTATTCAAAGTTTTCAGAAGCAGATCCTTCCTTTGTGGTTTTCTGAAGTATTTTCACTCTCATCATCATCATCATCATTATCTTGGATTGATTCAATGACAGAATCAAGGTAACAATCATTAATTTCTTCGATCTTCTTTGATTACCAATTGTTGTTTCAATATTTCTCTGCATAGACAAACGAATTTAGATTCGTAAACAATGGGAAACATATGCTTTTTATTACAACGAATATTCAAATGTTTTTAACAGATAAAACAGAGATCGATAGAAACAGAATCGAATAAGATAAAACCCGTGTTGGCAAAAGATCTGAAGATATGTTCTGTTGCGGTGGTGCGGATGAGGAACCCGCCGGTCCGCCCGCAAACCAGTATGCAGCCCCTCCTAACAAGGCCGGAAATCCCAATTTTGGCGGTAAATTCCCTAATCTTCCTCAACCGTTCCTTGTACATTAATCATTTATGTTCTGAGTTTCACAACGAGCGTTTGCATTTTGCGTTTCTGCGTGTGTATGAATAGGTGGGAATAGAGGGGAACCGAGGAATCCGAACGCACCGAGATCAGGAGCTCCTGCAAAGGTTTTGCCCATAGAGATCCCTTCTGTTGCATTGGATGAGTTGAACAGAATGGCCGGTAACTTCGGAAACAAGGCACTGATCGGTGAAGGTTCTTATGGACGTGTCTTCTGCGGCAAGTTTAAGGGAGAAGCTGTTGCTATCAAGAAGCTTGATGCTAGCTCTTCTGAAGAACCTGACTCAGATTTCACCTCACAGGTACACATTTATGTTACAAAAACTAATCAATTCATGCTTATTCCCGGGTCCCCTTTTGGCTGGAAATCGATCAATCTAAAATTGTAAAAGCTTCTATCATTGTGATGCCTATAGGTTTAAAGTCAATCAAGATTCTCTGTTTTTCACTTGCAATATACCAAATATCTATCAATCTTCTGTTTTCAATTTTCTAAAGATCGATCAAGCTTCAACCTTTCCGTGAACTATACCACTAATTATATCAAACTAATGGTATTTTCTATTAAAAAATGGCAAGTTATCGGTGGTATCGCGGCTCAAACACGACCATTTTGTGGAGTTGCTGGGGTACTGCTTGGAGGCAAACAACCGCATTCTCATCTACCAGTTTGCAACCAAAGGTTCTTTACACGATGTATTACACGGTATGTAAATTCAACTCTCACTACTTATATTTTAGTATATGGTATGTGACATATATATGGACCAATCAAAAATTTAGGGAGAAAGGGAGTGCAAGGGGCTGAGCCAGGACCGGTGCTGAACTGGAACCAAAGGGTGAAGATTGCATATGGAGCAGCCAAAGGGCTTGAGTTCCTTCATGAGAAGGTCCAGCCACCAATAGTCCACAGGGACGTGAGGTCGAGCAATGTCTTGTTGTTTGATGACTTCGTGGCCAAAATGGCTGATTTCAACTTGACCAATGCTTCCTCCGATACTGCGGCTAGGCTTCACTCTACTCGTGTTTTGGGAACATTCGGCTACCACGCTCCAGAGTATTATACTATAAACCCATCAATTCATTTATATAAAACAATCGGATAATTCTTGATAACGTAAGAGTGTTGTTGTCTTAGGTATGCAATGACAGGACAGATAACGCAGAAGAGTGATGTGTATAGTTTTGGTGTTGTGCTATTGGAGCTCTTGACAGGAAGAAAACCCGTAGATCATACCATGCCTAAAGGCCAACAAAGTCTTGTTACTTGGGTACGTACACAAATTAAAGTAAACATGTTTGAATGACTCCATATATATCATTATTAAGCCTCTTTTAACTTTTGTCTTGTTGTTACAGGCAACACCGAGACTAAGTGAAGACAAAGTGAAACAATGCATAGATCCTAAGCTTAACAACGACTTTCCTCCCAAAGCGGTCGCCAAGGTCCGTTCTACATTTTCTTTTTCAAATATCAAACGATATCTTCATTTTCTTTTCCCGGTTTTAGATAATTTGATATTAGATGCATTTAGACATTTAGCAAAAAAAAAAGATGCATATAGACAATATATTTTGAAAACTAGGGAGATATGATCATTTGTTTAGTTTTGTAATCTTGAATGTTCTTTGTGTGTGGTCGGACAGTTGGCAGCCGTGGCGGCCTTGTGTGTTCAGTATGAGGCAGATTTCCGACCAAACATGACCATCGTTGTCAAGGCACTTCAGCCTCTTCTTAACTCTAAACCGGCCGGTCCTGAGTCTACGTCCTAAACTAAACAATTTACCATTTCTCTTGTTTTTGTTCTTGTTGTTGTTATTATGGCTATTTTTCTCTCTTTTCTGTTCGAAGAACTATGATTATTGGTTATAAGATGTTGTTATTTAATCGAATGTAACTTATATTGGTTTAAAACCCCTTTCGTTTTTGGTTGTATCTACCTAAGCCTTAAATCGAACTTTAAATCAAAACTCTCACTATTCTGAGGAGTCATGCAAGAAATATATAGCAAATTAGTTGTGAGATTTAAATTAAAGAAAGTATATCGTATCCATTAAAGAACTTCAAAATTTACTCTTGTCAATAAAAGATTTAGAGATTTATGTAGATTGTATACCACTAATTTCTTATAAGATGTTTATTTGATTCCCAATATATATCCATTATAAGACATTTACCATAACTTAGAGGCAATCTTTCTTTATTGGTTTATTTGATTCCCATCTTTCTTATTTGTTTACCAATCGTACACATTTCAATATTTTGGGGGCTCATCTTTATTTTCATTCAATTCAGTTACCAAAACTGGAAGTTCTTTCTATCATTTGCATATCCAATTTCAGTCAATACTTTATTTTGTTGCTCTTACCATAAAAATATATCAAGATATTAAATTTAAATTTAAATTAACACTTATATATAAGCCTTAAATTTAAAATGTGAAGAGACCAACACTATAAAAACACACAATCATTCATTTGATCAAAATTTTGATATTGTATATCTAAAAATCATGACTAGAACAAGAGTGAGGATTATTACAACATAATGACAACACTCACACATGAAGCTGAAGTCCCAAACAAACCAGTAAACCACATTCATCACCACGATTCAAAATATAAAACTTTTGAAAGAAAATGATTTCTTTATTGGTTCATTAAAAAAAAAAAAAAGACACTTTGGACTTTTTTTACACAAATAAATATAAAATCAGCTCGGCATTAAAGATAATAAAAAAATGGATAGTTTTACCAGAATGTTAAAAAAAGTCACGTACTGTAACAGTAAAGCACATTTTAGGTTTTTTTTTTCTTTTTCTTTTAACTTTTTTAACAACACGTCGCCTCTTTTATACACAGCGTCTCTCTCTCTCTTCTTCTTCTTCTCTCTTGAATATATACTTAGCTGCGAATCTCGTCGTCATCGCCCCTGACGAACCCTGTTTCGCGTCTCTTTCCAATTCCAATCCCAATTCTCAATTTTGATTCGATTCCTTCGTTTCAGGATTCCTATAGACGTAATCCGTTATTGGGTTATCCATTTCTTCACACCGATAGATCTCGATCGAACGTTTTCTCCGATTGGATTTTTGGGTGATTTTGCTATTCGCCGGAATTTAAATCGGACGGGAGGAGTCGCTTCTCTTCTCTGAGTAATTTATTCCCGTGTGTGTGAGAGACGGTTATGGATGAACAAATACAAGTGTAAAACGATGCCGGGTTTAACACACATGAATGAGCATTACTCTTCTTCTGGGTTTTGGTCTGAGGATGAAGATGGTGTTACCTACGATCAGTTGGAAGAGGTTCTTCTCTTCTTCCTTTTTCTTATTTTCAGATTCCATTCTCTTCATTTTCCACGTTCAATTTAGCTCATCAGATTTGATCGTTGCCTTCTTCTTGCCTTTGCTTAGGTAGATTCTGATTGGTTTTGCTTTAGTGATTCAATCTAGCAATTTTTGATTTAGGATCTTTAGGTTATATTAGCTCTATCCGCAGGAAAAATCCGAAAATCGTGTCTAATTCATGGGATGATACTCTATTAAACCGTGTATGCATTCATATTTTCTTATAATTTGGATACATCGTGAGCTAGCTCAATGACGTGGTGTTAACTTTACGATACTTGAAACCAATATTTTTGATTACTTATACAGTTCTGGAGTGAGCTGTCGCCGAAAGCTAGGCAGGAGCTTCTTAGGATTGACAAGCAGGCTCTATTTGAGCAAGCTCGTAAGAACATGTGCTGTTCCAGATGCCTTGGCCTGCTGCTTGAAGGCTTCGTGCAGATTGTTTCAACTGGGAGGGCCGCGTACGAAAAAAGGTTTCCTTGCAACAAATCAGGAGCCTCTAAAGATCAAATTAACGGTAAATCAGTTGGCACTAGGAAATGTACGGTTGCGTACCAGAGCCCTTCTATTCATCGATGGGGAGGTCTCACCACAACGCGCGACGGATGTCTCACACTTCTTGACTGCTTTTTGAATGCAAAAACTTTCAAAGGGCTTCAAACTGTAAGTTCATCGAAGGTTTCCCTATACTTGGTCGGTCCAGTTTACCTAGCTAATAATCTATTAGCTCTAGCAGGTGTTTGAAAGTGCCCGTGCTCGAGAGAGGGAACGTGAGTTGCTTTATCCTGATGCTTGTGGTGGCGGAGGTCGGGTATGGCTTAGTCAAGGGATTGCTGGTTTTGGTAAAGGTCATGGAACAAGAGAAACATGTGCTTTGCATACCACGAGGCTCTCTTGTGATACATTAGTGGATTTTTGGTCTGCACTTGAAGAGCAAAGTCGACAGTCACTTTTGAGGATAAAAGAAGAGGATTTTGTGGAAAGACTAACTTACAGGTTTGTTATTTGCTGAGTCAGTATTCTTGGATTTTCTGTCATAAGTTCAGTTGAGAAAGTATTTGGATATGATCCTGTCAAGTCATTTCATGCATTACTTAGTTGTTATGTTCCCCTTCTCTCATTTTCGTTGTCTTGTGACTTTTTTTCCTTTCCTTAATAACATGTTGACCTTTAAAACTACAGATTTGACTGCAAGAAGTTTTGTAGAGACTGCAGAAGAAATGTTATTCGGGAGTTTAAAGAACTTAAGGAACTTAAACGAATGCAGAGAGAACCAAGATGTACCGACTGGTTTTGTGTTGCCGATACAGCCTTTCAGTATGAGGTCTTTTATCTTTCTTAACCTTCTCTTCTTACTTTGTGGATTCCTATATCCTATAAGACAAGATCACTGGTTTTCAAGAGTAAATTTATCAATATACCTGAGAGGCTTATATTGCAAGGTAGAATCAAAAGTGTAATTGCAATTTCTCAGGTGGACATTGATTCCGTCCGAGCAGATTGGAGTCAATATTTTACAGAGAATGCTGGATATCATCAATTCGAGTGGGCTATTGGAACTGGAGAAGGCGAATCTGATATCCGCGATTTCAAATATGTAGGCAATGATCGGAGTGCCCAAGTCAATGGCCTAGACCTTCGGGGATTACACGAATGCTACATTACTCTTAGGGCATTTAAAAAAAATGGCCGCTCCTCGGAAATATCTGTCAAAGCCCATGCATTGAGAGGTCAACAGTGCGTTCACTCCAGGCTTGTGGTTGGGGATGGCTTTGTTTCAATTAAAAGAGGGGAATGCATTCGAATGTTTTTTGAGCATGCTGAAGAGGCTGAGGAAGAAGAGGTAAATTGAGGATTTATAAGCTTTGTGACTGATAGCCTTCAGATTTTTACAAATTTGCAGATATGATATCTCCTTGTTGAAACATTATTATTGTATTTCCAATGCTTTATAAGGATGAAGTCATGATAGACAAAGATGGAAATGAGCTTGATGGTGAGTGCTTGCGTCCACAAAAGCATGCTAAGAGTCCAGAACTTGCTCGAGAGTTTCTTTTAGATGCTGCAACGGTTATTTTCAAGGAGCAGGTTAGTTATAGATTTCTCTAAGTTCACCTTCCATTCATTGTTATTTTGGGCTGTATTTAGGTGTATTCATTTCTATCTATTCGTAATAATATCTTAGGTTGAAAAGGCATTTAGGGATGGTACAGCCCGTCAAAATGCACACAGTATATTTGTCTGCCTTTCATCGAAACTATTAGAGCAACGTGTTCATATTGCCTGCAAGGAAATTGTCACCTTGGAGAAGCAGGTTTGTTCGCCATCTTGATTGGATTATTTTTGACAATCTACTCAATTTAACAAGACATTTACGCTTTAATCTGTCCAACAACTCCATCATCTCAACACTTGCAGAACAAACTTCTTGAGGAAGAAGAGAAAGAAAAGCGTGAAGAAGAGGAGCGAAAAGAGAGGAAACGAATTAAAGAAAGGGAGAAAAAACTTCGTAGAAAGGAGAGATTGAAGGAAAAAGAACGAGAAAAAGAGCAGAAGAATCCAAAATTTAGTGATAAAGCAATACTGCCAAATATGTCAAGGGAAGAAGAATGCTCTCCAAATCTTGATGAGGAAAATAACAATACCATAAGATGCGAGGAGTCCGGAATTGAAAATGGAAATGTAGATTTGTCTTCACCTGGTTCTCCTGATGATCAAGATGAAGAGTGTTTGGATGGTTGCGCTTCTCCAAGAGCTGAAACCCACTCTTGTGATAGCACTGATAGGGAGATTATAGATCATGAAGATGAAAACAGCTGCTTTACAAATGAAAATCCAAGACCTGCTCATCAGACAGCAAGATTATGGAAAGAGGCTCAGACTGATCATGCTTTGAGATGGTCAGAAAAACGCAGATTTACAGAGAATGCTTCTTCTGTCAGTAGTACTGAGGCAGGATACTGTAATGATAGATTAGAAATGCCTTCACGACACTTCAATGGGTCAGATAAAAATTTGAGAGTGAAAGCTTCGAAAACTGGTGGTAGCCCAGATAGCATTAGGTCTCATGAGGAGTTTCAGTGTTCAGACGACAGGACTGGGGAGAGGTATGATCACCATTCTTGCAGTTGCAAACCCATTAATGGGTACCGGGAAAATGTAGAGTCTAATCTATCTGCAACCAGAGGCATGCGAGAACCCAAATCAGTATTCAAATCAGAGTCTGATCTGGATGTCTCCAAGCTTAACCGAGCCAATAGGTATAATCAATCAGGCTATAGACGAGAGATAAGAAGTAAAATGAATAACAGTCGAAACGCTTGTAAGATGGATCCAGTAAATGCGAGAAAGGTCTTGGACTCCGTGGAGCTGAAGCATCCACGAAACAGCTCAAACTCTAACGTATCATCACTTACATGTTCAACATACAAGGCAGAAGAGATTGAAGTTGTAAGTCCCACTGTGAAGTCAGCTTGCACACTGTCTCTATGCAAGGCTACAGATAAGTTGGGTAATGGGAATCTTAATAATTCAACCGAGGTAGACAAGAAGATGGAAGTTCACATAACACTGAAGAATGATTACCTGTACTCGAAAGATCCTATGATGAGTAGAACTTCCAGTTCAGACAATTGCTCTTCATGTCCCAGTGAAGGAGATAGCAATACAGCTTCTTCAAACAACGGAAACATTGAATCCTCCTCGTTGTCTGATTCCGAAGATGCCAGTCAGCAATCTGAAGGAAGAGAGAATCTAGTGGATACTCGGAACGATATGCCCGACTGTCACGAGAAGATGGTAGAGAAAGTGACAGAGATGAGTATGGATGAAAGAGATGTTTTAAGGATTAAGAATATGTCTAACCTTCCAGCTGACAACGGGGAAAGTAAATTATCAGGAACTCCTTTTATGGTTCCTAGCCAAAACATGGAAAATATGGTACCTGGTGTTAATACTGGTTCCTACCTATCCCAGCCACAAAACATGATGTTCCCCCAGATGCTTAACCAGAGTATACCATTGCCAGTCTTCCAGACTCCTTCAACAATGGGTTACTATCATCAAGCTCCAGTCTCTTGGTCTTCAGCTCCAGCCAACGGATTAATGCAATTCCCTCATCCTAACCATTATGTATACACTGGTCCTCTTGGATACAGTGTGAATGGAGAGTCTCCTTTATGCGTGCAGTACGGGACCCCATTGAGCCATCCAGCAGCCCCTTTCTTCAATTCCGGGGCAGTTCCAGTTTTCCATCCGTATGCTGAAACCACCACAATGAACACTGTTGACCAAGCTCAAGCTCTTGAGCCATTGGAACACAGTTTTCTGAAGGAAGCAAATGAGAGGAAGTTAAACGAAATGCCTCCAATGGAAACTCCAAGGAGAGGAGGTCTACAACATGATAGTGATGAGAACTTCTCCTTGTTCCACTTTGGTGGCCCGGTTGCTCTGTCCACAGGAAGTAAATCGAATCCTGCTCGTTCGAAAGATGGGACTTTGGGGGATTTCTCGTTGCAATTCTCAGGAGATCATGTTTTTAGTGATCCAACCGGCAATAGCAAGAAGGAGAAAGAGAACACAGTTGGTGAAGAGTACAACTTGTTTGCGACAAGTAACAGTTTGAGGTTTTCTATCTTCTAAAGTTTTTTATACAATTTCTTGGATTGTTTGGCGTCATGAAGAACGCAGTAAAATACCTTTGGTTTTATTTCATGTAAAGATCTCTTCATATTTCAAAGGTTTTGTTTTACTCAAAATGAATAATTCTCCATTGTTGGGTGTATATTTTATCACAACACAACAGGGAAAAAATATAATCTCATACAAAAGATATTCTCTCGACATAACAACCTATTGTTTGGAGGATTTCAGAACAGCGAGATAAAGTCCTTGCTCATCAACAAACTGGGTAAGCTCAAATGAATGCTTCTTAGCAACATTCCTCAATGTGGAATCATCAGGTAAATCAGAGACGACCACATCTGAAAACTCTTTCCTTTGCTGCTCCAAGCCTTGTCTACCTCGCGGGTGACTGATTACTACTCTTGCACCTGTCACAAGCATTAAGACCAGACTGTGTTAGAAACCAAGACCCCAACAAGTGTTAGCCTGAAGACAGAGAGAATGAAGAAAGGTCAGAACATAGTACCAGAGGAACAACGTTGAGAGAGTGTCTTGAACAGGTCGTCGAGGTCAAAAGGCAAAGCTGGAAGAAAGTAGAGAAACACAACGTCTAATGGAGACCATTTCTCAGGGACATAGATCAATTCCCCTTGCCAACATTTGACTTTGTCGTATTTCTCTTTGACACAGGCTAACGTAAAAAGAGAGTCATGGACAATAAGCAAGAGCTGAGTAGGTGAAGATTCCACCAAACGATCAACGAAGGCCTCTGAGCTAATTGAAACCAAAACCCTCGAAGATTCCGATATTTCTCCAGCCTTTATGATCCTTTCGATCTTCTGAGCATGTTCAGTGGATTCAATTTCCATAGATTCGAGAAAGGACCAATCTTTCTCATGGAAATCGAACACTGAGACTGTTCCTTCTGGAGGAGAAGTCGGAGAAACACAAAACGCTCTGTAAGGAGAGACATTAGACTGAGAGAATGAGAGATGTTGAGGAGAAATGAAGTGACTTTGTAGACGATTTAGCTTCTTTGGTTGCAAAGAGAGACGACGCGAAGAATCGAAAGCAAACAGAGAAGGGAAAAGGGCAGAAGACGAAGATGGAAACGAAAGAGAGTACATTGATAAACTGCAGCTTCTGTACTAAATCGAAGAAGAAGATAGCAGTGAGAATTTTCTAGGGCGTCTCGAATTTGGGAAGACGATGATGATGATGACGTAGTGTCTTTCTTTGGGCCCGAAATAGAAAGCCCATAAGGCCCATTTGCTTATTAGTAGTTGTAAGCTTCAGTTATGGCGTAGCAACGGTGGAGAACATTCGGAGAGAAGAGAGACGGTGATCGGAGATATAGATTTGAGGATGGGAACGAGACAAGTATACGAAGAGAAGCTTCGGCGTGGGAATCTTGATTATGATCCGACTATGAATCCTGGTCTTGGTTCTGCTCGCTGTCCTCGTTGTCTTTCTCTCTTAAACCCTAATTATGTGAGTTGCCCAAGTTTCTACAGTGTTTTGTGGTTTTGTGTTACAAGGGTCTGACAAATATGGTTCTTGTGAATAAATTTCTCAGGAGAAAGGAGAGTGGACGATAACTCCAGTTTTGCACGATGCTGCTGCAGTGGTCAGTTTTAGCATTTCTATCTCATTCATCTCTTTTGATATTCACTTCAGTCTCCGTTTCAATTATGTGATCAGTTTAAGTGAAAGTTTGTCTTGTTTCCTGCTTCTTAAATATATGCGCGGATTGTTGTTTTGGACTCCTAGTTGGGTAATTGGTTTGTGGGGAATCAGCTGAATTCAGATGAAATTATGTTGGGAATGAGAATTTGCATTCTAGCTTTAGGCGATTGCGTTGTGATTTTTGGTTTGCTCTGCTGTTCATGTAAAGGTTTAACCTTTTTTTGCATTGACTTCGGAGATGGCCTTTTGGATTGTTAATTTTGTCTGTTGCCATGTTTGATTACTTTTGTGTTTAAGTTATTAATCATTGGAAATGTTTTGTGTTGGCTGTTGGGTGCAGAGCATCATTTCCAATTATCCTTCCGTTCACAGAATTGTGATTCAGAATATTGTGTATTGACTTTTTTCTTAGTATTCTTTGGTTGAAAATATCATGAGTCTTGGCTTTTTCGGTAGCATGGATATCGAGTTATCTTGTTGTGCATTTAGCTGTACTACTCTGTTTCTAACTAGGTGTCTCCTGTGCTATAGGCTGGTTCTGGTATTGGTGGCTTGCTTAGTGCCGTCCATGCTTTCAATACAGGTACCACATCATTCTCTTGTCGTCAAATACTTATCATTTCTACAGTGGATCTTATCTCTTTGGGTTTTCAGGGATCCCCTATCTTCAAAATCGGTTTCCCGGGTCAAAGCGGCTCTCCTTTCTTGTTGGGGTATGTATTTTCTCTTACCTTGTCTGCTAGTTCTGGAATTCTGCCTGTTTCACTTTGTCTGTTTACAGTACCTTGTATTAATTTTCTTTGCTTCTCACTTATTACTCTTCCTTATAGGTTCCAATGCTGCTAGTATATTCAGGTGTAGGGGCAGCTTTTGGAGGTAGCATAATCTTCTTTGTCTCACTCGCTTCTCTTGTGCCTAAATATCTATTGTGTATATATGCTGCATTAGTGATTAAATGTCTGTGGTTTGTCCTGAATTTTTGTGAATGGCCTTCACATGTTGTGTTTTGAACTTATGTAGTTCTGTTAGCGTCTTTTGTAGTTGTAGCTTTTTAATGCAAGAAAGTTTACGAGCCGTGATAATTTTTCCGCTATGTATGGTTAGAATACGAATCAAGATGTGCTGCACAGTATAGAATTGCAACTTTTACCTTTAGGTGAATTACTTGCATTAATGATTTACCCATCAAGAGGATTGGTTTTCCTCTTATCTGTTAAAAAATTTCAAGTGCCAGGTGGTAGTGTGTATGTTAGTAGCTTTGCGCACAGTCTTTTGTTTTTATGTACCCGGTATATATGTATATACATCTGTCTGTTTTCGTTCAAGAAAGCACCTGAACTTTTGTTTGTGTACAATATTTGGTAGGTTATGCACTTCCAAAGTTTGCTCAGCTGACAGTTACCTCGTATTATGCATCTTCAAGTGCTTCACATTATGGAATTTCTATGCTCACCCGCCGTATCGAAGAAGCTCATCTCTCTCGAACTCAGAAAGAAGAGGTAAAGTGAAGTCATGCACAGATAAATGAGAATCTATTCCACTCCTCTAGCTGAGCCAGCTTATTTCAGGATCTCTTTGGTTTTTTCGGTTACCTTTTCAAGTCACATTCTTGAGAACCACATCTATAATGTTAATTCCTCAACATAGTTATACCAAATATAAAGTCTTTTAGTTCCTCGCCATCGTCAGTTTTTGGTTTCTGTTACCGTCTTCATAACTGCTTCTTTTCCCTGTTCATTGGTAATGACATGGTATTTGATTCTTGAATATATTATAGTGTTTATACAATATCCTCCTGATCCATTTTACAAGCAGTCATGGAACTACATGAACCATGTCTTCTCAGTGGCTACCTTTACATATGAATCCAACTTTCGCTATTCCTTTTGATATGTTTGTCCTGAATTCTGACAACATCGTCTGAGATTCCGGGTGATGGTAGCAATGGTTGCAAGCGTAGATGTTGTAAATTAGTAGTATAAAAAATCAGAGTCCCAAGGATTGAACCACATGGTCTATAAGGTAGGTGGAACTTTGTATATGTAGCTTTGGTCTCATTTTGGCAGGTTGCAGTGTTGTGTAAATGAGATTGAGTGAGTTTTATTTCTAAAGGGGTTTGAGATGTGTACTGTTCGAACTATCATCCTCAAGTTGCAACTTTCCTAGGGTTGTGGGCCGATGTTCCTTAAATTCCACTAGTCCTTTTTACATATCTAAAAAAAAACAAGAGAGCAGAGAAAGTGGTCCTAAGGTTATATAATGTGTATGCTCTTCACACGTCTTTATTATGTGCTTCTTTTATCATGTTGTTCATCACATGCTTCCTTCTCCATTGCATTAACTAGTGGGGTCCTTTTATAGCTGCTCTTGATGTTAACTCTTTGACAGCATTCATTCACTGAGTATCCTTAAATTTCCATAATTTGATAAAACCATCACGTAATTCTCAAAGGTACTGTGCTCTCTGGTTTAACCTCTGCAGTTTGTATCCAAATAACTGTTTCCAGGAGGGCACATATGTCTTCTTCTTTTTTGCGTTTGGTTTTTTGTTCCCATGTGATGTGATATACATCCTTATTGCAATAGTTTGCATAAGACTTGTCTAGAAAACCTTATCTCTCCTCCTTTTGATTGACAGGCTGAGTTTGCACCGTTTGGTCCTTCCCCGTAAGACAGCGACTGTCCTGTTCCACGGCTAAAGACTTAAGGTCAGAAATTTTGCAATGTCACTTTCTGCAACCTTTTATCACAATAATCTGCTGAGACTCGTTTGAAAGCTTTAGGATAATTGGTAGTATTATAAGACGTACACTCCTTGCGTTAGTTGATTAGTTACACATTAGCAATCACGCTACAACATTTCACGACATAAATAAGTAGGAGAAGGATAAGTATTCCCTATAACCTCAAGAGTATCCAAAGTTGTTCTTTTGGAATTATCACTCTAGTAGACTTGATAGAGTGAGATTAGCTGTCGTTTAACTTTTATATATCGGTTAGCTTTGATATAAAATGTATCACAGCTGGTAATTCTAAAGCAAATAGGCGTTTTATATCTCTGTAACCATCATGAGTTCTTATTGTAGTATATTTCTAGTGTGAGGCAATGCCACATATATCTGTGATTGAAGTCTTGCCAAAACTGGAAAAGTCAAGCATTTGAATTTCTTGGTCTATGCAAAAGTCGTAGCTAAATATATATGGTTGTCCTTAATGTATGATTAGTGTAACACATTGAAGGTCATATGTTAGGTACGAGGATTGATATCATTGCTTCTTCTGAGATATACGATTGTGATTCTTGTAGGCCTTGGTCATATGGACTTCATTCAAAGTCTGTTCTCTTGAGGCAATAAGAAAAAACATGGTCATGTGCCGCGGCTCCTAACTACTTTTTTTTTTTTTTTTTGAAGTCCATTATTATATTTTGATCATGGTATATGGGTAGAGAGAGAGATGAACAAGTAAATATGGTATACAGCTTGTTGTTGATGATTCTCTTTGAATTGCCCAAAAAAAGGTTTGAAAAGAAACTAAAGAAGAAAGCTTTTGAGGAAAGCCTTTAGCTTTAGGTTCTGTGTGTTGAGAAAGATGTGAAAGCTCTCTTTGGCTAACTCTACATTTGTAATCATGGACCACTTTCACTTCTCAACTCTCTCTCTCTCTCCCCTTTTGTCTTGTCCATTGTCTTCAGTGATCCCCACAGTCACCGAATCATCATCAACATCTGCATTTACCCATCCTTCGTTGCCTCTTGATTCGGTAAAAGACCGTTTAATTAGACAGAGACCCTAAGCATGCAAAATCTAAAGAGTCTTCTGGGTTTTTAATGGTTAAGAGACAACACAATTTTGACTTAAATTTCCCGACTGCAACAACAGAGAGAAAGTACGTGTGACTTCCATGGCCCTTAAATTAATGTTCCTCTTTTTCTGAAAGTTATAGAAGAGTCTTGAAGGAAGCCATAACAGAAGAACTCAGAAATGAACAGATGAAAACAAACAAAAAATGATAATAATTGTATCATTCACATTTCACACACACGTGAGAGGAAATTAAATGGATGAAACTATTTTTACTAATTAATCAAAATATTATTCCCTTTATTAATATAAACTCAGAATGTGAAAACCTCAAAAAGATGTTCAAGATCTACACACCAAGCCGGTTCTCGTTTTCTTTTTTTTTTCTCTCCAACACTCTCAAAAGAATTGGCTTCACCGATCAACGAGTCTCATCACAGCTCAAGTTAAAATGATGGATAATATATAAAAAATATAAAGAAAAAGTTAGAGATGAAGATCGAGACTCACATGATCTTGCACATTGGGTTTCATCAATCTGTACGGCCAGTTATTAGGCTCCTTAGTCTCTTGCTCATGCGTCCTAAACACTGAAGCTGGTGAAGATGAGTAAACGCCTTGAATAGCGTTTGTTGACGTGGAAGGCGGTACACGCCACACACCTAAAGGACTTCCGTTGATTGTCGGTGGGTTAGAAGAAGGATGAGGAAGAGTACTCCTTGAGTAGTACGACGACGTTTGATGTCCCGGCCCTCCACCGTAGTATGATCTAGCTTCCGTCGTCCACGACGGATAGTGACGGTGGTGGTGGTTGTTGAGGAAGCCGTAGACGTGGTGAGGGTCATGAGGCTGATGATGATGGTGAAGGTATGATGTCATGGAACCGCGTTTGGCGTGTTGACGTTCACGTTTGTGAGCGTTTTGGTGTCCACCTAGGGCTTGAGAAGTTGGGAAGTTTCTGAAGCAGTAGTGACACTCGAATCTCCTGTTGTTGTTGTTATCTTTGTCTTTGTCCTTATCTTTGTCTTTGTCTTTGTCCTTGATATTCTCAGAGCTCTCATCGTTCTTAGTAGTGGTTTGATCAGAAGCTTCTGCGGATAAGTTGTCGGAGTTATCTCCGACGAGCTCTTGGCCGAAGAGACGAATAATGGCGGCTTTTTCTTTGGGCGGAGTACGGCGGATGAAAGGAAGCTGAGAGAAGGATTCAACGTTGACGTTCATGAAATCGTGAGTTTCTCTTCGTCCGTTGGTTTCGTCCATGGAAGAGAGATCAGAGAGAGAGAGAGAGAGAGAGAGAGAGAGAAAGATGAGTGAGTTTGAGACGAATGAGGTTGACTGTTTCAGAGACAGAAAGACAAGAGATGAGGTTTTGCATTAATTTAAAGAGAGGTTCCCCAAATTCTTTTTTTAAGGTAAATAATTGCTATTTTAACCAGCATGGCCGCGTGCGTGATTTTACGTTTATCCACCTATAGCTAAGACTGATCCACATCTCACTTGCATATTTCGAAAAATTATATCTACAAGTACAAGCTTTTTTATTGTCATACTAATTCTTTTTTAATATTTCAAACGTGTGTTCTTTTTTTTTCACCTTTTTCCAACAATTAATAAACATACACATTTTATGTTTAACTTTGTCTATGATCCATATTTAGAATTTCATAAATTTTAAAAGATATAACAAAATAACAATTGCTGCCGAACAATAAAAAAGATATAACAATTAAAGTTTAACCATTAGCCATTGGACGCAATTTTCATGTTCCAACGTAAGAGGAAGGAACGTAAATATGTATTATCATATGTATAGTTAGATTTTTCTTTTTTAAAATTTAACATAATAAGTTTTAAAAATTGATTCATGTTTATATAAACCTAAAATTATGGTTGACAAAAAAAAAAACACTAATGAGCATATGGACGCATAGGAGACGTAAATAGGGGGAAAAAGGCGTATATGGTATATATGATTACAATTTTATCTTGTGTATATAAAGTAATGTGTTTAAATTGTAGCTTACTATGAATCTATGATGGTTAAAATGTACCGTCTAATAGCCGGATAAAATCAATCAACATATAGGGAGACCTCTAATCTACATTCACTTCCCCTACCCAATCTCTCATAGTCTCACACACATACACATACATTTATGTATATACGTGCATTGCATATATCCATCTCATCAAAAACAAACCCATCAATCCTCCTTTTTCAAAGTTATCTCCTTTTTAGTTAGTTGTTTCTTAAAGTGATTCCTGCAAATGTTGAAACTAAGACAAAAAGCTTGCCAAATTGGTCCTAAGCAGATGAATGGGGTCACAGTGAGTAATGACATGAACTAAAAAGAGTGAGAGTTTGTAGGTAAGAGATCATTAGCAAGGTGAAGTTAGGTGTGTACTCTTTAACATCACGGACCTATATATTTGGTTATCATGTCTACGTATAAGTACATGGATTTTACTACTAATAGAGAGAGAGAAATAGAAAGACCTAATTAAAGAGAGCTCTTCTCTCTCAAGGACCAGACTTTTATTCTCTTGGATGTTTTGTCTCTTTGATGCAAAGATGATCTTACACAGAGAGAGAGAGAGGTGGTCCATGTACATGATCATTAATGATGCTCATAATCAACTAGTGTACATGATCATTAATGATGTCATCACCATATAGTTAAACAAATTAAAAGAATATTGAACCTTTGTTTTGTAGAGATCACATCATATATTATCAATATGCATGTAATATGTTAATATCAACTCGATCAATCATATCCACGTCTTCTTCATCATGAACTATATATAGATTCCCTTTATATTCCTCTACACTCTAAATTTCGATATTTTGTAAGAATAATTCAATTTTAAAGCCCATACCATTAAATTTGACAATATACATTCCCTGATTATGTCACACAAATAATGTATAAATTGCTAATGTTAAGGACTATAAAACTCATTAATCCCTAATCTGACGTTTTTTTTTTCTTTGACGTACGATTCCCAAATTCCCAATTGAGTATGACGTTTAATTAGTTGTTTTGAGCTGTAAACATTTCCTCGTGTCCAATGGTTGATCAAATTACTAAGCCGTCAAAACCAATCCTATGAAAATGAATATCTTGTAAACTAATGCTGATTGCTGACTATTCAAAGTTTTCATATAGTACGTATCGAATCATCTCTTATCGTTCTATATACTCTAATATGGATCATCCATTTGTGGATAGATAAACTATTCCTTTTTTTTGGTCAACAGTTAAACTATTCTTTTATAAAGTTTTTGTTATTTATAATTTTTTAATTAAATGATGTAAGCGAATTTTTTTCAGACGAATTCCCTTTAAAATCTAACGTTGTAACTTGTAAGTGACTTCCTCACATAATTTACAGATTCACATAACGTGTGTGAGGTATATATAAGTAATCAAAAGCTTATTGTAAGAAAGGAAATAAATTCAACTATGGTAATAATGTCCATGCGAATGCTGGTCCCAAAGTACATTAATTTACATACATAATTTTGCAGATTTTGGACTTCACATGACGAGTCCACATCTCTTTTATTTTTCCACAAACAATACACATTAGTAAACCCTGTTTAAACCTAACATGCGATTACAAATTTAAACTTATCAGAGATCCTTGGCATGCTTATGAAATTTTTAAATGTTATTTAAATGATATAGTTAATGAGAATTTTTTTTTAGTATTCTTTTAATATTTTAGAAAAATATCTAAGGGAAATTAATTTCTACAACCAAATTTTGTCAAATCTCTTCGATCATAATAGTCACTTTTAGTTAGATATCTGAATTTTGTAATAAATAAGATCGAAATCTATAAAAAAAATCTTGGACACTGATTTTTTTTTTTGTATAAAGCTAAGTCCTAATTCAGTGTCTAATATACTTGTGTCACAATATAATATTTTTAAAATCTAATAAAAATGTAAAAAAAAACATATATATAGTAAATGCATATCTAAAAAAATGGTTACAAGGAAAAGTAAAACAAATCTCAGAAAATGTAATTGGGTCCCATGAATGGCATTTTGAACCCCACAAAAAAAACATGCACTTAAAAGCCCACAAATCTCCCAAACCCTAACAGCAACTCTTCATTGAATCATGCAATTGCAAACCTCTTTGCTTTGCCATTAAAGTCACAGTCATATGCTCAGAGATTTAATGGCTTTTGTTGAGGGGACCATATCTCTCACTTTCTTGCCCTCACATCCATTTCTTGGATTCAACTCCTCCACTCTTATATACACATATGTATGCAAATTCCCTCCTTATTTATTTTTCTGAAATGAAATGTTTGGGCCGGTAATAAATAATAAAGATAATAAATATGAAAGATGAGAAAAAAGAGTCTAGATTTTGAGGGACAAGCATATCTTGTCCTTTTCGTTATATGTGACCTCACAATGTTCAGCTATATATAAGGACCGAACTTCAAAGTAATATAGAAAATAAATGGTGAAAGATATTTTAGTTTAAGTAGAAGAAAACAGAAAATTAGAATGAGAGGAACCCCAAAATTAAAAGCTATAGAACAAATGCAAGTGGAGTTAAAAACAACATGAAGAGCTCACCGGTCTCTTTCATTTTTAAACAATCTACTCTTAACTCTCCATCACTTCATCTCGAACTCATGACCAAACTCATGATTAATTTTTTTATATACAATAATGATAAGATCAATTAATATCTCACGGTGTGATCTTCATTATATGCATTACAAAGAGGACGAATTTTTTACTAGTAAATGAAAACAAGTTTGCGTTTAACCGACTCTATGTTTTTACCAAGAGGTAACTTTCTAATAGATTTAGCGAATAGTTTTACCATGGAAAAAAATGAGAGAGTTGAAATAAGCATTAAGAAGAAAAATAAACATGATTGAATGAGTAAGATAAATTTATAGGTGGTGACAACAACATATGAATAGAATGGGCTCTCTCAACCGTATATATGTGTCTGTGAAATGTCAATGTAAAAGGATAAACATACATACAAATGTGAAATGTGTATTATTATAGCTTTTGGGAGGTCTAAAGCTTTTGGTGGGTTTGTGATTATCATTATTGTCTGAAACTGATATGGGTCTTGTTTCTTATAAATGGACCACCATTTATGAATATTCCTATACATATATATATGTATGTGTGTATGTGAGAGCATCTTTTCAGATGATGGTTTTAACAATGTATGTGGGGAACTTTCTCTAGATTATGTGATATGTCTCCGGCCCTCTTGTCAATTTTCTTTCTTTTTAATATGATTTTTTTTTTATTTTAATATTAGATCCCTCGTGCATGGGAAATGAGTCAATTATACATATATTTATATCATTTTTTGTCAACAGTTATATTCATATTATTATTAAGTAATCCTTCTATCATTTTGTTGCTCTCAATATATTTTGGTTAGAAACCTAAAACAGTTTTATAATTTTGGCCTATAGTGGTTATATAGGTAGCTAGACTAGTCGAGTTTGGAAAGCTCTTGAGGGTGACCAGACCTTGAGTTCGAATCCTACAGAAGAGGGTTAATTTACATATCATGATCTCTACCCAAAAAAGCTATGGTGGTTGGTGATTGCATAACAAAATAAGGATTTCCATTTTTACTACCAGGCTTTATGGATGGGTTGAATCTTAAATTGGCCTTTTGTGACGGCCCATATGTTTGAACCTTTCGTTGTTTAGATCCACAAAGCTATTATTAATCTGAAAGAAATTGTACAACTACTACAATCAATTTGGTTAATCGAATGTAAGTAAGTAGAGCTTTTTTCTTATATTATCAATAAGTGACAGAAAAACAGAAAAAAATCGTAAAATTAGAAATAATTACCAATAAATTTCATATGACATGCAATTTGGAAAATTGCAAACTATTGAACGGGAACAAAATCGGATCTTCGGGGTCTCGGAGGAACAATCTTCACTTTTAGGGGTTTATTGGAGACTTTCTTAAACTGTTGGGGCTTTTGTGAAATAGCCTTCAATTTCAGTGGCTTCGTTGGAATATCTTTCAATATGGGGGGAGGGTTTCTGAGCCTCAACACCATCCCCGTCCTCTCTCCGGCGGCGGCGGCAGAACCCATCTTCTCATCTCTGATCAAAAACGGATGCAACAACAACTCGGAAGCTGTTCCTCTCTCCTCAGATTTTCTTGCGAAACACTTCTCCAAAAACAGCCTTGCATCACACGGCACAGTCTCTGGAATCTCTGGTGCCTTATTATCCAAAAGAAGAGACTTAACATGTTTATCAAACCCTAACCATGGCCGCTTACCGGTATACATCTCCAACACTATGCAACCAAGTGACCACAAATCTAGGGTTTTCTCAACGGTGGTGCCGTCACGGACTGACTCCGGAGACATGTAGATAGACGTTCCGACCCACGGTTCATCGATTCTCCAACAATCAGATTTGTCTCCGGCCCTTGTCGATATTCCGAAATCCGAAATCTTCAATTCGTAAGAACAATTCCACGTTTCTTTATCGTAAATAGGAAAAAGAAGGATATTGTCCGGTTTAAGATCACAATGAACATAACCATGACTATGAATCGAGACCAATCCTTGTAGAATCATACGAGTAAAGTCTTTAATAACCGAATCTGACAACTTTGTTCTGTTTCTTTGGATGAAATTAGTTAAAGTACCAGCAGCTGCATACTCCATTGACATCTTGTAAACTTTTCCTCCATTGCAATCGGTTCCTTGAACAAGAGAGTTCCCACACAATTGCACGATACAAGGACATCCTCTGAGTTCCGACAGAATTCGAAACTCTTGGTCTATAGAACCGTAGTTCTCAGAGTCCATGATCTTCACTGCGTTGTAGAGCAATGATCCATCGTTTTGTTTATGGCTGAAGAGCTCGACGGAGCCGTAAGTACCCTTTCCCAAAACCTTCACCAACTCCATCTCCGGCGGCACAATTTGCGATTGCTTTTCTCTGATAACTCTCTCGCGTGATCTGTAAGTTTTTCGTTTCATTATTCTCAATTGAAAGATGAAAATCTGAAACCCTCAAAATTTATTTTCTCTGATCAAAATCTCTCTGGTTACTTTGTTATTTAACTCCCTATAGAGCAGTATTTATAATTAAACCCTAGAGAACAACGAATGACTCGAGATTAATAAGAAATAAAACGAGGCCCTAATTTGATCATTATTTTGGTTTGCTTGAGAAAAAATTGGAAATTCCGAGTTCTGATTAGTAAATAAAATTATTGCATAAATTCGTTGAGTTAAGAGAAGGAAAAAAGAGTAGAAGGAAAGGAAACTTTAATTATGTAAAAATAAGGAAATTATCTTAAACAAAAGGCAAATATTAAGATCTGCCGTTAAGAAATTACTAAATTATATACATTGTGTTGCAAAGATTGTGGGTTTTGAAGGAACAAAACTCATCAGAAACCTTGAAAATTGGTGTAAAATAAAACAAACTAAAACTCAACTGATAATGAGATAAATTAATTTAAGTGCACAATTTTAACTTGCTCTACACTAAGATTGGGGACCAATCAATATCGAAAGGTCCGAAAGTTTTTGTCAATTTGTTTTTTGTAACTACTAAGTAGCTAAACGAAACTGAAAAAAAAAAAGAACTACTAAATAGCTTAATAAGCTGTTGAAAAACAGAACAGAAAAATTAGGACTAAGCTCAAGAACTCTGACATAGTTTTTCACGCTACATAAGCTATGAAGGAATGTATAAGAAACAGAGGAAGCTGCATAAGGGAGAAACTTGGACTCTAAACAAGTAAATTGAGTGCAAAGAAAAGCAAAGAATATTAAAAAGAAAACATGAATCTGGTACATGGAACTGAAGAGTGATAAAGAAAATCTTGAAGTTATAAAAGGTGCACAACTAAACTTGTTCATATACATTCAAACCACCGATTATGATATACCAAAAACTATTACATGATTCTACTAATTAATAAAAATGTGAATTAATCAATATCAGTGTTGACCAAGAACAATATTAGGTCTCCAGGGCTCTTTGCAGAGCTCATCAGCTTCAAATTAACACATACTCCTAATTTCCGAAAGCATCTGTCTACATTTCTCCAGTCCCATGGTGAAATCATCTTTCGGATTGTCAATCTTCACATTCATCTGAAGCTTAGTGAACTTATTGACATCTCCACGCAAGAAGCTTTGCTTCAACAATGTCAAGGCGTCTTTCCTCTCATCTGGTTCAGACGCAAAGCAGGTCATGAGAAAGAGTCTTGCATCGCAAGAAAGATCACGCGGAAACAATGGCTCGTAACACTTCATGAGATCTTCTAATTCATAGTTAGTATGCCACCATGGTTTCTTGCCAGTGTACATCTCCAACACAACACATCCCAACGACCATAAATCAAGTCCTTTCCCTATCTCACCGTGAGAGATAGACTCCGGCGACATATAGATTGGTGTTCCCGCAAACGGTTGATGAGGATGCCACCACTTAGTGTCTCCATCTCTTTTCGACAATCCGAAATCAGAAATCTTCAATTTGTAAGAAGAACTCCACGTGCCGTTCTTGTAGACAGACCTAGGGAAAACAAGGATGTTTTCGGGTTTGAGATCACAGTGAATATAGCCGTGTCTGTGAATCGTGGCTAAACCCTCGAGAAGCATACGAGTGAAGTGTCTGATCATCGAATCAGGCAATTTTCTGTCTTTGAATCGGTCCATGAAATTGCTCAAGCTTCCTCCAGCTGCGTACTCCATGGCAATCTTGTACTCTACGTAACCCTTGTTGTTAAATCTCTCTTTTACTCCGTTACCGTAACATTGGACGATTCTCGAACAGCCCTTGAATTCAGACAGGATCTGAAACTCTTTGTAGAGAGACTTAGCGTATTTGTCGTCAGAGGTTTTCACGGCGGCGTAGAGAGTCTCGCCGTCGCGTCGTCTTTTGTACTTGAAGAGACTCACCCAGCCAAACGAACCTTTTCCCAGATACCTTTCGAACTCCAAATCCAACGCCACCATCGCAAATAGAACGATTGATTCTTCTGATAGCTTTGGCAACAAACTTTAAGAAAAACCTTAATTAAGTGAAAGTGAAATCTCAGAATTTGTGATAGCTAAACAGATAGATATAAGCAATTAATACGAGAACTAACCGACTTCATTCACAATTTCCTTTTTATTTTCTGTTTTTTTTTTAATTTATTTACACCAAAGATATAGATAAAAAGATTTTCTTGTTTTTCGGAATGGAAAATTGAGCTGAGAAAAAAGGAAATAACAAAAAAGTATTTTTGTGGTTTTTACTTTTTTCTAGGTATCATCAATTTTTTGTTAAAGGATATTCTACTAAATCATCAAATTTATTATAAATCCTAGAGAAAGTTTAATATCTGGAGATCAATATCTAACGAAAAAAAACATTATGGCATTAATTTGCCGAGAGGAAAATAAATTTATGTAAATTTTTAAACAAAAAGGAAAGTGATTTAACAAAAAAACAAAAGGAAAGTATAAGATCTGCCGTTGCTCCTACCAACAGCGAATCCAAACTGTTGGATCTATTATGTAACTGTTTTTAATTTTGTTACATAGATATTTTAATGAGTCAATTAGGTGCATACCAGTTTTTTTGAAAGTAATTAATCATATACTAAAGATATTTCTGTGTTTGCAAGACAAGAGAGAGAGAAAAAATAGATGACCAAAATACCCCTACATTTAAAAGAGAAGAGGTTAGCGATGGAGTCTGGGTTTCCTGCTTCGAGATTTAAGAAACTGCGAGATACACTTTGGAAGCCATGGCGTTATGATCGAAGTAGCAGAGAGAGGTGCGAGGACCTCATATGTTTAGACGCATCGTCGGAGAAAATTAGATCTTGAAGTATCGTCTCCTACCCAATAAGTTTTTGGGTGCAAACCCATACACAGAGACACATGATTCTCCGATCAATTTCTGGGAATAGGAAAAAGACCGAGTGAGAAAAATCAAATTACTCAATGGATTGAAAAGGATCTGATTATGGAGAAAGGAAAACAAATAGAAACGATTTTGGGGATTTGAGAAAGAAAAAAAATTGTAATACCAATTAAATGGAGAAGAATACCCAGAAAATCAATCATCTTTCTTTAATTCAAATTATGAGAGATGAAGTAAGAGGATAGATGGAGGATTGGAGCACGGGAGAAGAAATGCACAGAATGGTTGAAGAAGAAGGGTATTTTCGTCATATTTAGGGGTAAATTATATTATCAAAATTTACTATATTGCCACTTCTCCTTTGACTAAATTACTTTCAAGTCAAATGGTATAGGGTGCAATTACTCTATTTTAATTTATATTTAATAACTTATTATATATATATAGTGTGTAAACTAAGCTATAGATTCTTTAGTAATAATCCTAATCCTCACATCAGTAACTCGTTTTGGTTCCACTCTCCATCATCAATCTCTCAATTTCCCGAGCATAGTGTCATTGTTCTTTAACAATCAACCAAAGAAACAAACTAACATTAAGATAATAAACACAACACAAAGAGAACTATAAATGAAAAACCAAATCTTTTGAGATGGTTCTGCTAGGGAACAAAGGTGAACAGGAAGCAAATTGGCTCTCGGTGGTCTTGGTTGCTTCTTGATGATCTTTATCAATTCTTCGGCTCTTTTGAAAATAATAGACGTAACTTTTGATGGCCTCTTCACAACTTTCCTCAATGTCAGAGAAATTTCCTTCCGATTCTCATTCTTCACATAAGGCTTTGTGATCTTATTAACCTCTCCACGCAAGAAGCTATGCTCCAACAATGTCAACGCGTCTTTTCTCTCATCAGTATTGAACGTGAAGCAAGCCATGATAAAGTGCTTTGCATCGCAAGGAAGATCACTTGGAATCAGTGGCGCGTACCACTTCTTGAGACCCTCCAAGTCATAGTTATTATGCCACCATGGTTTCTTTCCAGTGTACATCTCCAATACCACACATCCCAATGACCATAAATCAAGTCCTCTCCCTGTCTCGCCATGAGAAACCGATCCCGGCGACATATAGATCGCAGTTCCCACGAACGGGCGATGAGGATGCCACCACTTATTGTCTCCATCTCTTTTCGTCAACCCAAAATCAGAAATCTTCAATTCATAAGACGATCTCCAGGCGCCCTTCTTATAGACGCATTTAGGGAAAACAAGGATGTTTCCGGGTTTGAGATCGCAGTGGACATAGCCTTCTCTGTGAATCGTGGCTAAGCCTTCGAGAATCATACGAGTAAACTCTCTTATCAAAGGATCAGGCAGTTTCTTATCTTCGGATCGTTCCATGAAAGTCCTCAAGCTTCCTCCAGCTGCGTACTCCATTAGCATCATATACTCTATGTTACCCTCAACGTCCAGATTCTCTATAACTCTGTTTTCATAGCACTGGACGATTCTCGAACAACCCTTGAATTGGGACAAGATTCCAAACTCTTTCTGGAGAGACTCGGCGTTTTTATAGTTGCAAGTCTTCACCGCGGTGTAGAGAGTCGTGCGTGGTTTCGAATACTTGAAGAGACTCACCGAACCATACGAACCCTTTCCGAGATACTTTTTGAATTCTAGCTCTGGTGGTACCATTGCAATGGAATATATTATCGATTCTCTGATTTCTTTGGCTCCAAGTTAATAAAAAAACCTAGGTCACGTACTTGAAATCTGAGAATCAAAATAATTTGGTGAAGAAAAGTGATCCTATATATACAGAAAATTTTCCTTTTTTCCTTTAAGAGATAAGTAACTTCAAATAATATTAGGACATAAGTAACCTCAATACATTTTTTTTCCAATTTTAATATACAAAAGGAAATAACAATTTCCTTTTTTCTGTAAAGCCTACAAAACTTTAGTAGACAAAATTGGAATTAAAAAAGGTATAGCTGTTGACAATACTTATGGCTAATTAAGAGAACTAACTACCAAGGCTGTAATGACTTAAGGAGACATAAATCAACATTACATTTTCTTGCTTGCCAATTCTTTGATAGTTGAACCATTAATAAGATTGAAATCAAAAGACCAGTAGTTTATGATATGAATTGTCATAGATTTAACAAGTGATACGCTTGTTTTAAAAGTCCTATACTTTTGTCGGATACCTTCAGTCACCCAGCAAACTAGAACGGGGTAAGCGAGAATTCTAGGCAACATCACTCACCATTGATGAAACCGCTAGACCGAGGTACATCTTCTCAGAGTAAATTGATCCTCCATATGCCCATTTCTTGATAAGCACGACACTGTCATCAAGCATAACTCTGTAATGTCGCCATAAGATTTGAATTAGCATCATCACTAATCGCAATTACCTCTTCAAGTAATAAATTGATCATAAACATTTTCTGTCGTTCGTTGACTTCATGCTTTTTCATTCTTCACCATAACATCTTAACAATTTTCAGGAAGATTTAGACTACAGAACAAGCAAATCACAGTGAAACCCGAGACTTCGTCGATAAGAGTTTGATATCGATTTTGAAACGACTCGTTCAAAGATACAAAAAGCGACTTTAATAGTCAACTCCAAACAACCAAATCGCTAATGTGGTTGAACATGGGAAAATGATATTTCTGCTGTGGACGCGCACACCGTGGTACTCAAGGGATCGGATGTGGTGATTTTTAATGATGATGATTGAAATGTTTCTCCGTATGCATTTATTTTAGCTCCTAATTTGGTGCATATCATATAGTAACCAACCTATGGTGGTAAACTGGTAATATAAGAAAAATATATGAAAAGAGAAAACACATATATTTATTAATCAGAATTACATAAAAACATGTCTGACCATTATCAAATTATTTTCTCTTTCGTTTTATTCACTTTGCCTGTCTAAACAACACACACAAAATTGGACATCATAGAAATTGACAGAGACATCAATATTTCTTCATTTTCCTTTAGATATAAGCTTAGTTCAAGTAGTAGGCGAAGAGAGACACAAGGGAAGCTCCAACCAAAGAGCCAAGAGCCGGTACGGCTACGGAGGCTCCGCTTGCGGCGGGTCCTGGTGCCGGAGCTCCAACATCTGCAGCCATGACGGCGGTCATGGAAGCAGCAGCGAAAACGACTCCGCAGGCAATCTTCTTCATCTCCATTGCTAGTTGAGACCTGAAAGGTTTTTTTTTTTTCGTTTTTTTTTTTTGGTAGTTTTGTTTTACTTTATTTTATTTTTTTTCTCGCAGGTCTGAGGATAATTGGATGGTGTTTATGGGGATTTATACGGGATGTAGTTAAAGTTATTTTTAGGAAAGTTTAATATTAGAAATCGATTTGTTCCAAAATTTTAGAAATTACATAACTAATGGAGAAACCTCACCGGTGAATTTTTATTTTACTGTAGTGGCTTTGAGTCATTTACGCGTTTCCATCCATATTTTTACCTGGTCAAAATTTCCATATATGTGTTTTTGCTATTTCATTTATTTTTACGTTTTTTTTATTTGGTCTTTTGTAACCATGTAACCGTATCTAGCCCACGAGCTATATGTATGGACTTTTAAAGAGCTAATGGATCTTCATTACGTTTTCTTATGTATGAATCTTTAAAGAGCTAAGCACACTAACATAATTTTGTGTTCTAAACCCACTTCAATTGGTTTAGAGGGGGGTGATCCATCCCTTTTATTTATGTTTTTATTAGCTCGTTCCGAACCTAAAAAGACAATATCAAAAACCTTAAATTCTTTGGTAAAGTAGATTTTGCTGGTAGAAATTTTGGTATTAACATTGTGAATGAATAACAACAAAGTGAAAATTTAAGACTTTTTTGGGAATAATAAAGAGAATAATTAGAAGGGGGGAGAAGGAATGAATTTCCTTGCATCTGCTATGCTTTTTTCTTCACCCTACTTTTTCTGTTTATGCTTCTTTTTCTTTCTGTTTGGTTTTGATTAAAGTTGCGTCGCAATCAACTTTTTCTTTTCTTTTAAATTTAAAACCAAAAATAATATTTTAAAAGGTATAAATTGATGAATAAATTCTTAAAAACATTAGAAATTTTTATTCTTGCGTATAATATATGCTCAATAGGTTTGGTGTTATCTTGAATAAGATACTCGGCATAAGTCTTGTGATTTTATGTTTGATCACATCACCGCAAAGCTTTTGGTAAATTAAAATATTAATGGAAATATAAAAAGTGATAACGAAAATCACTCAAGAACAAACATATGCACCGAAAGTTTGATCACTGAAAGGTGACGATCACCTATTTTTTTCCTTTTACCAAATCCCTTTGCTCTCTTTAATTAAATTTATATCAAAAGTATTACCGATAAAGAAAGAACAACTTAAATATCATATTATTGGACTATACCCTCTAGCAAAAGAAGACAAAGTAATTAAACAGAGAATGAATAAACATGTCCGCACTAATCTTGGTTTGTTTTTCCATTTCCTGATCAAAGAATAATGCTAAGAAAGAGTCCAACGAGAACAGTCACGTGAGCTCGAGGATTAAAATTGGCTGCACCAAGGAGATAAAAATATTACAAATCGGATTTAGATTAACGTAAACAATTAAAAGAATTTAAGTGAATATTATTAAATCAACCCACCAGGCCACCATCTCAACACAAAGCTAAATTTGCATATTCCAAAGCATTTAAAAAAGGGAAAAATGTGGTTGATCAATTCATCAAGAATTGACAAAAAGTAAAGAACTTACTTAAGAATCTTTATTAATTATTATATTACACTTAAAGATATCTAATATCACTGTCACCTGCCCCATAAACCACATCCACATCTCTAAGAAATCCAAAAATTAATCCTTTATGGATTAGCCCCCCACTCAGTTCTACCCAAACAATATTTATTTACTTATTGCACTAATGCCACATAAATAATTAGTTAGTGAGGCATATAATAATTTAAATTGACACATGTCTCACAAGAATTAGCTTTTAATGCTCCTCTTACTTCTCCCACAAACACATAATGAAAATAATACAAAACAGATACTGAGAAACTAAAAAGATTATTGAAATTAATTTCAGGGTATTCATTATAACAAACGATAACAAATAGTCATAACAATAATAATATAAAAAATAATAATAATAATAATGATAATGATAATGGGAGAAAGAAATCCTAAAAAAAAATTGAAAATGGGAGAAAGAAAACCAAGAAGGTTTTGTTTCATCTCCTTTCTTCCCCATAAGCCTTTTTCTTGTATTGTTCCCTTCTCTTCTCTAAAAAAAAACTGTTTTTTTGTGAAAATTAATTGACCAAAAACAAAGAAAACTTCTTTCTTCTCTTCTCTTCTTTGTTAATCTTGTTACCCTTCTACCACCACCACCACCACCACCTGTAAAAAAGAGGTTTATCTACCACATAGAGACCAGACAAGAACACGTGATTCTTTGGTTTGGTCTCTCAATTCTGCTGAGCCACAAGCTGATCGAGCTGCATTTGCTCAATCCAAGCTTCTAGCCCAGCATGATCCATTACCGGTTCAACCGGATTTGGCTGCTTCACGTGTTCCCCTGAGGAAGATGTTGCTGCTTTCTCTTTGGCTTCTGTTGAAGACTCCTTCACCAATGACTGGACCCATGACACATCAGGCTCATCACCATCAAACGATGACGAAGATCTCAACTTACCAAGCGCCTCTGAGCTCATTCCCCAATCCGGTTGACCATTTGAAGATCCCCATTTTGATGACCATGTGTTGTTGTTAACAGGTGAACCAACTATTGGACTTGAGTTTGTTCTGAGCTCTCTGGAGCTAAGGCTACGGAACTGATGTTGCTGCTGCTGCTGCTGTTGTTGTTGCTGTTGCTTCACGCACTGAGCCAACATGGAAACACGAGAACTCATGGGTGAAATTGGCTCAACCACATTCCTAGGAGACATTCTTCCTCCACTCGAAAACAATGAGTGATCAACACTCTTTGGTGAAGAAAAGCTTGTGTTGATTGGAGACAACATGCTCTGCTGCTGCTGTTGCTGTTGTTGGAACTGGTTTGAAGACAGCTGATTTGTGTGTAGGCGAGAACACCGCGGAAGCTAAAGCGGAATCAGTGAACCGGGGAGACGAAGAGCCTTCTGCTGAGAAAAGATCTTCCAGATTCGAAGGAGGCATTGATTTCATCCGACCAGAACGGCTCAGAGAATTGGAATACTCGTTAAGGAGTTGCTGCTGCTCGTAATCCGCTAACATATTGAACTCATCCGTCGGGATATCTCTTGCATTTAGAGAAGACCTTAGCCTGCTTGACTGTAGATTGCTTCCGGGTAAGTGCAACGCAGGGACATTCGGTTGCGGCCAAGCCATATTCGAATGAGACATCCCGTTTCCCGCTGCTGATGGAGAAAGCGGGGACATGACAGAGACTCCTGATGGAGAACCAGGAAGGAGACTCAAAGCAGCTGCATAATCAGCATTCGATCGAGGTGAAGGAACCGCTGAACCAGTTGATGCGTACAAAGGTCGAAGCTCCTCGGGTGTATGGGCAAAGAAACAAACTCGCCGAGCACAGCCTGTTCCGTCTTTGCAAAGACGGGTTCTATACTGAGCCGGATGAAGCCAGCATTCGAACACACCGTGCGCATACTCACACATATCTCCTCGTCTACAAGCTCCTTTCCTAAAATCCGGGCAAGGAACACAGCTGTAATGGAACTTCCTTGGGTCTCTTCTTCTCGCGTTTTCGCCCGGGTGGACAAAAGGACACTCAGTCCAATCATGCGAATAAGCACGCGAGCAAGGCCGGACCTTGAAGGAATACATTCTGAACTCATCAGTCGCATAGATACTATTCTTGATATCCGGTAAAGACGGGTCAACTGGATACTCTTTCTTGAAATCAGTCGATTTCAGCTTAAAAGGAGAACCAAGCGGCGAACCAGAGCCCGATCCGCCATTCTCTCCAGTTGGAGAATGAGACGGAGAAGAGCTTCTATTCGGAGCATTCGTCACAACCCGTAAATTCCTTTCCGCAGTTGATGATCCATCAGCAGATAGAAGCTCCTGAAGCATCAGCTTCACACCTTCAAGCTTAGGAGGAACAACAATAACATCTCCAGCTCGTTGACCTTCAGCATCCAACAGATTCAAATCAGCTCCAGCTGCAAGAAGCAGCTTAACCACTTGGATAGCATTCACAGCTCCTCCAGAAGCAGCGCAGTGTAGCGCGGTCGTCTGATCATTCCCACAAGCGCGGTTCACATTCGCATCAGTCAAAGAAACAATAAGCTTGATAACATCAATGCTTCCATAAGTAGCAGCAACCATCAACGGCGTCCTCTGATCATTGACCATAGCTTTAGAACCTTTTTGACGACCGTACCAGAGACCAGCTTCGTCTACACAAGAAGGATCTCTCTCGATAGAAAGCCTTACACCTTCCACATCGTTGTTAGCTGCGAGCTCAAGCAAGCTCGCAAACGTATCCTCTGTTTCGACTGTTAAGTGATTCATGTCTGTGTTGGTGACAAGATTGTTATCCTCGAAAGAAATTGGCGATGATGACACGATCTGGTTTAATCGGTCTGATCCACAGCACATAGTTCCATCTGTGGAATCGGATTCTGTAAACATCATCAAAAGAATTACAAATTCAATCAAAAAGATCACTTACATAATAAAAGAACTAATAAATCGATAATAAGATATATTGAAAACCAAAAGAGAATCTTTTCTGATTCTCTTATCCATTGATTTGCAGAAACTAGATCGGAATACTCAAGTTAAGATAAATCTCAGCGAAAGTCACTTTCAGACAAGAAGAGGGGGGTTTTGTCTGAAAACAAGACCATGTGTTAACGATTCCCAAAATCAACCGTTTTTTTTTTGAAAACCAGTAAGTCAAACAGATTTCAATTAAGAATCAAGCAAAGAGGATTTGTAAAGACGCTACTTCTAAAAATAGAACAGGAAACTAATAACAAGCAAAAAAATCCGATCAGAAAATCCCAAATAAAATCTTCATCGAATCTTTTTTTTCATAAAAACAAAGTCAAATAGGCAAAATAGAGAAGAAAACACAAACGGATCTTTGTTGCATGTTATTTCACGTTGTTTTTTTTGTCAAATATCCACAGAAAATACAACGAACATAGAAAGGAAGAAGCTTTAGATTCAGATAGAACCAAAAATAAAATCTTGAGACGATCGAAAACCAAACGATATATCATAAAAAAGATTGGTTCTTGCATTAGAGGCCTCCGATGATCCAAAAATCTCACCTTTTTAATTCTCGATTGAAACAAGTTTAATAGAACACGAACAAACTCATATCTTGCCGAAGACTTCGATGGTTTAATCGTGAAATGAAATCAGTATATAGTAGATCTAGAAGAAGAAAAAGAAGGGAGTGTTAACAACAAGTGAGAAGAAAGAGAAGGAAAAAAATTAATTTTCCCGAGAAAATCTGGGAAGGAATAATAAAAAGAATCGGTGAAGTCTCTTTTTAGAGAGAAGAAGAAGAAGAAATGGTGAGAGGAGCTTGTTCTTCTACAATCTCCATTTCCCAAGCTCAGATCTCACTAGAAAAGTATTTACACCCCCAAAAAATAAATAATTTTATTTTTCTGAGAAAACATTTTTCGACACTTCGTTTTCGTTTAATGAAATTTAATAAATTTCGCTATCCAATAGGGAAAGCTATTTAAAATAATATTTAATAAAAAAACAAGTAAACAAAAGAAAAAGACAAGCGCTACTTTGAGATCTTATTCTAACCCCTACCCGTTTTACGAATTTTAAATCACCTCAACCAATAGAAACTGTCCACGTCATAACTAGACAGAAGAATACAAGGGTAAATGCGTCATTTCGACTTCCATCGGCTGATTTGGCAGGTTATGATTGGCTGACATCGGAAGTGGACACGCATGTATCCTATTAAGCTTTTTGTCCTTGGTCAAATTCTCCAGTAATTTCCACTTAATACAACTTCCTAAAATAAGGGGTTAGCAATCTAGTGAGTCCAGTTACATCGTAATTAAAAGCCTATTTTCCTACGTGGCAACACATGATTGGATATTCACCTTTTCGGCTATATCCCCGTTACAGGAGAAATCTCTAGAGACGACGCTCTGCTTTCTTCATCAGGTTTTTCCAGAATTTCCCAAATTGCCCTTATAGGAACTTTAGAAGAAGTCGTTTTTACCCCTTCTATCTTTGGCTGAGGAGACACGTGGAACAAAAACATTGAACAATGAGCACAATAAGACAGGGGATTTTTCAATGGACGCGAGCTTTATGATTGTACCGGGTTTACCGGTGAACCCGGTGGTACGGATGGCTGATGGTAAGAGAAAGTAAACGGGAGCAACCGGTAGCCTGTGAGTGGCGTAATTGAGAGGGATTATTAAACGATATTTAAGAAGGGTAACTGGCGTCCACCAAGCGTACGGGGAACGGACGTGACACATTTTATTTAATTCCAGTTTAATTGTAGAGTCAATCATAAACCATGAGAGAAATAAGAATGTGGGCCTAATGGATTAATAGATATTTTTGTAAACTATAGGCAATTATTAAACTGCACCAAATTTCCAATAACCTAAAAATTTAAAGAGAGCATTAAAATATAATATGCTATTACATGGTTAGATTTTCCATTCTACCATAATTTCCAGATGTAAAACATTTATTTTCTGGCGTTTTTCTTTGTTTGTTAAAATCCACCATTTTTCAAAAAAATTACTAATTAGTCTCTAAATTTTAATTTATAATTGCCAAAACAATTGGTCAATATGGAATAACTTCTCAATTTCGTTAAAACCTTCGTCCAAATCCAAAACCCATGAAAAAAGGTTTTAACGAAGTTGAGAAGAAATAGTAGTTTCATTATTGTTATTTTTATAAATTCGCTGATTATTCTGGTTAAAACAGTACGTCAAGAAGAACAGTACGGTATTAAAAAAAAAAAAAAACTAACCATCATTTATTATCATTTATTTACATTTTATTTTTATTAAACCATCATTTATATATAATTATGAATTTATGATCCTTGGAAGTATTTAATAGTAATAGAATAACAGTTTTTTTTTCTTGAACATGAAGAATCTCAAAAGTTAATTTAGAATAATTTTCTCTAATCCACAGAAAATCTATTCTCTTGATTAAAATGTCTAAAGGGGTCCATCGAAACCAACAGTAAAAACCGGTTTGTTTTTGTACTTTACCTCAAACAGTACATACAAAATCTATGAATTTATAATAAAAAATAACTGAAACCAAATCCATAAAATTTATAATAAAATAATTGAATTTGAAATCAACGACTGCTAATACTTGAAAAGATTAAAGAAATATAAGATTAATACTGTAATAGAAATCAACAGTGGAATGTTAGTCCTGTGGCTAAAAAATTAAGAAGCATCAGTATAATTAGGATTTAAATCCAATTTATGCATTTATACAGTCAAATTAATTGATTCATGTATTCTAAAAGAATATATATAGTCTCAAAGAACACTTCTATGGTGATAATTTTTTTTTGTTAAAGTACTTCTATTGGTGATAAATGGGGTATCTTCCTTAATTTTTTAATACTAGATTAAAGATATTCATCAAAAAAAAGAAACAAAAATGTTTTTAGCAAGATACTTAAGATCCCTATTGAAGTTGTTTACCTTGGATCAGCTTTCCACTCAAGTTCAAATGTATTTAATTTATAATTTTGTAATGATGAAAAAAAAATACTGATGTTGTAATTCTATTTTTTCTTCTTATGTCGGCAAAACAAAATTATGTCGGCAAATTTGTTTATTAGTTATAGTGTTAAAACTTAATGTAACTTAAAATTTTCTTTCCATACTTAAACTCATTTGAAAAATAATGGTTAATCATACATAATTATTGCTCGAGTTTTGACAACCTGAAGCCCTCGTCCCGTCGGAGGAAAACACTAGCGAGGCTTCACTCACCCCACTAATCATTATTAGTGATAATATTTGTTTGTCACCATTATACTCAATGGTGCTGATGCATCCATTAATATATTTATAACAGATAAGGAAATAAAAGTATATAAAATAAGAAAAGCATTATCCTCATGCACGAGATAACTTTTGGATCATGTCATGTGGATAACAAGATAATAGAACGAGTCCGACATTAATTAATGACCAATCATCACACTCACAAGAGTGTTAATCAAAAGAAAAAACTTAACATGAATCTTCTTATAAGTAGCAATATGGGGAGAACACTATTTTTAATATACTATAAATTCTCATTCCTATTTATAGCAAAAGAAACTAGAACCATTTAAATACAAAATTGACATAGTCGTTTAAAAAATAACATATCTAAGAAAAAAAACCTATAGTTTTGTTTTTAATTTGACTATTAAATTTTGATAATCAATGAACATAGTATTCTCTCTGTCTCATATTAGTAGTCGTTTTAAAAGTTATATTTTGTTTCAAATTAGTTGTAGTTTATTTTTGATAAATTGTTTTAGTTTTCTTTTATTTTTTGGCTTATTAGTTAATGATATTAAATAAAATAATATATTAATTACGAGTAAAATAGAAAAAAATATAATTGGAAGTAAAATAGAAAAATAAAATGTTTTTTAATTTGTATGATAAAACTTTAAATGATAACTAATCTGAAACGGATAAAGTAATTATGTTATAACTATATATGATTTAATAACTACAAAATTTGTGTGATATGGAATTCTACGAAACTAATTAATAATGAATCTGTTACCTTTTTTTTTTGTTCCACCTAATTAGCATCGTCAAAACTATTTTCAAATTTCCAATCGATTAAAAAAAAGTGACACGTGTGAAAATTAGGGAGAAGTAGCAAGTAGCAACTATAGCAATAATGGAAGGGGACCGAGTGACCAAACTTGGGCAAAGGGAAAATGTGAGTGTGTTTACTTTGTGGTGTTTTGTCTGCGTCTCTCTTTTGTTTGATTTCCACGTGAACACTTACCAAACTCTAATCTTTTGTTCCATCCACAGGGCGCAACTTCTTCCAAATATCCCTCTATCTTATCATGTTATCATATGCATTCATTGTCTTTGGTTAGTTATTGAGTTAACATGATTTTCTTTTTAGGAAGTTCAGGTCAACTAGTTAATCTATCTAGCACTTGCATGTTGCAACGCAGTGGAATTTGTGCTTTTGGTTTGCATATTTACAGGTAACCGGTTAGTCTATAGTTACATTTTATGACAGGGCGCTTTCTTCGTATTTAGTTATATTAGCCTATTAGGTTAACTAATGAGTATATATTGAATTCTATTCATTTATAAGGAAAATATACAAGGCACAAAAATATATATATATATATATATACAAGGCACAAACGTATTAATATTACATGACTTCGTATCCATATATTAAAGTGATCCAACATGTCATGTTAACTACAATAGTAACTAAAACTCTATGATGATGTTTTGCACTCTCAGATAACCGGTTAATTTATTATCAATGGTTTCGTCCATATTATTGATGTTTGTGTTATATTGATAAAAAACTAAAATACGAGTTTTATTCATTAAAAACTTGTAATGTCTACAAATTTCATGTATGCAAATTTTGCTGAGCAAATTTTTGTTGCTAGCTAAGAGGTGACTTCTCCATGAATAGATTTGTGACTAAAGACCTAAATTAGTACATCGTTGGTACTTGGTACTATACGACTCCCAAAAAAAGATCTTAGAAGCCAAAAAATACATATAGGTTTTTGTAAGCCGTTATAACTTGACATGTCGGTCACGATGACAATTTTATTTGAATTTCGCTTTTTTTTTTTAATAATGTCCAGAATTAGAAATTGGTCACGAAATTCAAATAAGTTTCAATCTAAAAAGTTAGAAGTATATATCATCTATTGAAGACGTTTATATGCAATCTCTTTAAAAATGAACACCTCCATGAAGTCTCTAATTAAAATCAATCTTAAATGATCGGGAAACTAAATTCGGGTTTTTATCTCTGCATAGGTTCATATTTATGCAGTAGAGATGTTGGCTCTTAATCAATTGATTCAAAGTTATATTTTTGTATTCTTCGTTTTAATACTTTTACATTTATATATTTGCCAAGAGACAAACTTAAAGAGAAGGCCATATGGTGGGATGGCTACCGAATAGAAATATGTTTCGCTTTCAAGAGTTCGTGATGTTGAGTGTAACATTGAATATAGGACAACATATTACATACTCTCGTTTTATTGTTTATATATTTTTGTTTTCTAGAGGAAATGTAAGTAGTTAACTGATTAAATAAACCAAAAATTCAAAGATTTTTGCTGAAATGTTGGTCGTCCATCGGTAAAAAAAGACAATAAGTTTGATTATTGATAGAAAATTATATGAGTTTTAAACAAAAAGAGATAATTGTAAACAAAAATATAATAGTTAAAAAAGTAAAAAAAATAGCGGTACACAAATAGATTAATGATACCGTTAATTTTTACTTTTTGGTGATCAATAATCATTCATCCAAATTAATATAAATATAATAGCATTAAAATATAATATAATAATTAATTTTTATTTATCACGATTTTTTGATGTTTTAAAAAAATTGTGATTAAAAATTTGTACAGTTTTTTTTTATCAAAGTGATTGGTTTGGCCGGATTATTAATATTATATTTTTATTTACTTACGATAATAATATATTGGATAAACGGGTTGGACTAACATCCCAAATGAGTCAAGACTTTTACATAATTGAATCGAGTTATAAAATGGAGAACGAACAAAAAGCTACGACGTTCACCGGAAAAGAGGTTCTGATCCTGGTGTCTGCCAGAAGTAGAGAGCTCGAGCATACAAGCCGACGCATATAAGATCGACGGCATCGCAACCGCCAGATTAAATAATTTTAGTCTCACCCAAATCTATAGCTGTGCTAAGAAATGATAAATCTTGTTGACAAGTATTTAATTTTCTGAAAATATCAATTTCGATTCTCTATATATAGTTTTGGGTTTGTACTTTGTACCGACTTGTGTAAAGTAAAGAAAAAGAAAAAGAAAAAAAGTTATGGACTTACAGTATCTAATAGGGTACACGTAAACATATAAGATCTCTCTTTGGAATATAGAAGGCAATACGTCAAATGATATGAACAAGAGAAAACAACCGAACCTAACCTAACATTGGTCCATTTTCGGACATATGGGATGTTACGAACCGTAGATGCATCTTTTCTTCTGATATCTCTGTTTGTGGCTCCTCTTTTTTATCTTTCTTTTTTCTCTTTTTAATAATAGGAACTCTGGGGTCCATCTACTTACCACCTTTATTTCAAATAAAAAATATTAGATGAGAGTGAGACTAGACGATGGATGATATTCTTTCGCACGAATTATCATTCTTTTAACTTCATTGTCGGGAGAAAATGACGAATGTGAAGTTTTTGAACAGTGCGAATCAAGAAACCTAACTCTAAGCCCAACTAGCTTATAGGAGAAGACAAATTAGCCCATAACATAGACAAATTAACAGGCCCAGTTTATTGACGATTTGTGTGTGGCTTTGTGATTATTTCTTGTCAATCAAATCATTATCACCGATTCCAAAATTTTCAGGGAACTCGATAGACTTGTATATGATCGTAGACTTGTAATATGCAACTATTACAGAATATAACCAATTAATGCTTTTTGTCCTTCCGGCATATCAACCTCTAAAATGTACTCCCTCCGTATTTTAATAATTGTCGTTTTAGAATTTTATTTTTTTAAAAATTAGATGTCGTTTTCAAATTTCAATGCAAAATTTCTTACTTTTTAATGTTTTATGATGTCATAAAACATTAAAAAGTAATAAATTTTGCATAGAAATTTGAAAACGACATCCAATTCAAAAAAATAAAAATTCTAAAACGACAATTTGAGAGACTCTGTTTGCGTCAGAGGGTTGTCTTGTGGTTTAATATTATTGTCTTCTCAGATGAGGTTGAAGTATGTTTCTAGTTCTCTTTTTATAATCGGAATTTGAACTTGAGGATAGCAACGGTCAAAACAAATTGCATTCATAATGGACTATTAATGTCTCCATATTAACTAATATATAAAAAAAAAATCCAACATAAAACCAAAAGAAAAAATATATTCCAACATATTATACAGTTTTATGAAGAGAAATACACAGTTAAATGTGATTGAAAATAAGAAACCCATTGTACTATAAGATTGTCATATTATTAGTTTAAATAAATACATATATAATGGGCAGAAAATAATATAATATATTTCAAAAAGTTGTCGATTTATTGGCTGCACAAAAGTAAAAAGTAAGAATTATGATCTAAATCACGAAAAGGGCAGCAATTAGTTCACCTGCTCCATGTTAAAATGGAGAGATGAGTGATGATGAATGGACCCTATGAATAGAATCTATGACAACACACCCATTCCTCTCTGTTTCCATTTCCCATGGTTTCCCTTTTTCTCCAAATCTCCATTTTGTTATTTCTTTAATATTAATTTGACTTCTTTTTTTTTTCTGACATCAGAATCCCATATATTAAATTATCGAAAATGACTCTCTTTCGAAAAGAGCCAATCGAAAACCGACGAATTTATGCAAGAAAAACGGAAATTACGTGCTATTGCACATTTCGCAAATCGATCAGTACGGATATTGAAACCACGAGAGATTAACTATGATGCAAAAGTAGACCAATCATCTGTATCAAAGGTCACAGCAAGACGATATGAACAATCCATAGCAAAAAAGACTTAATCTGTAGAGAGTGCCAGCATATTCTCTATTGCCCAAAAAAATGTTTCCGGCTCAACGTGAAGAGGAAATAGACATCGACGTGATCCTTTCAGCCCTAAGTGCAAGATTCTCTCGCCGATAATTATTAGTTTGACTTTGTCTGACTAACAATTTTCGTTTTCTATAAGAACCAATTATTATGTGGGGATTTACTTTTTCTTTTATTTCAACACTCAAGGCTTGTAATCTGCATGCAACGCAGGAGCTTTATGACAAAGTTATTTTGCATTATTTCTCTACTAAACAAAAGTGAAAAGAAGGTCTCCATTTTTTATAATGAAAAACTCTAAACGCTTTAACAAGGGAATCTCTCTCGTCTTCCACTCGTTCATTATTTTTGTAATATTTTTCCATTTCTACAAACAAGTAATTATTTGTTCCTTATTTATTTGACCAGACTTTGACGTCGAGACTCGAGAGTAATCTATATAGTTTAGTACGTCTTTCTCTGCTTAAAAAAACGTGTCATATACTTATAGTACTTAATTCCTTCTCTAATATACTCGTGTTTGAATTCGGATACGTGTAAATTGAATTATCAACGTTCTAGCCGTTTTATATCAACAAGAACGGAAAAAAATATAGCCGATCACTTTACTGGCGCAGAAAATGTCAAACTAAGCAACAAGTTGCCTCTCTCTTTTAACAAGTTTTATATTCGAAAAGTAAGCGTTATTTCGATTTTGCTTCAAGGAAAAAAGAAAAGCGAAAATTTAGAATAGCGAATATAGACACACGTGCTAGACTGCTAGGACCCGACATTCTTCAACCGAGGCAAGCAACTCGTCAAACCCTGCCTGTCCAAAGCTGACCCTTTTATTATTATACTACTCTACTTATTCATAAATTGACTCGAAGCACCTCAAATTTCCAATTTTTCCATTTGCCAAAAACATTGAAATTAGTATAATATATTTTGTAATTAGTGATGGCAAGAAGAAAGAAAATAGTACATAAATTAAGCTATAACTGAGTCCACGTAATTATATAAATGTAAAAAGAAAAACTCATTGATTATTTCCGTACCGACGGACTGGGGATCCTATGCGAGTCACAGAACCTATCGATATTTTAGTCTATTATCAAATCATTAGTAGAACTGTGCCTTGTTCTAAAAATCGGGCTAGGCGGCCGATTAATCGGCGCCTAGGCGCTAGGCGGTGCTGTACCGATGGGTTTAATGCATAATCGGTTTAAGAAATCGGTTTACTGATTACACCCCGCGTAAACCCGATTTTTCGTCCGCCTAGACCGCCTAGGCGGCCGCCTAGCCCGCCTAGACGGCGCCTAGCCCAATTTTTTTTTTTTTTTTTTTACTTTTTTTTTTTATCTAAAATTCAAAACGTCCTACTTATGTTCGTAATTTGTATAAAAATCATAAATTTGAAATTAAAATCTTGTTTTCATGTGTTTAATACAATTTTTAAAATAATATTATATAAATTTCTTAATTATAATGGATTAATATGTTTTTAAAATATTAAATAGCCCTAAAACTAATCCCCGATTAATCCCCGTGTAATCCCCGATTTTCTTGCTAGGCGCTAGGCGCACCCTCACCGCCCGACTAGCGCCTAGCGATTTTTGGCGCCGTCTAGGCGGGCTATCGTAATCATAATTATTGGTGCTTTATTTTGCTAGAATTATTGGTCCTTTATTATCATCATTATTATAGTTATCATCTAAATGTAATTAGAGATTTATGAAACCACTGCTAAAGTTTCTTATCGTTGAGACTGGAAACGATTTGTTTAGCAAAAAGGTTCAACTTTAAAAGTGTGTAACGAAGAAAATGGACACTAAACTCGTTTGATTACTTCATTCATTTAAATAAGTCGGCAAATAATTGATTAAATATGGAAACTATTAACTGAAGATTCGAAATTATTCTCATACTTGAAGGTTTCAAAAATCTAGGTCTTTTAACTGTTCTTGGATTAAAGACTTAAATCCTTAAATAAATACATTCTCTTGTTTTTTACAGTTATATCAAAAAATACATTCTCTTGTTTGCATTCTTTTAAAAAGACAACTCGTAAAGGAAAACGACAAAGTTCAATCAAAGCCTTAGCAAAAAAAAATGTTTTCTTTTGTATCATCCATTGTTAAAGTAAACCACTTTCCTTTTCACACTTAGCCAAAAGAAGAGAAGCCCAAAATTTTATCAGATTCCATCGCATTGTAAATCAAATCTCCCTAAAAAATCATTGAGAGATTTCTCACATTATCCACCACTTGCATCATCTTCTTCAAGTACGTCTCTATCAATCTCTTCATGCTTCTTCGTCTACCTACTCGTTAGGTTAGTGCGTCTTCACTGTCTTCCTCTCTTCATGTTTCACAGCTTCATTCTCTGAAATTCTTATAGTAACCCACTCAAAGAGTTTTTAAATCCTTCAAACTCATAATCTTGGGTCCCATTTTTGAGCTTAAAGTCTCTGTTTTTATGGTCAATCTTTACTTTAATACCCTCCACAATTCTTCTTCGAAAGTTCAGTTAGCTTTTTCTGGAGATTAAAAATCAAATTTTTTGTCAACAACACTATTAATTGCTCTGGTCAATTAGTTGATACTTGGTGATTTGATATAACTGTGGGTCCAAGATAAGAAAATTAAGCTTCTTCAAGTGCCAAACCTGGTAGAATTTCTTTTGAGGTTCTTATTGATAATCTCTTCTTTTAAAGTTTGGATTTTTTTTGTTTTTGGTAACACAGGTTTGGATTTTGGAATGATGTTGAGATGAAACCAGAGTCTCTTTCCTTGGATCTCTGAATCAGAAACAAAGATGTTTCGAGCTCTGCTTTTGTTTCTCTCTCTAGGGTTCTTCTTGGCGTTTCAGTTTGTGGTTTCAGAGATTCAACTGGGTTCTAGACTTGTTGTTGGTGAAAACAGCTTGTGGGTATCCAACAATGGTGATTTTGCTCTAGGGTTTTTCAATCCCCCTGGTTTGCCTAACCGGTTCAGCATTGGTATCCGGTTTAACTCCAATTCAATTCCTTTTGATCAACGGAAGGTCGTTTGGGTTGCTGGAGCAGATGTTGTCGTTTCTGATAACAGCTCTTACTTTGAGCTCACTCGTGATGGAGAGTTGGTTTTGTGTGATTCTTCGTTGGGTGTTCCGGTTTGGAACAGCAAGACGAACCGGTTCTCTGTATCCTCTGCTTTGCTTCGTGATGATGGTAATCTTGTGTTGTTGAAAGATAGAGAAGAGATTGTTTGGCAAAGCTTTGGTACTCCTACTGATACTCTGCTTCCAAACCAAAAGTTACCAGCTTCTGAGATGTTAAGAGCTGCTAGTGATTCGAGGTCTAGTTATTACAGTCTTCACTTGGAGGATTCGGGGCGGTTAGAGCTGAGATGGGAGAGTAGCATTACTTTCTGGTCAAGCGGAAACGAAGCTGTGAAGAAGAAGAAGAAGAAGATTGGGGCTGTTCTTACTTCTGAGGGAGCTCTGTTTCTTGAGGATCAAGATCTGATGAGACCTGTTTGGTCTGTTTTTGGGGAAGATCATAACGACACTGTGAAGTTCCGGTTTCTCAGGCTTGACAGGGATGGTAATTTGAGAATGTACTCGTGGAATGAGGATTCAGGGATTTGGAAACCGGTTTGGCAAGCTGTTGAGAATCAGTGTCGTGTTTTCGCGACTTGTGGATCGCAAGTTTGTTCCTTTAACAGTTCTGGATACACCGAATGCAGTTGCCCTTTTAATGCTTTTGTATCGGCCTCGGATCCTAAATGCTTGGTGCCTTATCAGAAGCCCGGCTGCAAATCTGGTTTCAACATGGTGAAATTCAAGAACTTGGAGTTGTATGGGATCTACCCGGCTAATGATTCTGTTATTTCTCAGATTAGCTCCCAGAGATGCAAGAAGTTGTGTTTAGAGGATTCTGCTTGTACTGCAGTTACTTACACGAATGATGGGGATCCTCAATGTCGCATGAAGTTGACCCGATATATCAGCGGTTACTCTGATCCGTCTCTGAGTTCGATATCATATGTTAAAACATGTTTGGACCCGATTGCTGTTGATCCAAATGACTCTAAAGAGTCACCAGTGACTGTAACAAAGTCTCACAGTATCTGTCTTCCTTGTCTTGTCGGCGCAACTTCCACTACACTTGTTCTGTTTCTTGGATTTCAGCTCGGTATCGTTGTGTACATGTACCAGAGGAAGAAGAAGCTAGCTAAGAAGAAAGCTGATCGATTCTCCAAAGCGACAAATCCGAAAGGTCTGATGATATTCTCTGTCGATGAGATTGAGGCCATGACCGATAACTTTGACCATAACATAGGACCTCAGATATTCAAAGGGGTTATGCCGGAGAATGATCTTGTTGCTGTTAAAGAAGTGGAAGCAACATTAACAGAAGAAAGGAAGTTTAGGAGCTCTGCATCAAAAATAGGAACAATGCATCACAAGAACCTAGCAAAGCTTGAAGGTTATTGCTGCGAGCTAGGCAGGAGGTTTCTGGTTTACGAATACGCTAAGAACGGGTCTATACTTGACCACATTGTTGACCCTTTACGAAGCAAGAAACTAACTTGGAGAATAAGAACTGAAACCTGCTTAAGCGTGGCTAAAGCTCTCTGTTACCTCCACACGGAATGCAGAGAATTTGTCAGTCATGGGAACTTGAACTGCGGAAACATTCTGCTCGGGGAGGCTTTGGAAGCTAAGTTAACAGAATATGGCTTCGGTTTATGTGCTGCAGATAAAGACGTTGAAGATTTTGGAAAGACTGTTTTAGCTCTAATAACGGGTAGGTACGAACCAGAAGGAGTAGTGAGTGAATGGGTATATAGAGAATGGATTGAAGGGAGGAAAGAAACCGTTGTAGACAAAAGATTAGAAGGATGTTTCGATGTGGAGGAGCTTGAGCGGGTTTTGAGAATCTCATTTTGGTGTGTTCAGATGGATGAACGATTAAGACCATCAATGGGGGAAGTGGTGAAGGTTTTGGAAGGTACATTGTCCGTTGATCCACCACCACCGCCTTTTGCTTGTGCAAGATCATCGCCCACTAACTCGTCAGAGTCTAGTCAATCCTTGTACGAGCCATAAAGGCTCTAGTTAGTAAAGTTTGTATAGTTTTGAGGATGTGATTTAACAACAATTGTAGTAGTGAAGGCTGATGATTCTTGTTTCATTTTTTCTGTAAGGTTAGCTTTGATCTTTGATTCTGTAAAAGTACCTTTTGCTTAAAAGCTGAACCAATTTTCTGTTGCAAAGCATCTTTAATGGGCCTCAAAGCGTTCATGGGTTTTTCGTATGGACCAATTAGAGGATGGTGTTTACTCATCAGCACCATGGTAAGAACCAAGTGAATCAAGTTCTGAGATTCTTAACGATGTTCAAACCCTCTGCAAGAGAAGGAGGCTTTGTGAGGTACTCCTTCCTCCTGCGCGTCACACTACGCGCTTGTTTTGGCAGAGTCTAAAGTCTTTTGGACTAGTATCTTTACTGGTGGAGCAAGACCATGTTGAGGACCAGAACCATTAGTGAGCTTACACGAACCTTCCTTTTACTACAATCCGACCGACTTTGGCCCCACGAGAGTGATCCTGAACCTAAGATTCAGAAGCAGTTGGGGTATATCAGCGGTGCAGAGAGCAAGATGCAAGGAACATGACATATAGAGGCTTTGTTCCAAAGTCCCAACTTGTTCTTTGGCTGTCTCTTTCGTTTGTCTTTCTCTTTGTTATTTCATTTGCTGCTTTTAAAAGTTCAACTGCTGTCTTTTTCCTCCCAACAAAGGACAAAGATGAAGCTACTTTTGTGCATCCAAATCTTGAGATATGTATTCAAGTTTTGCTTTTCTAAATTTGATACTTATCTAAAATCGACAACTAAAAAAATCTCAAACTTTGATTCCTCGAGTCTTGTCAATCAAAATTACAACGAATAATATCAACACCCCCAAACTCTTTCATCATCATCAGCATATAGACTTTTTGAACGTTTATCTAGTCCAAGGAAAAATGGTTATGTAATGAATGAAATAACAGTTCTTTGTCCGCTTAAAACTTTATGGCGTCGACAAGAATCCCTCTTGTTCTACCTGGTGCTCCTCCATTTAGCGAAGATATATCCAATACAATCCTGCATACCATCATTTAAAATTATAACTTTTACAAGCTCAGAGAGATTATCAGACACATGAGAACATTACTTCTTAGCTACTTACTTGTTCCTTGTTTCTTTTCCTGTTTCTTGAATAATGATCTTATCTTCCATTTTAGATACCGTGTGCTCGGTGGGAAGATTGATCTCTTCTACTGCAGAATCAAACAATTTCAAAAGCAATTAGTTCTCACATTCACTTATTTTTCTTGTTATGGAAAAGAAATCTATGCATGATGTTCAGTTTCTCACTTTCTACACCATTGACAGAAGTGACTTCATCTAGCCCCAAGAGTTTCTGGAAACAGAGCTGGTATTGTTTAGGCATTCAGAACATGACAACATTTTGAGCAATTAACAAAAGGCGGTTCACCTTGAGCTTCTTGTAGCATTCTTCAAGGTTGTCATTATACAAAATAAGACCGAAAACACCCGAGGATATCCCCTCTTTGATCTCTGCCTCAGCATTTCTAAGCCGCTTTTGAATTTGCTCCTCTGTCTCGGTTCCTCTGTTTTTTTAAGAAGTTGAATTGATAATGATCTCTCAGGATACTGTTTTCAAAAGATATCAAGAACTCATATTGTAAAAGCCCGATTTTTACCTAGCACGGAGCCGATCTTCAAGCTCTTTCATTGAAGGGGGACAAACAAATATGAATATGGCATCAAGAGAACTCGCTCTCACAGACCTTGCCCCTTGAACATCAATGTCGAGAATACATCTCTGTGTCGACCAAAAGAGAAACTCGTATTTTAGGGATCAAATGCACAGAATTCATCATCGATTAATCCAAAAGCTTTCTTATATACCTTTCCTGAATCTGTTACCATCTCAACGGACTCAATACTGGTTCCATAGAGATTACCGTGAACAGAAGCAAACTCAAGAAACTTTCCATCTTTGATTTCTTTCTCCATAACCTTTTTATCAGCAAAGTGATAATGAAAACCGTCTCTCTCCATAGACCTTGGAGATCGAGTTGTGTGGCTCACTGAGAACCCAAACATTGAAGGAAACTCCTTCATAAGCATTGATATAAGCGTTCCTTTTCCAACTCCAGAAGGACCGCTTATAACTATAGGCTTCTCGGCATTGCCCCTCACACCTTTACTCCACGCAACAACTTCCTTCCCTAGTAACTTCTTCTGTTCCCGCACATATGGACTATCTACCTATCAATGTTCCAACACATGAGAACTCCAAACCGATACTCTCAAACATCTTACATTACTGCAAAAAACTACTAACCTCGAGGAACCAGATGGATTCATTGCGAGGTGGACCTTTCTTAATAACCAAAATCCGACCTTGTTCAAGAACAAACGCGGAGTACCCCTGGCTGGGCTTAGGACCTGTCCCAAGCACAATAGGACTAAACCTACAACATCAAGTGTTCCTCAAATCTTTAAGATTTCCTCTAACATTAAAGTACAATTATTGTCACAAAAATTATAGAATCTAGATAACATTCACCCACCAATTGTTACTGTTTTTGTCATGAATTTGAACCCCAATGGAAAAATTGTTCCTTTCATGATTTCCACCGATCACAAACTACACAAGATAATTCTCAATCAAATCATTATCAACCAGTTTAAACAGATTATGATCAAAACATTAAGTGGGCTTACAGTTCGATCGCCTATTTCGACTGATATCTCAATGTTCTTGGGTTCAGATTTCACATAGACGCCATTGGAGTGTCCGTTCTCCAGATGATCCACTGAAATTGCTGGAGCTTCTCCCTAACAACAACAATTGAGAAAAAAAAAAAAAACTATCAATAGAAGAAATAATTGAACTAAGAGTCAAAAGTTGATTACTTAAGCAACCATCCATTGAGAAAGTAGAGTTCTCTAGCAATGGGAGTGAATTAGCCAAAGAGGCTGGCTCACCATAGAAAGATTCTATGCCTCCAAGAAGAACAACAACACAGCCTGACCAATGGCACTACAAACATAGTGTATAAGAGATCAAATAAAAACAAAATCTTTATCTAATTTTCAACAATAATTCAAGGAATTGGTTTCCCATCGAGAAAAAAACAAATGAAACACTTAAGTCAAAACCCAAATGCAGAATTCATGGAAATATAGACAGAATCTGTAACGTAGCACACATATCGAACATCACAAAAGGTATCAATGGGAAAAAAGCAAAATCAAACAAGTACCTCGAGTATGAACAACAGAAACAGGGGAAAGACGAAGACTTTCTGGGATTGCAGGAATCGATTCAAAAGTTTTAGAGGAGAAATAAGTTTCTGAGTTCTTTATTGCAAATAACAAGAATCGATTTTGTCCGAAGATTTGTCTCGATTTCTAATCCATTGTGGTATGAATGTGTGGATGGATTATAAAAGGAGACAACTTGGAGATGATCGAGTCTCGGTGTAGGCAAAGCTCGCCTCTCGGTGGCGCGTCCTTGTTATTAAAAAAGTATATAGGTCGGAGAGAGAGAGACTCAGAGTCAAGAGGTGGCTCTTAAATTTACTTGTCAAATTATTATTAGTTTTGTTAATATGCGATTTAATCTAAGAATTATGACAAATTTGACTTTTCGTATGTAAGGTTGAAATTAAGTTGGATTTCGGTTGCGCTCACTGAAACAACACGACAAATTCTTTTTATTTAATTGCAAAGATTACGGTCTAATTTATAGTAATTAATGTCTATTTGCTTGCATGCACGTATTAATCATTTTTCTGGGTAGAAAGGTTTGATAAGAAAAGAAGAACTTCATTGAAACACATATGAATAGTGGTTTGTGTTAATGTTTTTATTGTATCACTTTGATTTACAACCATATATTTTTGATAAATAATAAAAGTGGTTAGATAGGATCGAATGTTTCTCAGTTAGTAAAAACTTCTTTTCAGAATTACAAAATATCAAATGATCAGGGAACGACACATCTTGATATAAATAATGGCAAGATGCACCGACTACTTTATCAAAGAAAAAAGATGCACCGACTAATGTTAAGGATTTAAATTTATTAAGCTTAAATTTTAGCACCCATGTCCATTCTCCTTGACAAATGGATCGAGTTTGGCCCGCTGATTTGAACATTTTTGACAGCTCTAAATGTGATTGGATAAGAATACGTGACTCCTTTAGTTCTCATTTCTCACCAACAACGATTGATATTATTCTTTCCATTATTTAAATTATTTGGGTCACAATGAAAACAATCAATACAATAAAAACCCTTGAAACTCTCTAGAGGTTGACACCTCAGCTTTTTTAAGCTTTGTGGAGTTGACACCTCATTTAAAATGAATAACCAATGAAAACATTCTAAATAATACAACTCATTTTTAATATCCAATAAGAACCTTTCTTTTTCCACATCATCATCTCTCATAGAAATATCAAAATGGCCCTAAAATCGTGGGCTTAGCCCAGTCCGGTTCAGGTATGAACACAAAATATTAAATCCGTTAAAAATAGACTTTGCGGGCAATCCCACTCGGATTACGGGGTTTAGCAGGTTATGCCGGAGATTGGCGGATTGCCCCGCGGACTGCATATATATAATAAAAATAAATATATCATATATAATTAAATAGTTTATATATTTTTGTAAAAATAATATGTAAAATATGTGATAATATAAAATTTTTATTTAAAAAGGATAATATTAAAAAAAATTGATGGTGTTTATACATTAGCTTTTTAGGCTATTCTCAGAGTAACACATCATTAGAATTGATATCTAATCAAAATATAAGTACGGAACAAAACTGAACATGGTAATTAATTCAGTATCTCTAGCTAATACGATTTTTGAAAATTCTAATTATTAATTCTTTAAAGTTGCAAAAGATATATAATAATTAATAAGATTTAAATTATATAAAATTTATTATATTTAGAGTGCACATGGTAATGATATTTTTTTAAGGAAAATTGTTAAAAATCTCTTTTTTGGTGTGCCATTTTTCAAAAATACTCTTTTTAGATATCCATTTTCAAAAATGCTCTAATCTAGATATGAAAAATTTATAAAGTTTTATCAGGTTTATAAGGTATTTATGGATGGTAACTACTACTTGAAACTCGATCCAAGTATTTATAAGGTTTTATAAGGTGTTTTTAATGTTTTACAAGACATTTTAAAGGTTTTTAAAGGTTTTATACGGTATTTATAAGATTTTAAATACATATAAAGATAGTTTGTATATGTTTTAATAATGTTACATATGTATTTGGGTAAATTTCATATTGTTTGGAGCATTTTTTATAAGGTTTAAAAATGTGACATTTTTGAAAACTGACATTGAAAATAAAGATAGTTTTTTTAAAAATAAAGTTATTTAGTTGGTTCCGAGTGGTATAAAGGTAAACCATTAAGTTCAAAAATTTTATTTAATTATAGCAAATCACTAAATAAAAAATTCAAAAAATAACCTTTGCTACGAAAATAAATTATTAACTGAAAAATATACTAGAATTTTACTTTTGAAACATCATCTTTTCATTAGATATTAATGTTGGGAATAGAGACTATAATTATAATTACAAAGTCTAATTACATAAATAAAAAACTAATCCCTAGAAGTAAAAATAATTACAATTTAAATACAAATAAAACATTAAATTATAAAATTTTATTTAGTTATATTAAATAAAAAATTTCAAAATAACAATAGGATTAATACAATAATAACAATTGGATTCTCTCCTAATTTAACACATCAGCATTTTCAGCTTTCCTGGTTATGACACATCATTAAAAAGAAACTCTAATCAAAACATTTTAAATAATACAGCCCAACTTTATTTGCCAATAATAATCTTCTATTCTGCCACGTCACTCTTTCTCTCCCCTTTTTCTGTTGTTTCATATTATTAAAAACACACAAAAACAAAAAAAAATAACAAAGCCCAAAAGTATGACGAAAAAAATAAAATAACAAATCCCAAAAGTATAAGCCCACTTGATAAAGTAGTGTTGAAAACATGGAGAGACTAATTAAAATTGACAAAACACGACTGTCTCTTCTTCTTCGTCATCATCTTCCTCTCGATCGGAAAAAAAATAAAAGTTTCTATAAATCTGTTGAATCAAGCAGAGAAGAAGAAGAAAAAGAGATCATGAATCCATAATCTGATTATCCTCATCTCCCTAACATCAAGATCCACCATCCTTCATCTCCTCGTCACTCTCAGCACCACTCTTCCTCCACTCCTTCAGCCACTACTCCTACCCCAACCGCCGGTGCTCGCCGTTTACCTCTTTAAAGAAAGTGCCTTCGCTGTTTGCTTTGAAAACGTGGAGAGACGAAGATTATGTTTTTGTTTTGCCTTCGCCGACAAGGTTTGTTGTCGAATCGATTTGCCATCGGAAAGAGCTCTAATAACCACCGTAAACTACCAGAAAAATCACCGACAAAATTTGTTATTGATTAAGATTTAAAGAGTACTGAGAGTACCATCTTGTTTTCCAAACATGATTCAAATAGTATCCTTCCCTTTTACCAAAAAAAAAAAATAGTGTCCTTCCCCAACATTGTTTTTTGCTTTCATTACCATCTAGATCTTTCTTTCCTTGTCATTGTTGGTAGTGTTGTAGGCATTTCATCGACAGGGAGTTATGGTAGGTTTATACAACTTATTTTAGTTATGGAAGTTTTGAATTGGTAGTACTTATTGTTGAGACTCGTGTAAAGAAGACTTCAAAAGTACACAATTGCTCGAAATCAATAATTTAATTAGAAAATAACAGCTGCGTACTTTATATATTGGAGTGCTACCTATACTTTATCAGTGTTTGCAGTCGTTTAATGGAAAATATGGTTGTTAAAATATTTCATGTAGACAGAGATATAGATTAATGATTCTAGAATTATTAATGTTTTATTTACTTACACTTCAGGTTTCCCGTGTATTTCACTTTGCCTAAATGTCATAATTTAGGTCTGGAACTATTGTTGTCCACCCCAAAGTTTGAATGCATGTATTGTGACTTGTGAGACCATAGATGATCTTTACGTAATATATTCTATTGGTCTTAGGAATAGTTAAATCAATCAAGTATCAAGCGTGTAATGCATATTGAATCTCTTGAGATGGTTGGACAATTGTATAATATTAATACATCCACAATTGTATTTGTATCTATCTAAAGAATGAAGGAGAGATTGTGCAAGTACCATGAGATCTACCGAAAACTTGTCGGAATTTCTCATCTACCTCTGCTTATACACTTCTTCCGTACATATATATACACTATTGTTCGTTTGGTCAATTTAGTTAATGTTGATTAAAGATGAAGGTGGAGCAATTTTCTAAAGATGTTGAAGTTAATGAATCCAAGGCCGGTAGACGAAGAGAAGAAGAATTTTGTGCATTGATTTTTTAAGTAATGTGTCACGGTCACCTTCTCATATCTGTGTATTAATTTGTTTTATTTGATTTGAAATTCAAAATAAAGTTTTTAAATGAGATGAAGTGGTGAAAATGATCTGTCAACCATCAAATTCTAAAATTTTATTTAAGTTTTACAAATCATATTTATATTAAATTCAAGTTTCGTATTTGTGTATTGTTTAAATTCAAGTTTGGATACTCTTTTGTTTGTATTACGAAAGAAGGAAGACAACTTTCATTGTCTAAACCAAAAAATACAAATTTCATTGTGAACTTTGTACTACATAATCTTAGTTTAAGCAAAAGTCATTAGTAACAAAAATAATTTATAAAAGATATCCCGCAGCGGAGCGCGGGTTTTTACCCTAGTACTCTATAAGAGAAATTAAACAAGTTAGAATGGTTCAAATTATGGGAACAAAGATATGCTTAGTGGGTGGATCTCCATGTACTCACATTTTTTTTGTGTATAAATTGAATCTCAAAAATCTACTCACGTCAAATACAAGCTTATATAACACCATTTACACAATATGAATTGTGCGATTGAAGAAGAAAAAAAGATGGAGAGGGATTTGGTCTGCCAAAACATTGTCGTTTGCACTTTGCAGGGAAACTTCAGTTGCTAAATTTCTGGTCTATAACCTTTGTTTATCCAAAGAAATGCATTACTAAATTAAACATCGTTGTGTAGTGATTTCTTATGGAAGGGGACAATTGAGGATATCAAATAGCAAGAGTTGCCTGAAGATCTAACATTTTGGAATAAAGTCTGCTTAATATATGATGAATCAATACGGATGCTCATTTGTAGTCAGGTTTAATATGAATATTTTGGTACATGAGGGAGATTCTCTTCGGAGACATAAATAACTTCGGGTTAGCTAGTAACCACAAAATGAAATACTTTTGGATGGCAAACAAATTATCGAAGATGACGGGCCTTGAAGGGCCATCCAAATATGTGATTTTTAAGGGCCATCCAACTATATATGTGCAGGATGTTTGATTTGTATGAAATCATAAACATAAAAGACAATGTGGATGGCAGATAAAAAAAAAGGATAGGGAAAGATATTGGGCCATGGAAAAAGAATATTTTAGGGTTGGATCTAAATTAAGACTCAATGTCGGATACACTCAATAGCTTAGCTTAACAAAGTTAATATATGCACCATGCAGGGTGAACATAGGTCTTCATAATATCAAGATTAGGAGTGTAGTGTAACATTGTTTAAAACATTCAGCATACAAGAAACGACCGCATAGTTCAACATTTTGAATGACAACCATTAAATATATTTGAGTTCTACAACGTAAACCGTTGTATTAGACCGATCAAATCATACCCCAAAACACTATTCCCTGAAACTTCTGAGTAGTTGTGATTTAAATGCGCCTTTCGCCGGAAAATGAAACACGTATATTAAGATTTATATGTATGCTGATGTATGCATGGGTATTCAAAATTTATATGTTGTTGATAATACGTCATAAATATAGTGAAAAGACATAGCAGACAGATATAACAAATTGCTAAAATCACTACCAAGCTTCTCAGAAAAATACAAATACACTCAAATGTGACATCAAATACGTGGCCGCGGACAAGTGGTATCTCCAAGTCATTAGATTCATTTTATGATGCTGACATACGTGACTCAGTTTGGCGGGAATGTTTAACTAATCAAATATAGCCACGTCGACAGCAATCTTTTTTAAGCGACATGTGTATTATCTTGTCTTCGTGGTAGGGTCTAAGCTTGCCGACACTCGCTCTTAATATTTTTAGTTGCTCCCATCAAAAAATTAATTTGTTTATTTTTTATTTTTTAACACTCCATAAATTTATTTCTAAAAAACGAAAAAATCCTATACTACATTTGTTTTACCCTTAGAAATCACCGCAAAGTTTTAGATTGAAAAATGTGAAAAATTTAGTCGATCGCATTATCTCTGTCTCTAGCTAATCATTCATAAACAAGCATGTCCCCGAAGGTTAAAAGCAGTCGCTATTTACCGGACCAACGTAGTTTTCACGAAGTGGTGGTCCGTTGTCATATTTTAAATTTATCACCTTCTTGAGAATTCTACATTTTTATCCTTTTTGTCGTGTAGTGATTTTTTTTTGTTGTGTAGTGATATTGTTCCTCTAAATCTAATTAAAGTCGGATTTGGTTTTAGACAAAATTAAATCACAAAGCCAATATCAAAACCTATTTAGCTTCGCGAAATATCAGAAGAGATCAAACTACTTTGATCAGACCATGATCTTCTTCTTCTTTTTTGACGAGCACAGTTCCTAAACCCTAATTCTCAGATTATGCTGACTCTTTACGATCATGAAAGGTCACCGGACGCCACAAGTAACCACCAGGATGATGAGACGACGGAGACTGTGGTGAGAGACATCCACGAGCTAACTCCAGCTCCAGAGGATGATTCCCGGACGATGATGGCGACGTTGCCTCCACCGCCTGCTTTCCGAGGCTATTTTTCTCCTCCACGGTCAACAACGACCATGAGCGAAGGAGCTTCTTCCGGCGAAAACTTCACAACAATAAGCAGAGAGTTCAACGCTCTAGTCATCGCCGGCTCCTCCATGGAAAACACTGAACCAACGGCTCGTGACATCACGCAGCGTGAAGATGAGAGACAACACGACTTGTTGAGGATCCACGAGGAGAGGGATCAAGAAGAGGAGACGAACCCTTTGGCAATCGTGCCGGACCAGTATCCGGGTTCGGGTTTGGATCATGGAAATGAGATTGGGCCGGGTCAGGGTCAGGGTCGGGTTGGGATGACAGTGCAAAGAGTGAAGAGGGAAGAGGTTGAGGCGAAGATAACAGCGTGGCAGACAGCAAAATTGGCTAAGATCAATAACAGGTTTAAGAGGGAAGACGCCGTTATTAATGGTTGGATTAATGAACAAGTCCACAAGGCCAATTCTTGGATGAAGAAAATTGAGGTGATATTTTTTTAATTTAACTTCCGGTTCCACGTACGATGATTAATTTAATAACATACTTTCTTTTACTACTAATTCAGATTTTGATTTGAGCTATCAATTTGTTTTGGGTTGGTAAGCTGGTTAATATATAATTAATTAGACCATGTGATAGTAGAATTAAGAATGTGTCATTCGGAATTGCAAACGTAAGCTTCTCTTTTGAAAATGGGCAAACTCTATTAGGTATGGTGTGGTGGCATAATTTGTATGTAATTAGGTGAGAGATGGTTTGATATCTCACATTCTGTTTTCAAATTAATGTTTTTTTGGTCTTGTAAATAGTACATATATTTACATTGGCATTATCATTTAATTCCAATTATTCAAACATTGTGGAATTATCTTTCCGAGATTCATAATATAGCAAAAAATATTCTGTAAAATATAGGTTCAACAATCATTTAAATGGTGAATTCATGTTGGATTGATAATGTATACATAGAGACATTTATGCATAAGTTAAGCTAACGCTTTGGGATCGATGTATGCAGAGGAAGCTAGAAGAGAGAAAAGCAAAAGCGATGGAGAAAACGCAAAACAATGTTGCGAAAGCACAGAGGAAAGCAGAAGAGAGAAGAGCGACGGCAGAGGCAAAGAGAGGGACAGAGGTTGCAAAAGTAGTTGAAGTTGCTAATCTCATGAGAGCCGTTGGACGTCCTCCTGCCAAACGCTCCTTCTTCTCTTTCTCCTAGTTTTTAGTTATATCAAACCATTAAACTAAACATTACTTATTGTATATAAGTTAGTAAAGAAAGGGGCCATTTTATAGCTTATATACACATAATTGAGAGTGTAGTACAAAAGTGTTGCGTGATGTGATCCACGTCCAAAACAAGAAAAATATTCAACTCAATTTTGATTTTTGAATAATGCGTTTGTTAGAAGAAAAGAAAGAAAAAAATCGCTTCTACCATCTATCTCTTAATCTCTAGTGCTTTGAGGCCATCCATCTAAAACAATTCAAAATTCCAATATATATTTAAAACTTTGGCTCCGTGCAACGTTCTCACTGTAATTCAAAAGGTATGACAAAAAATGAACTTTTGAATGAAAGTAGCGGACGGAGTTTGCTCAAAAAAAATTAATGGAAGTAGCGGATGGAACTGACAAAAATGTTGTGAATTAGTCCACAAGAGAGAAAATTACTATTAATATTGTAATTTATCCTTTTCACTGTAGAGAAATAAGTCTGAATATATGTATCTACAAAGTTTTCATGACAGAATGCACTAACAACTAATCACCGTAAAAATCTATGAATTATCGATTAATTGACTACAAATAAAGAAAATACAGCTATTATGAGAAAATAACAAAATGCATTGATGTTTTCTTTGTTAATTTGACTTAGCGATAAGTAAACTAAATTGCCAATTCATCAGATGCCACTAATTAAAGTGTATTGCTAATTCATCGGAAACAAACAACGGATTTTAGAATCTATGGCGCATAATTACACGAAGGGATCACCATTTCTCACGACTAAAATCAGAAAATTATGACAAGCAAAATATAGACACAATGCTGATAATTATTTCGGTAGTTACAAATTTTCAAATTCTCATGTCATCAAATGCTGTAGCATTAAAAAATCATAGGAGAATCGCTGTAAAGCTTAAGAAAGAAAATAAAAGTACTATATTTATTTTTAGCTCTATATTGGTAAATCGGAGTGTTACCAATAAAGATTGGTTTAAGAGTTGTAGACCGTTACATTTAAACTTTCTTTATACAAATGATTACCACCGCAAATTTCACATCACACTTGTTAGCTTTTGACAAAAATAGTTAGGAAACACTATGTTTCATATACAAAAAAAAAATATTATGCAAGTATGTAACTGATTTAAGCAAAAATTTTGTTTTCTCATTGGACAATGTTCTCCGCATATCAAAACATAAAATGATCTTAAATTCTTAATCCTAAAATCGTTCTTTTATTTGGGATTTTTTGTCCTCTTCCAGAATTGATTTGATAATACGGAAAAAAAAAACTAAAAATAAATTATTAAAAGTAAGCCATATCTGATTTATATTAAAAGAAAAAAAAAAACAGAAAACCGGATAACAAGAAAAAACAGAGAGATTAGGGAGGGAAGGAATTTATGCTTTTTCAAAAAAAAAAATTCCTTCCATATCTCTCTGTAATTTTTGACTTCAATCTTTTTAAAACTTTCTGCATATTTAAATAAATACAAGAACCCTTTGATATGATTCGTTTCGTCTTCTCAGATTCCAAGTCAAATATCCTCTGATTCCATTTAACTTACTAGGCTTTCCCAAAGTTTTTCCTGAATCTGTTTCTAGGTTTCTTTATCTCCCCTAAGCTTTTGGAGGGATTTTATTAGGGTTCTTGTTCCTTTATTCACGTTTTCAAGAAGATTTTTATTCGGTTATTTGATTTATCACATTTTGTATAATGGGGAATTGTTGTGGAACGGCTGGATCGTTGATTCAAAACGATAAACAGAAGAAAGGTTTTAAATTGCCAAATCCTTTTTCAAACGATTACGGTAACCACCACGATGGCCTGAAGCTTATCGTGTTGAAGGAACCAACGGGTCACGAGATCAAGCAGAAATACAAATTAGGTCGTGAGCTAGGTCGAGGAGAGTTCGGTGTCACGTATCTATGCACAGAGATTGAGACCGGTGAGATTTTCGCATGCAAATCCATCTTAAAGAAGAAGCTGAAAACGTCGATTGATATAGAGGACGTTAAGAGAGAAGTTGAGATCATGAGGCAAATGCCTGAACATCCTAATATTGTTACTTTGAAAGAGACATATGAGGATGATAAAGCTGTGCATTTGGTTATGGAGCTTTGTGAAGGCGGTGAGCTTTTCGATAGGATTGTTGCTAGAGGGCATTATACGGAGAGAGCTGCTGCTTCGGTTATTAAGACGATCATCGAGGTTGTTCAGGTTTGTGAATTTTTTTATCTATGAATCTTGTTGGACATTATTGATTTGTAACATTGCTTGAAAGGCACGTTTTTCTATTAGAGTAATGTGGTTTATTTAATATGTGTTGCAGATGTGCCATACGCATGGAGTAATGCACAGAGACTTAAAACCTGAGAACTTCTTGTTTGCAAACAAGAAGGAAAGTGCATCTTTGAAGGCTATTGATTTTGGTCTCTCTGTTTTCTTTAAACCAGGTGATGTATTATCATCTTTGATACTTGGTTTCGGCGGAATTGGAAAGAATCTTTAACCCACGAATGCTTTGTTTGCAGGCGAGAGATTTAACGAAATCGTTGGGAGTCCTTACTACATGGCACCCGAGGTATTAAGGCGGAGTTATGGACAAGAAATCGACATTTGGAGCGCTGGAGTGATTCTTTACATTTTGCTCTGTGGTGTTCCACCTTTTTGGGCAGGTTTAGTTTTGTCAAATCACTTGTTTTGTGTTAGTTTTTGTAGGATCATACAAAGGTAGTGATGCCTTTTCTATCTTGTTTGTTTTCAGAAACCGAACACGGAGTCGCGAAAGCAATTCTTCGATCGGTGATCGACTTTAGAAGAGACCCCTGGCCCAAAGTTTCTAATAATGCAAAAGATCTGATCAAAAAGATGCTTCATCCAGATCCAAGGCGTCGTCTAACAGCTCAACAAGTGCTTGGTATAATCTCTGCTTTCAAAATGCAATTGTGTTTTGTACTCATATGAAATCAATGTTAAGACTGATCAATCATCTTTGGTTTATAGATCATCCGTGGATACAGAATGGTAAGAATGCTCCCAATGTATCATTGGGTGAAACCGTAAGAGCAAGGCTTAAGCAATTCTCTGTTATGAACAAGCTCAAGAAAAGGGCACTCAGGGTATGTGCTAATCTTCTCTTGAATACATTGTTGACCGTTGAAGGAGCTTGAGATTTTTATTATGTTCCTTCCATATATAGGTTATTGCTGAGCATCTATCGGTTGAAGAAACATCTTGCATAAAAGAAAGATTCCAAGTAATGGACACAAGCAATAGAGGGAAGATTACCATCAACGAGCTAGGAATCGGATTGAAGAAACTCGGGATTGTTGTTCCTCAAGATGACATTCAAATATTGATGGACGCGGTAAGCTCTTATGCAATTACTAATTCAAAGTTTCACATGCAATGCATTTGACTATAACGGGTTTGTTATAACAGGGAGATGTTGATAAAGATGGATATTTAGACGTCAATGAATTTGTAGCCATATCTGTACACATCAGGAAGTTAGGCAACGACGAGCACTTAAAGGAAGCCTTTACGTTCTTCGACAAAAACAAGAGTGGTTATATCGAAATACAAGAATTAAGAGATGCTTTGGCAAATGATATTGACACTACTAGTGAAGAAGTTGTCGAAGCTATTATCCTTGATGTCGACACCAATAAGGTTAGTAGACTCATTTGAGAAAATAAGTGTTGTAGTGTAAAAATTTCATATATAACGTGTAAAAAGACTAAAAATTTGATGTCGTTGAACCGAAATGTTATGCAGGATGGGAAAATAAGTTATGATGAGTTTGCAACGATGATGAAAACGGGGACGGATTGGAGAAAAGCTTCGAGGCAGTACTCGAGGGACCGGTTTAAGAGTCTTAGCCATAAGCTAATGCAAGATGGGTCCTTGCAGTCTAATGGAGATACAAAATAGAGCTTGAAATCCGCGACACGGATACTTATTATCAGTCGCAGAAGATTGGTTTGAATCTGAATCGAAGGGAAGAAAAATATTTGGTCTTTCTTTTTGGTGTCTTTTTCTTCACTTTCTCATCACAACTTGTTAGTTTCAACGGGTATCAATTAAGCTTTAGGCATTTATATTGTTGAATGATCGAACATGTGATCAGGAGAAGCCCGTTTGTGTAGATTAATTAAATTGTATGTGAGGAAAATGAAGATCATTAATTCTTTTGTTTCTCATTAATTTTCAATAATCACTTAACAAAGTATTTGATTTTCCCTTGGTCGAAACAATTTGGCTTTTGTCATGCATGGTTCAGTCAGTGAACTAGCTAGCCGTGGTGTTTCTTGCTCTAAATTAACGGCGTTTACGTTGGTCCGAGTTGGATAAAGTCGTATGCATGTACGTAGTAATACTACATTCTCGAGTTATAAATTATTCAGGAATTAATATATAGAAATAGTAACGGAATAGAACACCTGGTGCATTTTTCCAAAAGAACATTATCATAGTCATCTCAACTCCATTCCTTGGCACTATGCATATATCCACAACTTGCCGTGTGAATGCGATTTAGGGAGGCGATTCTGATTTGTGATTTGTGGTCATTCCATAATTTCCGTATCAACTAATTTAACAGAAACATCTTTTATATACATATATATTTATATATTGATATATATAGTTGTACACAACACCCCTTCCTCAACTCTTATGGGCGTTTCAGATATTATTTCTTAATATTTTTTTTATAACTTTCTTTGTAAACAAATTGTCTATCTATCATAAATTCGAAATTTAATTAACTCATGAGTCTTTTTGCTTCTATATATGTGCACGAACAATATTTTTCTATTTTTAAAACAAATCCGACTAAAATTCAACTACATAGAACTTTGGACCAGTAGTTCTATTTGAAATTCTATATTAAGAATATTCTACAATACAGATAAATGCCGTTTTTGGTGCATATCCATATATGCATGGACAGAGTTGGATGTATATAGATTCTTATCCAAATGGCACAGCAAATGTGAAATATTATATTGTTTCTTTTGTTTGTTATAGGATGAAATTTACTTGTGTGCAGCAAAGAATATGACATATCATATACGTATAGTACTGTAATGTATGTGTATCAGATTGAATAGCTTTTTCTATGAAGGAATTCTTATGTTCATGGATCGTCTTAAATGGAAATTAAATTTAAGACGATCCAATAGCTAAAAGGTAAAAAAGGAAAGAATAATTTTTAAGCATGTAAATATATGAATCCTAACCATTACAAAATATAGAAATTCTAAAGGTTGAACAAGAACCTACAATTAAGGAGACTTGTAACAACGACTAGGAAAATTTCCAGAAGTCATGCTTTCGTCCATACCTTTGGGTCTCTCAAGCAAGCTTCGCACATGTGTATTCATATCCGTTTGATATATCATACGTTTTTATTATATGTATATTATTGAACGTTCAAAAAATATATACTTTATATAATCCATAAATACCTTTCGTATGTTGATCTAGCTAGGTTTTATTCAGAAACATATATGCATGGGCACTAGTCTTTTCCGTTGATTTGGAAGTTCGTATTTGTAGTTGTTTAGGATTTTTTTGAATCCGTAGTCAATTTTTTTCTGTTTACCCGGATTTCATGATTGTTATAATAAAACAGTTTTTGTTGGAAAATCAAAATTCGATTAGAACTTGTTACTAATTTTAAGGGTTCACGCATGATTTTTATTTTTCTAGAAGAAACACAAAATGGGGTTTACTGCTTAATCATGTGTTAAAACTTAAAAAGTAAACACATTGAAATTGTGACCACGTGTTGATTTCAAATGTCGACCATGTCACAAATTAAATTTGCACAAGTAAAATAATGTTCATATTTGTTGAACGGGAGACACATGTGCTTAACTCTCTAATTAAGCGTCACGTGCATCGCCTAACTTTGCTTCCCATACGCCATGCGTGTGTCTCGCAATAGTAGTTGAACCTACGACGTCGTTTATTTGGAGCATTTAATTTGTTAAACAAGTAAATATTATGGGGTTCTGTCTTTTTTTAAATGGGATTTTCCCAAATACTGTCTTTGTGCGTGTGTGTGAGGTCAGATTCTTAAATTTCTATCCAGCATTGATAGATAAATCGACTTACGTGGGTGATGGGATGAACAAACAATTAAATACACATTTTAGTATTCAATTACGGTCCAACTTGACAAACAAACAAAAAGTCTAATATGATTTGCTGTTATAATATAATATAATAAAATATAATGCAATTTACATGTAACACTTTTATAATATAACAAAAGGTCTAATATGACGTGGATATTTTTGACCATATAAACCCCAAATTTCGTTCTTTACAATAAGCAATGTGACGAAGAAGGAAGAAAGGGCGGCGGTCACGTGAAAGGTAGTTATCGCCATTTCAACTGAACCTTCACGAACATACAAGTTCGGTTTTTCTTTACTGAAATAACGCATGTATCTGTAATACACGAAATTACGACTATTTCTTAACGAAAACGTGCTTCTTTCCTAGTATGTTGTTATATAGCTCACGTATGTTAATTATTTCTCACGTAAATTTGAGATTCATGTACGGCATTAATACATGTTTGAAGATTTTAAAATCACAAATATATATATATATATATATATATATATATATATATATATAAAACCATTTTCATACATAATTTCTTGGTGAAAAAGTCCACATTTATAGTGAGTTTAGTCAGTCTAACCAATAAATAATCGAGCTGAGACTAGATTAAATAAGAAAAGGAAAAAAAAAAACTTCACTACCTTAAATCCTTAAGCGATGTTTCTTGCAGAAATTACGATAAGCATGGTCTCGCTAAGAGACAACTAAATTTTTAAATAAATCAATTAAACGGTAGAGATAGAGAGAGGATTAAAATATGAAACTCTAAAGGAAGAAAATAAGATAAAATAAAATTGTAGATGCCTAAAGTAGTGTTTCCGTGACAATCTCAATTTCACTCCATACGTCGAACTCATTCAAGCTCAAGAAACCTAACTTTTAACGTCCCTTTTGATTTGCCTATAAATACACGTACGTCCACACTCTCCAATTTCAAAAACAAAGCAACACAAAGACAAAAATCACAAACATCAAACATTGTCCACCCCTGCCCGAAAACGACACGCATTCCTTTCCCAACCAAAAGAGAAAAAAAAAAACACATTTCCTTACCAATGGCCCGTTGTTCCAAACCTGTTACCGTTTTCCTATTATGGGCTCTTTTGATGTTCTCATGGTGCAAAGCTTCAAGAATCAGCCCTAATGGATATGATCATTCTTATAAAAGGTTCAAATCCGATAGCTTAATTAATCGAAGAGAGGACATCACGGGCTTGAGAAGTTTTGTAAGAGCCTCTTTGCGGACTCCAACTACCGTTAGTGTTTCTGATTTTGGAGCTAAAGGAGATGGAAAAACTGATGACACGCAGGTGTGTATATAAACATAAAAATGTTTTTATTTTATTTTATCGTATAATTAATTATAAAACTGTTTTTAGTACTAATGATCCATGCATGCATGCATTGATTAGGCGTTCGTGAATGCGTGGAAAAAAGCATGTTCTTCAAGTGGAGCTGTTAATCTCCTAGTTCCTGAAGGGAATACTTATTTCCTTAAGTCTATTCAATTAACTGGTCCATGCAGTTCTATCATTACCGTTCAGGTAATTACAAAAATTGTTATTTTGTTACTTAAATACGATAATATATATGTGTGGATTTTGAAACGAGCGTTTGGTCGATGGAACGGCAGATGTTCGGAACGTTATCCGCATCTCAAAAGCGAACGGATTACAAAGATATCAGCAAATGGATAATGTTTGACGGCGTTAACAGTCTATCAGTCGATGGCGGCGGCACTGGGGTTGTGGACGGAAACGGCGAAACGTGGTGGCAAAACTCATGCAAACGGAACAAAGCTAAGGTGGGTATATGTAAAATTGTAAATGTTCTCTTAATTAATAATATACATCTACAAATCCTCTTTGAATATTGAGTTATTGCAGTATTGACACTTTTTTTTTTTTTTGCAGCCATGCACAAAAGCCCCAACGGTACGTATAAAATGAAACATATATGATATATCAAAAAATAATGTTGATGGCTTGATCATAATTAATTATTGGACAAGTGTTTTACGTATATATTTTTTACATTCAGGCTCTTACTTTCTACAACTCGAAAAGTCTGATAGTGAAAAATCTGAGGGTGAGAAATGCACAGCAGATTCAGATTTCGATTGAAAAAAGCTCCAACGTTCAGGTCTCTAATGTCGTGGTAACTGCGCCTGCGGATAGTCCTAACACCGATGGTATTCATATCACTAACACCCAAAACATTCGAGTCTCCGACTCCATCATAGGAACAGGTTAATATATATTAACATCTGTTTTTCTTTGTTTTGTCCGTGAGTAAAAAAAGGTTGCTTGCTTATCAAGAGAGCTGAACTTTAGGGATTTATATAATGGTTGTTTTTTTTTCTAAATAGGCGATGATTGCATATCTATTGAAAGTGGATCACAAAATGTTCAAATCAATGATATAACTTGCGGTCCCGGTCACGGTATCAGGTATCAAAGAATGTTTTTTAGTATTTAATTATACCAAAAGGTTTCTATCATAATTAATTAATCTTCCAATACTAACTAAGAAAATTTGATATTTATTTTTGAACCATGAGCAGTATTGGGAGCCTTGGAGATGACAATTCAAAGGCATTTGTCTCAGGCGTGACTGTGGATGGTGCTAAGCTTTCCGGTACAGACAATGGAGTAAGAATCAAAACTTACCAGGTGAAAATTCACATACTAGCCCTTCAATTTTAACTAAACTCTCTAAATTTTCCCCACTTCATTTAATTAATTGATTTTCCGATTTATCAGGGAGGGTCAGGAACCGCTAGCAATATCATATTTCAAAACATTCAAATGGACAACGTGAAGAATCCGATCATAATCGACCAAGACTACTGCGACAGGAGCAAATGCACTTCACAGGTTCACTGCAATCTGATCAAATCTTCCAAATACTCCATCATCATGGTAATAAATATTTTTGGATCTAATCATTAGTACATATTTTCAGCAATCCGCGGTCCAAGTGAAGAACGTGGTGTACCGAAACATTAGCGGCACTAGCGCGTCGGACAAGGCAATAACGTTCAACTGCAGCAAGAACTATCCATGCCAAGGAATTGTGCTTGACAAAGTGAACATTAAAGGAGGGAGAGCAACTTGCACCAATGCCAATGTGGTTGATAAAGGAGCTGTATTCCCTCAATGCAACTCCACTTAATTAATTAGATCTATCAAACACATACATATATAGACATATATATACGAATAGATACAAAAATATGATTTATAGATACTTACTTATAGTATAGTATAGGAATACATATATAAACAATGTTCGTGAGATTTGTTGTTTTATTTGTATTCTTACATACTATTGTAAATTGTTTATCTAAATAGTTTCATGAATAAAAAGGATTACATTCTTTAAAACGTTATGGATCTTATGGTATTATTGTTCTCTGATTAGAATATGAGGCCCATTAAAGCCCACTTCGCTATTTAAGTTACCAAACAAACCCAACAAGGCCTTTAGAAACCCTAAAAATCCTTATTGTAGCAGCTGGAGCAATATATATGACAATTTGCCGCAACTAGGGTTTTCTCTTTCTCACACAACGCAACACATCGAAACCGATTCAGCAGCTCTTAAACTCTTCGAAAATGGCCGAGCGTGGTGGAGAACGTGGTGTTGAGCGTGGTGGAGAACGTGGTGGTCACGGACGTGGATTCGGAGGAGGCCGTGGAGATCGTGGAGGCCGTGGACGTGGAGGCCGTGGTCGACGTGGAGGCCGTACCAGTGAAGAAGAGAAATGGGTTCCAGTGACCAAGCTTGGTCGTCTCGTGGCGGACGGTAGAATCAAGCAGATTGAGCAGATCTATCTTCATTCACTCCCGGTTAAGGAGTATCAGATCATTGATATGCTCATCGGTCCAACATTGAAGGATGAGGTGATGAAGATCATGCCGGTTCAGAAACAAACCAGAGCTGGTCAAAGGACTAGATTCAAGGCCTTTGTTGTCGTTGGAGATGGTAATGGTCATGTTGGATTGGGAGTGAAATGCTCTAAGGAAGTTGCTACGGCGATTAGAGGAGCGATTATTCTCGCTAAGTTGTCTGTTGTTCCAGTGAGGAGAGGTTACTGGGGTAACAAGATTGGGAAGCCACATACGGTTCCTTGTAAGGTGACTGGGAAGTGTGGATCTGTGACAGTGAGGATGGTTCCTGCTCCTAGAGGTGCGGGTATTGTGGCTGCTAGAGTTCCTAAGAAGGTTCTTCAATTCGCTGGAATTGATGATGTTTTCACTTCCTCCAGGGGATCTACCAAAACTCTCGGAAACTTCGTCAAGGTTTGTTCTTTCTTCCCTTGTAGTTACCTATACATGAGTTTCGTTTGCTTTTGATTGCTTTGTGGTAATTGCTTGTGAAATTTGATCATTTCCTGTCATTTTAGTACGGTAATTGATATAAGTAGTTCCAGGAGTCCATTTTAGTTAGGAAAAAAACTGACTTCACTCCTTATTTGGTGAAATATCTCTGGAAATGTTGTCATAAGTCTATTGATGGAAGTAAAAGAAGAAAGTGTTTCTCTTTGGTCTAGTGATTCTCTTAAGCTGTAATGAATGATCCCTTTGTATCATTTGTTGGTTGTGTATCATATTGATCGATGATACTTGACTGTGTTTGTCTTTTACTCTCTAAGTTATTTCTGGAAGTTTGGTATCTGTAAATGCTTAGCTATAGGTCAAATCTGTAATGAGTTTTCCTATGATGCTATTTGTTTTCTTGCTAAAATTGAGAGTTTTGTAACTTCCATATGAATAATTGTTTTCATGATGTTGATTATATTATTGCAGGCTACATTCGATTGCCTTCAGAAGACTTATGGATTCCTTACCCCAGAGTTCTGGAAAGAGACGAGGTTCTCTAAATCACCATACCAAGAGTACACTGATTTCTTGGCGTCTAAGGCTCTTCCGAGCAGCAAAACGGAGACGGTGGTTGAAGACCAAGCCTAAATAATGCTCCCACCTTGTGTTCTTTTTGGATTATCATCCTTCATGAGTTAATTTTGGTTGAACCTTTGGTAGTATATGTTGCTGGATTGTGCACCTTATGTTTTCATCTCTTCCAAACTACTTTATTTTTGCTCAGTTTTTTAAATTATGGATCTTAATGTTCTAGCTTTGCTTTTTCTTATGTTGAGAAAAGTTCATTCCAGTTTGTTTGGTGCCAACTTAATTTTCACAAGTATATCCACCTTTACAATCTTGGTTTATGATAAAGCTTTGTTGGATTTAACATGTTCCATTGACGTACCATTATGATGAAGAACATTCGCTAACATGTTCTGATTCTTGGAAACTTAAAGTTAACTTTCGTAAAAATGTCTAAAGTTTGACTTTTTAAAACTGATGGTTGTGACTTGTGAGATAGATAAAAGAGAAAGACTTTGAATATTGAAGAAGAAATCAGTTTGACATTTCCCACATATTTGAAAGCTCTCACTTTTACGGCTTCTGCGATATTTCAGCTCATCTAGATTCGCGGAATCTGATTTCTTTTGTTTTCCCCGGAGTTTCTCTCTCTCGCCGGATAAACCCTAGAATTGATTTCAATTATTTTGGTCGGAATTGTTGTTCGAATTCGAATGGGAACTCCGGAATTTCCAGATCTGGGGAAACACTGCTCCGTCGATGTTTGCAAGCAAATCGATTTCTTGCCTTTCACCTGCGACCGTTGCCTCCAGGTCCCTTTATCTCTCCGTTTGTATTCACATGCAAAGACTCGATTTTTATGTTTTTCGCGAATTGTGTTTGACTCTGATTGAATCCCATATCTCTGGGATCAGATTTGATTCAAGTCTCGAATATCGAATTTATCACTGGAATCCTTCTGGTTATCGTTAGGTGTAAAGTTAACTGATATTTGGAGCTTAATTATCGGCATTTTAGCAACATTTGCAGTCCAATTTCTTGATTCTTGTCTGTTTTCTTTTGACTCAGAAAAAATTATGCTAATTCTGCTCGAGTCTAATGTGATGATTCTTGACTGCTTTCTTGATTTAAGAGAACTCTGCTCGAAATGCATACAATGATTCTTGTCAACTTTCTTGGTTCGGTTGTTTGTTCTCATGTTTCTGCTAGATCAGTTGACTGTTGGCGATTTGAATTTTGTTCTTGACTTGTGTTCTCGCTCTGATTTTCTCTGAATCTATAAAATGTCATAATGTTTCTTTGGTTTGGAGTTTTTTTACAGGTGTTTTGTTTGGATCATCGAAGCTATATGAAACATAGTTGTCCAAAAGGCGACAGAGAAGATGTAACCGTGGTTATCTGTCCCCTCTGTGCTAAAGGAGTCCGGTTAAACCCAAACGAGGACCCAAATATAACATGGGAGAAACATGTCAACACTGATTGTGACCCATCAAACTATGAAAAAGCCACCAAGAAGAAGAAATGTCCGGTTCCAAGATGCAAGGAGCAACTAACATTCTCCAACACCATCAAGTGCCGAGATTGCAATATTGATCACTGCTTAAAACACCGTTTTGGACCTGATCACACTTGCCCTGGACCAAGAAAACTCCCATTCATGGGTTTCTTGAGTAGTAGTAGTAGCAGCAGAAAAGAAGCTAAGACAACAAGACCCACCAAAGCTCATGCATCAACTTCATCATCATCTTCTTCTTCGAGATGGTCCAATCTTCTATCTTCAGCAGAAGCAGGGATTAGCAGGCTCGGTAACGACATAAGCCAGAAGCTACAGTTTTCAAGCAGCAGCAATGATGGTATCGTGGAGGTGTGTCCACAGTGCGGTGCGAAATTCTCTTCGGTTACTACTCTTGTGGAACATGTAGAGAAAACACATGAGAGGAACAAGAAGCAGAATCATGGCAATGTCACAGTCGATGTCTGCCCTAAATGTAGCAGAGGATTCCGCGATCCAGTAGATCTTGTGAATCATATCGAAAGAGATCACCGAGGTACTTCTAAAGCATAGGAACATAGGCGTTCACAAGCCACACAGTGACACAGCACAACATTTCTTGTGACAGTACTCAAACATCTTTGTATGTTTTTCATTTTACTGGTTTTAAACAACCAAACAATATTACATTCTTTGAAAATTCACGGACTCAAGTCCAAAATGTAGACTAATGTTATCTTGTCCTTCGGCCTTGGCCTTTGGGCTTTTGTTGGGTGGTATGGTTTTTTCAATGAACATATTAGAAGAAATTCAACTGCGACCAATGTGGTTAAGTCCGTTAAGAAAGGGTAAGACCGTAAATGGTTATCATTGGCGAGTTCTTCGCGGGAAATTTTACCCGCTTTCCGCGGTAAAAAAAAAAAAAAAAAAAACAGATTACCCGGCCCCACGTGAACGTCATGTGCAGTTAACGACGTTAATGATAAGTGGCAGCTAACTTAACGGTGCAATAAACCTTAATGAATTGAATGTATCAGTACTTTTTCTCTTAAATATAAAACGTGTTCTTGTCGAAAGAATTCGATTTAATTTTATTTTATCAGTAATATCCTAATCTAACATTTGGCTTTTAAAAACTAGGTTAATTGACTTAATTGAAGTGTGGATTAGTTCTCTAAGCAAAGAAATTATAATCAAAGGAATTAAAGATACAAATCTCCAAAAAAAAATTCATTTTTTCCAGAATGTATAAATATTTTACACATCATGCTCATCATGCTCACACACACCGTGTGAGTAAGTAATGAACTAATTATAGAATAATTTAAAGAGATTATTTGCTTTATTTGCAGTGTATGAGCTGGCCAAAATGCAATAACTACCTCAACAATGTTCAACAAAGCAGGAAAAAAATAATAATAATACGTTTTATAATCAAAGCCGCTTATATTCGCATCCGACGGCTGAGATTAAGAGATTATTATCTCAAGGTGTTTTAAAAGAAAATTAAAAAAAATAAAAATGAAGTAGCAACGAAACGGCAGAAGGTGGAACCCGCGTCGTGCCGTTGAAAACGTTTCTGATAGGAGAAAAAATATCAGAGCTCAAAGCTTCGCCGGACGATCCGGCGTCTAAATTCCACTGAGAGAAACAATCTCCGTTCTCTCAGAGAGAGAGAGAGAGGGTTTCGAGTTTTCTGGGGGGTCGCCGATCAATTTCCAGTTACCGGTTGGCTTATTTTTGCTTTGATCTGAGGTAAATTGATTTTTCCTTTAGCAGCATTACGTTGAAATTTTCTGATCAATCTGGGTTTTATGTCATCTGGGTTTGTTAAATCATTGATTTCTCGGGATGTGATGATTTTGCAGACTTTATTGGGTAATTCGTTTTCGGCGGATTGAAAAATGAATTGGTTTCGTTTTGAGCAATTTTATGTATGTTCTTAGATAAATAAATGTTAGTCGTTTTATAATTTTTGAAATTTTTGGATATTTCAGGCGAAGGTTTGAGTTTTATAGAGTGCCTCGTTTAATCATCGAGCTCTGTTTTCCTTCTTGCCCGAGGAAGCTCTAGGGCTTTTTCGGTGGATCAAGAGGGAGGGAGGATTACACGTTAATAGATTCAACAGGATTTTGAGGAATTTTGATTGATCAGTGGTTTTTTTTATCTGAGTAGAAGAAATGAGCTCAGTCTCGGGTGTAATCTCGAGGCAAGTTTTGCCTGTTTGTGGTAGCCTTTGTATTCTTTGCCCTGCGCTTCGTGCAAGGTCTAGACAGCCTGTGAAGAGGTACAAGAAGCTCATTGCTGATATTTTTCCTCGTAATCAGGTTCGTATCTAGCCATTTTCATACTTATGTTGACTTGTTGCTTCTTGTAGTCTATTGGAAGTTGGATTTTGATTTCCTTCGACAAGTTCGTACTTAACTGTTATTTAATCTGTGTTTCTAATTTTTCCAGAGTGGCAGAAATTTTTGTTTTTAATCTTCCATGCTTTCCCTTTACTATGTTAAAGTTTGTCGATCAGCATTTCATTTCTCTTTGAGTTGTTGTCTAGTGAATGAGACACTATGTTCTTTGGTACTATAATAGAGAACTGGAGCTTTCCTCGTGGTTATCTTGGTGTACTGGTTTAACTTATCACTGCTTTTGATTTCTGACAGGAGGATGGCATAAATGATCGAAAGATAGGAAAATTATGTGAATATGCAGCAAAGAACGCTGTGCGTATGCCAAAGGTATAATTTATCCACTGCCAAGTCTAGGCACATTAATGTTTACAAATCTTGGGCTGGACTGGAATATTAGCAATTCCTTGGCATTTCTAAGTTCATATTTGAGTCAGATTACTCTTTATAGCAACGTTTTCAGATTGCTTTGTTCCCAAATTTGGTTTTTTGTTGTTGAAATTTACGATTTTCCAGATATCAGATTCTCTGGAACAAAGATGTTACAAGGAACTGAGGAATGAGAATTTCCACTCGGCAAAGATAGCCATGTGTATTTACAGAAGGCTTCTGGTCACTTGTAAGGAGCAAATGTGAGGTCATCCTTCTTTTGCTTTCTTTACAAACAATTCATATGTTCTCGTATGTCCAATGGGAGCAAGAGTATTCCGTCATGTATAGGTAACTTGATTGTTTTTCTTTGTTCTTTTTTCAGACCTCTTTTTTCTAGTGGTTTCCTAAGGACGGTGCAAGCTCTTTTGGATCAAACTCGACAAGATGAAATGCAAATAGTTGGGTGTCAGTCTCTTTTCGAATTTGTAATTAATCAGGTCAGCTTCTTACATATTTGATATAATTATCTTGTAGCCACATGTCAGGGTGCTATCTGATAGAATGGTTAAGGACATACAAAATAATGAAATAGCATGATTTATTCATGCTACCAAAATTTTCAGAAGGATGGCAGTTCCCTGTTTAACTTGGAAGGCTTTCTCCCAAAGCTGTGCCAATTAGGACTGGAAGGTGGGGATGATGATAGGTCGCGGAGCCTGCGTGCCGCAGGACTTCAAGCCCTTTCAGCAATGGTAATTCGGTTATGTTGTTATATTTCTGTAGATACTATTCTTCATTATTGTAAATCTATAAGTTTCTTCTGATGCATTATGGTCCGTTTATCTATTTCCAGATTTGGCTGATGGGTGAATACTCTCATATTCCCAGCGACTTTGACAATGTAAGTAACTCTCAGGTTCTTTTGTTTTCTTCACAGGTATTCTTGGGTTTCCGGGTTCCTATATATTCTGATCTGCTATTCTTCATCGGAATCAAATGATTTGTGGTATCTAACAATAGATAAAGGGAGGAATACTCTGTTGAATTTCCTTCCAAAATGTCTTGAAATACCATGGCAATCTACCAGTCGTGGTTACTTTACGTAGAACTGAGAGTTGGGATCGTATTGCTAGAATTGTACCTTAGTAGAGTTTTACGTAGTACATGTTAGTATATGTTAACTGATAAATTCAATACTTGCATGGCAGGTTGTCTCAGCAGTCTTGGAAAATTATGGCCACCCCAAAATACTTACAAATGCTAATGATAGTGGCAGAAAATGGGTGGATGAAGTCTTGAAAAACGAAGGTCATGTAGCTTATGCAGATTCCCTCATAAATGTTCCTTCTTGGAGAACGGTTGTGAATGACAAGGGTGAACTAAATGTGAAAATGTAATCTCTTCTCTCGTCAGTTGTGTTTACGTTTACCTATTTGGGTTCTTTTCTTCCTTAATATATCTTTGTTGTGCAGGGAAGATTCCTTGGACCCTAGCTTTTGGTCCAAGGTTTGCCTACACAACATGGCCAAGCTAGGTGAAGAGGCCACAACAATGAGACGTATACTTGAGTCTTTGTTCCGTTACTTTGACGAGGGATGTCTATGGTCAACAGAAAATTCGATTGCATTCCCTGTTTTAAGGGATCTGCAGTTTTTAATGGAAATATCTGGTAATACGTTCACGATAGTTTTCATTCAGCCCTTCCCGCATGATCAGTGCTCTGAAATAGTTCTGAATTCTTGCAGGGCAAAGAACACACTTTCTACTGTCTATGTTGATCAAACACCTTGATCATAAAAGTGTGCTTAAATACCCAAGCATGCAGCTCAACATTTTAGAGGTTACCTCCTCCCTTTCTGAAAATGCAAAAGTTGAGCACTCCGCAGCAATAGTCAGCGCAATAAGCGATGTCATGAGGCACTTGAGAAAATGCATGCATTCTTCTCTAGATGAAGCAAATATTGGAACTGACGCAGCAAACTGTATCAGAATGGTCAGTGTAGCTGTTGATAAGTGCCTCGTCCAACTAACGAAGAAGGTATATTTTATCATTCTCAGAGCAAGTTCCTCTTCAATATATTCTTCTCTAAAGAGATATGTGGCTGATCTGTCAATTTTCTAAGGTTGGAGATGCTGGCCCAATTCTAGATGCTATGGCTTTGATGTTGGAGAATATCTCCGCTGTCACAGACGTAGCAAGAACCACAATTGCTGCTGTTTTTCGCACTGCTCAAATTATAGCCTCTATACCAAATCTACAATATCAAAACAAGGCAACCTCCCTGTAACATATAGTTTGTCTCTTTTCTTTGTGAGATTTTAGACCAATTTTCTTGACATTGCTAAGCCTTTATTACCCTATTCGTTTCAGGCTTTTCCCGAGGCCTTATTCCATCAGTTACTACAAGCTATGGTCCATCCAGATCATAAAACACGGATTGGCGCCCACCGTATATTTTCTGTTGTGCTGGTACCAACCTCAGTCTGCCCCCGTCCTTCCTCGACCACTACTGACCTTAAGAAAGGAATGGGTCTTCCTCGTTCACTTTCAAGGACCGCTTCTGTCTTTTCCTCTTCAGCAGCTCTTTTCGAGAAGCTGAAGAAGGATAAATTTTCATCGATGCTGACTTCTGATCAGAGCCAAAACGGAATGCCTGAGGAAGAATGTGGAAGCACTACGGGGGAAATCCTTGACAGATTGAAATCTTCATACAGTCAGGCATATAGCACTTGGAATCAACCAGTGACCTCGGTAGCAGATAACTCTGTGGATCTTTTAAACTCTGAGCTGGTACATCCTTGCAACCTTTTTTGTGTGAAAAAACTTACTAGAAGAGTAGTACATTTCTTATTGACCTTAAATGTGACCCTAGAGGCCTATATATACGTAAGTCCGAAAATCTCCCAAGGCTCTCAACATAGCTTCAGGATGGGACCAACAGTATATATAATAAGCGAGTACAAAGTAGCCTCTTGAAACCACAATAATTTGTGTGCCCTACTCTAACTACAGTTCTAATTATATAGAAATTCTTGATTTATGCTTACAGTTCTTAGGTACACCTTGGATCAATCTTCACCCTCTAATTTTATTTCTTATATGCTCCTCAGGATGTTGTTCATATAAGGCTAAGTAGTCACCAGATAGGTCTTTTGCTTTCATCAATCTGGGCACAGTCCATATCTCCGGCAAATACACCAGACAATTATGAGGCGATTGCTAACACCTACAGTCTTGTATTGTTGTTCTCTCGTGTTAAGGTAACATATATTTCATACCTCAATACCTCTGCATCTGAGTGTTTCTTATTTTTTTTATGACCTATGAGCAAAGTCTCACTAGATCTCCTTATGAATTATCTGGTCACAAAATTTGTATCTTTCAGAACTCAAGTCATGACGCTTTGATTCGAAGTTTCCAAATGGCACTTTCTTTGCGAGATATTTCTTTGATGGAAGGAGGTGAGTTTCCACATGTTTTGACTCCTCCCTGCTAGATATTTATCCTTGGTTTTTGGTTTGGAAACCATGATGTATACTCTTATCTAACGGGGGGCATCAAATTTTTTTTTGATCAAAACGGGGGGCATCAATATGAAAGAAAATCATCAGTGGATTCTTTTTTGTCACATTAAGAACAATATCTTGGTTTCTTGGAATTTCCTACTAGATATATATGCTGAAGTAAATGTCCGTGTAGAAATTATGTTTGAAACGAGGGAGAGCTATGTTTGAACATCTTCTTAAAGAAACTTAGTCATTTGTTCCTACTATTGCAGGACCACTTCCTCCATCTCGGCGAAGGTCACTCTTTACACTGGCTGCATCAATGGTTCTTTTTTCCTCAAAAGCATTCAATCTTTTTTCTCTGGCGGATTTCACAAAAGTAACACTTCAGGGACCAAGGGTACGTTGATCATTCTAGTGAAAATGTTGAGATGTTGATGTTTTGTTTCTCTTGGAATTATTTCACGCAACTCAATTTGCCAAAACATATCATTATTTTCGCCCCAGACTAATATGCTCTATATTCTTATGATAGCATCTATACACAAAGAGAAATTACTTACCATTTCTCTTTAACTTGCTCTTCTGCCATTCAGCTTGACCCATTCTTGAACTTGGTTGACGATCACAAGTTGAAGGCTATAAATTCAGATCAGCTAAAAGTTGCTTATGGATGCGAAAAAGATGATGCTTCAGCTTTAGATACTCTTTCAAACATAGCACTCTCCACTGAGCATAGCAGAGGAAACCTTGTCTATGAAATCGTCAAAAGCTTAGAAGATATGTGCAATGTAAGTGTTTCCTGTCACAACCTCCCAAGTAAATTACTTTACCCGAGTTACCATTCCATATTTTGGTAAATCAATTGATAATCACAGTAAACTAACAAAAAGTAAAACTATTTCCAGTCTGAAATGGACAAAATGCGAGAGCAGTTGCTCACAGAATTTATGCCAGATGATGCATGTCCACTTGGTACCCGGTTTTTAGAAGATACCCACAAAACCTATCAGGATGATTCTGGAGATGTTAAACCTCAAAAGGTGGTAACTAGTTCTTCTGCTTCCCGTAATTTTCTCTGATAATCTGGAGATGAACATCGTATTGAAATATGTTGTGCCTGTGTCTTCAGGACGCGGCACTCTTCTCTCACGAGGATCAAGAGTTTGGAGATGGCACCGAAACCGTTGCAAAGAATCATCCTGTAACAGTTTCTGAAATCCCAGACCTCCTGACGGTCAATCAGATTCTAGAATCTGTAAGTTACATGTTCCATCTTCCTAGTAATTAGATTACAAAGTCTTCACCAGAAGTAACATACAATAAAACTGTACTTCTTTTGTTTTGTTTGAAGGTCGTTGAGACAACACGTCAAGTGGGTAGAATTTCTTTCCATACTGCAGCTGATGCTTCATACAAAGAAATGACACTTCATTGTGAGAATCTTTTAATGGGAAAACAGCAGAAGATCTCAAGTCTTTTAAATTCTCAGCTACGACATGAGAGTTCTGTTAACTGCTCTCCACGACAACATGATGAAGAGATTAAGATCGCAAGTTTCCATCCTATGCTCAATCCAACATTTCATACTGAGGTATGTATGTCTTGTCTTTTATATTGCGTACTGAATTCAGATATTCTGCTGTTACCAATCGTAGCCTCCGGTTTCATCTTCCAAGATATAACTGTTTAACCATTTTTTGTATTGATTAAAAAAATTTGCTTAGGTCGAAGTCCCTTTACTGTCGAATTCCTTCGACATGAAATCGCCAAGAACACCAGTGGGAACTATTCAGTCACCGTGCTTTGCAGAACTACAAAATAACCCACAAGCATTTAGACTACCAGCCTCAAGCCCTTACGACAACTTCCTTAAAGCTGCTGGCTGTTGATCATCGGCAGGATCCAAACCATTGTTTGGCTTTGAACTCCAGTCAAAAGAACTCAAACAAAAAAATTAACAAAACTAGGTTTGCTTGGTTTTCAAAGTCTTGAGTTACGTTTTTTAGATTCTTTAGCATTATAAATCGGAATTACTCCGTCGTGCTATACTTAGATCATTCCTCCTAGGGTTTTTATTCCTATCTTCTCTTTCCACTTATTCTTTTATCCAATTCATTTGTTTCTTTTTGGTGTGATGTGTAAAAAGATGAAAGAGGCCATCTGGTTTTCACGTGGTCTTGTAATCTAAAGATTCTACAACAATGGCTTTGTTGAACAGTTTCCCCCAAGATGTACATTGGTTCTTCTATGATCTAATCTATAATTTGTGTCATTGGATAAGTAAATCAACCATTGGCGGTCAATTCATCATGAAAACCTATATAATAATACACAGAGGAGAAGCTCGCATATATAGGAATGCGTTTTTTTTGTATATGAATGTCACAAAACGAAACTATATATCATCATTCATTTGCTCATTTGATTTGCTTAACCTCTTGAAGCATTTCAACTACTTTCTTCATCTTTGGCCTTTTTGCAGGTGTGATGTCTGTGCAAAGCAATGCAACTTTCAGAGCTGCAAGCATCTCTCTCCTCCAAGCAAAGGACACGGTGCTAAGCTTGGCATCAAGTATCTGTTCCGGTGTTTCTCCTCTCGCTGAAGCTCCATGGACCCATTTCACCAAATCTACTCCTTCACCAAACTCTTCCTCCACCGGCGCTCTTGAGGTTAGAATCTCAAGCAACACAACTCCGTAGCTGTAAACATTCCCCGGTGCAGTAACTTGCATTGTGTATGCATACTCTGCGGAATAAAACAAGGGAAAGTGTTGGATTTTTTATTAAGTTATTGGTAACAAAATTAAGAGTTTATACCTGGTGGAATGTAGCCAAAGGAGCCTGCAACTGAGCTAATACTTGCAGTGCCTCTAGAGGGATCTAGAAGTTTTGATATTTCGATTTCCCCAAGCACGGCTTTGTAACCAGAGTCTAGCAAGACATTGCTAGAGGAAACATCGAGGTGAATGATGGCGACTTGGTGGAGAAATGCTAAACCTTCTGCTACTCCAACAGCTATGGACAGTCTCATTGGCCAGTCAGGTTGGTACTCTGGTTTCTTGGTGGACTCATGAATCAGCTGAGTTAAGTTACCATTAGGTAAATGCTGATGCAACAAGAGAGCAACATCTTCATATATAACAAACCCGATCGGTCTAACCAAATGGTCATGGCAAAGTTTACTGAGTCTTTCGAGTTCTCTGATCATCTTGTTCTGATGATGAGTTATGGCTCTATCCATAGACTTGAGTTTCTTCACCGAAACAATCATCCCCGAAGGCATAACGGCTTTATAAACTGAACTGAAAGTTCCCGTGCTGAGTTTATTCGATTCCTTCATAGTTGCTTTCACAACTGCATCAAGATCAATTCCTTGTTTAAGATTTTCAAGGAAGACATTTCCCGCTATAATTGCCGGTTGCTCATCCTCAACATTTTCTTCAACATCAACGTTTTTAGCCGCTGCTTTCTCTTGTTTCTCCCTCATCATGAAGAGAAGAACAACCACAGTGACTGATACAAAGACAGCCACACCAGAACCAATTACTGCAAGCACAATCCTGTAGGAGACTCTGTGATTGTATCTCAAATGTTCAAGATCGTCAGAATTTCCACAAGAAGAGCTCAATGGTGCTCCACAAAGCTCTTTGTTTCCCGAAAAGCTCGAATTTGGAGACTTTTGAAAGGGAACAAAGACTGGCACAGGACCATTCAAGAGGTTGTTTGAGAAATTAACCTCGATCAAACTCATCATACCTTTCAGTAGTTGCGGTATGGATCCTGTCAGCAAATTGTTAGAGACATCCAATGACACGAGCTTGTCGAGTTTTCCTAACTCGGGAGGCAATGATCCATGAAGATGGTTGAAACTTAAGTTGAGTGCTATCTGCAAATTCCTCATGCGACCAATCTCGGGAGGAATGGTTCCCGTCAAGTAATTTCGGCCCAATTGTAGCTGAAGCAGCTTCACACAGTTTCCAATCTCATGAGGTATGTCTCCTCTTATGGAATTCTGATCAAGAAGCAAATACTGAAGCCTCGGCATGCTGCAGAGTTCCTTTGGGATGGTTCCATTGAGTCTGTTGTTACTCAAATCAAGCTTGTTAAGGTTTCCACTTCCAAGAAACGACTTAGGGATTTCCCCAAAGAGACTATTACCTGAGAGAATCAGTTCTTGAAGATTAATGAGCTGACCAAGCTCTGTTGGAATGGTTCCAGCGAACCCATTTGCTGCCAGATTCAGCAGAGTGAGATTAGAACACTTTGAGAACTCTGCAACAATCTCACCTGAAAGATTGTTATTGTCTGCTTCAAAGTAAGTAAGTCCACTAATGTTTCCGATTGTCTTCGGAATAACTCCCACAAGCTCGTTATTCCCAATTCTAATACTCGAGAGGCCGCTGCAGATTCCTACTGCTTCAGGGAGTTCACCGGTCAGTCTATTCTGTGTCAAGACCAAAACTTTAAGCTTCCCTTTCTCAAAAACCCCCTTTGGAATCTTCCCCTCAAGCTGGTTTGAGTGAAGATTCAACAATTCCAACTCAGAGACCGAACCTAACCCATTCGGTATCTCACCAACCAAATCATTCTCATAAGCCGTAAACACCCTAAGATTGCTCAGATTCCCTACCCAGTGAGGTATAGAACCATTTAAGCCATTTCCAGAGACCTGAAACTCCTCTAACCTCTCTAGAACCTTAAGCTCATCAGGTATCTCTCCCACAAGCAAGTTATTGGAAATGTTGAACGCTCTAAGCCCTCTAAGCTTACCAAACTCAACTGGAATTGCTCCAACGAAACGATTCAGAGACAAATCTAGAAATTCAAGCTCAGACAAGTTGCCAAAAGAGGCAGGAATTGGTCCATTGAAGTTGTTACCAGAAAGATCTAGATGCTTTAAGGTTCTGAGGTCAGAGATTAGAGTAACATTACCTCTAAGCTGAAGCCCTGAGAGATCAAGCATTTCAACAAAAGAGTTGTTGAGACCACACTTGAGCCCAACCCAAGTACAATAGTCAGTGCCATTGCTACTCCATCCTGGAACTCCAAGCTCTCTATTAATGGCTACCAATGTGGCTTCATCGCTTAGCTGAGCTTCACAAAACTCAGATTTTGATAAAAACCCAACAACAATCAGAAGAATTGACATGCACCAAAATGCCATTTTTAAGAAATCAGAGTAGAATCAAATCAAATCAATCACACACTCTTGTTCTTCTTCTTCTTCCCCAAAAACACACAATTGATTGACAAAATTACCATTGAAACTTTTAAGCCAATTGAAACAAGAAAGTGAGCGAGGAAAAGAAAAGTCTTGCTCTTTTCGCCATGAATTCAGGATTAAAGCTCTGGTTTTGGAGTCAAAATAACTGTTTCTGAACAAAACCCATCTTTAGACTTCTGACGACAAAGAGAAGTGCTTTTGAGTGTGAGTGTGGCTTAGAGAGAGAAAGGAGAGAGCAAAGCCCATAAATTTAGGGAGAAAAAACCATGAGAGAACAAAGAGAAGAGAGCAAGGAAAATCTGATCATAGAGTAGGGTCTATGCGTATAAGAGAGCAGAAGAAAATGCATTTTGTGTTTGTTTTTTTAGTATATCACGAAATTATGATTGCAGAACCAAACAAAGATCCTCTCACTTCACACACAGAGAGAGAAGAGAGAGAGACTCCACAAACAAAGCAAACGCACTTGTAAAGGAGGGAATTTTTTTTCTTTTTTTTTTGATGTATTTAAAAAAGTATTTATTATTAATTTCTGATACAAAAAGTTTTATTTTCTTCACGAGACAGTGCAAGTGATGAATGAATGAAAGCTGCATAAATCTTTCTGACACATTTTTTCTGCTTTTCTGAAATAACAAAATTCAAAAAATATATATAATTAAAGAAAAATGAAGAGTGTACGTTTTTGATAATTCTTTTCTTCTGACGTTTTTTCTGTACAATACTGATACTGTCACAATGTTCAATACCAAAGAGGTAAAATATATATATTTTCCAAATCTATCTTCTTTTTTTTACCTTTTTTAAAGGCTCCGAATGGAGAAAGCGTATCGGGCAGAGCGGATCAAGCGAATCAAGCGTATCAAGCAGAACAAAAGCGGATCAAGCAGATCTGGCGGAACAAAAGCGGATCACGCGGTTCGAACGCTTTAAATTTGTGTTGAATGGTAAAAGCGGATCACACAGTGTGAGTGAAATATTTATATTGTAAAAAACGTTAATTTTAAATAAAATATTTTACATAAACTATACATACTAAAAACAATTATATTAAAATATATTTGTAATACTGGTTTAATATATTATTATACATGTATTTAATATTTTATTATTTTTTAAAAAAAAACTGATTTGTAAATGAATGAAAATGGTTAATGGCAATATAAAATTATTTATTGAAAAGAAAAAAGAAAAAGAAAAAATTATTAGTTATTTATGATAATGAGAACAAAATAAAAAATTAAGTATTTTTGGTAAATGAAGAAAGTGAATAATGTTAATGGAGAAGTATGATTTTAATTTAACTACCTATATTATTTTTAACGAATAAAAAATTATAATAACAAAAATAAAAAATGTTCATAGGCGGAGGAAACGCATGGACCACCTCTTATTTGCAATGGAACAAGATCCGTAAGGTACAGTGTATTTTTACTCTAGTAATTGTACTGCAAGTGGTACATTAATATTATATTATTTCTCAAAATGAAACGTTTTGTAATTGTTATATAATGCTGAATGGTGACTAGTGTGCGTATGATCTGCTCCACCGGAAGAACTGCTTTTTTCCCACCTCTCCATTCAAGCCCAAAATCAAAATTTTCCCAAAGACACACACTTTGCAGTTATCATTTGTGGTATAATGACATTTTTCTGTATATAAAATTTTTTTTCTTATTCGTAGGGACTAGGTATTATTTGTATGTAGTCTACATGTTTTCTCTTTGATCATTTAAATCTACGTTTGACAATAGGGAATCTACTTTCGTGTGGTCTTTTGTTGATTACTTTAAACACGATCCATGTTTGAAGTA